AAAACTTCTATCACAAAAAGGCGATATGATATATCCACAACGGTCGGTTTTTCTTGACCTTTTTTTTTTTTTTTTTTTTGTGTCCACAAATTTAGGGTAATTACTAGCCGACTTCCGAATATTGAAGGGTAAAGCATATATGTATGTATATACAATAAGTATACTGTGTACGAACCGGTTTTGTTTTTTTTGTTTTTTGTTAGGCATATATGCATAAATATTCAGGAAGTACTGTTGCTGGAGGATTATATTATATTATCGACATGGTCCCTCCTTTGGGAGATATTTTTGATGAACATATATGCTGCGTCTGCCCTGTTTGCCCTGCTTGCCCTGCCTGCCTTGCCGGCGTTTTATTTCCAGTAGCCGCTCGAGACGATTTCTAAAAACATACTGTAAACCAAGTATGGTATGTATGGTATGTACATTATACACAGGGACCATGCTTCAGACGGGATTGATGCATACATGCATACACACATATGTGGGGTGGGGGGGGAGATATCATATCAAAAGAAGAGTCGGCCTGACGAGGCCGTTAACCGTAGTTACGGTTTGAGACGGTGCATTATCCTACTTTGGGTAACTTTCCCTCTGGTTGGTCGGAATTTTACGGGTGGGTATTGATTGTGTGTGAGAGAATGAGAGAAAGAGAGAGAGAGACACGGCTCAACCGTGTGATAATTAATATCAAAGTTTTGAAGCTATAGTAGAGCCACCAATGCATTAACAAAGTAGATTTATGAATTTTTTAGAGAAAGCTCATTTCGAATAAGAAGACGGACAGACGCTTCTGCTTGGGATGTCACAGGATATTCCCTAATAGACGTACATACGCACATTACATAGTATATGCGCATCTTTCGCCACAGGGGTTTATTTTTCAAGAATTGTCCTGCGATAGGCCGGATGGAATAACGAACTGACTCGTGGTCATAGTGGGGCTATAATATGGCAAGAAATTGGATGTTATTGGACAATTCATGAACTCTTTTTTCTCTCTCTGTCTCTTTCAATTTCTAGATCCTGCGAGGAATCAGAAAACTGGACTTGAATTAAATTCCATCATCTGTGACAATACTATCGCAAGAGATGTCATCTTTCTGCCTTCTGGTTTTGCCTGAAATAAAACAAAATTCATACGAGATCGTGGGGCACACACACACACACAAGAAAGAGAAATAATCGCAATATCGATGGTTAATTAGGAAATATACCTCTCTAGGTTAAAGCCCATTAAAACCTCTTCGGCAAGAACCGGAATAGACAGACAGAGAGAGAGAGGTATTCACACTTTCGTGGGATGATATCTCGGGTTTCAAAAAAAGAATTATCCCAATGAACCGCCACTTTCGAAGAGAATAAACGAAATTTGGGGGTCACCCGGCCGCCGCGCCGTACGTACGTACGTATGTATGTCGAAAATTCACAATCCCGTCCTCCGTATCATACTATCAACTTAACAAACCGGCCGGGAACTTGCACAGTACAGGCCCCTTCTGAACAAGGTCCACGCGGAAGAAGGTAAATCACAAGAACATATGTATATGTACATATCCATATACATATCCATACACATATACATAGTTACAGATAATCATATCACACTCATCCTATATACCAAGATAAATCTCCCTGGCAAGCCCTGCAAGCATGCTCCCATCATCGAAACATTCGAAATTCGAAATCAATCATCATTTACGGAGCGGTTCATGGGATTATCGGCTTGAGCAGGACGGGTGTGGCTCAAGATGCCCCATACAGCTTGGGGGTACATGCTCAGTCCTAACTTGACTACATAACTAACTCGTGTCATGGTCATGGTATCCCATCCCATCTCGTCGGTTCCGAAGTTGCAAAATTCCGAAAAGGGTGGACACTTACAGGTAAAACATAGCCAACCAACGAAGGGCGTAATCTCACGATTATCTTGGATCACCCGGGACATGTTCTATTATCATTAATATTCGATAGTATGATATATACTATGTACTTACATATATTATATATATATCTGTAACTAAAAGGTGTGAGTGGGTGTGTGGTCTCGTACGATCGTTAATTAGTTTTGAATGTTTGATTTGATAAGCAGGCCGTTTCGGTTTCGTCTGCGGATTGCATAAGCCTTGCAGCCTGCAACAGAAACGGCACCGATTTGGATTTGGATTTGGATTTGGGTTAATATCCGGAGCCTCGAATCTTTTTTTTCTTCGGGATTTCGTTTCACTTCCATCGATAAAATGTGATATGCCAGGAACGTTAGCATTAACACACGATTTGGGTCATCAGCCAGCCGGTTAGTAATCCTTCCCCCGTTTCGATGTGGAGATGGGGCTCTGCTACAAGAGCTCCTTCGATAGCTTCACCCTGATATATTACAAGTAACGCGAACGCGAAACTGATTCATGATTCTTGCTCAAAGGGAAAATCTGATAAAGGCACCGATGGCCTCGCTTCACGAATTCACCCCCCCTAGTCCGTCTTGGAATGGTGCGACAGACCTCATCAATTTGTTTTCCAGAAGCAAAAGAAACCGACGTCCTACATAGTACTTACTAGCTTAGTACTTTTTTTATTATTCCGATCCCCACAATGTTGGACTTTCGTTCCCATCCAGTCGGGATGTCCAACTGCGCCGGATTCCAACGGCAGTTTTTAGCGCTTACGGACCCGACCACCAATTGCGAAACTTGAGATGAAAAAAAAATTATTATCAGGCTCACATTTTTACGGCTCTCGCGCGTTCCTGGCCCGTGTCGGTGGTAGCATTGACCCGTTTTCTCATAAGACGTCCTAATTGGTTCTAGCCAAAACGGAGATTTTTTTGCAAGTTTGGCCTCTCTCCCTCTTGGGATGGCGATGAGATTGACGGCATATTTTCCCAAAACCGAATTGCATATTGTGGGGAATACGGAAATACGAACGAGAAAAAAGTCTCGAGAAGGGATGAACGAAAATAGGAATAGGAATATCAAATGCAACGGTCCTGGAGTACCTGCGCCCTTCTGTGACGTCAGAAGGCCCAGCAAGTGCCTGACCCAGGCGGGATCACGCAGCCTTAGTCGGTAGCGTTTTAAGAATAGGGTAGACATTTTGTTATAATTATAATTATAGTGGAGTGCAGCTGCTAGCTGCTGCTGCTGCAGTTGTTGTACTCACTGTGCCACGGGGTACGTTGGACGTCTGTATGTATCGTATCGTATCGTATGCACATCATGTTGGAAAGAAGTTGCTAGTTGGTTAACCGCTGTGATATAATATTCAACAGAAGGGCTCTCGACTGTTCCTCCTCCCTCGTGAGACTTCGGGCTCTCTTCAAAAAAAAAAAAATGATACGCGCTCTGCGAGCTCAAGCTATGTCATGTCTCATGGTCACCATATTCCCGTGTAATCTTTCTAGTGACACCTGTATTGTTCCATACGTGCATACGTCGGAGCTCACAGAGAAGGATTAAAAAAAAAAGAATATCAAAAAGCAGCATGCTCCCGTCTCAGCAAGTGCAAGCTCCCGTCCGCATGGACACTGCAAGTATGGAATTTAATTGTGGATGGAAAGCACAAAACCACTGCTTTTTTTTCTTGATAGATAGATAGATAATTGATTACGCAGCCCTACGAGGTGCATGAACTCATTTTCAATCCCATCCAATTACCCCTCGAGCTCGAGCGTATGGCAAATCCCGTTCTGCATTTACTTACCTTACCTTCTGAGCCTCACCCCACCACTACCTAAATACCACACACACACATCTCGTCTACCGTGTCCATTATACAGAGTACAGTAATCATATCAGACATCGTATTAAGCAACCCTCTTCAAATACAAATTTACTTTTCTCGAACGGTAAATGGGTTTAAATGCTGACATGCATATTTGTCCCCAACCGTCCCATCCCCATCCCCATCCCCATCCCCATCTCATCCCATTCACACATCCTGCCATTTCAATGAATATAATACGAAAAAATAATAATAATAGTTAAAAGAATTTCTTAATGAATATGATATAATATATCATGTGCCCTCACTTCCATCCATATTTACGGAGCGCCGTCACCGTAGGCCGCCAATATTTTGGTTTTGATTTTTTTTTCGCATTAATTATAATTGATCCGATCATTTTATCCTATTTGTCTGCCCACTGACCGCGAAACTTTTGATTAATTAAATAAGTATGACTCGAGATGATATCCGTTCCCTCCCAGAACCGGTCCGGCATGAAAAAGATATACGAAAAAAAAGTGATAATTATAACCGTTTAGCACGGGATCGTAGCTCTACGCTTGTGCCTAAGCCTCTCGGGCCTCTACGCTTCTTCAAGGTGGTCGTTCATTCTGAAACCCTACCCACCGATCAGATGTGAAACTGTCTTTTGCCTATATTTAATTTTTCATCTCTTCAAACGGGGACATTCTAGAAAGCCCTTCCTGAAGAAAAAAAAAAAAATGTTGTAATCAATCAATCAATATCCAAATTTCGTCATGGAACTCGTAATTTCGCGGCAGAGCTCGTTGCGTTTGAAGATTTAAAGCACACCAAGCAAAAAATGCCAATATCAGAAGACATTTCCGTATCACATCTTGTCGAGTCGTCATCCGACAGACACACAACAAAGAAAAGAAAATTTGTCCTGTTGCATTATGCCCAGCTCTTAAGTTTCCCTCCGACTGCACTAAAAGGAAGAAGAAGAAGAAGAAAAAAACAAGTATAGTTTCCCCCAGAAAAGACTCCTTCAAAAGATGGATAGTGTGGATGCAACATCCCAAATGTACCTTCAGGTACCTTCTACCCCGCCACATACGCAACTTTACGTTTTCAATCGTGCAATCCATCAAATGAGCGCATAAAGGCCCTCTGGATCACATTTCCAGTTAACTCCGGCTCTCGGCTATCTCACTCGGCGAGACAAAGAAAAAAAAAAAAAAAAAAAAGTCTAATGCGGACGCCATATGTAGACACATCGGCGTGCTCCATCACGCCATAACAGCCAACTAAATACTCTAAGTCCTTGCTGTAAGGTTTAATAATTGGTCGAAATAATGTTTAGTATCGATGCCAAGCCCGCCGCTTAGTTTTATTGGGATGGAAAACCCGCTCTTGCTGTCTTTTGAAGCCCGTACATGCGTTCTGTGATCGGACCCCTTTCGGATAATAAATGCTTCTCGGCGCCCCCGTCGATGCTTGCTAACCGAGCCGATAAAAGACGTAATTTCATCTGCAGGTGGTACAAGACCCTGTTGTTCTATCTGAGAGTCGATGGTGGTAGCTGGGGAGGTGGTAGAAGCTAGCTGAGATCTGTTCTGTGGCTCGACCCCTTCGAGGCGCATCCAAGCGATCCACCAGCCCCGGCTTGTTCGGTTGGTTCGTTCCCTTTCTCCAGAGGGGGCACCGAGGGGAATGTCTTTCCACCTAGTGTCTTCAATCACCCTCAGTATTTGCGTGTGGACGTGAAGGGCTTCAACCCTTGGCAGTCCTCCATTGGTCGTACTGTCTAGCGGAGTATTGGGTGGCGCCCCCGGAATACTAGGCAGAGATGTATGCACGGTCAAGGTGGCTGGATCAAATATAAGATCGAAAACACCCTTATGATTTGACGGTTGATATTGCTTTTCGGATGAAGATATCAGTGGGGCCTTCAGGGGGGCTAGCTGCTCGTGAAGTAGCTTGTAGAAGCTTGGTTTCGTAAGGGATTCGTTAGTCGAACGAAAGAGCATCGCGAATATGAAGGGATATGCCTATGTTATATTAGCGGGTGGGAAATGTAAACCATAGATCCAGACTTACGGCATATGCAACGAGACGGCACTCCTCAAGAATAGGTTGTTTATCAGCGCCATCTTCATTAGGTGACATATCCTTCGTCCTCGCGACCCAGATAGTGGTTGATATGAAATCCTTTTGGTCTACGTTTTCATCACTCACAACCGAGTCTTCTTCATCTTCGTCCAAAGCACCGGTATACCCAATAATGAACCTGCCAGATACCTCCGTGGGGTTTGGTTCTGCATTTTGATCGGCCGTATCCGCTTTAGATGGATCATCCTCTCCTTTTCGATTCCAAGCAGAGTATGCCGCATATGTGCCCAATGTTAGAACATTTAGCATCAGATTATTGCCTCCTTTTGACCCTGAAGATTGTCCATTGCTCGATCCACCAGTCACATCAGACGGCTTGCCCTTCTTTTTATCCTTATCTTTAGATTTAGGACCTTCTAGACCAGATGTAGGCGGTTGTTCTGCCTCCCGGGCGTTCTGTTGACTTTCTGTTGGGAAAAGCGGGGGAGGCAACCTCGTTTCCGGTTCGCTAGCTTCTTCGATGGGAGCCACAGTCTCCGCTGCTGTTGCTGAAGCTGATCCCTCAGGCGCCTCTGCTGCCGTTATCGTAGTTGTAATTCCTGATGGCGGGGTTTCCGCTGGTGGGGGCACCGGAGTCGTTTTGGATTTGCCGCGGCGAGCCTTCTTCCTCGACGGTCGTACCGTCTGATAGTCGAAAGAGGAATCTCCATGTTGATACCATCTTGCCATCCATTCTGCCAAATCCCTCACACTTTCGTTGGTCAAGTTTCCCAGGCCCCTATAAATACACCCATCATCTGGGCCAGGGATCCTTCCTGTCCCTCGGGTTGAAAATCCTAGCTTAGTTTTCTTTGTATCCTTCACATCCTTTTCATCGCCGGGTAGTTTCCCGAACCGAGATACAACGAGATCGATCATTCGTTCCGACCCGTCTGCTTCGGTCCGATTCTGATCTGCGAAGCCACCAAGTACTTTCTTTTCCTCTTCACCAACTCCTCTGCCAATTTTGATTCCATTCCATACGTCCACAGCAGGATTGCCATTTAGCAGAATCACCCACTCCAATGCCCATCGTGCATAAAACTTGTCTAGTCGCTGGACAAGGACGTCCCGCCCGTGATTCGATAGTATGAAATCAAGATTTCCGTTGAAAAGCAGAAATTGTCGATATGACGTCTTAAGTTGTGAAATGAGTACTGAATACGGTGCTACCTCTCGCGGCGAGTATTCCGTAGTTGGAGGTTCAGTAGCATAATCGATCCTCGTAAACTCGATTGACTTTGTAGACACCAATGTTAGCATCGATAACTCAGAAATCTCAAGTATTCATGTCTCCTACAGCTAGAATCCACCATCCGGCCTCGATCTCATGGAGCACGATTCTGCTCTTCTGCGTCTCGACGGAGTTTAAATCCTGCGCTCCAGAGAAGCCCCTGGAAAGATTGCGAGTTGGCTTTCATGTTGACTTTATCAATTTGATCAGAGACACGAGCCCTGTTTACGACTAAATCCCATATTGGGCTTTAAAGAACATGGATGCAATACCTTGCGAATTCGATTATTCCTTGCGCAAGGCCTATCTGTCTCAGACACTCATTTTGCGAAGCCGGTGAACGCGACGTCCAGAAGACGATTTGGTCGGGTAGTGTTTCGTCTGTGAGTCCGAGGGAGGGGTTGAAGATGGCGAGATATGAAAGGGAAGCGGGTTCTACCGATGAGTGAGCCTGCGACGACGCCATTCCGGGGTCGGGGAGTTGGACTGGGTCATGTCAGTCACGATTGGGTGATGGGATGTCTCGATGTTCAGGCTCGCGACGCCCAATGACGACACAAACAGCAGACCAAGAGGAGCAGAATGTAACACACAACACGAAAGTGATCTAAAGCCCTCGAGAGGGTGTATGAATCGGCCGGATATCGGCAGTTTATTACCTCGTAAACCGGAATTAGTGCTACTGCGAAGTAGTAGTGCAGCTTAGGTATCAATGGTAATCAAATCAATCAATTGAATTTATAAATAACATTGGTTAGTACTAAGGAATAGAAATACTCGCAGAAAAAAATTGGCAGTCGCAAAACGAATAGCTTTAACGATAAAACAACGATTCAAAGGAGTTACATGCAACATGCAGCTTATAAAAAACTAAAACGATATAGATCTTGTGTGATCCCACGAAATGTTAACGGATACGAATATCTTAAAGCACGAGTTACGATAATCTAGCTATTGATGTTAACGCATTAGTCAGCCCGGTCTAAGGTTTCGGTAACAAGCTCATATCCTACGGAGGCCAGTGTAGTCTGTAACGATCCTATAGGGTCGATTCTGAGCGCTAGCCCCGCATGATATACTCTCATTATTAACTTAGGCTAGATTCAAAAAGTGAACTAGCCTATACTCATTCTGTGTTATTGGATTCTAATCCACGGAATTCATACACCTCATGAAATGCGCCTTCCTTTCATTTTCCACCCAATCATGTATATTAGTCATTGCAGCACGGAAGCCCTCTACATCATCCTTAGATGTTAAATCGTAGGAGTCGAGCTCGCACATATCCTATAGAAATGTTAGATTCTAAAATCTTATCGAGCCGGGGTTAACAGTGGGATATATACTTACATAGTGGGTTCGGACCTCTCCCCCGTAATTACTCTCATATCGAAACATTACCCAGAGAGTGAAGTCCCTTTCAACTCCAGTAAGACCAAAGATAGGTGTTGTACTCACGCTATTTGAAATTCTCTCGAGTTCTGCCTGTCGCTCCGCGAGTATGGACAAACATCGAGCCAGTTGGTTTTTAACTACTCGCTCTGAAGTCCCTCTCCATTTGAGCTCCAAGGCGAGAAAAGGAAGGAAGAGGCACTCAGCGCTTTCTTCGCTGTTCGGTGAAAGTACACATAGTGACCGAGGGATTTTATCCCAGGTTTCCGATGGTATTGAAAGTGCTGACTGGGCGTTTGAGTAACCGCATAGGTAATCGGGTTTAATGTGATCCTTAATGTTAGCAACAACGTGTTTTGGACCGATTCCTCTATGTATTTTGTGATTGGTCATGCTATTTATAAAAGTTAGAATAGATTTGAGACAATGACTTGGCCATGGAAGGAAGAGAATGCAACTTACCCCTGGAGGTCACCTTGATTTAGCATGAGATTTTCCAAGATTTCAACTTCGGCGATAAGGAGATCTTGGAACTTTTGCTCCAGCTGTTGCTTCGCTGTAGAGCGTCGCTGCCTAGCTGATAATCGAAGCGTTGAGCGGAAGAGGTACTCATCGATTTCCAGAGCGTTTTCTTGTGATGTGAGGCTTTCGTCCATGACATAGTCCCAGTCAGGGTTGCGACTAGCCTTGAGATCGTTGTAGCCCTTTAGGATGCGATGGCAAGTTTCGACTAGGGAGCCTATTTTTGTCGTCTGGGTAAATCATATTAACACTCTTTCCCGATACAAATGCAAGATTAAGATAGTATGTGGATCGAGAAGCTTCTGTATAACAAGCTCGAATTCCAAGCGCAGCACCCCTCGACGAGCACATAATTATCTTATTTGTAGATGCGATGGACGATTGCATTTTTGAAAGTAAAAATATATCTCTGCTGGGGAGGGGGTTTATGTTTACTATGTACTTACATGCTCTCTCTGACCAACAATCATATTCTTGAATCCATAATAGAGATCCAAAATATTTTGGCCCGATCGATCTTCTCGATCCAATTTGAAGATAGTGTCCTCTCCGAGGATTCGGATGTTATCCGCGGCTAGAACATTGTGCTTATAGTCGATATTACTATAAGGCGCCGACATACGACCTTTAGGAACCCGTGGAGGTTGCGAAATTTTGCCGGCCTTACCCTTTTTCGAGATCGGCCCTCGCTTTCGGCACTCACAACGGTTGGATTTGGCAACAGATATCTTCGCCATTTCTTTGCGTATAGTAAAATAATTGATAGATGTAGTAATAAATATAATAAATATATACGGAAAAATAGAGTCGATAACAGAGAATAGATGAGGCATGAAAAACAATAGGGTTGTGATAGATCTGTATATAGATGATTGGGTGATATTTGACGAATTCTACTTTGGGGAGAAAATGAAAGGCTGAACAACCGAACGAGTAGAAAACGGACGTATGCTTTATAGTACAATGCTAGCCGGATCGACAGTACTATAGGATTGTTACTTACAAGGGAAAGCCCACTGGTTGCGTGCAAAATTCACCCTCCATAGTCTAAGCCGTCTCAGGAATAACAAGCAATGGGGGAAATTGGGGCATTGCATCGTTTGGGTGGGAAAGATTTGGCGGTTTCGAGCGGTCTAGGCTGTGTGCCTTGCCCCTCACTAAACGGTTGTCCATCGGCGTTCTATTCGTACCCACTATTACTTCTCAGAGCCCCAAAGTTAAGGATCCGATTTTGTCAGAATGAACAAGAAAGATTCGAATTGCACTGTAAACCAATGTGTATGTTGCTGTTGATGTTAATTTCAAATAATTAATAGTTGGTCATTTTGCGGCTGCATTGAGATCATTGAATTTTCAGAAACTGCCTTGAGACCGACGGACAACAGACTTGCCGAATCCGAATCTTTCGAATCAAGGATTAGCTGCAGATTTTAGGCTACTAAGGGTAGACGTATGGCTGGTGAAAAATATTGACGGTTGAAAGGTTGAGAATGAGCTATATTAAGTAATTCACTGCATATGTGTGGCACAGCACCAAGGATGTAGTCACATGAACAAAATTTATGTGGTCAGGGGAACTTCTCATACGACTGCTGTAGTAGATATATTGACACAGCTGAGGAGAAAACGACTTTCGCAAAATTGAATTGACAAGATACCGTAGTATATAGACTTCTAAAAGAATAGTGGTGTAATTATGCCATGAGGGTTCGAAAGGGCTCGAGGTTGGGCGAACAATGGCGGGCTTTCTGACACTCGCTTGGCCGATGCCCCTGAACAGCAAATCGGAGTACTCGAGTTCCTGATGCCTTGCATTAGTCAAAAACTTCCGGCACTAGCCCATGCTAAAAGCAGTTCAAACTAGTGGCCTAGCCATGCAATTGACAATATGTGGCGAAGAGCCGCTTCTTCATGTTCCGGTTTCTGAATGTGTGGTTCTAAATATGGCGGTAGGGGATCTCAGGGCGCTTCTTGGAGCAGACCGTGTTGCGCGTGTGTGTTTTCCCGATTAGGATTTGGCATTCCCGCTCCCGCGTTATCTAATCTAATCTTTCGCTAATCGCCGCCTGTCATCTGTGCCTGTTGTCTGGGAGATCCGCCTCTTGTTGACCTTTAACCAATCTGGGCAACAACAACCTCAACACAACACTCATCTCTGCCGCGCAGAAATTAATCTAATTTCAAGGTCCCACAGCTGCGAACCCCTCCCTTGCCCCCCTTTTCTTGTAGCACTCCGACGGATCACGAGATCACGTCCCGTTGCTATCCTTACTTTCTTCTTCTGCCGACCTCCCATCCCAACTTTCTCCACCATTTCTACCGACTTTCTCGATTGTGCCGCGATTCGTCGCATCTAACTATATCATGCCAAGGGTCACTCGATCGCAGGCCGCTGCATTGCAAAATGCAGACGGCAGAGAACCCCTCGAGGAAGTGAACGAAAACGTCAAGCTTCCCGAGCCCACGAGGAGGACGACTAGGGCGAGGTCCAAGGCGGGGACTCGCAAGGAGAACTACAGTGCCGAGGAGCATTCTGCCCTCGGCGTAGACGGACCAGAGACAAGTTCCTATTGCGCCGGAACCTCTGTCTCGAGGAGAACAAGGGTCACAAGAAGCCAAGCGGCGAAGAACCCAGATGTCATCGTTCTCGATGAGATTGAGACGATTGAGGTGACGACAACAAGGAGGACTCGGAGTACTCGACGGACGAGGCAAACCGCGGTTGGGGATATCGAACGCGAGCCAGAAGAGGTGATCGCTGTTGCGCCCCCGTCTTTGATCACACGGGGTAGGCGGGCTTCGAGGGATAGCCTCACTCCCTCAAAGCTCGCTCCATCAAAGATCCCTTCACCGATCAGGTCTCCTGTCCGAGGTATCAAGGTTGACGAGACACCGAGCAAGTTGGTCCCGGCGGACTTGTTCGCCAAGGCCCCCTCACCGGCCCCAATTAGTCGATCTATTACACGATTGACCAAGAAGGTAGTTGGTGATGAGGATCCTTTGGCGGGCAAGCCCGCTGTAAGACCACTTGCAGCGAAAATCGCGGCTGCCGAACAGCCGGACGAGCTGCCGCTGCCGCTGCCTTTGGCGATATCGACCCCATTCGCAGACCGCTGTGCTCTAGCTCTGGCCCCAACGGATTTTGTCCTACCGACCCCGCTCCATTTTGCGGCATTGACACCCAATTCGAAGTTCGCTCCAACTACGCCTGGTACGACGAAAGCCAAGAAACCCGTGGTTTTGGGGTCCCCGTTCACTTCATCTCCAACTCGGAAAGTAGTTACGAAACCGTCTCTTGGAAGCTTTGCGTCACCGACCAAAGCACAGATGGCACGAAGCTCGACAGCCTTCCCCTCTAAATCCGCCCCCCAGGATGTGGGATTAGGGAGCAGGCCTGGTACTTCTGCCCAAGACGCAGTAAAGCAGAAAGGGGCCCCGTCCATTCTCTTGAAGAAGGTACCCGTCATTGCAACCACCAAAGCTGCTTTGTTGCGAACACAAATGGCCACAGGGAAAACTATCGAGCCCACTGTTCGTGTGGTTTCACAGAATACGGGTGAAACCAAGGTTCCCGAATTACAAAGACCGAAGGATGCAGTCCGATCAGCAGTTTCCTCGAAGCCAACGGCACCAGGACGGTCCAACACTACCATCCAAAAGACAGAATTCCGTAAGCCGATTGCACCACCTCAAACCGGACTCGGGACTATTACACCAACCAAAAACGCACCAGCCAAACCATTGATCAGGGCTCAAGGTAAATCTATAATAGAAATCGGTGCCAAAACCGTACCACAGCAGCAACCAGTCATTTCTCGCGGACCTATGACCCACCCGAAACCCCAACCTTCCTCTCTACTGAGAAAACCCTCGATTCCAAGTTTACAAAAGGTTCAAGCGGCAGGTTTGTCTAAGAAGCCTTCAATCCCAACACTACCGAAAAACACGACCATGTTATCTAAGAAGGCGTCGGTTCCAGAATTGCCAAAGGCAATAACAACTCCGTCCAAGAAGCCATCAGTGACGACATTCCCGAAGGTTCAAACTCCAGTACTATCTAGGAAACCATCTATCCCGGCTGTGCCAACGACTGCAGCCATACCCAAAAAGCCTTCTATGTCTACCTTACCAAAGATTACTACGGATTTGTCAAGAAAGCCATCTATCCCAACGCTGGCTAGAAACACGACGACATTGTCCAAGAAGCCATCGGTTTCTGCGCTACCAAAATCTACGGCAGCTGTACCTACCCTGGCGCCTGCCACCGGACACCCCAAGAATAATGAAGCCAAACCTAACCAACCCGAACCGGCAAAGACGACGAAACTTGTGACGCAGAAGAAACCGTTTCAGCCTGTGAAATCGACCAAGCCGTTGACAGTTCCAATCCCCTTCCAGTACGACCCAGGAAATCGAGCTGCACGACCCACAGTTCAATCAAAGGCCCCGGTTTCACAGCCCGCACTCCCGAAAATATCTACGACCACCGGTATCAAGGATAGACTGAAGAAATTCGAGCCCCCAAAGCCAAAGCCGGTCGTTAAGGATGCTCGAACTATGCTGCGAGAAATGCGAAAGGATGCCAGACTCGGTACTTTGCCAAAACTGACGGGCGAGGTTGTCTATGCCGAGTTGCCACAGTTTGATGATATCAAAGCCACGCCTTCAGTTCCGGCACAGGAGCCCCAAGTCGAAACTGCTGTTCTTGAGCCGGCTGCACCAGAGCCTGTAGCTACTACCGCCACCATTAGCCCGCCGCTTGCATCATCGACACATGAAGTTGTAGTTATCTCTGGTGTGACGAATGCACCCGAACAGAAAACCGTTCCACTTGAAGAGTTCGAAAAGTTGAAGCTCGCCAAAGACCGCGCGGAAGCTCATGCCCGCGGCACTAATGCAGTACTGTAAGTTCCCGTCCCCGCGTATAGAAAGACCCAACAGGAGCTAACTTTTATAGTAACTGGGCTGCCCAGGAGATGGTCAAACGCAATGCTGAAGCAGCCAGGCGACGCTAGGTGCGAACGTCTAACGCACCTCGTTGAAAGTGCATATTCTTTCTGATTATTACTGTTTATTGATTTCGATGGACTTGAAGGCGTTTTTATTTGATATTGGCGTTTATGAGCTGCTTTTCTTTCTCTTCTTAGCTTTGGCGCATGGCGTTTGTGAATATGCGTTCAAAGATACCCCATTCTACTCTTCTCCCTTGCTGATTAACTATTACTCTATTACTTTTATTATTATTCTTCAACTTTGTATTACTAGCTTGAGACTATTTACTTAGCTCGCTCTTTCAATTAGCTCATACGTAGAGAAGATCCTTTCCCTACCCCGATAAGACCAAATGGAATATTCGTGTTTCGAAGTTCAGAGCTTCTGTGTTGCTTGTTGGAAGTTTCCGGAGCTATCACGTGATCGATACTGCCAGATCTCCGGTTTGGTAGCGAGGCAACCACACGAACGACCTCCTGGATCTCGAATTCCCATTCCAAGCACACACCCACCCCATCGAATATCCACCTCCCTCGACGACGGCCGACCTACAATACTCTCCCTACCGTCACCACCACCACCACCACCACCACCACCACCACCACCCTCCTCACAATGCGGTCGTCAGCATTCATCTCGGCGCTCCTAGCGTCATGGGTTGTTCCTTCATCCGCGCTATACTTCTATTTGGATGGATCGAATCCCAAGTGTTTCTTCGAGGAGCTACCGAAGGACACATTGGTTGTTGGTACGGAACAATTCGGTGTATTTCTGTAATTGGGAGAGGTGTTATTTATATTGGGGATATGATAGCTGATTACGAGGTGCCATGCGCGTCTTGCTATTCTCCTTTTTGGTGATGTTTAGGACACTACAGAGCTGAAGAGTATAAAGGCGATGGAAGCGGATACCAACCCAGTCACGGCGTCAACATTCACATTTCCGTCGAGGTATAAAACACCGCCACCACCTCCCCAATAACAACAAACCAACCAGCCCAATTGGTTATCTAATAACCTTATTTAACAAAAAAAACCCTTCGGCGCAAATAGGAAACATTCGACCACGACCACCGCGTCATTAACCAAAAGGGCGCAGGCTCCGGTCGATTCACATTCACAGCTGCAGATGCCGGCGAACACCGAATCTGCTTCACAGCATCAGCAAACGGGGCGAACCCCGGTTGGTTCTCAACAGGCGATCACTTGGGAGGTACCAAGTTGCATTTGGATCTAGCCATCGGCGAAACGAGCGAAATCGAGAGTCGTGATAAGGACAAGATTAACGATATTGTTCAGCGGGTGAAGGATTTGAATAGTCGCTTGGGAGATATTAGACGTGAGCAGGTTTTTCAGAGGGTATGGTTTTTATCTCTTTCTCTTCCCCCCTTGGTATTTTTTTTATCGTATCTACGACTTTGGGGTTCTGTGCTAATGCGGGATGATGATGATGGTTATAGGAACGAGAAGCGGAGTTCAGAGATCAGAGCGAACTTGTCAATTCGAATATCACGAAATACTGTATTCTCCAACTGGTGGTATTGGGTGCGACATGTGCATGGCAGTTATCACATCTTAGAGCTTTCTTTATCAAGCAGAAGCTTACCTAAAGTTACTCTCTCTCTCTCTCTTTCCTTTTTTTTTTTCACCCTTACGAAAATTGGGGGGCCGTTTATAGTTTAGTTTGGGACTAAATAAAAAAGCATAATTTACATATATGAAATTATTACCTAGAGGCTTTGTTAAAGAGATATCTTTCTATTTTTTTTTTTATATAGCAGTTGAAACTTTAGTTTTTCTTCTTCTTCTGTTCGCTTTAGGAGGATCATATGGTTTATATATGATTACAATTGATGCGATTATATTAGGGAATATAAAACTACGGTTGGATAACCACACCGCCATCTATTAAAAAACCAGTCAGCAAACTCTCAAATAAGACATAAAATCTAAAAACTTCATAATGATGTGTAGAAACCTACCAATAACAATCTTCTGCCCTGTCATCGCCACATTCTGAGATATAAAAACGAACGCATCGGCCACATCAACAGCTTCAACCTATATACCACACACAATGAGCCCCCACCACATATTCATATATCAAAAAAAAAGAGGGGGAACTTACATGTTTCTTCGTCTGCGTCATCCCCAAATACTTATCCTTAGCCTCCTGCGGGAACTTATCCCCCCACTCCGTCAACACCAATCCAGGACAGACGGCATTAACCCGAACCTTCGGACCAGCTGAAACGGCAAGACAGTGCATTAAATGTAAAGCTGCGCTTTTGGAGACAGCGTAGGCCATTGAACTGCCGGACGGTGCTAGGGCCTATATGTATGTTATATTAGTAAATACTAATGTTTATGGGGTAGGGGGGATGCTTACGGCGGTTGAAGCGCAGATTATGAGGCTGCCGCCGTCGGGGTTTGAGTCGAAAGTGGGTTTTGCGGCTTTGAGGAGCCAGACGTTGGCTTTGCAGTTTACTGCGTAGCACTGTGGGGGTTGTATTATATTAACCTACTGTTGAAGAAGCTCTGAAGCTTTGGGGATGTGCTACAATGGGTTAAATACCTTATCCCAATCTTCCTCAGACAGCCCATCCAAATCCGAGAATTGAACAAATTTAGTCCATCCCTACAATTCATATAAAACTATATCAGCCAAAAAAAAACCTATTTATATAAAAAAAATTAAAAAAGAAAGAAAGAAAACTCACAGCATTAGAAGCAATAACATCCAACCCCCCCAACCCCTCAATCCCCTCCCTCACAAGTCTTTCACATTCTTCCTTTTTCCCCACATCGGCTTGAATAGCAATGACTTTGATCCCCGGGTATGTCTCCAATAAGCGGGATTTAAGTTCTTCGGCGCGAGATGCGTTCGAAACGTAGTTTATGATGATGTTTGCACCTTGTTGGGCGAACCGTTCGCTTATTGCTTCTCCGATACCGCGGGAGCCGCCCTGGTTAATCAAGTAATTATTCAGTCAGTTATGTACTTATATACATATATATGTACAGAGGGGAGAGTTTACATACGGTAACGAGGACGTTTCGTCCGGAAAGGTTGTATGTCATGGTGGAATACAATAACTTCTCCACCCACGGCGCGGAGATGATATGTAGAGAAAAGGAAGAAGAAGAAGAAGGTATCCCGAAAAGAAAACGTTCCCCAACTTCCCTTTTTATAGAGGAAAAATTGAAAAAGCAACCTTCCCGTTCTCCTTCCCCGCAGATTTTGATTCTGAATAATACCCCACCACCGGTCCGCGGGTATAGATTTTAATATTATTCAGCTGCGAGTTAGTACACGTACAGTGGAGTCAAAACCCGTTCTGGGGTAACCGAGGGACTGTAACAATACGTTAGTACTTAGGTAGTTATCCTGTTGCATTTTTTGTGTTACCCACGGCAGAAATCCTCCCCTGTCGAGCTAACTTTCGCCAATGGAACTCTGTCGCGCGCAAGTATACTTTTGAATCATCATGCAATGCAATGCACCTCAAATCTTCGATCTTCGATCTTTTCCCACAACTAATATCAAATTACCCTGAACCATGACGACCGCAACTCCTTCAATACCCCCCAAAGTCACGATAATAGACTCGATCCCCACAATCGATATCTCCTCAAACTCCTCCATTCGGAAAAAAGTCTCCCAATGTCTTTCCGTGCTCCAGATACAACCTTCATCATCTTCATCTTCATCTTCAACCACGACAGGTACAACAACAACAACGGCAGTTGAACCACAGGGGAAGAAGAAGAAAGCTTCATCAAAAAAGAGTCATCCGAAGATAATCGCTTTGAGAACCGTTCATCCCTCCGCCGGGTCAAAGGTTATTACAGTAGCTGAAATCGTAAAGCGATGTATCGCCGATCCGCCTACAGATGGAAGTGGTGGTAATACTAGAAAAGGTGTATGGTGGCAGTACACAAAACTGGAGAGCAAGCTCATTGAACTACCACCCAGGAAACCAATGGTAGTTAAAGAAGGAGACACATTGAAAAAAGATAAGAAGAAAGACGATACAAAACCCGACAGGAATGTTAAGGATAAAAGGAAACAAGAACCGGAACCTACCACGAACGCGAATAAACGAAAACAAGATGGACAAGAAAGCCGGGCGTCGAAAAGGCCAAAACTAGATCTTTCGCAGAATCAAAATGTGGATTCAACAATTGAAGGTTCCGCTCCGAAGTCAAACTCCAAGAAACGAAGAAGGGACAAATCCGAGGGTACCGATGAAGATTCAAACGACGACGACGATATCCCACCACATTTAAAGGAAAATAACGACTTAGAAAGCGACGATGACATCCCACCGCACCTTCGAGACGCTACGGATGATATGGACACAGACGACGTACCTCCCCATCTACGACAATCATCCCCAGATGACATCCCACCACATCTTAGAAATTCAACGCCAGGATTATATTCAGATACAAAACCAGGGTTTCTACGAGATTCTACCCCAGACAATGGAGGCGGTGGCGGATCGGACGATATACCCCCACACTTACGTGGCAGTTCACCGTTTAAAGACCGAGACGGATCAAGCACTCCTAAACCCATACCGACACAAGGGGAAGACCAAACTTTAACTTCTTCACCCCCATCCCTTTCTACAGAAACACCTACGAAAGCACAGGAAGAACACAATAATGAAGATAAAAATGAAGATAAAAATTCGGATTCCGATGAAGACGAGGACGACGGGTATCGTCAATTCTCGTATTTAGATATCGAACACCTCCCCGAAAAGCATACAAAGCGTATTCTGGAGGATATAGATGAGGCGGAGAGGAATAGGAAAAAGTATAGAGCTATAGCTATCATGACCATCTACATAAGCCTTGAGAAGCACGGGGATTTTGAGAAACTTTATGGCGGACAGACAAATGAAGGCGAGAAGAAAAAGAAGCAAGAGGTGAAGGAGGAGGGGAAGTCGAAGTAGAAAGGCCGCCTTGTAAAATATTATGAAAGAAACCATAGTAATTACCCCCCGGTACCAGCATCAGAGATACCAAGCTTGAATAATAACAATAATGAAAATAATACAAGACGAAGAGAAGAAAACATAGTATAATGACCAGAGTGATCAGAGGAAACGCCACTAGACTTCATTAGAAAGACTTCCCACGTGCGCCTATTTCTTGTTGGCCGCAGTCCCCTTACCAGATTTGTATTCACCCATCTTGAAGAACGTTTGTAAGTCATCAATCCTCTCACTCCTTTCCTTCTGAAGCTTCGTCTTCTTCACCTGTGGGCCAGCCCCACCAGCTGTCTTGCCAGTTGGCTCCTCTGACTCCCTGTTTTTCTTACGTTTAGCAGGGAGGATTGAAGTTGGCTTTGTGACGACTCGGGGCTCCTCTGGTGCCCTAGCTCGCTTTTGGTCGGCAGGAAGGACTGGAGCTGGCTTTGTAACAGCTCGGGCCGGCTGGCTATCCTCGGCCTTCTTATCAACCTTAAGCTTTGTTTTTTTAGCAGGGTGGCCCTTCTGAACCTTTTCTTTCTTTCCCGCGAGTTTTTCCATTCCTTTGCTAAGCGTAGGGGTCAAAACAGTCCTCCTCGCTCCCGTCATAAGTTTACCAGAGACGTGATATCCCCTTATGGACGATCTTTTTGAGAGGTATTCGTCTTCGGAATCCGCGACTCCAGAATCCGCGGCTGAAGACGATGTATCTTGAATGACGGGCAGAGGAGGAGTGGACTCAACTAGGAATGAAGTCGAAGTGCTGTTAACATTAACGGCGGGTGATGGTGTACTGTGGATCGTTATTGGGGGTGATGGTGAGCTGTTGATTGTTATGGGTGGCGATTGCGAACTGCGACCCTTCACGGCAAATGATGGAGACTTCGAAAGCTTGCGAACCTAGAATATTAAGTAAATCATAAGCTTCACTGTATAATTGATTAGGATTATATTAGTAAGGTTTAACATACCTTTGTGGGTGACTCTTCTACTTCTTCTTCTTCAAACCCAAGTTCCTGTTTTAACTTAGCTCCAAGATCAATGCTACCGAGGAGGGAAGTATGCATACCTCGATACTTATCTTTTCTACTTCAGCTGTCAGCTTCAGAAGCTCCTCCTGCAATCTATGTGCTTGAGCCATCGTTTCATCAAGCTCTCGCTGCTTCGCTTCGGCGATGCGGCACACCAAGATTAGCCTCGGTGTGCTTTTGGGCTCCTTTGCCTTGCTATTTTTATTCGGCGGAGTGCATCGAGTCTCTGGCTTAGGGCCCGGCGAAATACGTTTCGCCTCTTTTGGTTTTCCATCCGGGGTGAGGCTACGCTTTCGAGGGACGACCTGTGCTGGAGGAGATGGGGATGGGGAATTAAGTGGCTTTTTCTGAATAGCCTTAGGGCGAAGCTTGTTATTTTCACGATCTGCATTGAAGGCATGGAGGATTTTGAGCCCCTCTTGAAGTTCCTTCTCTTGCTTCATCGTTTCCTCAGCCTTTTGTTTTTTCTTCCAATACCTTTCCCTCTCGACTCGGAAATCCCTGAGCATGTCGAGATTCTTTTCAATGCAGTAGATACGTTTCCCAACTGTGACCGATAGGGTCAAAGATGGCCTTGACTTCCTCTGTCTGAATCGAATCTCGTTCATGGTTTCGAGATCTGCCTCCAGTTGCTCTTCTTTCGCAGCTATCATCTCCATCTCCTCCGCCATATCGAAGGGGTTAGAGACTTTTCTTCGAGTCTCATTTTCTTCGCTGTATTCGCGGCCGATGGGCTTAGCGCCCCTAATCGCATTGATAAACCAGTCCACGTCATATTTGGTAGCATCAGGGGGTGCCGCCGGAGAGCCATCCGGCGAGTTAAGGTTATGCTCCTAGATTTTAAGACACAACGTTAGAATGCGTGTCTCGGCTCTGTATTATTAAACCAACTTACCGAACTAAGTGAGAGGTGGAATCGTTCCTCCTCTTCGATACAGTCCTTCAAAATCTCCAGCGGTACCTTTTCCGAGCTCATCGACCGTCTAACCCTCTTTTTCTTTTGTGGCTTCTCATCCTCATCCTCATCGCTCTCGCTTTCGTAATTATAATTTTTTTGCTGCTTCACTCTTGTTGAACGGCGAGGGCCATCAACGGCCGGGGTTTCCACAGCGACTTCATCATCAATTTCCACGTTTTCGCTCTCTTCAGACTCTCGTTCAACTTCCATCCCTTCCTGTTCGTCTTCAGCTTCGTCTTCAAACAATAGCTTCGACTTTGGCACGGCCCTGGGCCGTTGCAAGGCCATCATCGAGCTTTCGGGTTCGGCATCAGATTCAGGTTCTATGACCGTGAACCTAGGCATTTTTGCTGTAGATAATATTAAGAAAAATAGGTTAGCCATACAGTCATGATAAAAAGGAAGGAGAAGGGAAGGGAAGAAGAAACCATTGGCGTAAAATTGTATACTAACATTTCCCATTGCTCTTCCCGGTTGTAGCAGCAAGGGGTTTACTATCGGTAATAGCACAAGCAGCAGCAATTGCTTCATCGAGTTGTTGGTTCCTTCGCTCGACTCGTTGCCGACGTAGTCGAGCTCGTTCTTCGGTGTGCATCTGACGTTGTGGCATCTTAGAACAGTAAGAGATTAACAAAAACAATGGTAAAGAAGGATGAGGGTAAGTAGGAAGGGGAGAAAGGGAATAAAGTAGATGAAATAGATGACCTGGGTCGAGGATTAGCGAGGGAGATTGATCAATGGATCAATTCTATAAAGCTTGATTGATAGGTGAACCGATGATTTTCAAGCAACGAGGTTTCTAGAGAAGGGAGTAATGGTTAAAGAAACAATAAGAAAGAGAGATGGGGAGAAGTATGTAGGTGTTAGTAAAGGAGGAAAGTCGCGTAGACTCGAAGGAATTGAGCAGCCCGCAACCTTTGATTGATCAAAGGAGCAATCTTGTTAAACCGGAGCAATTGACTTGCTTTGAGAATTTAGAGCCGCCAGAAAAAGAAGATATTGATTGAGTAATAGATGCTAGAGAGGATAAAAGCTGGAGAAGTTGGTTAAGAGCTTAGTGGGAAAGCTAGGTGAAGGAAGCCGTCTGCAACGGCTTTTGTCGAGGAGGTGGTTTAGTCAGTCAGGACGGATGATCCAATTGTTTGGAAAAGGAATAATTGTTAAAGGAGAAAGACAAAGGTATTATTAGAGTGATTAGATGGAGGAGAAGGTGTTAGGATGATTGTCTTTCTTGGTTAGCAGAACGGTGAAGCATACGAAGATGAGGGAAGGAAGTTGAAGACCAAGAAGGGGTCCCATCGAGGTATGGATCGAGTGGAGAGAGAGACACAAATGTGTTGCCTGTTGCAAAGTGACATATTTCCTTTTACGGTAAGTACAAGGTGACAAACATCTACAGATTCAACACGCCAACACATCATCAGGAGCCGCTGTGATCAATTAAGAATTACGTAGTGCTTTTTGCTTCCAGTAGTTGGAGTACACAGAATTAGCTAAGTCTAGGTAGTAATCTAGTAGGAAATCTAGTATATCCAATGAATAGTATGAATCAATTGACACCCCTCCTTCCGTTCCCAAAAAAACTACCAGAGAAAAAAATAACAAGAGAGAACAAGAATCCACAGGAAAAGCGCTAATGCCAACAGTTTACATACATTTCCCCGCCGTTCCAGGCCCCGCCCGTTGATCCGTTGTTAAGCTTTGCACCTTCGCCCTGTTGCTGCTGTTGCTGCTGCTGCTGCTGCTGCTCTGGTCCGTAGCGCTACATTTCTAAGGTATAACGTAGTAATAGTATACCTTTCGAATATTCGACGATTCAATATTTCTCCGGCCCATATCGAGGTTTTATTGGACCCGGAAAATAAAATAAAAACGTAATAACCAAAGGGGGAAAAAAAAGAGGCAGAAGTATGGAAGTTCCATTGAACCAGAAGGCACTCAGATACCAATCCAAATGATTGAGACGACGACATCCATATCTGTACACCATCCTGATCAGCATTCTCTGCCATTCAAAAGTCTTGTATCTTGTGCATATGAACTAACCTTTTAGCGTGTGCTTATAAGCCCACATTCCATCCTACCCACCAAAAATTAGCTCCCTCCATTATGATAGGTACCTTGGAATACAGAATTCAGCCCACCTTCTCGGTATTCCAGTACCCTCCACAAGCACTGTGCATACCCCTCCTGGCCTGTGACGTCACACTGGCACTATCGTCATCACCCCCGCTTACGGATCTTGCACCGCCAGCATGCTGTATTATCGTCGAATTTACGGCGTATTTGTAGGGACAGGCGGTTGTGGATGCCGGTGTGGATTCGGAGATTAGTGCGCGAAGAATACCATTCTGGCAGCAAGCATGACTTATCAGTATCCGATTTTCTAAGATTGAGTAGAAGGGGGATTATAAAGCGAGGAAAATACGGACAATGATGTTTGTGTTCCATGTTTCGGTCATGGAGTGGGTGTAGGTGGGGGAATCACCAAGGGCAGAGTTGCAAGCCTGAAGAGGTTGATTTCGTTAGCATTTATCTAGGCGTTTACTCGGGAGGGGAAACAGGGAGAGAATGGAGGTATGCATACATCGCCACAGATCTGTTTTATGCGAATTGGGGGGATGGGCTGTTTGTCGTCGTTGATGTCGTGTTAGCTGGTCTAGCTACCCCACTGGACTGTCCGGGGTGATATGATATGATATGATATGATACGTACGGCGCATGACTCTGCCATTTCTATAATTCCTGGAGGGTAAACGATATTCCTTAAGATGCTATGATGGTGATAGAAAGTGATGATGATGGGGTAAAAGGTGATCCGGGAGAGCTCGAGAGTGGGTGAGAAGGTGAGAGAGGATTAAAGTTGGAGACAGTGTTAGATGCATTTGGGGAGAGAGAGAGAGCTAATATAACAGACCCAGACCCAGAACCAGCCAACCAGCCAGCAACCAACCAGCCAACCAACCAAACTAGCCTCAAAAAACTCCGTTATCGCCCAGCCTAAACCACCCGAACATCCACCACTTGCGGCGCAAATGCAGGTTCTATCGAGTTTACCCCGGCGAAAATCTTCTTATCGACAAGGGAATGCAAGGGTATGTATAATCCCATTTATGTAAACCACCTGCCACGCCATCCCATCCGGCATCCATCCCATATGCATCGTGTGGAGTAGGTAATAGGCGAAAGCCAAGTTTTTGGGGCTTGATATCCTGACTGTCGGTCGACACGATACGATACGATACGATTGGAAATGCGGAGGTACCCGCTGGATTAAAATGACGAAAGCTAAAGGGAACCCCCAATGCGACTAAGCTTAGCATGCGAAAAATTGACAAGGTATCTCGCACTGCTGAGCACAAGTTGTTTACTGCCGAGACTGCTCGCACTGCTATATATATCTGCTATATATATTCAACAACAACCTCTTGATTCCGTCCGACTCTAATACAAAATTTCTAAATTTGACGAATGACTAGCTCCATATGGGATCGAACTTATTCCAGCACAGTATATCACCTATAAAGCCAAGGGGATATCCCCTGCATACATATAGGAGTCTTTCCCATACTCGGTCGTCAAGCCCATCGAGTAAAATATCGATGGGCCAAACTTCTAATCCTGCTGGTGTGATAAGTATATACAGACAGGATGTGCCAGAATGAATCAAGCAATATCTGATACCTATATCGGAGAACAATCTTCATGCAATATTTTGTTCATATCTTGCTATTTTCTTGCAAAAAAAACGAGTAAAACGACGAAGATAATGCACAGAGACCGATATAAATAAATACTTCCCGTCATACTCAATGAATCTTACTGACATGTATAAGTACTAAGTACAAAACCAAGTACTCCGATATTTATATTTATATAGATCTAGATCGATATTTTATCGAATCTAATAAACCAACAGCTTAAGTAATATATTTAATCCAGACTTACCCGCCCACATGGCCATGAACAGAGTGTAACCCCCAAATAAATGTGACTTACATAAACCACCAACCGGGATGTTTTGTAGTAACACCAATCCACACTCCACGTGCAAGGGCTGGCTGGTTCTGCCGGCCTTCATTGAATTCTCCCGTGACCAAAAAAAAGAGAAATCTCTGGCGAACCAGCGGGAAAAGATTTAATATTAGTATTATGGCTGTGCTCTCCAATTTTTTTTTTTGCTTCCAAAGAAAATATTTTCTTTGAGCTTCAATACTTTTTTTTAATTTTGTTATTGTTATTGAAAAATTCTGATCCAGGCAGTAAGTCAGGTACCTTTTTTGATAAATTACATGAATTCTTGGAGTTGCCTTGTTCGATTTTTCTCCCAAAACCCCGTTCCCGTCCGTCATAAGAAAAAAATTCATTCCTTTCCCCTGCTGAATTCGAGATTTGAGTTTTTCGATTGGAAGTTGTTCGGTCGTTCCTGACCGCCGGTTTAAAAGAACTAGTTAGACTTAGTTAACTAAGAACTTACTAAAACGAACAGAGAAAAATCCTCTGCAGAGAAAACGGGCCGCGTTTGGGGTGTTCCAATCCAATCCAATCCAATCATATTAATACTCCTCCCTCCCAGCCACTTGGTGAAACTCACTTCCCATTCACTTACACAACTTCAACCTTCAACTTCACCTCCAATCCTCTCTTTCTTTTCCATATATCCAACGAATAACTCACACTTCAATCCCACCGAATAACATAATAAAATAGTAATCAACTTTTTTTTTCAAAAAAAAGAAGTTAAACCATGTCGACTCAACCACTCCTACAAACCGCCCCAGGTACGTACGATTCCTTATCCTCTGTTTGTTTTGTTGCGTCATGGCGGAAATCGTTCTGTTTCGGCAGCTTCGGCGCAGAGAAAGAGAAGAACCGCCGGTTTTAAAAAAATTTTATACTAACGATGGGTATTATACGGAGTATAGGCAAGAGAATTGCTCTACCGGTTAGAGTCGAACCAAAGGTATTTCCCTTTCCATTTCCCTTCTCTACAAATCTCCATGATATCACATAACTCTAACATCTACTCAAAAAACCATAGGTCTACTTCGCCAACGAACGTACGCTCCCCATATAACCCCAATCAATACAATACCACCGTCACACCAAAATAACCAACTAACTAACTAATTTTTAAAAAACAGGAACATTCCTCTCATGGCTAAACTTCACAGTAATCCTCGGCGGTCTAGCCGTCGGTCTCCTCAACTTCGGCGACAAAGTCGGTCGTATCTCCGCCGGTCTATTCACCTTCATCGCAATGGGTACCATGGTGTATGCTCTATTCACATTCCATTGGCGTGCTGCCGCGATTAGGAAAAGAGGGAGTGGAAGTTTCGATGATCGTTTCGGACCGACGGTTTTGGCGGTTACGTTGTTGGCTGCTGTGGTTGTGAATTTCATTTTGAGGATGGTGGAGCACTAGATTTAGTTTTTAATTCTATTTTTACTTTCGTGAAGATTGGGCGATTTTGGTGGTGAGGGGGTGGGAAGGGGGTGGAGGATGAAATTTGGGAGGTTATAGTCCTTACGACCTCGAATGGGAATACGACTACGATACCAAAAGTCGAATCTACTTTGTCACCAAATATATTTAAGATATCATACGAAAAGAGAGAGAGAGAAAAACGGCGAATATGCTTGGACATCATCATTATCATCTTTATCATCATCATCATACCTTGGAATTGGAATTGGGATTGGAATCTCACCGGGGCAGGATTAAGGAAACGGAAACGGAAACGGAATTGTAACGGTTTCCTGTCTTTATTTACCAGGAACCCTTCTCTTTTTTTTTGGTTTATTTTACATGTACACATATTGGACGTCTATTTTTGCGCAGAGCAAGAGCTAGCTAGTTTTTATTTGTTTTTTTATCGTGTATGGTTTCAATGCAATTACTTACTTATATATACCCCCCATATCTACTCCCTGACTTTCGGTATATGTAGTACTTATCTACTATTTATGGTATATCTATGTCTACGGCTTCAAGCTTACGAATTGAGAAAAAGAGGAGTTAAATGATTTTGATTGATTCAGGGACAGAGACTTTTTTTATTAAAACCTCTGTAATTTTTATTTTATTTTATTTTATTTTTCTTTCAAAACTCGGGAAAATTCAATACGAAGTTTCTCCTCCCTCTGAGGAGAAAAACCTCGTGAAAGAAAAACTCCCGTCTGTTGTTGTTTGGTTGTATCCTTCCTTGCATTCCAGAATCCCAAATGAAAGTGTCTTTCTCTTGGGTTAACTGAAAATGATCTCTGAAGAAAGAAAGAAAAAGAAAAAGTCCCTGTACTTAACACCCCCAAAAAAAAGATTGAAAAAAAAGGTGTATTGAATACAAGAAGGAAAGAAAAGAAGATTCACGCCGTCCATCCATAGCATACCATCCCATCCCGTTCAATTTCAAAAAATATTCCCATAGTCCAAAAAAAAGAAAGAAGGAAAGAATCAAAACATATTCAAGATTACTGGAATAAACACATCAGTAACCGATAATAAAAATCTAAGCCTTCAAAGCCTCAGGAGCGGCAGTAGAAGACTCTTCAGCAGAAGCACCATTGCCATTGACGACGGCGGCAGTCGTAGTGGTAACGTGTTCTTCGGGAACAGGTCCGTGACGTTCCTCATCAAAGAGAGGATCCTCATCGTGGGCCTCGAATTTTGATTTCAATCCGAAATGGGTGTTAGTCGGACTGGTGTTCGAGTAGCGACGTGGACGGGTCATGTTGAACTCGTCCAAGTCTTCGAGTTCGTCACCTGGGTGGCCCCTGCGAGTGTAACCAGACATTGTTAGCTAAAAAAGTTGCCCACCACGCCACGCCTGCAACAACACGCCAACCGAGGACTTAGTACGTGCTAAGTAGCTAGGTTGGCAGGCATGCCATTTCGACATACACAACCGGGATGGAGGGAGGGGGGATTTGTGTTGTTGTTGGGGGGACAGGGAATACAAAACATACCAATTGCCTTTGCCACCGCCGTCTTTCTTTGTCTTTGAGGGGGCAGTGTCGACAAAGCCGGATTTGGCAAAGAATTTGGGGTAATGAGCCTCGGTCATAAGACTGGCGACTTCTGGGTTGTTGTGGGGGATGTCGTTGGCTTTGGTTGTGCGGGTCATTTTGAAGGGTGTTGTTGAGGTGTCGTGTGAGTATTTGTAGTAAGGATACTGTACTTGTATGTATGTAGAAGTTTATTTCTTTCTTTTTGTTTGGAGAGAAGCGGAGATAAGTGTTAGAAGAAGTTCTACTTTGTGAGAAGGGAACAATTGAGTAGAAGGATAAAGATCAATTGAATGTCTTTCGAGGGTTTCGGTGAATGTAATCAATTGTAGGTGTAGTGATATGATGGTGAGGAGAAGAGGAGGGAAGAGGAGGATCGGTGAAGGTTTATATATTGAAGCAAAAAGCGTAAATTAAGCAACTATGGCTCACACTGAGCTTCATCACGGGGTTGATAAAAGAAAGAAATCCCAACATCATAACGTCAGTTTCCCTCCAATTGGTATCAAAGAAGGGTATTCCCGGTAGCTAAGCTAAGAAACTGACGCAAATGGGTTTTTCGGTCAGGCCACGGGGGAAAGGACTCCGATGAATAATTTAAGTTAAGTATGGGATTTTTACCAGATCTGGATATATCTGATGATTCTATATCTGGACTGGTACAGCTGGGTCGGGGAAAAGCCGGAAGACCTCTGTTTTTTTGCCAGAGACACAGGCACCGCGGAGTCCAAGGGAAAGAAAAGGTGACGTCTGATGGTGGAGTGATGCCTTATCCGTTCTGGATTGTGCATTGGCTCGCTTGTGCATCTGTCCTGTCCTGTCCTGGCCGGGCATGGAATGGGATGGGATGCTGTGCAGGGGTAGTCAATTGCAATTGCAATCATGAATGCGAACACAAATGCATTGCATGGTGGCTACTCCGCATTTCTCACAGACACCGGAGAAAAACAAAACGGTATTCTAGTATGTATTGTAATACTAGAATACCAGAAGAGAGGGGGAATTTGAGTCATGAAATGTGAATGATGCCGGAAGTAAAGCTGAAAAGTCTCAAAGGAAAGTGGTCATGAGACTCGATGGCCGGATTGGGTGTGGGGAAAGGCAAGGGAGAAAGGAAGAGGAAGAGGAAGGGACACACGACTCGACGGGACTCGGCTAGAACGCGGAGAACAACGGACTGCACTTACTCTCTTCTCTTCTTCTTCTTCTTCTTCTTCTTCTTTTTCAAATGATTATGGTATTAATGGTATGAATGGTATTCTATCAGAGAGAGTGTGTGTATGTGTGTATTCTATCAGATCTTGCGAGGCGGTGGTATGTATATATAAAACGAGTATATATCTCCGTCCTGTTCTGTTCTGTTCTGTTCTGTTCCGTTCCGTTCTGTTCTGTTCTGTTCTGTTCCGTTCCGTTCTGTTCAACGGCAGTGTGAATGAAGTCAAATGATATGATACGATACGATACGATACGATATGATGATATTGATATCTGCGGGGTTTCAATCCAAGATATAATAATAATATGAACAAGTAGTATAAGATGGAGAGATTGAAGAGATCAGGAATCAAACGGATTCAAAAAGGATGCGACCTCCCCTTTTATATTTAAATTCAAAATGGCCGGGCAGCTATAGCCTACTTTGGTACTTACTACTATACTTCTTAAGTAATGACGATACTTTTCAAGTCGGTCTGTTCTGGGCCTCTCCAACCTCCAACTTATGTATCCTCTAACTAACTAACTTCCTTCCTTCCTTCCAACGTGATCAGGCTAATATTTGCTTAGTACCTAGGTACGTAAGTACTTGTACTTATATTAGTACTGACTTGCGTAAAGTACATCGGAGAAGGGGCAAGTCGGTACTCAATCATTATCACATCGTCTCGAGCTGAATTGCAGCATTCGTTATCGTTTTATTGCCCCGTTTGATCAGAATTGCCGGTTCCTTCTCTTGGTCGCTACCCCGGACTTTTGATACAGCAAAAAGACATCATCCTCGATCCGGGGTCCCTGAAGCAGTTAGTTTTCTTTTGTGTCCTTATAATCCATAGGGAGTTAGCTTCCTAAGTGGCTAGGGACGAGGCACTTGCTACTAGGTAAAAGCCCATCGCATGGTGTGATTGTATCCCCACCCCGCATTTCCACTTGCACTTGCACTTGCACTTACTTGCTTGGTCGCATGCAGATGTTATGTAAGTAAGCAAGGTAGTAAGTAAAAGGACGGTGGCCTCCGAAGCTCCGAAGGGTATCAATTACTAACAACTTATCTAAATATCCGTGTCGTCGTAGTAATACAATAAATTAGATACCATCACCGGAAGTCTAATTCCCCTCGGCGGAGTTCGAGGAGCATGAGCATACGTACCTAGAATATACGGAGGACGTGGGAGGCGATATCGGCAAGCTATCACTGACCACTAGCCGGACCACATTACTAATTCACCTTGTAACATCCCGGTCATGGCCTGCCTGCTATCTTCTGCTACTGCCTTCTTGTCTCTTGTATGTTTCCGCGGATCTAGCTCCATCTCTCGTAGCCTGATAGGAAGCATAGTAGTCTGATTCCTTCTCTCTCTTTTTTTTCTAAATTTTTTTCTTTTCTTTTCTATTCAACTCTTTTTTTTCATAAATTATCGTCCTGTTCCGAGTTTAAACATCCTTTTCTTGCCTGCTCTGCTCTGGTTAAGTGTTTTTGACTCACATTCGAATTCTAATCATCAACCAAAGCAATATCAAACATCTACAATCACACCCTCCCTTCCGAAAGTTGCCTGGAAAACTATAAGACTGGACAGGACGAAAAAAAAACATGCCTGCAATAGATTTCTCCTCGGATTTCGATCCGGTCCCACTTCCCAACAAGGGTCCCAAAACCCTCCTACTATGTCCCCCCGCTGTCGCCGCCAAACCAGAGATCCTCCAGGCCGCCCTGGCAACCCACCCTCGCACATCCACCGATGTTCAAATGCTCGATCGTATCGCACTCGGTCTCGTCAATCTTCCCGCCGAGGCTTATGCTACCGTAATCCTCCTCTCCGATCCTGCTTCTTCTTCCTATAATATCGATACCACCGTTTTACAAAAGGTGGTGTCGTCTATGACACCTGGTTCTAGATGGACATCTGAGAGCAAGGAAGCTTTGAAGGGTATTGATCGACTACAGGTTGTGCTTGCTGGGTTGGTGGTTGATGATAAAGATGGGGTCTTATCGTTTTCGAAGCCGGATTATTCCAAGAGTGCTGCTGTCCCGTTGAGGTTTGGAAGGAAGAAGGAGACAACTACGACTTCGAATGGAACTGCTGCTGTTCCTTTAAATGGTGCCTCTTCTACTACCGCTGCTGCTGCTACTGCTGCTGTCCCATTGAATGGGGTTAAGGTAGAGAAGAAGGAATATAAAGTTGGATTTGTGGATTTAGGAGATGATCTGGATGCCGACTTTGGGGAAGAAGATGACGATGATGATTTGATTGATGAGAATGAACTGCTGGATGACTCTGATCTTGCTATGCCGGTTCAACAACGTATGTCTTCACTCTATTTTCACATTTATTCTACATCTAGAATAAACGTATGGTGCAGAAAGCTAAACGGTAATAACAGCCCCGGAATGCCGTCCGAAGCCTGGAAAACGTCGGAGAGCATGCAAAGACTGCACATGCGGATTGAAGGAAAAGATCGAGGCAGAAGATAAAGTAAAGAGAGATGCAGCTGATAAAGCACTTGCTGCCATTGTCAAAGCACCGCCACCACCGCCACCAAAGGCTGTCAAGCTAGACCTAGACGATTTGGCAGAAATCGACTTTACAGTCGAAGGGAAAGCCAGCAGCTGTGGGAATTGTTACCTCGGAGATGCTTTCAGGTTTGTCCACTCATATTACAAAGCCTTTTTTTTATCAAAAAAAGTATAAGATGCTAACTTCACTGGTGTTCTCTCTCAGATGCGACGGATGTCCGTATATTGGACTGCCAGCGTTCAAGCCGGGCGAGCAGGTCCGTATACCTGTTGGAGACGACCAGTTGTAAAACTGATGAATGCCGTTTTGATTCGGGTTTTTGGGAAGGATTGCATGGAATATGGCGTTTAAATAGCTGATGGCTCTTGCTACCCTTGATAATTAGAAGGGCTCCGTACTTACTCTCTCTCGACTGTGGGGTTTTTTAAAACTAGATGGTTTCTTTTGGGTATTCGATTAGATATCATATCCTGTCCTGTCGATTCGTATCGTATCATATTATATTATATCAGATTGTGAAGCTCGACAGCTCGAGAATCGACTCTTACAAAAAAATAAATGAAATTAATTAATTACCCACTTTATGCTATACCACTTCATAAATAATATATTCTTGTTTACATATATCTAGAATCTCCTTGAGAAAATATCGACCCGAAGGATACATAAGTAATAATATACAAATTTTATAAAATTCTGGTGTTTGGGTTTTTAGTCAGCCTGTCGACAACAACGCAGCTACCAAATCTTCACGGCCGAAAACAAGACAACCTCGCAATTTCGTCAACATTCGCGAAGTCCAACCTCAAACCTCAACATCCTGATACAATCCACCACCACCATCACCAACCTCTCTCGACCGACGGCTTCTCGAACCACTCCCTCCTTGCGCAAAGCCTGTCAAACCCCTTTCACCCCTCCTCTACCCCTCTCCTCTCTCCCTCTCTCCTCGAAAAAAATAATATCCACAATGGCCGACCCCCTGTACACATCGCAACAATCGAACGCGTCCATGCTCGACCAACCGTCGACACAGAGCAGCGTCAACACCAGTTTTAGCACACAATCACGCCGTCGTCCAAGACCTGTCCCGTCGAGTCAGAATTCACTACTCAGCGCGTCCAATTCTCTCCATCCGACGAAGAAGGTTAGACAGCGGTCGGTCTCTGCGCAACGGGAGCTCAATGCGTCGCCTGAGGCTATGGCTGCTGTCGCGGCTGCGACTATGGATGTGAGCTCTATTAGATCTCTGCAGGATAAGAAAAAGGGGTCTTTGGTGGAATGGGTATGCATACCTTTATCAGGACAGTTTTTTTTTTTTGAGAATGGGAAAAGGATGCTAATGGGATATCTAGGCCAAGACGACAAAATATTGTGTAGCTCAGCTCACAGGTTTACCGATGGAATTGAGGGATTCAGGAGGTCATTCACCATTTGCTATATATAGCACACCGTAATAATTAAAAAGGAACTGAATACTGAAGATATCTAAAAACCAAAATAGACAACTACGCAAGACGCATGTCCGCAATCACCGACCAATCTTCTGGTAACGCCCTACTTATCAAAGATCACGGAGTCGACGTCTGGCGCTACGACGATGTTCAACTCCTTCCGAAACCAAACCACTTCCCCCTCCCATCCGACGAAACCCATCATCACCAAGGTGGTCGCAACTCCCCGCAACCCCTCGGATCCCTGGTTAGCCCCACAGGTAGCAGCGATGAGGCAGGTCTTGTTGTGGTTATGCCTGTTACGGGCAGGATTGCATACTGGGATTCGGTTAGCAGTGCTATGACCGAGGGGCTTCTACAACGTAGACGTGGCGTCGAGGGTGTTCTGCCGTTATCTTCGGGAGAACAGGCTCATATGATCGCCAACATCGAACCAGCGGGGTTTATCATCTGCACGAATCAGAACCGAGCTATTCACCTATCGTTGCGGGACGGTGTAGGAAAGCCCGTAGTACAACTTACGACACTTAAAAACGTTAGTTCCAGCGTTGTTGGTGGACTCTTGGGTGGTATTGCAAATGCCTTTAAGTCTGGGAATGTTAAGAAGGAGATTGTTGCTGTCAGACCCGGGAGGATCATCGGCCGGGCTGAAAGAGAACTTTTGGTTGCTACGTCGCATGGGCATATCACCCGCTGGGAGGTCAGCCGTAACGGCGCAGCAGTTGTTCTCTCGGATGTCGATATGCGAGAACAAATGCTATCCCGTGTTCTATCGGTTGGACCACCAAACATGCAGTCGCTCGACCGTGAATCATTCACAATCCAGGATATTGCGGGTGGGCAGAGTACAGCTGAAGGTGCCAACATCTTGATTCTCACATCTTGGGATGGACGCACTGACTCCGGCGAGAATATCACCCATTACACACTCATACTTGTGACCCTTTATCGGGGTTCGCAGTTTGCCATCAAGAAAACGCACTACCTCTCCTGCTTCCACCAGTCGCTTAGGACTGCAGCTGATACTGCCAAACCACGATTGTATCTCCCGAATCCTTACCGTACGGCCTTCGTTGTCTTTTCGAGAGCCGTGGTACTCGCCTCGATCGTTCCGGAAGATATGTACGACCTTACTTTTGCCGATACCATCCCGGATGTTGCGTACGACTCAACCACTGGGTTCGAAGAAGTTATCGATTTTAAGGCGCAGAGTCGGGTGGAGATTATTGGAAGCGGTGTGGAGGAACTTACGCAGGAAGGAATTTCGTTTAACCCTGCGAAGAGCTTCAGATTGGATTCTAGTGGGGATTTGAGAAGGAAATATTACTCCCCGGGAGTGGTTATTATAACCAAGGGCGCCGGTGTTCTCAAGTTGACGGTCTTTGATGCAGAAACTGCGGATCTCAGGCCGCTTCCGTCGCCACGACCTATCCCTGTTAAATCGAAGATGGAGCTGGCGGTATTCTTTGGAACTAATGAGAAGGTAGGGACTTGTATACTTCTAGATTACATTGGAGCAAGCTAACTTTTACAGAACCATCTAAACTTCAACGGCCGCCGCGAGATCACCTACCCAACCCTTGAAGTCCAACAAGCAGCCAGAAACCTCAGCATGGATCTAATGTGCTCCCACGGCCAATACCTCGCCACCTTGGGCCCTTCAATCGACATCTACCTCGAGTCCCGCGCTCAAAAGCTCCTAGCTCTGGCCGAATACCTCCGTACTGTTCACCGTCAAATCGCTCGCGAAGTCCGCTGGAAGCTTCTCTGGGATGCTGAAAAGATGGAAGCAGCACGTGCCGTCTACCGCGCATTTGCACAGAAGCAGAGCGCAGGCAAGGATCTGAGCGAAGGGCTGCTCCTGGAGATTGTTTCAGCGTTCTTTGTCAAGCATGATGTTCAGATCGGAGCGGTGAACCCGATGGTTGAATGGTTTGCGAAGCATTTGCCGAGGATTTACGAACTCATTCCTTTGCTGAGAGAGGCGGTTAAAACCACTGGTGGGAATACGTTGGCGGCGATAAAGAAGATCCACGAGTCGAACGAAATCACGCTTACGATTTTGGCTACTGCGCATGCATTCAGGGTGCAGCATGCTAGATTGTATAGTGTTGATGGGGATTTGGGAGAAAATGGAATCGCCAATTTTAGGGGACTGGAATCGCCGCCTTGGACTTCCGGACCGGAGATTTTGACGGCGTTAAATAGGGATATTGAGGTTAACACCAAAATCATGGGGATAAAGAAGGAGGGTCCTGCTGAGGAGTATTTCGGAGCAATTTTGGATCAGATGGTCGACATGGTTGAAGTCGCCTGTCGAAATTTCGTGGAGAGAGCGGCGTGGTGTGAGGTTCAGGGTGCGCCAAAGTATATCGCTGAAGGCCAGCAGATTAAAGATCTGTACCTGAAGGGACGGAATCAGTGGATTCGAGCACTCGCTTTTCATGATCGCGCCGAGCAGGCGGTGGATATTGCGGAGAGGTATCGAGATTACGGTACACTCGTGGAGCTTGCGTTCGAAGAGCTGGCTAAGATTAATGGTTGGCTGGATAAGCGCGGACAGGAGGTTGGAGATTTGGAGAAGCAGGATTATACGAGTCAGCGAGATGCTATCGTGACCCGGTTGGAGGGGTATTTCGAGAAGTTCGGGCAAGAGTTTGCGTACGTGCTTTATGAGTACCAGGTCGAGACGGGGAGTCTGAGGGATCTGTTGGTGCAGTTCCCCGGGTATAAGAAGTATTTGGACGGGTTCTTGCAGAGTGAAGGGCGGTATTCTAGGGTTAGGTGGATCAATGAGGTTAGGGATGGGAGGTATAAGGAAGCCGGGGAGACTTTGATCCAAACAGCGGATAGTGAGACGTGTTTGTGGAGTCAAGCGGTCGAGTTGAGTATTGGAAAGCTGGCTTTGATGGCTTCGCAGCCGGCCGGGGAGGCTGTTTCCGATGCATTCGACAGACGATTAAAGATGGTGGAACTACAGAAATCGGTCCAGGCGCACGTTAGCATTGAGGCACGAGGGGCCATTGACGTACAGGCTGGAACGGAGTTGGCGTTTGGAGCGTTTGGCGGCCGTTTGGAGCCTTATCGGAGCCTGCGCGATATCTTTAAGAGGGGTGTTGCAAAGGCGGTGACCGGGCAGAGCATGGATGCCGAGGAACTCGTCGACTTTTTAACGTTAATGTACGAAGAGGATGAGGATGCCGATGAGGAAGAGGGGGAGAAGTGGGCAGGGCGATTTCAGACGGCCATGATGGTTCTTGGGGCAGCAGAGATTCCTGATATGAGGAAGGAGGAGGCGAGGAGGACGATTTGGAGAAGGATGTATATGAGTGAAGAGTAAGTAACCACTTTCTCCCCTTCTTGTGGGGTTTAGGACTTGGCTGATTTTGAACGTGGTAGTTGGCTGGATATTCTGGATCCATCACGACAGAATACGACACAGATCGAGACGAGGATTATGAATACGAATGTATTCGATGTTTTGATCTATGGGTATAAAGAAGGTACGTGGAATTTTATATTGTTATTTACATATACTATCATCGTGATGCTAACTATAAAAAACTAGGTCTCTTTGATGAACACAAAGCTTCTACCCCACTTGCCCCCAGTCAAAGTGGGTTCACCCGCGATATCAACTTCCTTGCTTCTCGGTTCCCGGGGAGTCAGCAACCTTGGCTGCAGAACTTATATGAAGAAATTAAGATTGAAGAACGGGAGGTTCAGAGGTTGATTGATAACAACCTTGAGTTTTGGTTCCCATGGATGTGCGAGACTGCTATGAAGATGGCGGCTGAGGAGGCGGATGAGACTATAATGGAGAATGGCGATGATGAGGAGGAGGAAGAGGAGGAAGTGGAGGATGAGGGGGAGGATGAGGGGGAGGAAGGAAGTAGGGAGGCTAGTTATGAAGAACAGGAGATTTTGGACGCTATGGATATGAGCTAGATTATGAGTGTTCCCCCCCCTCTCGAATCCCGACGCATATGGGTATATCTTTTTTTTTTGAAGTGTTTTTTTTTTATTGTTATTTTTATTTTGCGTGCTAGGTATTACTTTTTTGACGTTATGCATGGATACAAGAGCTGTGTGTTCATTCTACAGATGGGCGTTTCTCTTTCTTTCTTTCTTTTTGTCTTCATCGTTGTGATTGAAAAGAAACAACAACTAATTGCATTGTAATGTATTATATTATGTTATATTATATTATACTATACTAAATCATATACCATACTTCTAGCTGTGGTTTACAATTGAATAGATGGTATCCTCGGTTTGGTGATGTTAGTGGTTGTGGCTGTGGCTGTAGATGCGTGAGGTGAGGTGAGGGAGTTTTAGATGATCAGTGGAATTTTGGGATAATTGGCAACGGCCGCGATCGCGTGGAAGGTTTTTACTTGGTGATTGAAAATATTCCACACACACGGGTAGGATGTGGATAGAAGACCAGCGCATTCATTTATATTAATTAAGAGAGAAGTGAGTGATTGACTGATTGAGCTGAGTGTGAGTGAGTGAGTGGGGGTCATATTAGATGAAATTATTGCGGGTCCTCTTTTTGTGGCGGTGGGTTTTTTTAGCCTTAAGCCTTAGGAACGACGGGATGGATTTACCATGGTGTCGAGTGTTCTTGTTTGTAGGTTTTGTGCCTGAATCGAATCTTTTCTTTTTTTTTGGGGGGGATTGTTTCTTGTTTGGGGAGGGTTAAAAGGGGGGACCAATCGGGTTTTGTGATGGGTGTTTTGACGGGTTTTGGTTTTTTTGAGGTTTTGAGGTTTTTTTATTTTTTATTGGCGGTATTTGATACTTTTGGGAGGGAGGATATTTAGATACTTCATTCTACATATGTTATTTATTTATTATTATTGTAATTCTCTTCACGACGATGGGAGATAGATAGAGTACTAGATGATGATTTATTTCTTTTTTGATATTTTTTGATATTCTGGTAACCTTGTTTCTACGGGATGTTTAATACTTTTCGCCATACCTTAATTTTTCGTAGGTTAATCTTAAATTCTTTTTTTTTCCCCCGAGAATTCTTTCCTTGGTATTTTTCCTATTCGGTTTATTTTTTTTGTGTCCGAGATGAAAGAAAACGGAAATATAACGGTTACTTTTTTTATTATTACGGCTGGTTTTGGATGTTTTGTGGATTGTGGATTGTGCGTGTGTCAGGAACCAGAATTTTGAAGATATTAGCACTTACATATGCATGAGAAGTATGATATGATAATTGATATTGATATGTAGATAGATGCGAGCGGGTATCTTCTTGTTTCGTTTGGATGTTTTTCGTATCAGGTTACCCCTTGAAAATTGTGGAGAAACCGAGAGAGAAGAGACGAGAGACGAGACTGGGCGATTATTATGTGTATGTGTGTATGTATGTTTCCCCTTGCGTCTTGTGATACAGACCAGCCGGATGGAGGGCTAGTCTTTTTTTTTTGTTGGTTTAGTTTGAGGTTTTAAACGTTCTTGCCGCAGTAGTATAAATCTTTCTTGATGTTTTAGTTTTAGATACCTTCGAAGCGGTAAGGTTAGTTTAGTCTGGTTTAGTTGGTTACATGGTTTATTAATATTTGTGGGTTGCAGGATATGTAACGATGCCCATCGGTTAGGTAGACGGGGCGGTCTTGGATTTATCTTGTGATTGATGAGTATTTGGAAGAAAGAAAAAAAAGCTTTTTCTTGAAGACAAGACCCGGCGATCACCGGGTAGCCTACCGGGTAAGTAATCATCATCCAAAAAGGATGAGGGTTTTCGAGGAAGGCAAATATGGAAAATAGAAAATAGAAAAAAATATTTGAATGTCTTCTTTCCGTTTAAAGGAGAATTGGAAGAAGCGGATGAGCGCTAGTGCAAGTGGGAATCGCCTCCTCTGAGCGGTTGGCTGCCTTGGAAATCTTGATTGTTGCAGCTGCGTGTTTGGGTTCTGCGCCTTTTTCTTCTGGTACTTGCAGATGTACTTCCAGTTATACATAGTAAGGGTTTATTCCGTTTCGCCGGTCGATTGGAGTTTACTATGTACACTTCGAACGGACGAATAATAATAATGGGATGGTAGATGTACTGGAGGAAAGGAAGTATTGATAAAACAAAAAAAAAAGACATGTGAGATGATTATAATGGTGATGATGATGATGGTTTGCTGCCTTAAAACGCAAAAACTGTAATTCAGAATTATAAGGGAAGCTGCCTTTTGGCTGTGCATGCGGCTTGTGGGGTTTAAGCTACTCACCGTACATACAGAGTACATACATACTTGCATACAGCAAGTAAGTAAGGTTGGAGGACCCACCGGAAGGATGGGGAAGGGGGGCAAGGGGCGAGGGGCGAAGGGTTAAGGGATACCCTTGGTATGACTTTTCTTTTTTTCGTTCGTGGTGGAAAATTCGTAATTCGTTCGATCCGGCCGAGACTACCTTATTTTTTTTATTTATTTGACTGTAGAATTCGGAGTGGCTTGTGCTAGCCTTGCATGCGGGGATTGAAGAGATTATCCCTGGTTTATGGTGGTAGATGTCTGTCTGTCTGTCTGTGTGGGAGGTGGCCTAGAAGTGAGGTCGGATGGTGATCGTGATGATGTTGGATCTGGTGATTTCGGGGTCGGTTGTGGAGAATAAAACAGAATAGAATAGAATAGGCAGATATCGGCTTGTTCGGGTGTGCGGGGAATGTTATTTATTTTTATTTTTATTTTATTTTATTTTATTTATTCTATTTTATGATAAAATAAGAATACGGCGGATGATTTGATATCAACTTTTGAGAATCTGTTTGATTGAAGAAGCCTCGATGCAAATGTTGATGATAATCTTTTTATACAGTAATCCACCATTTATACAAACACACTTACATACAAACATGAATATGAATATGAATATGAATATGAATATGAATATGATATTTAAATTGTAAGATTTGATTATAATTGTGAATATCGAATTTGAGCAGAGATGTGATCCTATTGGTTGGATTATAGGCAATAATCGATCCGTTCGCAAGGGACGGGTTTATTAGAATACATCAATCATATAATCCTTTCGCCGAAGGAACCATTCTTCGACGGACCCTTCGAATTCCCCCCCTGAACCGTTTGGATTATTCACATATTCATCAACTATCATTCATTCATTCGTATAGATCGATAAGTAAGTAATTATAATTGTGATCGATTGCGGATAGTTTTAATAGTTTGTGTGGTTGTGATAATGAAGAACTTATCCTGACCTGACCTGACCTGGCCTGACCTGACTTGACTTGACTCCTGACACCCCGGCCGGTTAACTAACGAACTGACAGACAGACACAGCCAAGACTAAGCCCAAAGCCAGGCAGGCTGGCACAACCAACTGGGCTCCTTCCTCTCTCTTCCTCTCTCTCTCTTCCACTCTCACTTCCTGTACTTTACTTTACTCGACTTTCTTCTTTCCTTCACTTCTCCCCTTTCTCCCTTTCTCCCTCTCCCTCGACTACATACCTTTGGAACTTATCCTTCGAGGTTCTCTAATCAACACTCCTACAACATCTATAAACCAACAAATAAATCATATTATTATTTATCATCAACCGTCCATTCTAACTAAATTATTTTAGTTAATGATAGTTAATGATAGTTAGGTAGTTTGGTTGGTGGTGCTCAATCAAGGCTTTTGGGCTTAAAGGGGTGTTGTTCTCCGTGTTGTCTTATATCACTTCACAAACCGCAACTCGCTCAACTCCCATTCATTCATTCCTCCTTCTCCCTTCTCTCTTACTCTCTCTCTTACTCTTCTTCTTCCTCTCTTCCTCCCTTCTTTCTTTCCTTCTTCCTCTTACATCGCTTCACCTATCCATCCATCCATCCATCCATCCACCACCACCATCATCATCCACCATCATCATCAAACGCGCCTTCTCTCTCTCTTCCTTCCAGTCCATCACCATTCCTCCAATTCCCGACCATTTCCATCTTATATCCTTGGGGTTTCTTTCTCTCTCGACTCTCTCGATATAATCAACCAGGCTGGCGGTGTTTCCTTTTTCCCTTTGGTCGCCCTAATCCTTTTTCTCTATCTCTTTTTTCGATTTATTATTTTAAATCCCTTCGAAAGAAAAAGAGAGGACCAAAAATTATTATTATTATTACCATTCATCGATAACTATCACTAGTTTGTCTGGTACCAGAATAGGCGACTCGATACGTCTTCCGACACCCGCCTAGTCTCTTCCCCTTACCACTTATAAAACCTGTCAAAATGTCGACGACTTCGTCAAACGTCGTCGGCGTTCACTACCGCGTCGGCAAGAAGATCGGAGAGGGTTCCTTCGGTGTTATATTCGAAGGTACCAACCTGCTGAACAACCAGCAGGTTGCCATCAAATTTGTTCGTATATTCAATCCTCCCTTCTTTTTTCTCTTTTATCATCTTTGTAGTTTATTTCCTTTCAATCATTCGTTTTTCGGTCCTCCCCTATTTTCCGACGGATTTTTTTCCGATATTCTCGTTTCGACGGAGTGTTTTTCTTTCTTTTCTTTCTCTCTCTCGTCATACTCGACTTCTCCGGGGGTTTCACAAGGCTGTTTAACAGGATTATTTATTTATTTCCTTCCTCCGACATAACCTTTTTCTGTTCCCTCCTTCCCACTTTTTCGCTTTTGTCCAATTACACCTCCTAACACGTGCGATTTCTTTTCTTTACTATAGGAGCCCCGAAAAAGCGATGCACCACAACTACGAGATGAGTACCGTACCTACAAGATCCTCGTTGGATGCCGTAAGTTTGCGATTTTTGTTTTTTTGGTCACATGAAATTTAAGTGTCGTCTCCCTAACTTGATAAATCTTGTTTAGCCGGCATTCCCAACGTCTATTACTTCGGTCAGGAGGGTCTACACAATATCCTTGTTATCGACCTGCTAGGACCCAGTTTGGAAGATCTGTTCGATCACTGCAACCGAAGGTTCTCCATCAAAACCGTCGTCATGGTCGCCAAGCAGATGCTTTCCAGAGTTCAAACCATTCATGAGAAGAATCTCATCTACCGTGATATCAAACCCGACAATTTCCTGATCGGCCGACCGGGAACCAAAGCCGCCAATGTCATCCACGTCGTCGATTTCGGTATGGCGAAGCAATACCGTGACCCAAAGACCAAGCAACACATTCCCTATAGAGAGCGAAAGAGCTTATCCGGTACCGCTCGTTACATGTCCATCAATACCCATTTGGGTCGTGAGCAGTCCCGACGAGACGATTTGGAGGCTCTCGGTCACGTTTTCATGTACTTCCTCCGTGGTGGCCTTCCCTGGCAAGGGTTGAAGGCTGCTACTAACAAGCAGAAGTACGAGAAGATCGGTGAGAAGAAGCAGACCACTGCTATTAAGGATCTTTGCGACGGATTCCCAGGTATGTTATTGTCAAAAAAAAAAAAAACATTTTGGGAACGATTAATCAGAAATTTTTACCATTTTATTTTTTTAAATTTTATTTTTTTTTATGGAGAAGAAACTAATTGATTAATCTAGATGAGGTCAATCAATACCTGAGTTACGTCCGAAACCTCGGGTTCGAAGATACCCCCGACTACGACTACCTTCGAGATTTGTTCACCAAGGCGTTGAAGAACACCGGTGAAGTTGAGGATGGAGAGTATGATTGGATGAAGTTGAACAATGGTAAAGGGTGGGAAGCCATTCAGAAGCATCCTTCGTCGCATGGGTACCATCACCATCAGAGCGCAAACCAACATGTTTCTGCAACGCAGGGAGAGCTCCGGCACGTCAACCCCAACCCTCGACCGGCCGCGAACAGCAACCAGCTCGCTGCTCGGGTGAACGCCGCTCTTCCACCGCCTCCCTCGCCAGCTATGCAAATGAACAACAAGAAACGAGAGCGAGAACGGGAACGAGCTCCACCACAGAATGCAGTACCATTGAAGAGACCCAGCGGAGGAATGGCCGGTTTACAGTCCCCCGGCGCTGTCACACCGAACCCGAGCACCCAAGCACAATATCACGCTCCTTCTCAGACAAACTTAACCCAACAGCCAAGAACCCAGGCACCGCCTACGATGACGCCTGCCCAGCACACTTCCCAACCACCCAGACAACCAGAGCCTAGGAAGGGATTCTGGTCAAAGGTGATGTCTTGCTGCGGTTAAAAAATAATCTTTTTTTCTTTCTCAGAGGCGTTTTACGTGCTTTGCGTTTCTGCGTTTCTAATTTCCTCCCGTTGGGTCTGCATAAAGCGGTCGTCTGTAATTTTCTGTGTAGATTGATGCCTCGTTTTTTTTGTTTTCCCTTTCTTTTTTTTCACACCCCTCCCTCTAGTGTTCGTGACCATTTTTTAACTTCCAGGCGGTGTTCAATGAGCATTAATCTCAGCGTATAGCATTTTAATAATCGACAACTTTTTTTTGTCTCTTTTCCTCTTTTTCTCTCTTCGCTTTCAATTCCTGTTCGTTTTTATTCCCTTTACCGCAACTGTCCTTTCGTCGAGGTTTTGCCGTCTTCTTTTTATATTTCCTTTCGCTTTTTTTATTTATAACTTGGCGCCTCCATCTTCCAACTTCCAACTTCTACATTCAAAGATATATTTTTTTGAATGGGAAGAAGGTGGTTGGAAGAGATGACAAATGTCCTCGACTCTGTTGAACCATCAAAAAAGTTGTCTCTAACGGTCTACTTGGCTTTGATACGTTTTAACGACCTCCCCTCTCACAGCTGCGAATTGGTCTCCACCTTCCTCAATCTCCTTCTCCTTTCAGCGACTGGGATAATCGATTCGATGAATCCTAACTGCAGCATCTCCAGCTGTCCCTCACAAACCCAAATAAACAGATCTGTATCATGATGACACGAACGTCGTTTTTTTCCCTTTTCTCCCTCTCTTTTTTCTCTCTTTTACTTTGACTATACTAGCTTTTTTTTTTCCCTCGCCATATATCTCTCTGTTGTGTGTACTGTCCTTTTTAAAATATCACTTATATCTTTTTTTTATACACATCCTTCATCCTTTTGATCTGGGGTTCTTTGTTGTCTTGTCGCCAAGAGAGCTCTCTGACTATTATAGATAGCAGCGAAAGAGAAAGCAAGAGAGAAAGAAACTGCTACTACGAAGCAGTTAATCGTAAGTAGCTAGTATTTGATATTTTCCTATTTTCGTCATCGAAACGGCAAGAAAAGGCAGAAACCGCTTCCCGGCGTTTTGTCATATATATTATTATTTTATTATATAAACTTAGTTACATATTCATACGATACTCCTACTCCTTTTTCTCTTTCTCTTTCTCTTTCTCTTTCCTCTTGAATTGAGTCTGTAAGTGTAGGTAGTATAGTCCCTTATTATTTTGTTTTCTTTTGCAATTGCAGCATCACATGCACAAATTATAGATAGATGCGGGGTTATAACCGGGGTTTTTTTTCTTTTACACTTTCCCACCCCCCCCTTCCTCCTCAGATTTGCTTTTAGTTTTGTACTTCTTTCTTATCTTGCGCTTTTATTTAGTATAATGTTCTGCATTGTGAGTTTTTGTATAGTGTAATAATCTCGTATATATATATAAGTAGTAGTATAAATAGTTCAATGTTCCATTTTTTTGTTCTCACTCGACGATATTGATAAAGTAAAACGATGAATTAATAAGATGCCTAGGTACTTAGATTAAGTAAATAAGTTGATAATCTATCGCCCTGCATTTGGTGCTCGGATGTCGAATCGGATGGCCTGTTTTTTCAACGATGATTGTCAGTGTCGTAGACTAGTGACATGACATGATACATACTAGTGTTATTAAGTATGCTATGCGGGCCCCACCGTGCATGAAGGAATGCCTAATAGGAGCATGTGCCGAAGGCCCACCCTGTATGTGTATGTACTATGTATGTACATCGGCAACATTGCATTCTCCATACACCCTTCGATCAGATGGTCCGCAAGTATATCGAGAGTGTTTGATCCTGTTCTTTAATATTTGCGTTGTGGAGGAGGTTGGATCCGAAAATTTGTTGAATCCTTTTTTTTTGTCCGAACAGAACAGAACAGCTGCAACAAACAACAACCACAACCACAACCACAACAACCGTCTCAAAGCCGACATTTCTAATATACTTTAAACATTGTGCATTATCTTGACTATCTTCATCGTCGCTATACTCCCTTCATCTTCACCACCTCCCCATCCACCCTCCCCTCCACCATATACATTCGTATATACATTTGCATTCTCCTCTTTCACCTACTTTTAGCTTTTCGGCTCTCCTTTCCATCTTTGCTAGGCCATCCTGGCTTATCGAATCTGAGACACCCCTTCCTTCCCTGGATTAGTCATCCCAACTGGATTTCACAAATCTCGAAGTGACATTTCCATCACTTTCATCGCCACCGATCCTACTCCTCGTCGCCCGGGTCTGCGCACTGTCGCTCTATCATTCTTTGTTTTCGCGCTGGGTTAAGGACTGTGGATTGCTTCGACTCTACTCTCGGACCGGATGACCGAATGAACGTCGATACTCTATACCTTCTCTCTCCAGCATCATCGATACTCGGGCTGCAGCGCTGAGATAGGCGAACAGGGACGACAATATGACACAGCAACCACCCACGGGAGTGGACCAGGCTGGGCTTCTGATCCCATCTCAGCATCAGCATCAGCATCAGCATCAGCAGCTGCCTTTACCCACTCCCTTGTCTGCTGGATCTACACCTACCCCTGTAACTGACGGTGCCCTCGGGCATCCTGGTGCGACTGATACCATCATGCAGGATAGTACTCCTACGAATGCTTTCTCTCCGACAATGCTGAAGGGTATTGCGGCTTCTGCACTGGAACAACCATCACAATCTACTCATCCTTCTGTCCAACCGACGTCGCCTTTCCTTCAAAATCAACAACCAATACCTCATCCTCCTCCTGCTGCTCACCATGCCTCTCACCCTCACTTGAAACTTGCTACGAACTTTTCTCCTGTCCTTACCGGGAAACTACTTCCTGCAAATCCCTATCATGCCGAGTCAACCGTCCCTACACAACAACAAGCCAACATGGGCTCCCAAGTCCCAAAACTCGTGGGGCACTCTACGACGCCCAGCCTTCCTCCTCAACCACTACAACAGCAACAGACCGCTCAATTTACCCGTCAAGTCCCGGGAACCACCGCTGGAAAACGTCCCAGCATGCGCCAGGTCTCGGACGCTCAGGATGACATGACGAGTGCGGAACGAGCCGCCCGAACCCAAAAGATCCGAGACATTATTAACGAACAATTCGGGCTGGAGATCCTGCTGAAACACAGAGAGTTGCAAGATATTGAAGCTGAACTGGGAAGAGCCGAAGCTTGCCTCGAGCAAATCCGACGATGCTCTATCGAAGAGGCTATGGAGAAGGACGGACGCTTCGATGACCCATCTGGAATTACATTGGGCTATGCGCCGGCTCCGGAAGTTATGAATGGACCTTACTCTCGGGATTATAGGGACTGGTTGATGGAGGAGAGGGTTCCTCCTGCGAGGTCTAGATATCACGACGTTCTCGCAAAGGACCAAAGCCGTAACTTTACTACTCAACGACGAGGCGAACCACCTCAACCACTTCTCCCTCAAGCTGGGAGACCACAAAGGGAGATTGCCGCCGCTGCGGCTGCCGCGCAGGGTCAGAAGCGATCTACAATCTGTCTTCATCGTCAGCCCGATGGGACTGTTGTTCGGTATGTTTTTTTCTTCTTTTTTTCTTTTCTCTTTGTCCTCCCTCGACCCTTTCGAATTTTCAGGAATTGCTAACGGTGCCTTTCCCCCCTTTTTTTTTATAGCCTCACCTGCATTGACTGCAAACGTGACCAGTTCGGATCCATGCAAGGGTTCATTAACCATTGCCGACTTGCCCATCAACGTGACTTCCAGACGCATGATCACGCTGCTGCGGTTTGCGGCGGTCCTTTTGACCTTACCGGGTTCACTGGTAGTCTTCCTCCTCCTCGTAGCAACAAAGCTTCTAAGAACGTCAGCGCTTCTGCTCCCGCTGCCCAAAGAAGTACTAAATCCGGTCCAAATACGAAACCATCTGCTTCGAAAAACTCCGCTACAAAGATTTCCGCCGCGAAAGCCCCTGGTGCAAAAGGCCTTGCTAAGAATGCCTCCAAGAAGAAGACTGGTGCCGCTGCCGCTGCCGCTGCCGTTGCCGCCGTCGCTGATGAGAGTTCACTGATGTCGACAGGTCCGCTTACTCCACCACTTCAAGCGGAGGATATTGCCCTCCGAAAGACTATTCAAACATCTCACCTCAAGGAGTACTTGGGGAAGAAAAGGATTGATGTCGATAATTTGGATATGATGGTTGAAGAGGCTGTCAACAGGGTTGGAATTGTCGAGGAAGAGAGCGAGGCCGACGATGAAGCTGAGGAGGAAGCTGTTGTCGCTCCCACTACCAAACAGAAGAAGCAAAAGGCTACTCCAAAGGCTACCTCAAGAGCTACTCCAAAGGTTGCTGCCGCTACTACTACTATGAAGGTTGGTGAGCCACAGGCTGCGCCCCAACCGGAAGTTCAGCCTACTCCACCAGCTGAAATTCCTCAAGTTGAGCCCCCAGCAGCTTTTCGCCAACCTGCTCATACCGATGTTGCTATGATGGATCTTACGATCGATACTAGCGTTGGGAATACGGGAAATGTTATCTCTGCCAACGACCAAATTACTCCAGGTAGTGGTGCTGCCGACTCTGCTTATGAAGGGAGTGAAGCTATTGTTGACCTTTCGGAGCCATCGATTCAAGTCGTTATCCCTGCCAGAGGTGAGGAGGGGGAGCAATCACGTCCTGTTTCTCGCCGATCTAACCCTGGGTCGTCCCGTCAATCTCCCCGTACTCCGGTTGCCCCCACCCTCCCTACCCGTATGGGAACGAGAGCTCATCCTTCACCTGAGAATGAGAGTTCGAATACTACCCGTTATAACACTCGACTTGCCGACGCCGGCAAAGCGAGCCCTAGTCCCAAGGCCGGGTAGATTGATCGACCTCCCTTTTGCTTCTGATTCGTTTAACTAATGGCAGGTAAAACCGTGGTGAGATAGGATACACTAACAATGAGAAATGAAAATTGCAAAATATCATATATTACGAATGGTTCATGTCCCAGGTTTTCTCCTTTGCACAAATCCGTTTTTCTTTTTTGTTTGTATTCAAAACTAAGGGTGCTTTTTTCATGGAGTTCTACGGCGTGTGTTCATTTCACTTCAATTTTGCTTTATATACCCGTTTCCTCGATTGCCTTTGCTTTTAATGTCCTCGTTGGGGATGCCTATACTGTGCAGGTTTATTTCTCACGATGTATGGCTCCCTTGTGTTTTCTTTCTTCTTTTCTCCAACTGTATCAAAAACTACTTAACTTTACCTTTTGCACGAAAAGTTGATCGTACGACGGAGGAAAAGGGGAGGCAACAGACCGAGCTTTTATCGGTTTCTCAGCATTATTGTTATACGCACTCTTTTTTTTTCTTTTTTCCCTTTTTTTCTTTCTTTTCAAACCATGATCACAGCGAATCTTTCCTTTTTGTTGTTATTTCTATCCTTTCTTTCTTCCTTTCCCTTGCTTCTATTCTTTCTTTGTATTTATATTATTCGGGGAACACTCTCCTGCCTAATATATGGATAAAGGGGGAGGTTTACGGCTTGTGTAGCCGCTTTTATTACACACACATAGCTTCTTTTTTTTCTCCTTTGCATCCAGTTGAGGGCAAAGACGATGCATCCTAACTTTCTGTTTGATTTTAATTTTTGAAGAGATAGATAGATAGATCGTACGTACTTATATATAGTATATGTACTAGTAGGGCCTGGTTGGTGATATCTGGCTAATTCGAGCGTATGATATTACATTATAAAACATGCTGATAACCTTTACAAATGAAATATAATACAATACAATACAATAAAGGACATTAATATTCTGAGAGTTCTCACCGATCCTCCTGTTCCAAATACTCTATGGGCACCCCTCCAGCCTCGTCGTCCCCAACATCTTCCACCCCTTTCCCACCATCCCTATTAGCTCTCCAAACCCCACCATCAACAAACCACTCCCTTTTCCAAATCTCCACTTTATCTTTAACCAATTCCAAACATTCCTCGGCTATCCTCCAACCCTCGGCGCGATGGCTCGTGCTGAGGGCTATTACTATCGAGTCCTCGGAGATGGGGACTATTCCCAGACGGTGGATTACGGAGATCGAATGTAGACAGCTGTCGTTTTTTGATTTTAGGGTTGTGAGGATTGAGGAGAGGGTGCGGAGGGCTAAGGGGGTGTAGGTTGTGTATTCGAGGGTTGAGACGGATTTTCCTTTTTTATATGTACAAGGTATTTATGAATAAGATATATCTAATTATGTTATAAGGTAGGTGGGTTTGGTTGTTAATGGGGTATGGTACCTTCGAAGTTATCTCTTGTCGTTCCTATTGGGGTTTTATATAACTTTATTAGATCGTGATGTTTTTTTTTTATTGTTTAAATAAAAAGGGATATGGACTTGGAGTAGTAGTATGGAATAGTAGTAGGTTTTATGTATATTCATGGATATAGAAAGGGAATTGAAATGAATAAAAAAGAGGTAGTATATATGTTAATATACTAAGTAACGTATCTACACACCTACGAATACAACCACCGCACCAGCCTTGGGACTTCTAACCCGATCTATCGATGCTGTGATATCGAGTTTGTCGTATGTCAGGCCTACGAAGGTATTCTGACCTTCTATGGATTTAATACCATCGAACGCGCGGACGGGGGGGTTCGGTTGTTCTGCCATTTCATTTGTTCTTCTTTTTCTTTTTCTTCTTCTTCTTTCCTTTTTTTGTCTATATTTTTATTGTTATATATATAAAGTAAGTATATATCACATCGAAATGCTTTTCTTTTGTCTTCGAGTTGGTTGTGAGAAGTTTTTTGGATATATATAAATTTTTGTGGTGACGTCTTTTAAGCTTGTTGGATTTTTAACCCCGCTTCTTCTTCTTCCTCTTGGTAACTAAGCCTTAGCTCTGTTCTGTTCTCGGGAGCGATGATTATATAAGATTCGGTCGGTTCCGGGGGGTGGATGCCGACGCTATTATAAGTATAGTCTCGCCCGGGGGAGTAACTAAGTAGTACGTACTATGTTACTATGTAAGTAAGTGCTACCCTTGACGCAGCTTGCCAACAAGGGTTCGTTATAATTTAACACTGTAGCAACTCACCCTTTAGCTTGCTTTGGTCCTTTCTTTAGCTTCCGGTCCCCTTCCCACGAAAGAAAAGAACATTTTGTATCACGAAATCACACATCCCGTCCCATCGCATCGCCGTACATCCGAGAAGGAGGGGTTATATTATTATTGTTATTGTTATTGTTATGGAGTGGTTAAAATCCGCCGCGGCGTCAGCGGTCTCGCGTGGTCCTGCGTTTGGATACTCTTTCGGCGACCGGGTTGATCTTGATGATTCGATATGGGCGTTACATAATGGGACTAAGAAGGTGGGTTTACAACTCCCAGTCTTTTTGATACTTTTACGAAGTTACAATATATATATATATATATATAGATTGAAAAGAGTAGTTATATACTAATTTTAAAAAATTCTAGGACGACGGAAGTAAATGTTCCATCTTCGCATTCGATATCAATGCCAATAAATCGAGATTACCGCTTGCTAAGAACGCGCTGAGGAAGTGGAGGACTTTACGGCATCCTGGGGTTGTGAGGGTTTTGGATACTCTTGAGGTACTTCACTTTTTTTTTACCTCCTTCTCGACCTCTTTTTCTCTGTGTCTACGGGTGTTCTTTTTTAGGGACTAACGGCGGAAGATGGGTGGTAGACAGATACAAACATTTATATTGCCACCGAAAGAGTGGTGCCGCTTGGATGGCATGTTAAAAGGAATGCGCTGAATACGGAGACGATTAAGTGGGGATTATATACCATATCAGTACGTTTCATTCATTACTTCAAGCTTTTTAGGGTGTATGAGGTTTTAACGGAATCCTTATTATTTATATAGACAACGATGAGGTTTGTCAACGAAGATGCGAGCTCGATACATGGGAATCTAAGGGTTTCGTCGATATATACCACCGAGAGCGGGGAATGGAAGTTGGCGGGGTTCGAGGTGCTTAGTTCTTTGAAGGAGGAGGATCCGGCAATATATGTGGGTCGACGCTTTCTACTATGACCTCTCCATAAAATAAGGTAGGAGGGGGAATGCTGACGGGGTGAGGTTAGACGTATGGAGGTTTATTACCGGATTCTACACGATATGCTGCGCCGGAGATTGGACGAGGTGGATGGGATGGATTGAAGAAGTATACCCACCATCTCATTCATTAACATTCAATCGATTATATTCGGAATATAAGAAACTGACGATATGAACGAATTATGTTGTTATCTACAGTCAGGCAATCCACGTCACCGACTCCTGGAACATGGGCACCTTAATCTACGAAATCTTCAACGGCTACTTCTCCACCGCCGACCAACTTTCCCAAATAAAATCAATCCCACCGCCGATGGGTACACCCTACAAACGTCTAACCCAAACGAACCCCAAAATGCGACTACCCATCTCCCATTTCCTCGAACAAGGAAAACGTTCCAACGGCTTCTTCGATACTCCACTAATCAGATGTTGCGAATTTATCGAAAACATGGGGGTGAAGGATGATCGCGAACGAGAGGAGTTCTTACAAAACTTGGAGGATACGAAAGATCAATTCCCCGAAGAATTCTTCAAAGCGAAAGTTCTACCGGAGTTATTGAAATCGGTGGAATACGGCGGTGGTGGACCCAAGGTGTTCTCGGTGGTACTCATGATCGCTGAGAAACTTAACGAAGACGAATGGGAGAGTACCATAACCCCCTGCGTCGTCAGATTATTCTCCAGCCCAGATCGAGCAATCCGAGTCTTCCTACTAGACAACCTCCCCAGGATGATCGAACATCTACCCAAAAAAGTAGTCAGCGACAGTATCTTCCCACAATTGGTAACCGGCTTCTCCGACGTCGCGCCGATAGTCCGCGAACAAACCGTCAAATCGATATTAATAATAATCGACAAACTGTCAGACCGTCAAATCAACGGTGATCTATTGAAATACCTAGCAAAGACCCAAAATGACGAACAACCGGGTATAAGAACGAATACTACGATATGTCTGGGGAAAATAGCAAAGAATTTGGGACAGCATACTAGAGCTAAAGTTCTTGCTGCGGCGTTTACTAGAAGTTTGAGGGATCCGTTCGTGCATGCTAGGAATGCGGCGTTGATGGCGTTGGCTGCTACGGCTGATTGTTTCGATGAGACGGATTGTGCGACGAAGTGTTTACCGGCGATTTGTGTGGGGTTGATTGATAAGGAGAAGTATGCTTCTAATCGAGATATATATATATATATATATATATATAAATTTATATCTAGGGCCAGGCGACTAACAAAATGGTTTTCTTTGTGGGTAGGATCATCCGAGTACAAGCCCAAAAGACAATGGACGTCTTCCTAGCCCGGATCAAAACCCTTACAGCAAACATGCCAGACTCAGCATTACCCCCCGTAGATGCCAACGGAGTTCCAACGGGCACATCAGCAGCAGCAGGAGGAGGCGGTGTAGCCGGTGGAGCTCCACGAATGGGAACCCCTCAAAACGACGCATCATGGGCCGGATGGGCTATTTCATCATTCACGAAGAAATTGGGATCCGTAACCGGCGAGATTCAAGCACAGGGTACTACAGCTACGTCAGGAGTTTCTACACCTGCGGGTGAGGAAAGTGGTACGCTTGGAGTTCCTTCGTCTACTACTGGTAATACTGGTAGTAGACCTGGTAGTAGTTCTTTACAACGCCAGGCATTCGGTGGGATGAATACAAATACAAGTAGAGGAGGGGGAGGAGGAGGAGGGTTAATGGCCGACGACGGTGGAGATGATGATTTAGATGCTTGGGGGGATATGGATGATACACCGAAAACCGTGGAGGAAAAGAAGAATACGACTATTAGCGGGTTTGGAAGGACTACCATGACGACGACGGAGGATGATGTTATTAGTAGTTTTGCGGCTAATAAGGGGAAGAGTAGTTTACCCAAGGGATTGGGGAAGAAAACTACTACCTCTACTACTACTACTACCCCTGCTTCTAATAGTACGGGAACCGGGGCGGTTAAGAGTAGACCTATTGTTAGTCGAGCTGTTAAGCCAGCTGCTAAGAAGGTTTTACCGGCTGCTGCTACTACTACTGCTGCGAAGAAGAAGACGGAAGAAGAAGGGGATGCGTGGGGGAATGATAATTGGGATGTCGATTGGAAGTAGAATTCTTTCTTCTTGGAATTGACTTAACCCATTTTTTGTGCATGCATGATGGAGGAAGGGGAGGAGGGGTGGAAGTGGATGTATATATGATATGATATGATATGGTTATTTCCTACTACTACTATGGGGGTTTTTAACTTTTTTTTTTTTTTTTTTTTCTTAAGTTGATTATAGCCGGAGTTTTTGTTTTTGTTTTTCTTTATAAGATCTCTTCTTTCCTTTTTATATAGATACTTATATATATACTTACGTTGGTACTATATAAAAATATTCAAAAAATTTTGATTAACTCGGGGATATTCGAGCTTCGAGGCTTTTTTGTAGATGTGTAATATATATAATATACTTAGGTAAGTACTAAGTAGTTGTATAATTATAATCTAGGTCACCAAAAAAAAAAGGTGTAACTGAAAAATCTGATATAAAACCAAAAAAAATACAACGTGCAATATATATTTTTATAGAAAGAAGAAGAAGAAGAAGAAGAAGAAGAAGAAGAAGAAGAAGAAGAAGAAGAAGAAAAGGGGATTTGGAGATTAGATCGTTTTGCACGCACACTATACAGATATATAGATGTATTTTTTAAGATGGGACGGAACGGATGTAGAAATATATATGTATATATATAGTAAGTATAAATATAAATGAGAATAAAATTGAAGAAAAGCGTATTTGGTATCATCGAAGTTCGTTGCAATTGGGGAATTAAAACAGAAAAAAAAAAAAGGCAGGGGGAAGGGATATAACATGGCATAGAATAGCTATTTAGAACTCGCAACCAAAGGAGATGGGGGGGTAGAAGGGTAGGGTATGGGGGGGAGTAAAAGTAAAAAAAAAAACAGTTGATAAATAGGATAGGCATGCTATAAAAAAAAGGTTGGGATGGATGGATATAGAGAATGGCTAATGGTGAACGGAAAAAAAGAAGAAGAGTATACCCCGACGCTATTTCGGAGTGTACTCAAATAAAATCCTCTGATATAATCTAGGGGAATGCCACCGCTCCTTCGCTCCTTAAAGAAATATGAAGAAGAACGAGGAAAAAGAAAACAAAAACAAAAACACTTGTTACATATATGATCCCTATGTTGGAACTTGGTCACCTTCAGCGGGCTGGACTTCACCATTGACCTCTGCCGCCGACGTAGCCGCTGCCTCCTGATCTGCCGAGATCGAATTCAACAATTTATCCGTCGTTATCGTTTCATCGCTCGCATTACTTCGTGTATCACCTTGGCTCTCTAACTTCTTGAAGTAATTCTTCCTATGCGCTTCATCTCGTTGTAGTCGCTGTCGCTCGATTTCCATAACTCCACCTGATTTCTTTAATTTGCTCTCCTCCACGAATTTCCCGAGCTCTTGCGTAAATGGTGTCTGTCTCCCCTCCAAATCTTGCTGTCTCATCTTCTCTGCTCTCTCGATAGCTTCAAGTCTATCTGAATGGTTTGGTCTTAACGCTCTGATTTCTCCCAAAACCCCGTCTTTTGCTTGGCCGGGGTCCGCCGAATCGTCAATCGGTGGTACGTATCCTCGGCTGGCGGTTCTCACCCCGCCGGCGGGCACCTTAAGCTGCTGTTGTGTACACTCTTCCACCAACTGGAATGTTTGACTCGCCTTATCGAGGTCATCCTGCAAGTCTGCATACAGTTCATCTTGTAAATTGAAAAATTGCTGCTCCTCGCAGACCAATTCCAGTTCGCGCTCCCAGAGTTTTTTCCACAACGGTTTTTCTCGCTTAAGGTAATCGCCCATCTTGCGTAACTCCACGCGAGCGGCAACCATGTCGCGGGAAACTTGTTCGATCTGTCGGGGTAACGGTCTGACACCGCGGCTGACGACATCTTTGCGGAGTTCTTCGATTACATCTTGTAGGTCGTCGACTTTGGCGACTAGGTTGTCGGAGTCTACCGTAAATGCATCTTTTCCTGTAACTATTTTCATGCGCTGAGCGGAGATGCCGTCGGCCGTTAAGGGACCCTTTGGGGCGGTTTCCACTGGGATTTTCTTGAAAGCTTCAACTTTTGTGCGTAGGGTTTGGAGTTCGGACTTGAAATCACTAGTTAGGCTGTCATATGTTTGGCGTAGGACCGCAATGTTCTTTTGAGTAGATTTAACGCTCTTGAGCATCTCGCTGTGGTCGCCCTTCTTAAGTTTGCTTTGCACGCTGACGCTTGGGACTTTGCTTTTCATGGTTTGGGTGGGAGTAGGTGTTGTAGGTGTCATCGGTAGTGGAATAGACGATCGTTTCGAAATTTCTGCTATCGATCTTGTGTTTTCGTCTTGTGTTTCAACAATTTGTTGGATAGACTTGCCCTGCGATTCGATTGTCTTGTGGAGTCCTTCGATGACGCCCTTGAGGCCTACTATACCATCGTCGATATGGCGTTTGACTTCGTCTAGAACCTCAATATTGAGACATAAAACCGAACGGTCTTTGATGTCGTGCATATCTTCGAGTTCGTATCTGATACCGGAGTGAGCATCGTGAACGTAGATTTCCGGAAAGTCATCTCCGGATGGCGGATTGTAGCTGAACTTGGAGATGAAAAGAAGTCTTAGGCTGTTTATTGACAAATCGTCTACACCTTCGTGGACTACGACCTTCTTAACAGACCTACCGAGTTGTAAAAAGAGTGTTAACTCTTTGCTGCTCGCGGTCGTGCCTGAAGAATCGGGTCGCAGAGAAACCGCCTCTTTAGAATCATCGTGGGGGTGGGCGGTGAGGGTAGGCTCCTGTATCGATTGGCGTTTAACAGGCGGGGCTGATGGTAATTCTGCTTGCGGTGGAAGTTCTTGCTTGGGTGGTCCTGGTACTGCTACCGGCGATGTGGGTGTCTCAGGTTCTATAACTACTGCAGGCGGTGGTGGAATAGGCGCTACAGGTTCGGCAGACTTTTCAACGGGTTGGTTAGGTTCACCCGGAGCATCCTCCGGTATCGCTGGCTGGGGTGTCGGCGCTCTAGACTGTGGCCGAGATGTTTTCGTAACAGATTCCCTGGCCTTTTGCATCCCTGTCCTCATCGCATTTAGCGATTCTCTCGATTCCCGAGCACGTGGAACCGCAGACGGAGTACCAGGGAGCATCGGTACCATGCCCGGGGGTGTCCCCGTCAGCTTTGAGATATGATAGGCCGAGTATCTCCTGGATGCTCTTCGCTCGAGAGCATCTCCTCTTTGCAGAGCTGCAAGTGCATCTTGTTTCGGAGGTGGGGGTGGCTGGGGCCATTCTTCTGGCCGGGGTGGGTGTTGTTCGGCACCGTTTGGCGGAGCATTTGGATGGATGAAATCTTGCTCCGACGGCATTTGATACGAGATCGCGGCGGGCATGGGACCCTGCGGAAGAGAGGACGTCCGTGGAGGAGCTGTCCGTTCTACCTCGCTGTATGGTTGTTCTTCCATCCGATTGCTCCGCCTGATAGATGAATCTCGGTTGTTAACCTGTGGTGGCATGTATTCTCCTGCGACTGGTATATCTGGTACGCGTGCCTGCGGAGGGGCCGAGGGAATATCCCTCGGAGGCCTCGACGCTAACTTCTTTTGCTTCCGTTTGAGTCCTTGGAGTAAATTTATTATTATTTCCCTAATTCTTGGGAGATATATTTCCAGGCTTTGTGGTGAAGCCTCTGGCTGACTAAGGGTGCTCTCGAGCACGGTTCTTAAGATTTCCGGGACATTGCCCAGATCGGCAGTCTCGACGCCGATAGCAGTGAAAGCCCGACATGCTATGTTGAAATGAGAACCGAGTTTCACATAGACATCCGAGACATCTTGTTCGCTAGCTTGCCCTCTCGACCATCTGGTGAGGGTTTCTAGGAGTTCCTTGGTGGCACGGAGAAGGTTCGTAACGCTTTCCTCGATTTTACCGAGCTGGGAGGAATGAAATTTAATTAGTTAAAAATTATTAATAGACGGTGGTTTGGGGGGAAAGTCACCGTATTATGCGGCGACTTGCTCTGTTACTTGGTGTAAGGGAGGGTTCTTACATTACTCTCCGGCCGTGGAGGCCTTCCTGATACTGAAGAGGTGGACATTGTTGAGGTGAGGCCGTTGCCCTGGTGTGGTGGGCTCCCTTGGCTCCCTGGGTTTCTCCTTTGTGATGACCGAGAGTACGGACCTGCTTGCATCTATTCGGTGGTATAGGTTGAAATGTGGTTGGTAGAGAGGGAGAGAGATAAAGGTCGAGGAGAGAGTGTGTATATGTGGTTGGATGTGTGGGGGTCGGCTATGTCGTTTCCCGCAATATACTTGAGGATGAATATAATGACGTACTTGAGTCGGTATAAAGAGGTATCTGGCAGAAGAAACTGGGCGATACTGGTATCTGATGAAGTTAGCGGAGGTTATAGAGGTAGTGCATGTGCTGCGATGGGTAATAGGTAGGTAGGTGGAGGTTGAAGGTTGGTGGTTGGTGAAGATCTGATGATATGATGAGGTTTGACTGACATGTTTGTGGGGTTTTTCTTGGTGTGTGCGACGGGGAGCACCGACTGAATTAACCACCAAATGTTCCACGGGAAAATAACCGAACCCGGCCTGCCTGGCCTGCCTGGCTGCCTGCCACAGCGCCTGTTTCGTTTCGTCTCGTCCCGTTGTTTTATAAAACCAACCCCCCGGACAAAATCTCGAGATGGGAGACGAGATCTTGATGGACGGATGGATGGTAGAAGGGTGAGAAAGAGGAGGAAGAGGAGGAGGAAAAGGAAGAGGAGGAGTAAGATGATGATGCTGGGCTGATATACTCTGTATGGTACAGCTATTGTATGTAAGAGGTCTGGTGCAGTTCTCACGGTTCCAGTTACTTAAACGGCCACTTTCGAAATACACCACGAATGACTAGCCCGGTCCACAAGATATAATACTAGCTCCACTCCGTGAATCCTCTGATATATACTAGTATGGTATGTATAATACTTAATATATGTCAAACTACAACAATTGGATATGCTTGTATGGGTGGATATATGGGTGCTGGTTAGGCAGATGGGACAATTTTGATTATATATAAATTTAAATAAAAGAAATAGAAGACTGTTTTTTCTTTCTTCTAGAACCCCGGCTTTATAATAGATGCTATACTGAATAGGTTACGCACTACTTACTTCTAGAATACCGTTAGTGGAATTCGAAAGGGGCGAGAAATGTTAGCAACGTTATTAGTTGGTTGGATTGTAACTGTTCACACGCCATGCTTTCAGAGGTCAGCGACAGATACCCGAGATGCATGGAATGGAATTCCCATTAGATTCCCGAAGGATTAGAAAGTATCAAGGAGTGTGTCCTTTCGCTAGACCCCTTGAAGGGGAACAGGAAAAGGAAGCTGGAACTCGAACCCGAACTCGAACTCGAACTCAGGTTCCTGAATATGGACTCTTGTATTGGTATTCGTGTTCGTCCATGCATGTGTCTTGTCTTAACATCGTGGCTCGGTAGGTATAGTAATGATGAAGTAAGGAGTAATTATACTTCTGAAAATGGACAGAGACAATGAGGCTCATGTGATATCTGCTTGCATATACCTAGAGTTAGCTAACTGTTGCATTGCATTGTCAGTTGACATGACCTGCAGTTATGTCCACCCCGCCAGGCATACTTAGCGTATATTCATCCCCGAATACATAGTAGCATGTACTTGTTATATGTCAGTTATAACGTTAGTGGTCTACATCATAATAGTAATGTAAAGTGGTTGACTTTGTTGTGGTAGTGGTTGTGGTTGTGGCCGTGGGTGGAGTATCAACAAGTGACCTTTCACCCTTCTCAGAAGCTCACACTCTCCCCGGCCTCCCTTCAGACTGACCGACGGTAAGAAATAGTAATTCTAATAAACACCAAAACCACCACAAACAATCATCACCACCACCACCTCTAACTCAACATCGCCATCTTCTTCTTCGGCTTCATCACTTCTCCCCTCCTAAAGTCATTCACGACAATACCAATTCCAATTCCCCACCCTTAGATTCACAACCCTCCCCCTGCAGTGCCTGGCATCATCCTCGTACCGTCTTCTATCAGGTACTAGCATACAGTACCTTCTCTTTTGTCTGTCCGTCTCTGCAAGTCAGAAAGAACGACTCGGGAAGCTCCACAAAACCAAAACCACAACCTCTCCTATCCTATTACATCCCACTATACCTCATCCGACCCCTCCTTCAATTCAGCCTCGACTCTATTATCATCAGGCACGTATCAAAGCCTCACACCACAACCACCACCACCCTCGAATCGTGTTTCTGAGAGGTTTTATCTTCTATTGGAAACTCAGCAAATACGCTCCTCGAGTCTACAATACCGACTCTTCTCTCCCTTTCGCGTTCTTTCTCCACACTTTTGAAAGGGCCTTTCCTCCTGTTCTTCTTGCCTGGTCCTTTTTATCAGACGCTCTTCTCCCTTTTTTCTTAACTTTGGGTCCCACTCTTATTCTGTTCTAGCTTCCACCTCTCTTTTTTTAATATCTCTTCCATTTCACATCTTACGGCCGTTTTCTTATTTACTATATTCATTCTATCGATACGGAAGCTGGTCTCCTCCTCCTCCTTCTCCTCCCTCCTCCTGCTTCTTTTTTTAAAAAAAGCTTGTAGCTTTAATTAGGTATTGCGGGCGTTTGTTCGTTCAGGTTCATCCTTACCCGCCCCAAATCCCGCCCACACAAGACACTCTCACACCCACACGGTGAACTTGTCGACCAAACGATCCCCGACAATCCTTCTTCGCCGACCAGCTGGATCCCTCGCATCTCGCCTTTCCCGATTGATACTATCTTCTGGAAGCTGTATTCTTCCTTCTTCGGGATACCGGGATTATTTGTTGGGTGACTGGCGTGGTTTCTCTTCGTGTTCTGTAAGATATCCCCATCAGTTTTCGTCAACATACTTCCATCATGTGAGGCTCCCTTTCTTTTTCTTTCTTTCCTCCTTCTTGCTCTCTTCCTTCTAGAGCTTCTTTCTTTTAGACTACCAATTGGCTATCTAAATATGTGATGGGTCGCTCTCGCCTTTTTTTGGCTTCTTTTCTTTTCCCCGTCCCTGCTAACACCGCCGATTTCACCCATAGTTCATCACGGACCAGGAACCACCGAACCCTGACCCTGACTCTTCCCCGCATAATAATCGCCTCGTGTCAGGAAGCTTCAGCTCCCCGTAAACATAGCTTAATCATAATCGCTACACAGCTACCCATTCATACAGAATGGCGACAACGGCTGCGCCAGCACCATCCACTTCCGGCCAACCAGCTGGGCCTGGAGGTCGACCCCAGATTAAGGTTGGGTCGAACCCGAACATGAACAGGCGGAACGTGCAGAGTCCCGTTGACGGCGGGCAAAAGTAAGAAGCTCCAAAAGATCACCATTGATTACCCCACTCCCGAATGTCACACGCGACTTACCATATCTTAATTGTACAGCAAAAGAAATACTACCCACAAACCTTGGGGCCAGCAAAACCATTCTGGTGGACAATCAAAGTACCAACCACCGAATGCCATCAACAACCAAAAGAAACTAGCGGAGACCGACACGTCGGATAAGCATATGAACGACCGAACCGTTTACCTACTGGGAAATTGTGTGGTATGTAAACCATCTGCGATGCATCTCCCCGTTTCAATTGTCCACCTGTGAGAATGCGTTCGCTTACGCTATCTCTTTACTATTTTAGGGTAGAAAGGCTGTCGCGACCATCAAAAGCGGGGCCCAATTTCAGGGTATCTACTCGGGTTCTGCTATGACTGGTGACTTCGGTTGTGTTCTGAAGTTTGCCAAGCAAATACGGGGACCACAAGGCGAAGAGGACAATTTTGTCACCGGATATATTGGTGGAGGATTTGAGAAAACCCTCATCATTGAGCCAAAGGATTTGATGGATCTTGAAATCGCTGATGTTCCCTTGGAGTCGGGAGAAGTTTTCCCCAACCAGAATGGTAATACCTCCCTGTTAGTAAGATATTATATCTCTTGGCTATCTCTAAAATAACTGCCCTTGCGACTCAGGCACCGGTCAATTTAAGACAGATGTTGAGATATCCGGCAACCAACCCGTTAGAGAACGCGAGCTTCAGCGGTGGCAAGCCGATGATGGCTCTGGTGGTCTCGGATTGGAAGAGAACCCTGAGTCACGAGGCCCGGAGAAGAAATGGGATCAGTTTGAAACCAATGAGCGGCTCTTTGGTGTAAAGAGCGATTTCGATGAGAATATCTATACAACATCGATAGATAAAAGCCATCCCTCATACCAACAGAGGGAGGCTTTAGCCGCTCAGATCGCCCGAGAAATCGAAACCAGCGGCAATGGCGGCGCGATCAGCGCCCACCAGGCAGAAGAACGTGGGTTGAAGGTTGACGATAGCGGGTTTGACGAGGAGGATAAGTATAGCGGTGTCCAGCGTGCCGCACCTCCTGCAACAACAACTACTCCGGGCACACAGAAGTATATGCCACCCGCTCTGCGGGCTCAAGTTTCCGCGCCACCCGCCGCACCATCACCGGCGCCGGTTGCTAAAGATGCGCCGAAAGATGCGCCGAAAGACGCCGTTATTAGCGAACCTACTACCACTCAAACAGTTTCGGAATCATCTGGAAAGCCCGAAGCAGCAAAGAAACCAACAGCTACTACTACCCCTGCCGCTTCTGCTAGTACTACTACCAGCACTACTAGCGCTACTCCCGCTGTTGCGGCAACCCCGGCTGTTACCACCCCCATCCCAACAATCACAGAACAAGCTCCTTCGCCTCAACCCCCATCTATCTCTTCATTCAAGCCTGAAGAACCTAAGCCCAAGGACAAAGCTCCGCTCCCTGAGTCTGTCAAAAAGGCGTCTATTCCAGTTGCTGTCCCTATCATCCCAATCCATAAGGGCTCTGAAGGTTCCGTGCAAGTCCCTACTGCAGCCCCTGTGGGGGCTTCGGATACACTAGTAAGGGTAAAAGATGCTTTCCGACAATTTGGAGCTACGGAACGCGAGCGTGTAGAGAGAAAACGGCAGCAAATGGTTAAGAAGGATAAAGATGTTAAGCTCCAAGATCTTAAGAAGTTCGCGCAGAGCTTTAAACTCAATACTCCTGTACCTCAAGATCTCGTCCCTATCCTTGCTAAGGACAAAGCGAAGCAAGATGAGATCATCGAGAAGTCAAAGGCTAATGCCGCCGCTCACGCTCAAGTCAAGAAGCAACCTCCCACGTCGCAAGCTACCACTGGTACGGCTGCCGCAGGTATTCAATCGAGTCTCCGAACCCCGATTCCAGCTCCGCCTAGTCAAGCGGCAAACACCAGCACACTGTCAGGTCAGAATATTCCGCTACCCGATAAAAACGGGCTCAGCAAGGCTCCAATCCCAGGAATTCCCCCACGACACCCTTCCGGATATCGCTCTGATAGGCCGCAACCTCTTCCAGCTAACATGAACTTACCTCCTGCTCCAGGTCCCCGTCTCCTAAGCGATAAAATTAGACATAATCAGCAGATGAAGCAAACCGGCCAATACGGAAACATGCCTGCCCCGATCCCCGTCGTTGACCATTCTACTCCTCCACCTACTGGGCCCGCCGCCATGCAACCTAAGGCCTTCTCGCCAACAGGTCCGAAGCCGAACCCTCGGGCTCTGGAATTCCGTCCAAGCCCCTTCGCCGCAGTTTTCACCCCTGGTACAAACGGATCTGCTCCCGCCGCCGCTCCAACAACCGCTTCTCCGGCCCCCTCGACTTCATCGCGTGCTACTAGCCCTTCAGTGTTCTTCGGTTCAAAGAAGCCCAAGTCAGTCGAAGAGAGGGTATCTGTTAGCAATACTTTCGATCCATTTAAGAGAATGAAGCAGGAAGCCGAGCAAAACAAAGAAAAGGCGCCTACTAGTGGTGACAAACACCATTTGATTCAAGGTTTCATCGTCAAGCCATGGTCAACTCTGCCAACTTGGTCGGTGAAGCCTGAAAATGCAGAAAAGAAATATGCAGAGGTGTTCGAAAAGAGCGAGCCTTCGACAGCCGCCGCGACTCCTCAGGGTCAAACCCATCAGAACAACAATCATCCGCCACATCACCCACCTCACCCAGCAGGGCATCCTATCCCGACTCATATAACTCAAAACCCACATATGCCCCATGAAAGGCACCCTGGCCCTCATATCCCAACATTCTCCGGCCCGACTCCGCATTTTGGAGACGAGCCACATGGCCGGCATGTTAGCTCCCCACCAAATGTCCTCCCTTCTCCTTCAATGCAAAACGCAAGCATCCCTACACAATTCGGCTCTCCCGGGGCTCACCATGCCATTGTTTACCCGAACCACGGGCAGGTGCCACCGCATTACGGAGTCTTGGGACAAAACGGACAATTCGGTGGATATCGAGGGGGGTATGCCGCCGGTCCGCAATTCATGCAACCGCCCGGAGCTGCCGGCGGTGCATCGCCAATGGTGATGGGTGCCCAAGCGCAGACACCTATTCCGTTCATTATGCCAGGGATAGGGGGGCCATTCATCCAACCACAAGGAATGTACTCTCCTCACCAGATACATGCCTACCCTGGTCAGCCTGCGGGTCCGCCGCCGCCGCCCTCTGGTGGATACCCTAGTCCAGGGAGAGGCGCCCCGATGATGATGCACCAAAGTTCACAACAGGGGCACCAAACACCGGTTCCAGCTCCGATGATGCTTAGCATGTCTAGTGGACCGGCAGGTCATCCGTCCCAGCACAACAGTAAGAACCCCAGACCGCGATATACCTGAACTAAATTCATTACTAACTCGGCGGATTAGTGATGCGACCATTCCACGGCCCTCCACCTTTCAACCAGCACCCAGGGGGCCAACACCATCCGCAGAATCAGTACGGACAACATCCAGGTGGGCGAGGTGGGGGCGGTTACTCGCACCACAATAACCTACCTGGCCACCTACCCGGACCATCCAATATCTCTCACGAGAATACCGAAGAGTCGAAATAAGTCGACAAACTCCCATTCCTAGGCATATTTCCATACTTTCGGGTTTTAATTCTACGATGGTACGATTCTACGAATGTGATGATTGCACAGCTAGCGCGGACCGAAAAAAGCATGATGAATTGCATTGATGGCGTGAACGGCGTATACATTATTGTGTGTGATTCTAGGGTGTATCCGCGCCCTTCAATCTCTTTGTAAAGATACCAATTTAACCTTCTATATTTTTCACATTCAATATTATTATTATCTTCGTTTCTAAAAAATTCCCATTCATTCTTATTTTCGTTTGGGAGTGCCAGCATCCCCGCGGCCCTTCGTCTCCCTCTCCAACCTGTCCGAGGGTCGGGAGGATTGCGTTGATAACGAAACCGATATTGTACCCTTAGGCTATTTGTATCATGGATGCATGTCGGAGTTCTCTTGGGCGAGTTCAAAAACTGAGATCTCGAATGTCTATCTGTCTATCTATCTACTTAAGTATCTATCTTTCACTCCAGTTGTCTCGTAATACCGGTTTAACTACAACTTAAGCTTTCTTGCATGTATGTTTTACCATGCAGACGGGTCTTCTTTCGTTCGTGAAGGTATAATATGACGGGTATCTTCGTAAAAACAATTAAAATGCAAACTCGTAAATATAAACGCCAATGCCGTTCTGATTTCCAAACCCTTTTTGAGGAGACCTGCTCTCATAAAGCCCAACCCTGCTAGTTCCACAGTATTGCTTATAGCCACGAATCTATAAACTGAGCAATAGGACTGGGTTTTAGTTCTGTCTTGAAAGTTGCTTTCATTATAACCCTTCTTCCCTCCCCCTTTTCTTTATCGATACTCCGGTTCCGCTTCAGCGGCCTGCTGGTCGTCGTGTAGTTGCGTAGGTATTCTAACAAGCATTTCAGGGTAAACTTGCTTTCCTTGGGTTTCTTCGTCGCCTTCGTCCATCTTATCTTCGTCCATATCCGTTTCTTCGGGTTGCTTGGGAGGTTGCTGCAGATGGGCTGAAGCTAAACTTATGGCTCTCAGCACATTATGCCAGTTTGCTAGGACCGTAGCTACCACTATAACAAACCCCAAAATAAGACAATTAGCACCTTCCTTCTTATTACTAAAAGGTCCTTCATACGACGAGCGTAGAAAACAAAACAAATAAAATAAAATAAAATAAAAGAATACCTTCACTTCCGTCTGACAGCGTCCCAAGTTTTGCTTCAAGCTCTCTCAGCTGCTTTGCCAGGTTTGCAGACAAATCGCGTAACTGCTTTAGATTTTCCAGCTCGATTTTCTTTTCATTGATACGGCTTATCAGCTGGGGTTGTTGTGCCCCGGCTCCACCTACTCCTCCGAAGGCGAGTTGAAAACCCGGACCGACGGAAGATTGGCGGAAGTGGGTTGAATAGCGGTTTGCCATTGTTTGGATGTCCACGGGGTAGGAGGTGAAAGAAAGAAAGATATGATGTTGGATGGTGTGGTTTAGTGGTGTGGGTATTGGTCAGATTGGGGTGTGTATGTACGGCATAACTGGGGTAGCTCATGGAGCTCTTTTGGTGTTGTGAATCGAACCATACGAGTAAGCAATTATATATACACGAGAAATCTTAAAAAGGACTCCATAATATGACATTAAACTTAAATAATCCAAAGATAACTGAATAAACTCCAAAACTTATGGACCATATGCCCGAGAGAACGAGAAGAAGAAGAAGAAGAAGAAGAAGAAGAAGAAGAAGAAGAAGAAGAAGAAGAAGAAGAAGAAGAAGAAGAAAAATTATGATTGTAAGATAGACAATTGGCTGATCAAAGCACCGGCTTGTTCATCCGTACCCGCCTCACGCTCAGGCTCAATCAATAGCTTAAGTCTGATATCGCCAGCTTCTGTCTTCCCCAAAGACAACGATACCTTGAAGTATTTCCCTTCTTCAGGCGCACCACCAACAATGTCCATGCCTTCACATGTATCTCTAAGATATGAAGCAACAGATCCGTGATCACACGTACTTAATATTCCGTAAGATCTTGTTCTGTCGTTGTTAGAATCCGAATCCGAATCCTCGGCATAAACATCCATTCCATCGATATATAGCTCCGTCCCCGGTTTCAACAAAGGATCAGATAGGTATATAGTCAAATCAGCCTCAGGCGACCAATCTACTACCTCTCCAGCATCATTCCTGTGGAAAACACAGGGTGTAAATCCGGTTGGGGTTTTGACAAACCCAGTGCGGTATGCTACAACATTGTGGAATTTTGGCTTTTGGGCAAAGGTGTTTCTTTCTGATTCTTCTTGTACCGAAGCTTTGTAACAATCGTCTAGAAGAGTATCGGATGTGTCGATGTAATGTTGCCAGGTTTTGCAGACCTGGCGGAGGATGGATTGTTGTAGCCAATCCGAGGACTCCAGGATTAGGTATTGGACTTCGAGGGGGAGTTCTGGGAGGAGTTGAGGTGGGTGCATATGGGACATGGTTCCCTTTGTATATTGTTGATGTCCTTTGAATTCCTCAAGTAGGCAGGCGATTATATAATAAAAAAAGTATCGCTTGATGTAGTCGATTTAATAATTCAAAGCAGACCGATGATTCAGTAACTATATTTGATGTGGATGCATGGAATATAACAATGGTGGCAAAGACTGGATGCATCTGGAACCTGGGCCCGTCTTAGTACCCAAACTAGGACTTATAATTCGATACAATATAAAGAGTGTCTATAAAAAAAAGCATTGCTCAATCGGAGGCTCGCCATTGTTTAAGTACTTTTGCCTCCCCCTGATAGAACTGGTATTAATTGATCAACAAAGCCTACCTGTTCAATTGGTCAAGTGCCGCGGGTCCCACTTCTACAGCTTGTAGTTAAAATGGGGGTTTTCGAAACGGATTACATGATTACAGCTGGTATACCTCTTCTATTTGACAAGATTGCGACTGTTACACACGACGAGGTTCCGTCCGGCAGAGGGGCAACCGACTAGATTGAGGGGGAAAAGGAAAAGAAGGGCTTTGAAGGGCGTCCCGTATTTAATATTGCAGCTGTCAATTTCCGTTCAAAGTATTTCGAAACAAAACTAGATTCTAAATTCTGAAGCTCGTTCCGAAAGAACATTCTATTTTTTGGACAAAGGTGGGGTCCGTCGCGGGGCGGAACCTTCTTTTTGGCCTTTAGTCCAGGTTTTGGTCCCTTTTCTCTCTCTCTCGTTTTTTTTTCCTTTTTTGCCGTTGGCATCAACACGTTTTACACACGAGACCAAGGATTATTCCGGTTTTCTATTGTTTTTTCTAGGCCCTACTAGGAGGCGGGCACCGAGACTGGAATTTTTGCCACAATGGGTAAATGTAAAACCGGTGAGGGTGGTGTTTTATGCACTATCTTCGTACGTTAGCATGGTTTGTGTCTTTTTTCTTTGGTAAAAAAATAAAAAATAAAAAAAAGAGAGAGAGAGAGAAAGCATGGAATAGAAAGGATTCATGTAAATCCTTTCTAGTGCGCTAATTATTAATATTTTGTTACCCATAAGGTCGTCTGGAAAGATCGGATGACGGAAAAGAGAAAGTGCATGTTGACTGTTGGCAGCGCACGGATCTTTGAATATAAAGAATATTACTAACTATCGAATATCGCATTAAAAATCACAAATCTTGCCTACGGGCACATGTTTTCCAACTTTCTTCAAGCCATCCTTTTCTTTTCCCGTGTTTTTTTTGTGCTTAAGTATTTAGGTTTTACTAGGACCTAGTTCTCGACGGGGAAAAAAACCAAGGCACGGGCCGGTCGAAAGCCCCAAAACTCGCTAACTCGCATCACTTTGAGGGTTTATTGTTGCTTAAACTAGTCCTGAGTTGGGGATCGAGTCGATGAGAGACTTGAAATCGAGATCCCTGCATGTGTGGCTTATCTAGGGTTTAGGGGGTTTGGGTTCAAGAGGTGACGGTCCTGCCAAATCACACTAGTCAAGCATCTTCTTCTTCTTCTTCTTCTTCTTCTTTTTTTTGAATACTTCATAGGCCACTGCTACTATTTCTGATGAAATGGTTACAACAAAGAGCTGGTGCATGTGATCTAGCCTAGGTCAGCTTGAGAAGGAAGATGGTTGTGGTTTCGATACTACCTTGTTCGATGCAATGGAACGTCTAAGCTAGTAGGTATAAAGCACGTGGAATTGACAGAGATAAGGTGATTTTGATTTAATTTAATATTTCCTTCGGGACGCTCGGGTGATTCAAAGTAGTCTTATGTTTCAAGAATGACCTTCTAACTGAGGCGCCTGTACCGGCCTTTTGACCAATACATACATTCAATATGGGGCACGTGAAGGAGTTTTTTTGATCTTAATATTGATATTGTAATTGATTCTCGTAGATTTTAGACTAAGAGCGAAGATCTGTAATCTAGTGGGATTATCCACAATATGCATATTCCGTCTACTGTTACGCATCTTTCTCTGATTTTCTTTCTTGCTTTGGGGGATATTGTGAATAAATGTGGACGACCTATTTGTTGCTTAGCTTAGGTAATTTGATGAGGCAAAAAAAAAACACAATAATTGAGGGGTGACAGTGCATATATTCGCATTAGGGATGCTCTGATGAATACCCACTATGTACACTTTATGCGGTCTAGATGAGTGGCTAGTGGCAGCGAGACCTTAGCTTTGATATAAATGGCTGTACTAACGTTGCCTTTGGCAATTATGCGTGTTGTGTGGCGGTTGTGAAGATAATGTCATGGGATCATTTTGGGCTTCAAAAATGGAATTGAAACCTCCGATATAAGGTTTTTTGACATACTTCTCTCCTCCGAAGTCAAGGCGCCCCCGAGATATATATTCAGAGTATTGATGATGATGCTAATGTGATGACAAGAACGATGATAGTGATGATGATGATGGTAATTTTGTGTTGTTGGAACCAAATTACAACATGTGTGTTGCGCCTGCCGAATAGAGACAGAAACGGGCATCCTAATCGGGAACTCTGTTTGTTATTATGGATGGAGTTACCCTGCTCAACCTGGCCTGACCTGCACCTGTCTCGACCTCACGTTTCACGATCGAATAAAAATAAAATATCTTCTTCCGAACAAGAACTACCAACACCAGTTAGAACCACTACCTCTTCATACCCCTCGATTTATTTTCTTTCTGGTTTCAGCTTCCTTGCTTCTACTTCCGCTTCACCTTCTACTTCTTATTCTTCTTCTTTCTTGGACACGCGTTTTGGAGAAGGAAAAAAACAACAGTGACATTCCGATAATTGTTCCGACACTTCAACCTTCAATCATCTTGAATCAACATCCTACTTCTAACACCTCTTCATTCATCTCGTCTACCAGAAACAAGAAACTATTTCCCGAAATATCTATTATCGAAATCCTATTTACTCACTCATTATTATATGAGAACGAAAGATACATATATTTAGAAAAAAAATATGGCGAAGCTGAGTAGTGCCAACCAACAGCCTGGTTTGGATGACCTTGAATCCTGTATGATTCTGTCCCCTTCAATTGTCATGCAATTGTCTCCTTAAATCTAACCTACTGCCCCTGCTGCTTCCTTTGATAGTGAAACGGCGATACCAGCGACAAAATAGGGAGCTTGCTAGGTATGTGGATATCGATTCTTTCTCATTTGAATTTTTTGTTTATTGATTTCTCCCCCCTAAAGAGTATTATCAGTCTAATAGTTATGTCTACAGAGCCAATGCTACTCAGCAACAAACAATATCCGCTCTTAATTCTGAAATCTCCCAGCACTCCACAGAAAATCTCCGACTGAGAGCCGAGATTATAAGTCTACGAAAGCAACTCGACGAAAGAGATGCTCAGGGCTTGACACCCGTATCTACAAAAGCAAAAACGCTACTTCAAGAGAAGTTGGCAGAGATTACAGGCCTAATAAACGAATTGAGTGAAAATGGGGTAGATCGTAAAACACGGATCCCTGGTATGTCCTTGATTCTGATTATTGTCTTTCTTTTTCCTTGAGACAAATGTTGATGATTTGGAACCATAACTCTAGGTAGCCGATTCCCGTTAGCTGTTAAGCCGGATCTTACTGGCCGAGAACGACCAGAAGGGTTTCTTTGCGATATTCCTGAATATAACGAACGTGTACCACCTACCACTCCAAGACGACCATTTGTTTGCCTCGGACCTCGCGTGGATGCTATAGTCCGAGCCGCCGAGGAAGGATCACCAATCAAGGATTACTATCTTCCCCTGCAAGAATTAAATTCGGGCATGTTTGACGTTCGACCCCGACGCAAGAGGAATAGCAATAGTTCGGAATTCCTGATTGCCGGAAGGATACCGGTATCGAGCTTCAATGCCGACTTACAAGATGGCGCAGCTGCGTCACCGCAAAAGAGAAAGTGGGATTCAGTGCTTACGAATGAAGAGTTGAATGCCATTTTGCGCTCGCCTATGGTCAAAGACTTCGAACTTATGCGCCCCGTAACCCCACCACCGGCTGATTCTGAGGAGATTAAGATGACTCTTTTGACAACAGACGGGAAGGAATCTAAGGACATTGATACTGAAGCTCCGTTTAAGAAGGGAAACAACTCCGAAGCCTCGCCTACTAAGCTCGACTTGGCTACAGCATCTCGATTCTTATCCTCTAACCGAAAGAGTTTAGAAAGTGTACGACGTCTGGCTACGCCTGAGTTGGAGCCAACTCCTGAGCCCGAGCCCGAAATCGAATTGGTACCATCGCCTCCCGCGCTGGCACCAGCCCTTACGCTAGAGCCATTGGCGGAATCTCGACGCGCTCTCGAGCCTAAGTCCACCAACGTCCATGCCGGCCTTTCACCCGCTAAGCTACCAACAGTTGCGGATTTCGAATATGTGAAGAAGGATAAGACCTCTCCCAGAGATAGGGAATCTGTGAAAAAGGCTAGCCGACTTTCGTCCAAGCCGATTGTTGTACAAGGGGTTGAGAATGCTATGATCGAGGAGAAAGTTACCGGAGCTGAGAGAAGCCGGCGGACCAGAGGAGTTGCAGTTAATTATGCCCTCCCTGCATTAAATAAAAAAATGAGAAGAGATACCGAGGCTCTGGTTGATGCAGTTACCGGTATTAAACCAAAGCGGCGAACTTCAACTGCTGAGGAGGGGGCTGTTGAGGACATCGAGAAGAGGACTAGTAAGATGAGCATTCATTATGATACGAATCGTGAAACCGAGCGACCTAGGAATATCCCCGATCGATCCGGAAGTAGAATGTCTGAGCAAGAGCTTGAGAAGATGATGACAGAGAAGATTAGGGATACAGACGGAGACCGGGATAGGGAAAGGGCAGCTCGCATCAGGGAAGCTCGCAAGGACTTATATGAATTCACGACGGCTAATTCTTCCGCGACTGATGCTCTCGATATCGCGAGGAGGACATCGCTCGGGAGCCACCAAAGGAGGACCTCCGGGAGCCTTTCAGGAATCTCAGCTATCAGTAGTAGCAAAAGAGAAGGTGACAAAACGGCAACGTCATCAACATCCTCAGGAAATGTGAAGTCTGCCAGCGATATCATTGAGGAAAGACGACGGAGAAGGGCTACTCTTGCTGCTACTGGAACATCGGCGACCACTGCTTCTACTGGAGAAGTGAAGGCTAGGAAATCCGTGGAGTTCGTCGGCTCAGTGATTGATAGGGAGAATAGTGGTGTCACAGATAGGAGAAGGAGGAGCATGGTTGTCTAATAACTGGTAGCTTTCTTTTCTTTCTTCCTTTCCATGAACCTACCCCCGCTTTTCTCTGTCCCTTCTTCCCTCCTTCTCTATTGCTCTTCTCTCTCTCACACATACACGAAACACATTCCTTTCCAAATCTCCTTTTCTTTTGTCCCTCCAAACTCTGTTGACTTTTTCCTTTTAACGACCCGGCCATTGCTTCCTTTGGCTGTTTACGACACATTTGATTTGTTGATAACTGAAGGGCATATTGTCTATAATCTTTCTCGCCCTTCACCCGCAATTCACCCCTGACACCTTTTTGAGCCCTTTGAGCTTTGTTGAAGCATGCATGGCGTTTTTGTTTTTTACTCCCTGTTGTATCGAAATGAACACTGCAACATTCTGGATATTTTGTGTTTTTTTTTTCCACATGACCCCTTCTCTTCTTCCTCTTCTTCAAACTTCAACTCCCTCTGGCGTTATTTTTTGCCAATGGTGGCTTGTCTTAGTTTTATACTTTTTTTTTTTGATACTTGAGGATTTAATTATTATTTTTTATTCTTCCTCTTATTTTCGAAGCAAAGATTAATTATGAAATTTTGTCTTGTTGTATTAAACTACTACTCTCTTGGTATCCTGCATAATCGAAACACTTATATATGTTTGGTGCTCACCCTCCTTTCCTTATGGATGGAATCCTAAGCTTGTTTAGTGAATTTGACGAATTACGCTATCAGAAATTCTTAGCTATTGTATACTTTTCCAATTACTATTTCATGCATGGAGACATTGTTTTGTTTTATTTGAAGGGTATATAGAATTCGTAGACGGTATTTTCTAAAGGCCAATGTATGAATAACATCCGAAGAGTCGAGACTAGTATGCAGCATCGATGTAATATTGCCATTTATTCTTCAAAGAAAGAAAAAATGCGGGTTACGCTTCCAACGGATCCGCAGAGAGGAAGCAAGATAGGATATCGTTCCAAAAAAAAATAACGAGGAGAGGGAAAAAAAGGAAGAAAAAGGAAAGGAGCGAGGGAGAAAGGTTGGGGAAGATCAAAACCAGGATCTCCATTTCATTTCATTTCATCGGATTCCAAATATTAAGAGCTATTGCTTAGCTCGAGCTACCTAACTATTGAGATGCAATTTTTTTTTTTTGTCCCCAAATACACAGAAGAAGCTAGAAAGAAGGGGGGCCAATCACTCAAGAGAAACCTATCATTCAAACCAAAAGGAAACGGCAAGAGCGACGAAACCAAGAAAAAGAATAGAAAATAAAAAAAGTAATAGTAGAAGTTAATAACATGAATACAAAGGAAAGGAATGCAAAACCCAAAGAGAATCGCTGTTTAAAAGTTCTTCCCCGTTTCCATCTAAAACGAGCGATAAAGATTTTTTTGATTTTTTTTCACTTCTTGTTTCTACTTAGTCGTAGTTGTGTTTTTCGTTCCAGTTTCCTGCGGTCCCGTCTTTGTAGACGTAGTCTGGATATTGTCATGTTCATCATCCGAATCTGCTAATTGGAAGGGGTCATTCGAAATAGGCGTTGGATCCACAGTTGCTAGGGGAGCCCATTTACTACCAGTTGTCGGAGCCGGTCCCGTAGCACTCGCGGGGTTTGAAGAATTTGTATTGCTGGTGGTAGTAATTGTGGGTTTTCGGTAAAGGTCTTCTTCGGATTGCTCAGCGAAGCCAACGGTTTTGCGAGGGGCGCCAGATGGGTTTGTGGGGTTGGAGCCGAAGAGATTTGGATTAGCGAGGGGCCGGCGGCGGGGTTCTTATATATGCAACGTCGACTTAGTATTTGCTTCAATCATACCTTTTGGGAATATGTATGGGGAGAGTTTCGTTGTGCATACCGTCACTGTTGTCCCTTAACTCTAGGTGACTAAAGTCGCCTTGTATAACCTCTGGATCTGCGTCGTATCCTTCGCCGGAACGCCTACTCGAGTACCGTTGTGGATATTGTTGCGACCTTTGACCCTGGCCTTGAGCTTGGCCCTGACCTCTTCCAGCGCCATAATGCTGCTGCTGCTGCTGCTGCTGATTTTGTCCCTCTTCCTCCTCACCTGTAATCTTCTTGCTAAAGTCGGTAAGGAACTTGTTGAATTTTGTTTGGGTATCTAGGAAGCCCTTTTTCAAGTTGTCACGAAGAACGGGGAGATCGTCTGTAAGTGTTGGGTTAGTTATCGTATACCAAGTTAGAGTGCATGAGTGTGTGGTAGTATTACCATCAAAGAACGAGCGCTCTCTATCGTCCTCCTCCTCCTGAGGATGCTGTCTTCGTCTCTGTTGTTGCTGGTGTTGCTGATGTTGCTGTTCAGGATAATTCCCATAGCCACCACGACCCTGACGGGATTCACGGGATTCACGGGGAAGACCACCGTAATGTTCTGCGAGTTGTCGGGCATATAATTCGTCGGCTTCCATCTGGGAAGCTGGGGTCGAGGTCTGTGGTTGAGCTTGATCATTGTAGACATTTGCAGGGTTATAATGGTCGCTTGATCTGAAGTCGCGGGGTTGCTGCTGTTGTTGGCGGGGGCGGGGTGGTTGTGGTGGTGGGGTTTCTTCGATTTCGACGGCGGCAGAGGGGTCTGACATGCCTATTTTCTTAGATGTTAGTTTATAATCTTTCTATACTATCGCATAATAGCAACGGTGACAGGAGTAATAGTATTACCTAGTAGGGCGTTGAATGCAGGCTCAACCCTTCCTCCCGAAGCCGTCAAAACAGCCTTAATAACGGAAACATCGATATCCGGAAAGGCCTCAGCCAAGGTCGCAACATTTTGTTCAAGCTTTGACACAGGTCTTGGAGGTTTTGGAGGAGGTACTTCTTCTCCTTCCTCTGCTACAGATTCAACCGTTGGTGCTGGAGGGGCTGTTACTGTTTGAGAGGCAGCGGGGGGAGCTGTGACGGTTGGGACATCGGTGGATTTAAGGGGTTTTGTAGTGGTCGGTTCATCTAGTGGTTCTTCGCGGAGGAGACCGTCATCGGGAGATGGAGAGCGTTCTTTGGGAGGGACGACGGGAGGAACGTCCTTTGTTCAGATGTATTGTTAGTATAGGCGTGAATATAGGGGGTATGCAAGCTTGCGGTGGAGGTACCTTATCTGCTGCACCACTCATGATTGCGGGGGTACCTGCTAAGGTTATGTATCTATGGAGATGCTTCGGAAACGGTTTATCGGACCGTTAATTCGGCGCGCTTGGTGCTTGAGATGGTAAAGTACTGTTTGTTGGTTTATTTTCGCGGGGCAAGTGAAGTATGATGGCTAGTGAAGGTGATGGTGGTGAAGTTGAAGGTTGAAGTTGGGGGGATATCGATATGTGAGCTTCGGGACTTGGTTCCTAACTATAGCACTTACAACGGTAAGCTGCTTAAAGTAGCTTGCGACAACCATATATGGGAATTACTGTAAAAAATAGCAGAAGAATCGTAATTCGGGTAAATCACATGCCACGGGGCCTTCTACTTGATATTTTAAGTCATGCCTACGTATGCGCAGTGATACTCTTGATATTACAAGGTATAATATGAAGCATTGCGTAGGCAGCTTGCATCAGCACCAGCCTCGGTCTGGGATGGTTCGCCACAGCCCATCTCACCAGCCACAATAAAAATTCACCAGCCACAGCGCCACAGCTCGAAAACTTCACGAACCTCAAACAGCAATTGTTAGCAGTACCAACCTTCAATCCTCAAACTTCAACCTTGAATTGCTCAACTTCGCAAAATCACTAAACCGTCACCGATTGGCAATCGAATGTCATGTCCGCGGTGACCTGCTGCCGTCAGCACCCGCTGCGGCCCCTAAAACTCCTGATACAATGCCGACCATTCTCTACAACCCCCACCCACTTCGTCACCCCGCGAAAAGTCCCCAAGCCGACCCTCCTCCCCGGTGCTGCTGGGGTTACTGAAACTTCTTCTCTACCGTTACTCCACAACTCTCCAGTAGCTGCATTACTCCGACGTCGTGATCCATTCCGTACCGGTGTCATCGCTCGCAAGAAGGGTATGACCGCCCTCTTCGATGCGAAGGGTACCAGAACAGCTTGCACAATCCTCCAACTCGACCGTTGTCAGGTCATGACAAACAAAACCCGTCAGGACCATGGATATTGGGCTGTTCAGGTCGGTGCCGGTGAAAGGAATCCCAAAAACGTTACAAAACCCATGTTGGGACACTTTGCGAAATGTGAGACCAGTCCGAAGCAGGTTATTAAAGAGTTCAGAATCAGGGACGAGAGGGGACTTATGAAACCGGGGACTTTGATTAATGCAAACTGGTTTCGAAAGGGCCAATTGGTCGATTTGAGGGCCAAGAATAAAGGAAAGGGGTTTGCTGGTGTATGTCCCTCCGTCTACCTCCAACAGATATATGTATAATTGAGATGAAAGATGATGCTAATATACCTTTGGCGAACGTTTAGGGTATGAAAAGGCACGGTTTCTCTGGTCAACCTGCATCCCACGGTAACTCTTTGATGCATAGAGCTATGGGTTCCGCCGGTCAGTCGCAGGGTGGTGGTTCTCGTGTGCTTCCCGGAAAGCGCATGGCCGGTAGAATGGGTGGTGAACATGTCACCATTCAGCTCGCTAAGATCCTGGATGTGAATAACCAGCTAAATACAGTCGTTGTTAAAGGTATATACTACCAGGTACATGAATTCTATAAATAATTTAAAATGCTAACGAAAATGCATTTAGGGTGTGTTCCTGGTCCTATTGATGGGATTGTCACAATACAAGATGCTAGGTTATCTCACCCCCCCAGTATTTCCACCTCATATCGGAAATCTATGATCAGCCCTAGCAAGAAGACACCACCACCCACGGAAGGAAAGACTGAGGTTTTAGTTGCAGCTGCGTAAATATCTCTTGTTCCATTTCTTGAACATACCTACGCCCTTTTCTTGTAAGATATTATATAGTATAGTACCATTTATTTCAAATCTTCAAATACCCATTATTACTATTTACTACCACAAATAAAAGCTCCAGATTCAAAATCAAAATCAAAGTCCTTGCCTTTGCGCCAAAATTAATATGCTTCCAAACCCGGTCATGTCACATATCCACATATATTTCGAGTACAAACTCACAATTGCACAAGCCCAGCTTTGCCCCTTCGTCAAAATACCTTTAGGATAGGATAGGCGTAGCTACTGCTTAGCAATTTTCCTGAACTCCTCCCTCACTATTTTCAAAAACTTCGCAATACTCCTCGTCTCATTCAAGGTATCCAAGCACCTCTGTCTCGTCGCTTCATCTAGCTTTGGCCTCGCCCCAATAATCTCATAATCCCTACTCTCAACACTGAGCACAACCTCAAATTCCCTTTCCAGATCCCGTTCATCGATGACCGTAAATATGAACCTAACATGATCTAGCCTCCCTGCTCCTTCAATCCTTAGCCCCAAATAGTCCTCCCAGAAGGCCAATTCCGGTTGGTTATGGTTTGCTTGACTTGCTAGGGCTTGTTTTTCCTCGAGAAGCTTTTGACGACGTTTTTGGATAGCTGTGGATTGTTCGCGAAGTTGGGAAGATAAAGTTTCGTTTTCGGATTGTCGGGAGGAACGCTCGGATTTTATTGTGGTTATTTCGGATTCAAGGTCTGCTGTTTCCTGGATTTCTTTCTCCGTATCTTTGTTTTTATTCGAGCTTGCTGTTAGAAGAATGGATCTTTTAGGCGAGGAAGCGAGGAAGAATACAACTTACTGGCAGCGATCTTGATCTCCTCTTGTTCATAATGTTCAATATTCTTCTTCACCGTTTTTTGGTTCTCTATAATGATCCCCTCATTTGTTAATATAAACCCAATCGCGACCAATAAACCATCGAGGAAAGAAAAGAAAATAGGGCGGGTACCATTCAAATCCGCCAAGTCCCTTGCAAATGCCGTCCGAGCTTCTAAAGCCTTCTCCCGTCTCTTCTCAATGAAATCATCAAATGCTGCTGTAAATTTTGCCATCCGCTCCTTGAGCTCGTCGAAGCCGAAGTTTACATTGGGTAGTTGTGCCGCAATATTCGGCGGGATGGAGGCTGTTTCTAAGCTTGTCATTGTGAAAACTGTCGAATATTCCAGGTTTTGGTGTCACTGTTTAGGTAATGGCGGTATAGCAGTGGTGGCGATGGTAGTGGGATATCGGATGAGGGTAGCTTCAGATCCTGGAGCGCCAGTCAGTCAGTCGGTAATAATTTGTTCGCGCGTTGTCCCCGCGTCTAATTGTCTGTTTTGAGCCGGGTCTTGGTTTCCACAACAACAAGATATAGCCCTCTGTATCAATGCTGTCCGCGGCTAAAATGTAAAATTGATTGAACCCTCCGATGGAACAAGGGAGGGGCAGCTTATAGCACCCTCTGTTGCATACTTCAGGGTCTACCTGATATAGCTTGTAATCTATCATATAGCTTGTAGCTGTTACTTTACCCACCGGACCTTACTATTTCAGTCAGCTGCATTGCATATCGACTAAACCCCATCGATAGACGTTTTTGTGTCTGACACGTCGTATCTTATGCAATGCACTTTACGTTCTAGGAAATTGTGCATGTGAACGGATTTTGTTCAAAAGTTAGGAGGGGTCAAACTGGCTTTGGATAATCATAAGATAATCGATAGCGGGGTACCTTGTACAAATTCAATTACGAAAAGATTGAAGCATAAGATATACACATTTTCTTTTAAAGAAGGGGCTAGTTTTGGTATTGTGATGAAGTTGTATTTTGCTTTTTAAATTATTTCTTTCTTTCTTTCTTTTCCATCTCGATACCCCCAACTTTGATATCCTACCCTGTCAGCATATAATGCATCCCCTCTCCCATCCGTCTATCTCTGGAGTATATGTACAAGCTATATACAGTGGTATCTATATACAAGATACTTGGCCATAGTGCCCCTCCACTATGTTGTATCTTTTGTGGGTAAAAAAAAACAAACGGTGATGTCTTGGTATGTATGCATGTGGTGATCAAAAAAAGAGGAAGAGATTCCTGCCGAATAATAGCCTTCCCTCCCTACCAAATCGGTCCCCTTCCTTGTCTATAAAAGAGGGGAAGTCCAAAAAGAAGAAATAATGAGATAGGGAATTTGCCGTAGGTGATGAGGGGAGGAGGCGATGGTGTGACGTCTCTCTATTTCGAAGTATTGTCCAAAAGAAAAGTATCTATAAACTTTTTTGTGAAATAAAAGAAGAAAGGAAATTGGAAAAAAGAGACGTGGTTCGTATCCGTCTAGTAAGGAGAGGGTTCCAGTTCGTAAGAGTGCAGTTTTTATACTGTATGAAAAAAAAGGTGTATAAAAGAAAAAGCAGGAATTCCGTAAGGAAAAAAGCGGATTCCTAAAAGAAGAAGGATGGAAAAGGAAAAGAAACCCGAGGAAGGAAAAGAACCGCTAGAACTCCGAAGCAACGTAAGAAAGAAAACCCAGAATAAAAATACAAGGTCGTGACACGAAAACTTTTGATGAAGCGGAGAAGGATCGTCGGACAGATTCGTAGAGGAAAGAAGTCCTTAAGAGTTGCTATGGTTTTGTCGATGATAACTGTGGGGAAAGGTGCCGTGTCACGAAAGAAGTGAAAATCGTTCACTGCTATTGTCCAATCTCGGGATTAAGGACCTAAGCAGATGATGGTGCTGACGCCGCAGCCATCGCCGGCAACGAGGAGCTCTGGTCTCGGAGATCGTTCCATGCCTGTCTGCTCATTCTCAAGACACTTTCGAATCCTTCTCGCCCGAGGCTAGCATTCTGGCCAAATCTTTCAACGGACCAGTCTTCGATCTTATTGCAAAACCGGCTGAAACCACCGGCAGCTTTGAATTGAGCATCCTGTTCAAAAATCGTCTTCGTTTCGGGGCTTGAAGGGTCCGGTCGGTATGTGACGGTCTCGAAAACGGATAATAGGTTACTAAAGGTGAGGTTTTGGGATTCCATGCGAACGGTCTTAGCTACCGGATCGACATAGGAGATCTCTCGGACGTAAGAGACGTCAGCTCCACCGACGACGACCATAAGCCATCTCGGGACAGACTGCTTGCATGCGATTAATCGTTCCGTCCGCAGCTGCAGGAAGAGATGAAGCTAGGTTAGAATCGGAAAACAAAGCGAGGTAGAAAACGGACAAACGGATGGATGAATATGGGAAAAAAACTTACGATTCCGGTGGCGGGGTCAATTGACCGACTAAGAGTATCGACTGAGGCGACATGAGAGGCTTTGTCGTTCCAGGCACAATATTTCCTCCAGTTCGCCCGAGATACCTCCTCCCATGAGTAGTCGAAAGTGCACTTTGATTCGAAGACCTTCATTGTTCCGCTGTATAAACGATATATGTAGCTGGACTTAAGAGGCAAGGGTTTGTCAGATGGAAAAAAAAGGGCAAAAGTGTTGCAGGAAAAGCCTTTTTATTCCTGAGCAGATATTTCCCGATTTTATTCAATGGACGAAATCTCAGTGAAGAGGGAGAGAGAGGGCGAGTGGGGATTTGTGGTTGATGATGAAACAGCGAGAGAGAGTGAGAGAGAAGGGGAGGGGAGAAGGAGAGTGAGAGACGAGAGAGGAGCTGAGATGATATTAAAAAAAAAAAAAAAAAAAAAAAAAAAAAGAGGAGTGTCGTCTGTCTGTTACTATTTCTGAGACTAGTCGAGTGCACTCTGAGGGATAAAACTTTTTTTTTCGCTCTCGGTCAAACCAACCCAACTAACTGACGAACAGCAAGCTAACCAATCAGTAGCCCGATCTCGTTATCAGCAACCAATAGCAGCCACTCTTATGCGATAGCTGCCAGCTCAGGCACATGCAAAAGGCAAGATTCTAAGTCGAATTTCTTCAAGAAATATCCAAAGCGAGATAATTATGATGCAGTATATGTGCAGGAGGAATGCTGATGCTAGCTAAAGTATGAAACTCAAAGCCGAAAGCACTCGGACCGGCCAGGACTTTGTACTATATATAAGATGGCCGGGGAAAAGGGCGGGATCGGAGCACCGCGGTGTGGCAAGCTGAGTGTTCGAGTTCTCCTCGGGTACGGATGCATATGATATCTGGGCATCTACCAATCAGCAGCCGGGCCGACATCTGCTAAAACTTCCTGACTTATCGAGGTCAAAAGAACGTCATGTGGGTCCGGCCCAGTTCAGGCCAATCCCGTTCTAGCCACTGATGCGACGCTCTGAATCCGGCTGGCTTCGAGAAGCTCCCATCGAAGTATTGCCTCAGATGTCCCTGCAGATCTAGCGGCGTAGGGCTTGCCCGCCGGGTCCGATCGAACTCGCAGACGTCATTTTCAACGATTCCCCATATCGCCATCTCGAAAAGATCGATTCCTCTTCAGTCATTCCATGTTCTCGGTTACGTTGCGGACATGGGGGTGGGGGATGCACTGCTATGTGCGCTGTAGTTTAGCGACTTTAACTTCACGCTATCATACGGCAGGTCCACCCTCCTGCCTCAGGCGTACATACGTCCTGTCAGGGATCCCACGACAGTCACCAAATTTTTCGAACCAATGCATTATATTCCCCTTCGCATCTCTGATAGCAAATCGAATTATTCGCTGGATATCTCGCGATTTAAAACAAAATTCGAAAAAAGAATGTTACGCGATTTGATCCTTGCGCCTCCGAACCGAGCGAAACCCGTGGCAATATACTTTCCAGACCAGACTAAAAAAAAAAGATTGCAAAAAACAGAAACGATTTTCTAACCAAAACTAAGCTAGAATGGATTTTGATGTTCCACCACAGAGGCATTCGGGCTTAGTCTCTTCAGATTGAAGCATTTTCTGCTCTTGTCTCGGGAGAAAAGCGTTTGTGGAGAAGTTCTAGGTTCGATTGTCTTGGCTCTGCGCGCGCTGCTGAAATTGCAAGAGATATGGGTTTCAAATTGAGCGGCCTTTTGCTCTTCCCTAACTGAAGGTGTCACCTCATGATGCGAGTCTACACCGACAGGCAAATGCAATGCAGCACATAGGGGCCTGGCTCGACCAGCCGGGTAACCCAGACCTCCTATTTCAAAAAAAAAAAAAAAAAGAATGCATCTGTATCTAGCATTTTAATTGAATGATATGACGATTTGGTGCGCAGAACATCGCCATTTGATGACTTGTGCGTGGGCTATACGCACCCGCCTGCCGGCCAGCTGAGCAGACAGGACGGTACAGGCAGATGGACAAACAAACAGATGCAAGCCAGCGGATACTATGACACAGTGAATACCTCGTATTTTGGGAAGGGTACATCCTTCATTTTATACACGGGCGTATAAAAGGCTTGTGCTGTTGTAGAGAGTACAACGACACCTCACCATTCCGATAAAAACAGACACAGAAATTAGGGCAGCCAGGGCTGGACAGAGTAGTATCCGGTACCCAAGTACTCGAAAAAACACCAGCGTAGCTGCACCGCATCATGGGAATGAAGGGGACAGGCGGGAAAGAGAAGAAGAAAAAAGGCGAGGGCGGGAGAACCGGAGAGAGGGAGACCTAACTACCCCCCAAGACCTTGACCACCCCAATCAATTATCGACCGACCTGCTTGCTGCTGGATCCTTTTGGTCGAGAAGCAAGCAAAGCACAGCATGTAAAGCAAAGCAAAACAAATAGACTACTTAGAGCGGAGGTTGTGCGTTCGAGTTCTGCGGTGTGCGCCCAGTCTCCGTTATTATGTGGTGGGCAGGCAGGCCCAGGCATAATAAGAATAGGAATAAGGTATGGACCGGACCACACACCATTTTACCAGGACCGATTTGATTATTTTTCTCTCTTTCCCACCTCCGGTAGTCGTCTCTTCTTCCTCTCCCCTTTCCCACCACGCCGAAATCTTCCTCAGAAAACCATCCAGAATCATCCTCCGGACACTGCACCATCAAGGTATGTTATTTTCTGACTTTTTCATCAGTGATTTGTGGATATTTGTGATGATATCTTCGCGCCTGTCTGCTGGTACTCTCAGCCCAAGAGCTGTTTGTTTTCTCTCCCCTTCTTCTTTTCCTTCCCATATAACACTATACCACACACTCCCCGTCTGTCCCATATAAATTTCCCATACAGAACAGAACATACGCCGCCTCGCGCAACGTCTCACCTCGCTTGAGCGGACACTGCAGACACTGCAGACACACCTCTTCAAATCGCGCTCCGTTCTTCTTCTTTAATTTATCAAAACAATTGCTTATCAAACATCGCGGTTTTATTCGCATTTCGTGTTTTTTTCTGTTCTTGACCTTCCCTTGATCCTGATTTCTTTCTTTCTTTCTTTCTTTTCTTTTCTTTTGCGTGATCACCGTCGCGAGTGAATACGTATAAATCATTCGATTACATATACTTACTTGCAACATCGCTTGTGTCTAGCTCATTCACCTTCTTTATAATAAGAAATAATATTTAAAAAAATCCATCCACCATGCCAATGGAACTGAGAAAACGCAAGGCTCCAGCCGCCCCTCCACCACCTCCTCCCGCCCCCAAGAGGAAAGCCACCGGTCCCAAGAAGGAGAAGAAGGCTGAACCTGTCGAAGAACCAAAGCCCGTCGTCGAGAAGAAGGCCGCCGCTCCCAAGAAGGTAGCCGTTACCAAGAAGGCTAAGGCTGCAGACAAGGCTGAGGTTACCACTGAGGCGCCAGCTGACGTTGCAGCCGACCCTGAAGTCCTCCCTGAGGCGCCTGTTGAGGAAGCATCGTCTTCGAAGGCTAAGCCTGCTGCTAAGGGGAAGGCCAAAGAGACTAAAGCTAAGGCCGAGCCTGCTAAGAAAGAAGCTAAGAAAGAGACTAAGAAAGAAACTAAGAAAGAAGACAAGAAGGAGGAGAAGAAGGAGGAGAAAAAAGAGGAGAAGAAGGAAGAGAAGAAGGAAGAGAAACCAGCCAAGGAGAAGAAAGCCGCCGCCCCCAAAGAAAAGAAAGAAACCGAAAAGACCCCTTCCGCAAAGGAGAAGAAGGAAGCTGAAAAGGCTGCTTCAGCAAAGGAGAAGAAGGAAGCTGAGAAGCCCGCAGCTGAGAAGGCATCTTCCAAGGTGAAGAAGGAAAAGGCCGAACTCGCCAAACCAGCTGAAGAAAAGGCCGAGCCATCCGCTGACAAGAAGGAGAAGAAGGCCGCTGCACCGAAAGCTAGCGCTTCTAAGTCGGCTACTGCGACCCCAGCCCCTGCTGCTCCAGTTGAGCTCAAGATCGGAGACGCCATTCCTACCGGTCTTCCAGAACTCAGCAACCAAGCTGGGGAAAAAGTTACTCTCGATGCTCTCCTCGAGTCCAGCAAAACCGGTGTTGTTATCTTCGCTTACCCACAAGCTTCTACCCCCGGGTGTTAGTAATCCCGTGCAGAGCGTTTGTTCCAGTGACTCAGATAACTAACTAGATTCCCCTAATAGGCACCAAGCAAGCTATTGCATTCAATGGCTCCAAAGACACCTTCGAAGCTCAGGGATATTCCATCTTTGGTATCAGTGGTGACAAACCAGAGAAGAACCTCAAGTTCAAGGAAAGCCAAAAACTTACCTACCCACTCCTCTCTGATACTACCTACGAACTCCACGCCAAATTTGGTATCGCAAAGCCTGGCGGTAAGGGAACTCTCCGCAGCGTGATAGTGATCAGCAAGGATGGTAAGGTTGTTTCTATTAAGAAAGCCGGTCCAGAAGAGACCTTGAAGATCGCCAAGGCTGCATGTGGTATCACTGAGGAAAAGAAGGGATCGACTTCCGCCGCTGCCGCCCTCGAAAAGGCGGAAGAGAAGAAAGAAGCCGAGGCCGAGGCCGAATCTTCGAAGCAAGCAACCGTTGAGGAAGCTCCTGATGCTTCTGCTTAAAGCTCTCTAACTTCACGGCTCCAATCCTCCCTCTTATTTCTTATTTTTTCGGGAAAAACTGTTTTACTAGCTAAAGGTAGGTTTAAAGGAATGACTTGCACAAAAGGAACGACATTTTTTAAACAAAGGCGTCATCAATTGAATCGAAATCTATATTTTCCTCTTCCCCATATTCTATTCATCTTATTTCCACGACGTTTGCTGCTATCTTAATGAGTAAAGGCGGGTTTTTTCACTCTCTTACCACTACCGGCCGTATTCTGTTTGGATTTAGAGCCCAGCTATACCCGGCGATGTTTTCTCCCACACTCCCACGCTTTTTTTTTTTCATCACAACTGTATAATATACATCTAGGGTTCCCCTTCTCTATCGATCATTCGTTCTGAGCTATTTTGACAAACAAGGGTATCCGTTTTGTTGCTTTCCTTGTCTTTAGTGTTTTATGCTTTTGTCATCTACTTATCTTTTCTGTCCTGTTGTTTTTTCCCTCCTTTCTCTGTTTAGTACTGCCATGGCTTTCCGTTGATGTGCAATTGCTATTTTTACTCGAGTAAGAAACCGTATGAAATTCCATTATCTTTTTTATATACCGAGAAGTGATAAACATATACAATCTCAATTTGAAAATGAATGGTCGGATGGGAGACGTAAATAGGAACTAATATCCATCTTTCTTCCTTACTTACCCTTCTCCCTCATGATCATTCTGTGATAATCATATAAAATCCCAGCTCCCTCGAGCCGGCATCATGCATAGATATATCTGCAAATAATCAATACTAGTTTAGACGGTACATATGGTCCTGCACATAACCGATAACTCCTGAGGTACTTAAAAGCGCGTAGGTTACCCACCTAAATGGACACATAACCACTTAGCGTTTATCACCCATCTAGCCTCGTTCTTAGGCCTAGGGATTCTATACAACCGATAAGTATTAACAAAAGCAGCGACGATTGACTAGTAGGCAGTATTTGGCCAAATAATTATCTGGTAGTACCATAGTAGCCGGTAAATCAAATCTCCAGACCAGACCAGACCGTACGGGTCTTGCGCGCGGGGGAGAGAGTAGGAGAGAGACATAAAAGCAGATGCAAGAGAGAGCTATGGCACTAGGGGAGAGAGAAGAAAACAGAAGACACCGCTCCTGGTATTTAGTGATTCATAGATCTAATCCAAGTTTCAATACTCAAAAAAGCTAACCTCAACTTAGAGGAGGGTATATGTAACATTAAAAGAAAGAGATGGAGGTATATATATAAAGGGGGGAGGTAGTAATGAAGCTCAAAGGCTTCTGTCTCGATATCATATATAAAGAACGCAGTAGAGTTATATAATCAATGATTTGTCAAACGGAGGATAAAAAAATTCGAAAATGGGGGCAACTTCAACAAATCAGCCAAAAGAAACGAAAATAAAGGAGCATCTTTGGTATCATAGATTAATCTTATCGGAAAATAACAAAAAAGACCAACATTCCCACCACCATCATCATTCAAAACAAAACATTATAATAAGAGAACGCAAAGAGAAGGGCAGAGGGAGAGGGAAGATTATAACAAACTGCAGAAAGAGAAGAAGAAAAAACACCATCAATCGCCATCATAAAAAAACCGTTATCCAACAAGAAATGCTTTCAGCAACTTTTTTTATCTGTCTTCTTCTTGCTCTCTGATTATTATTTTTTGCTCATCAATTGTGTGGGAGGGCTTGATTCTAATAAACAATTATGTATAATAGATAGAAGAGGAAGAAGCTACGCTACTGCTTCGCCCATGCGTAATGCGAGAAACGACCGGACGTCAGTGACGTATTGGAGGCCTTGGAGGATCGGGATCAAGTGCAGCAAGTGATGATCTGAGGGGTCGCTGATCCAGCCTTCGATAGGTATTGCGTTATCTATATGATCTTGTTAGGCATTTTCATTTTATATTACTTAGGGGGTCTAGCATACCCTTATGGAAAATATAGCTCGTTGGGGAATTATCCACAATCATTACTTTTGAAAGATCCGGCTCAACGACCGAGAGATCTTTGATATATACACCATCACGGAAGGTACAATGCTGGCGATAATAACGGGCACGGAAGTACTTGTGCTCTTGGTCGAGCCAGTCGATGACCGGGTCGGCATATTCTTGGACAGAGGCGGTGAAAATGACGACGTTGTACCATTTGCAAACCTAGTGTTATCATGTCATTTTAGCTATCGTGCCCCAACCTTGATGCTTTTGGGATGCCGTTCATACCTTCTTTAGGAATTCATCACAGAACGGCCGTTTATGAACGTAATATAGAATTGCATGTTGCTTGTCAAGCTTGACTTCAACCATGTGAGCTGAAGCCATGCTCCCGCCTTTCGACATGGAGTGTATCAGGGTCTCGTCTAGGTCTAGAATCAAAGTCTTTTGGGGTGGCGATTTGGGTAGCAATGGACGTGGAGGGCCGGAAAGTCGTGGGTATCTTGTCAGACGGAGAGATGAAGAAGGTGATGTAGGCGATTTCATCGATTTGGCCTTCTGTTGTTTTTCCGAACTGAATAGCCTGATCCTAATAGAGCGACGGGGGGCTATTTCATCGGCTGGCGGGAGGAGGGAGGAACTTGACGATGAAGGTTTCTCATCGAGTATGCTAGGGTCATCGGAGTCCGAGGATTGGGATGCGTCGTGGTAGGGTTGCGTGGGTGGGTGTTCCTGGAAGGACGATATTTCGTACCTTCGAGTGCTGAAGGGCCGGACGAGGAAGAGGGAGACTCGTTGGATGGGTGCTAGAAATGAGAATTGATGGTTGTGGTCGTAGAAGCAAGAGATAACCCAGTTGATAGACGCTCTCAGGGTCCTCCAGAGCCTTCTTACAGGGGTGGAGCTAGAGCTGGCTAGCGATTGACCACTCCCTCCACTGCTACTATCGGAATCATATCCTCCAGAGCCGCTATCAGAACCGGATTTTGGGATAAGCGCTGTTGTCTCGGATTCCTCTCCATCCCCATCCCCATCATCCTGCTTGGTACCTGTCTGGTGGCTTTCAGAGGCTTCTTCATCGAAACCGGAAGGATCCTCGATGGATTCTGGGAGAGGGTCATGGTCATCCTTCTCGAGGAGGGGAGGGAAGAATTCGGGCTTGAAAGAAGCCTCGGATCTGGGAGTGGAAGGAGGAGTGGTTCCGATGACCCGATCGACTTGGGAGGAGAGGAGGTTGAGGGAGTTCATCGTCCACCAGGGCAATCCATCAGTGGAAGGGACAGACTCAGGCGGCGACTGATGGCCGGTGGGAAATTGTTTGAAGGTTTATGTTGAGGAAGGCAGTTTGCTTGGATGTATAAAATAGCGCCGCCGGGGAGGGATGTTTCTCCAGTGGTTGGGCCTGGGCTTTGGGCTTAAACTGCTTGGGGTTTTTGGCTGCTGGGGAACTGGCTACTTAGTTGAGGACCCCGTGGATCAGCTGAGCTGAACAAACTAAAAGGAAACGGGCAAACAGAACAGAACGAGAACAGAGAATCCCTGCCAGCCGCGGGAACTTTGCTTTGAAGAACGAACTCGAACGAAGCGATAGCAAATTATTATAAAGAGGGGAGATTGAAAGATTAAGAAAAATCGAGAGATGGGATGACTGGCGCGGGGAAGCCAAGAGGTAAAAGGTACCTAGGTAAGTAGTATTAGGTATGTATGTGCAGTACTAGTATGCTATCGATAATGATAATGATAATGATAATATCACAAGCTCAGTGACCGCCTCGCTACTTGACATACAATAGGACGGAGAAAGTAAGGTAAGACCGCAGCCGAGCAAACAGAACAAAACGGGTGAGATGCAGATGAGTGCAGATATGCAAAGCAAAGCGAAGCAAATGCAGCAGCCCTGCAGGCGACGTAATGGGGTATAATTCGAGGAGGCGGGTTTTAAAGCTGTTAGATGTTCTTCCCGTTCGAATTCTTATTCTTCTGAAGAGGTAGTATGGTACAAAACACAGATGATAGGAGAGAGAAGATAGTGCAGTTTAAGTAAATTTACCGGGAGGTACATACTTAGTACCTCTTAAGTGTGTATATCTCAACAGAAGACTTCGAGAGCTCTTCTTAGGCAGCTTTCGAGGTTGGGCCTGCACCTGCCTCGGGTTGCATCTGTGGTGCCATGCCACCAAGTACACTCTTCGCCCAACAGCCAAAGATTATATAATCTTGTGTCACGTGAGTTCAACGTTTCCAACATCAACAACACATATTGTGCCACCCGTAACCGCCTGCAAACAACACAGAATATAGCAAACAACATGCCGCATATAAGTTAATAGCCCCGTGCTACGTCTACGTACGTATGCGTACCTGTGCACGCTCCTCGTTCATTACCCACTTTCCTTTCACTACTATTATTCACAACGCTGCATTGACTTCTTCCTTCCTTCCTTTCCTTCTCTCTTTACCCTCCCTACAAAAGCGTCCAGCTAACCAACCACACCTAACGACATCACCATCTGCATCTATCTTCGCTGGTTAGAGCCTTTGTCCCTCTAACCAGCCTCACTCCTTCACACTCATATCCCATCATGGATCCTAATCAGATAAACCACGCCCAGGCCTGGGCATGGGAGCTTCACCAGCAACAGATGGCTGGCAAAACAAGTGAAGATGGATTTGGAAAACCACCCTTCCAATATCCCACAGAACCAGGCGCCCCCATGCCTAACAACCCCATCTTCTTCAACGTGCCTGATCAAGGCATGAACTTAAACAACATGCCTCTTTATAATAATCTCCCTCAGTACCGGCAGTTGACACCGGGTGATGTTCAAATGGGTACGGAACTACGGCCCCCCATGCAAACTCCCATGGACGTCAATACCGGTATTTTCATGCAGAATCCTCTCCCTGTTGAGCAATTGATGCAAACCCCTACGGGGATGAGCATGGATCTCGATAATCCTGTCACAGGTGCACACGATTTACCAGAAATTCCCGATCACTTGGCCGTCCCGTCGTTGGAAGATCCTAAATTCGACCCATCAGGATCAATTCTTCCACAGTCTACAACGCACAATCATTCAACTCAACAGGGCTTATTGGGGCAGCTTCCGAGTATCCCTATGCCTGAGAAGTCACTGTTTATGCAGCCTATGATCCCGCCACGCGGTATGCCGCAGAACGTCTTTATGATGTTGCAACAAAAGCAGCTGCAGCAACAACAGATCCAGAATTGGCAAATGGGTGGGTTCAACCCGCCTTCTGGCCTACATATGCAATCAATGCAGCAACCATTCATGCAGGGGCATCAAATGGGGATACCACCGATGAACATGTCACCCATGCAGATGTCACCCATGCAGATGTCACCCATGCAGATGCCACAAATGCCTACGCCTGGAACTCCACAGATGCAATCGGGTATGCGTATGTCGCCGTCACCGGTGGGTACTCCACCTAACCCAACCCGACAAGTCCGGTTCCAAGGGGTTTCGGACGTCAACCCTCCAAACAACGTTTTCAGCCCGAACCCTGGTGGCCCGAATAACAATATGGCTACTCTACGGAGACTGCCAAACGGTACGTTAGCTCCGCAGCGAAAAATCATCCGCAAACATATTACGGGGAACCCTACACCGGTGCCGCCAAATGCCCCGCAAGTCCCCAAAGCAGTGGTCCAGATCTCACAAGAGCCTTTCTCACGCACCTTCCCACCTAACGTTCCACACGAAAACCTTAAAAAAGGCGACGAAGCACCATCAAACGGGCAGTATCCGGGAGGGAAAATGACAGTTAAGGATCACCAGGAATATCGTAGCAATATGGTGTACCTCGGAAAACCGATTGGTCAGCCTAAAGACCGTATTCCTGGTATGTTGTTCCCGATAATCTCGGGTTTTGGAAGAGTCCCACAACTAATAAACATTTTTTAAAAAAATCTTTATAGCACCATTGCGGCACCTAGGGCCAGTCCCACAGTTTTATAGTGATCCGGATGACTTTAATGCGGTTAAGGATCACCTTAATACTCTCACCGACTGGACAAACCAATATGTTCGCACCGCCTTGAACACTATCGCACGTTATAATACTCACACCGAGAACCTTACGAAGCAACTGAAAGGGCTCGAATTGGAAAAGAAGCATATCATAGACGCGGTCCAGCAGGTCCATAAAGACCAAAACATGAGCATTCCTGATTTCATACGCAATACCAAAATAAGTATCAACAAACTAGAAGAAGCCGTTGATCTTCTCAACTATCACCACAAAGGATGTGCGAAAGCGCCGAAAGCCTTAGAGACCCTCAATTCTGTGGCGGCGAGAGATAAAACCGAGTTTGAGTTACAAAAAGAGATGGCCGACAGGCGGATGGTAGAATTAGAGACCGTTAAGCATGCAGTACGCGAGAGGGATAAAACCCTCCAGACCAAAGAGGACGATTTGAGACAAGCGAAGGACCTCATTGTGACTTACCAAGTCCAAATCCAGGAACTAGTCAACAAGGATAACTTCAACGACGTCGCTAAGGTCCAGGTTCTGCAACAACTGACGGATACGCGGGAGGCTGCGACGAAACTCGAGCAAAGATACCTCGAACTCTTCGAAAAGGCAAAGGGGATGTCGAAGGAGGTACAGGCGCTGAGAACCATAACCGGGTGGATCGCAGAAACCCCTGATCAGTCTGAGGGAGAACATGAAGATCTGACAGAAAATAACTTGTCCTCCAGATATCAGGTGCTTCTAGAGAACAGTAAGTTCATCGTGAATGAGAATGCAAAGTTGAAGGAGCAGGTGAAGGCTAGAACGAGTATTTTCGAGTTGCAGGCAGAGTACGATAAGCTGAAGGCCGAGAAGGCCGAGTTAGAGATAGCTCTTGGGGGTATCAAGAACATCCGAGAACTTAAAATGAAGACAACGGCTGTAGAGAAGGCACTTATGAAGGCGAAAACTACCTGGAACGCGGAGAAGGCGCGCCTTCGGCGTGACCTAGACCAGTGTCGGGAGATCATCAGTCATCTAAAGAAGCAACAGGGTGGCTCAACAAAACAGCAGAAGGATCATGAAGAAGCGATCAAAGGCTTGCAAGCCAAAAATCTGGAAGCCGAACAGGACCGGCAGAGGGTCCAGGAGGACTTTGACAAGTTAAAATACGAGTATGAGAAGTTCCTGGAAGAGAAGAAACAGATTGAGGAGAAAACCACCAAGCTAATGGAAATCCATAAGCTGGTGTTGGTGGAAAATGCGAGCCTGAAGGAGAGGAGGCTCGCAAGACAAATTGAAATAGAGGCCTTGAAGAAAAGGTTGAAGGAAGGGGGGCCAGAGAAGATAATTAGGGTAGAGGCGCCGGGGTCGAAGAAGGGGCACGAGTGCCTCCTAACGAGGGGGGAGCTGATGGAAGTCTTGAGCCAAGATGATTTTAGGGAGTACATGCACTCCTACCTCAAGGCGGTGGGGCACGTCAAGGGATAGAGGGGGTGGGGAGGAGGGTGTAGATAGTATTTTATACAAATTTTCTATTTTTTAAATCTGTTCCCGAGTAGACAAGATGTAGACCAGTATTACTGCTGGGTATCCGAGTACTTCGTAGGTATACGTAGACAGAGTATTAAGTGTGATATTATGAAGGGTATGGTATATGGTCTGCGTCTGCAATGAAGTTCTGAACGTCGTCCAGTATCAGCTGATATTTATGATATCATGCAAACGGGTAGCTGCATGAGGTCTGGGATACCTGAACATCGGCTGTGCACCGGCCGTGTTGCATTTTGCCGAGAGTTGTCCTGCTGAAACCCTTTTTTTCCCTTTCCCTTTCCCGTTCCCGTTCCTGTTCGTTCCTCAGGAAAATCCCTTCGGCTTGAAAGGAAGCTCTTTCCCTTCATCATCGCATCCTCATTCCACATCCTTCCCGGCTCCATAACATTCCACACTCAAGGCATCGTCCCCACCCGCGACTCCCCCGAGTTAAACCCATTGATACTTAACTCGCCTTTGTACTTTTATCCTGTTCGTTCTTTCATCTCCCTCCCGTAATACTCTACGTGTTTTCCATCTCTAGGCCTTCTCCTGTTGGTCCCGTTCCTTATCGGCATCGCTGACCGGTTTCTATATTATTCTTCCTAGATTGATTACTCCAACCACCTGCAGAAATGGCGGATCACGAAAATTTGCCCACTGCCGAGCAGATGGATACCCATGACGAAGATGGCAACGATGAGGTTCGTCTCCACACCTTCCCTCGATCTACCTACATTTCCGACCACTTCGGGACAGTCGGTCGATAAATTACCTCAACGATAGTAGTAATGATAAGGAACAATCACTAACGCGCCGACTAATTTCAGGAAGAAATCTCTGCCATGAAGAAGCGCATGGCAGAAATGGAAGCCGAAGCCCAGAAGCTGCGCGAAATGCAGGCCAACCTCGATAAAGAAAACGATAACCTCAAGGAGGATAAAGAGGAAATCGATGCGCGAAGCATTTTTGTTGGAAATGTGGATTATGGCGCCTCGCCGGAGGAGATTCAAACACATTTCCAGAGCTGTGGGTCTATAAATCGGGTCACCATCTTGTTGGATAAATTCACGGGGCAACCGAAAGGGTAATGATCTTTTTTAAAAAAAGAAATATATATATATATATATATTATCTGACATTATAAAATACTGACTGGGTGCATAGATATGCGTATGTTGAATTTGCGGAACCCAGTTTGGTTGCCCAGGCTCTTGTTCTTAATGAGAGCATTTTCCGGGGCCGAGCGCTGAAGGTATTTATCTACCTACATCCTGATCTGTGACGGGGACAAAACTAAATATGCAACTTAGGTCGTACCGAAGAGAACCAACATCCCGGGTATGCAGAGGGGCCGTGGTGGTGGCGGCGGCGGCGGCGGTTACAGGGGTGGTGGAAGAGGAAGAGGCGGCTTTGGTGGCGGGTATGGAGCACCACCGTACCGTGGTGGATACCAGCCTAGGGGTGGTTTCCGCGGCCGTGGGTTCCGTGGACGTGGATATTCGCCTTACTGAGTCGGCTCTTGTCGTAGACCAGCTGGATTGGCTATATCAGACATTCTCACTTCGGAAAAGAAAGAAAAACCACTCCTCTCCATCCATTTTTGCCGTTAGAGTCTCTATTTTTCCAGGCTCTTGAAGATATTTGTGGGGTTCAGTCCTTTTTTTTAAGCTTGGAGGGTTTCCTTTATTTTTTCTCATACATACGGAAAAGTTTTGTTTTCTTTACTGGCAGGGTTTAAAGACTGTTTCGTTTGGAAAGGAGGACCAGGGGATAGGAGAAGGGGGTCAGGATTAATGGAAATATGGCACAGAAGAGAGAAAGACTGAAAATATAGAAGAGAAAGAAACCCAACCCTCCACCGACGCAAGAAGAGAAACCAAATATGCCAGCGCACAAAGAATAAAAAAGAAATCGAGAGAAGAAAAAAACACACGTGCATAAGAGAAAAGAGCTAGGAGGACGAAAGTTCTAAGAAGAAGAAGAGAAAATAAGAAGGTAGGTCTGAGATCAAAGAGAGCAGTATGTGAAAAAGAAAGACAGGAAAAGAGAGAACTGGGTCCTGGCTCTATTTCTTTTCCCCTCTCCTCGGGTGAAAAACAGTCAAGAGAAAAGTAAAAGGAAAGAAAGAAGAAAACCCTAGCGCCTGAACGGTATGGCTTTAGAATTCAAGGGCCAGCATTCGGCGTGAGGGCTGGATGGGTCGACGACACAGGCTGTGTGCAGGATTTCCTTTCCTCGTGGATCCCATGCGCGTGGCCTGTCTACCGTTCCTTTTTTTTTTTTAGTGAAGGCAGTAAGTGGGCTAGTAAGTGAGTCTATGAATGATAACGTTAGAATCAAGTAGTGGAAGGTAAGTCATTTTATTTCTTCTCTCTCTTTTCTGTTTGATCATTGGGACGATATATTGCTATTTTGGTATATCGCGTCGTATTTTGCTTGTATATGATATCCATATAGCACCAAGCTAGTGGTGGCGGTAGTCTCGTATTGCAGACGCGGTCTACACTTTGTTAGTATCGCCTTCTCGGTGGATCCGTTGTAGAGGGATAAATATTCGAGCAGGCTGTTAACTAGTCTGCTAGGATTTTACATCTTCCACGACGAAGGAGTAAGTTTATACATGTACTACTACTATTACTACTACTACTACCACCAAGCTACGACGGTTTGGTTTAATTATTAGGGGATTGGACGTTTTACACGTCTGAGTAGCCGGCTCTAGCGTCGAAACTATAGTACTAGAGTATTCAAGCAAATTTTTAAGGGGTTTGAAGGAAATAAGCATAAGTTGTAAACTTGAAAAATATATACGAGATACGCTATACGGAATAATTCGCACTTCTTGTTTTTGTTCTCTTTCTTTTGATTTTATCCCTCGTACAGGCTTCTAGCGCCCGCCCGCCGTGCACGAGGAACTCGAATCTAAGCTGATGGAAAGATGAATTCGGCTTTGTAGTTATGGCACTCCCAAGGTCCTAGGGCCTTGTCGGGGTGTTGTATGTATTGGTAATGTATTAATGGATATTATATATGGTCTACCTATTATTTGGCAGCGGGTCACAGGCCTGAGCTCTGCATTGTGTATATATTTACTTACTGTGCCGACAAAGGAGGTGATATTATTACGGCAGAAATACGGTATCAATACGACTGATCGTAGTATTGCCGTAATTAATTAGCATCTTAGCCCTCGATACACATTAGATCTATAGAATGATATTTAAAGCAACATGCTTCCTATGATTAATATTATAGCAGCCTTCCAAATACACCCCTTTCCGGCACAGTATATACGAAATATACATTTCTATTTGAATTTAAAACCTGAGCTGGTATTGGTTATTCTTATGTTGGCCCCAAGACCAAGAATAAATGCTATTATATTGAAGTTATCACAGATTGAAGCTCAAGACTTGAATCTCAGCTACAGTGGGGGGCATGTGCATGCATGGTAGAGGTTTAGGAAGAAGAAATATGTGTTGTATTTGTTGTATCTTGGTATTTGGCAATTGAACCGGATTTGAGGTGAATAGAGGATCTCAAAACTGAAGCAAGGTGTACTTTCTACAAGTACCCAAAGTACCTAATCAATTTACTGATATGGGACGACTTCTGAACTAGATTTGTTCTATATATATATGAAAATGCATCTATTTGAGCAATTTAAGCTTTGTTCTGGAATTTTTTCGAGAGAGAATTCTGTCAGGGAATAGGATTTTGAGAACAAGAAGCTTAGAAATGATAGAGAATGATGCTCAAGCAATTAATCAGCCGCAAAGCAAGGAAGACAGGAAAAAAGTTAGAAATGGAAAAAAAGGGTTTCTGAGCGAAATGGGCACTGCCACACATCTGACGCTGTGCTCCTAAACAAGTAGGATCCGATTCGGCTGGAACGGAAGGGTTAGTCTATTCTAGACCTCATCGAAAGAGGGAAAGGAAGAGGCTAGTAAGGTCGAGTGTCTACGAGTTTTGGTTGGTGGTGGTGCGCTGGTGGTCTTTGGACAGACAGGGCTGTGCTGGTTACGTTATGCTCTCAGATGCTCATGCCTACATTGCATATATGTATGTACAGACGCATGGGGGGGGGGTTCTTTATAACCCACGGTTTTCAGCCTTTCTGGTCGAGTACTTACTTACTTGGAGAGTCCGTAGAGATGGATTGGATCGTATCGTATAGGAGTTACATCATTTTAGTCCCGAAGAGCCGAAAGTTACGAGAAGACGGCGGGTTTTAGCGTGGAACTAATAATACCTAACTTACCAGGTCCATATTACCTCGAAACCCCGTTCGATCGAATTCAGACACTGCAAACATAGAGAACATCCGATCGAGAAAATTAACAAATAACAAGCATCTTCACCATATTTGATATTTTCTTCGGGTATCTACCTGCTTAAGAACGAGGGGGGGGACAGGAAAGGAGATTGTACAGGAAAGCGAAATATATTATACCATACTAAGCTCAAGTAAAGCCAAGTAAAGTACACTGCTATTGTTGGATTTGATACACACTCTCGAGATCTCCCTCCCTTTAATTCTCTCTCTCTCTCCCTCTCTCTCTATCTCTCTTTGGATATCTACATCCCATCTTCTTGTTTGGCTTGACCAGTGATACAATTTAATAATCAACCAGCCTGTGTTAAATCTTCTTTGATTCCTTAAATATTGACTTACTTGCGTGGTTGTATTGTATTGTACTATTGTTGTTGTTGTTGCACTTATTATTATTGTTGTTGTGGTTTCGTCTTTTTAGCCTGCCTTTTCTTCCTCAGACAGGACAGGAAAGGACAGGACATACCGGATACCACTTTGGTATCTGCTTCTGCTGCTGCTGCTCCTCGTATCCAACCTGACCTAGCATACGACCTAGTAACTGAACCTAGCCTGCTTGGTTGGTTTCCCTGGTCCCTCACTCGCTCCCTCCATCCCCCCCTCCAACCAGCCAGTCCTTCCCCCCATCGCCTACCCACTGTGTATCTTGCTCTCACCTCACTTAACTTCACTTCACTTCACTTAACTTCATTTCACTTCAACTCAACTCTACCCTACCCAACCCAACCCAGCCCAACTCAAATCACTCCACTTCACTCACCACCTCGCCTCACCTCACCTCACCTTCCAGAGCTGACCTTACCTGACTGACCTTACCTTACCCGACTTCCTTGACCTGACTTGACCTTACTTAACCTTACCTACAAACAACGACCTTCCATCACCACAACCACCACAACCACTACAACCACCATCAATCACATCACATCACATTCTGTCCTTCTCCCCAGTGATCCCCCTCTCCAAGTATCTCCCAACCCGTTATTCTCCGAGCTCGGTAGCTCTTTCGTGCTCCCGGTCATGACTGAGCCATCGTCAAGGTGAGATACACCCCGTCCCTGCTTTTCTTACCCCTTTGAATTCATGTGGTGTTGGTACAATCTACCTTACCTACTTGCCTGCGGAGGAGAAAGGTCTACAGGAGCCGCGCATGCTAATACATCAGCCTCAAATATACAGCAACTCGAGAAAAGTCAGACTAACAGGTGAGCACCACCAATCCTTGTTTTTCATGACGATCGCATCTTGCATGCATCATCCTTCTACTTAAATCCACAGTTCTCTCCCTCTTATACTAACCTCTGTCGCCTTTCTTCTTCTTTTAGTCATCGCTGCCGATGGTCTATATAAACGAGATGTCTTCAGTATGGATGAAAAAAAATATCCCCGAACCTCCACCTCCGGGCGGCCGTTACCAATCCCCTGGATTTCACTGATCAAACAATCTCCTCCGAATAGGATTTCCGGATCCCTTCGCCGTTATCACGGTAGATGGGGAACAAACACATACAACTACTGTAATCAAGAAGACTTTGAATCCTTATTGGAATGAACCTTTCGATGTGTAAGAACACGATGTCACAAGCACACATTTCCCTCCCTTCAACGATTTGATTCTAATAGGGATGTTTCCTCTCAAATTAGCAATGTCACCGACTCAAGCATCATTGCCGTACAGATCTTCGACCAGAAGAAGTTCAAGAAAAAGGACCAGGGCTTCCTCGGTGTTATTAACATTAGAGTTGGGGATGTCCTCGACCTTGGACTCGGAGGTGACGGTAAGTTTTGATATCTCATAAAAAATCAAAACCGTCGACCGGTCTGAAATGCTGATGCCGGGAATTGTGGACAGAGATGCTTACGCGCGACCTCAAAAAGTCCAATGACAACATGATGGTGCATGGGAAACTAATCGTCAACTTGTCAACTAACGTGGAGGAGCCTTTGAGGACACAGAGTCAGGCCAGGCCGCCGAATGCGCCGCCTACTCCTGCTGGTCCATCTTCTAGCAGCAATACTGCGCTTCCGGTTACGGAACCGCAAAACGGCGCGCCTCCCCCAAGTGCCAATGGTAACCGTCCTCCTGGAGCTCCTTCTGACAGTGCCCCCGCGGGTGCCCCGAATTCTGGAGGAAGCAGGCAGCTAAGTACCTTCGAAGACAACCAGGGTCCTCTGCCGGCTGGCTGGGAAAGACGGCAAGACAACCTGGGTCGGACGTACTATGTAGACCATAATACTCGTACCACGACCTGGGTTCGGCCGTCTTCCCAGTTCTCGTCGAGCGAACAGCGAGCTACCATGCAGCATAACACCGATATGGAAAGAAGAGCACACGGGAACCGAATGCTACCCGAAGACCGAACCGGTGCCAACTCCCCCACCCCGGGAACCGGAACAACCACCCCACCTAACAACGAGGCCTCGTCGAACGCGGTATCAATGATGGCTACTGGCGCGACCACAGCCGGAACTGGTGAGTTACCTCCTGGCTGGGAACAGCGTCACACTCCTGAAGGAAGACCGTATTTTGTCGATCACAACACCCGAACTACGACCTGGGTCGATCCTCGAAGGCAACAGTACATTCGTGTCTATGGGCAGCAACAAACGGTGCAAACCCAACCTGTCTCGCAGCTCGGACCTCTTCCTAGCGGATGGGAAATGCGTCTTACGAATACCGCTAGGGTCTACTTTGTGGATCACAACACCAAGACGACAACCTGGGATGACCCTCGTCTACCATCGTCCCTGGACCAGAACGTGCCACAATACAAGCGAGATTTCCGAAGGAAGCTCATCTACTTCAGATCCCAACCAGCTCTGCGTATTCTGTCCGGCCAATGTCATGTCAAAGTGCGAAGAAACCATATTTTCGAAGATTCCTATGCGGAAATTATGAGACAACATCCCAACGACTTGAAAAAGCGATTGATGGTCAAGTTCGACGGAGAAGATGGTTTGGATTACGGTGGTCTTTCGAGGTAATTAAAGGATATACGGACTGGATCCAATTTGGAAGGGATGTGACGGACTAACGAATGCGCAAACAGAGAATTTTTCTTCTTGCTATCCCACGAGATGTTCAATCCATTTTATTGTCTGTTCGAGTATTCGGCACATGACAATTATACCCTTCAAATCAACCCCCACTCGGGTATTAACCCTGAGCACTTGAATTACTTCAAGTTCATCGGAAGGGTTGTCGGTCTCGCCATTTTCCACCGACGTTTCCTAGACGCCTTCTTCATTGGCGCTTTCTACAAGATGATTTTGCGCAAGAAAGTCTCGCTCGCTGATATGGAAGGCGTGGATGCTGATTTCCACCGAAATCTCACCTGGACTTTGTAGGATCACCAATTTGCATCGAAACCAGTATTTGAATAATGGACTGACATTTGGTTTCCGTATAGGGAGAATGATATTACAGATATCTTAGATCTTACTTTCTCTACTGAAGACAATAGGTTCGGAGAAACTGTAACAATCGATCTCAAGCCAAATGGTAGAGATATTGAGGTGACAAATGAGAACAAGAAGGAGTATATTGAGTATGTATCATATTATTTACGCTATATTTCGAGGCTGGGTTACTGACAATGGATTCAGTCTTATCACCGAATGGAGAATTTCGAAGCGAGTCGAGGAGCAATTTAATGCGTTTATCACTGGATTCAACGAACTTATTCCGCCAGATCTGGTTAATGTGTTTGACGAGCGAGAACTGGAGTTGTTGATTGGTGGTATCGCCGATATTGACGTCGATGACTGGAAGAAACACACCGATTATCGCGGTTACACCGAAACTGATGAAGTTATCCAAAACTTCTGGAAGGTAAGTTTCTCTTTCCATCTCAAAGCGGCGGCGGCGGCGGCAGATACCAGGTACCAGGTTACTAACTTGAAATATAGTGCGTGAGGAGCTGGGATGCCGAGCAGAAATCGCGTCTCTTACAGTTTACCACCGGCACTTCCCGTATTCCGGTCAATGGTTTCAAGGATTTACAGGGAAGCGACGGGCCAAGAAGATTCACAATCGAAAAGGCTGGAGAGCAGTTACATCTGCCCAAATCGCATACTTGGTAAGTGCATCGCGGATTAAAATTATTATGTAAGGGGGGAATTTGTTGAAAAGGGCAGTATACTAACCTTTTTTTCGTTAGCTTCAACCGTTTGGACCTCCCACCATACAAGTCATATGATGCGTTGGCTCAGAAATTGGCATTGGCTGTGGAGGAGACGATGGGATTCGGACAAGAGTAGACGGCTGGAAGATACAGATACAATACATACATATTGTCGATGGACTCGGGCGGTTTGGTGTTTGCGTATATGGGAATTTTTGGTCTCATACTTTTTTGTTAGCCATGTTTTAGCGTAGGAATCACAAAGAGAGAATGTGCCAGACAGTTGCGCAGACTCGTTGGTTTCAATCCCAGACTTTCCTTTGTTAGCTTCCTCTCTCTCTATCTCTCTCTCTCTCGGTCTCTCTTTTTCTTCCTCTCCCATCCTCTCTCGTTCTCTTTATTTATTTTTTCGATCGAGATATGGTCAAGATAATCTTCATCCCGCCTCCCGCCCTTTGATGGTTTTTTTTTCCGAACCCGATCGGGCAGGGTACTTGACCGTGTGCATATAATTTGCATCTGGAATTGAATGAATTGTTGTTTCTTCCTGTAGTACATATCTGAATCAGACCTGGTGATACGCCACAATGCACTTTCCGGTCGCGTGCAAACAGTGGTTCCATTCTCAGTGCATTTCACGTTCCGGGGTACATACATGCATACCGATTTGGTGTAGGTACATGTACATGTATACCTACTTACCCGGTACACGGTCTCCCGTAGACGTTCGGACCTTCCCATCCACTCGCCAATGCAATGGAGACAGAAATGTAAATCAATCGGATTACCATTCCTTCGTTCGTATGTTCGAGCGGGTACGGTGCAGCTGAATCGAAATCTAGGTTCAGAGAGAAATTCGGCTCTCTCCCGTGTAGTGCACTGGTGGCCAATGTGAAGGTAGCAGAAGCAGGGGAATACCCCTGACCTGGGGAATTTGAGGTCGTCCAGCCAATCAACATGCCTCAATGGGCCTAATTTCGGTAAGCTATCCTATCGAGGTTGAAAGGAACCATGCCCCTTGTGTCATAGGGAAATATGTATTGTACCGTTCTGTTAATTCTGTCCTGCACGTACATTGCCTATTGTACGATTGTACTATTGTTTAGTTTGTAGTATTAATTCTGCACGATCTCTCCCTTTCTCTCTCTCTCTCTCTCTCTTTCTTCCCTTTCTTCTTCTCCTTCTCTTCTTTCTTATCAGCCATCGTCGTTCATTCCTTCGTTCAGTCGCTAGTCACTCGCTCGTTATTTGAGAAGATCGCTCTCTCGCACACTCGTTCATCACAACGCAGTCAACGCCGTATAATTATTATCCACCATTTAATAGTATGCCCATTCTTCCCCTTCATCATCAACAATAACCTTCTACCTTCTACCATCAACCATCCCCGACTACCTCCCCGGATTGATCAATTGATAACCTCGTCTTCATCATTACCTCCATTGTTCAGATCCATTTGTTAACCAATCCGTTTCTTCGGCTTTCTCTTCTATATAGATACTTTAATAATATAACGTACTTTTCCCGTACTTATAAATATTATACCGTCAAAATGCGATTCACTACCATCCTCTCTGTTGCTGCTTTCGCTGGTGCCGCTTTGGCCCAGAACCAATCCGGTCCTGGCTCAGGTTGTCCCGGCCAAGCGTAAGTTACATATATATCTCTCTATCAAATATGGTATTCAGCCAGGATGGTTTGGTTAACCGTTCAATAGCGTACTTGTTTCGTGCTTGGGCTCTCAGGCCGGCCGTATCTCTCAGTGCAAGACCCTCGACTACGCCTGCATGTGCCAGATCCAAGCCGATGTCCTCCAATGTTACGACCAGTGCCCTAATGATCTCAACCGAAGCAGTGAACAGAGCAAGGTATGTCTAGATTGCCTTATAATATACCTCCGTCTTTAAACCCGGGTGCACATTTGATGTATACTAATCCAACTGACGATCTAGTTGACTGCCTATTGCGTTGCTGCCTCTGCTGCTGCCCCCGTCCCAACTCAAACCACTGCATCTACCTTCGTCGTTCAGACCACCGGATCTAGCCCAGCCACAACCCAGGCCGGTGACGACGATGCCACCCCAACTGACACTCCTGATGGATCCTCTACTGGAACCGACGCTCCAACTGGTACTAAATCCTCCAACGGAAAGGCCGCCACCTCGGACCCCGCTGGATCTTCTGCTGCCAAGATTACCTGGATGTGTGCTTCCTCGCTCATGGCGGTTTTGACTGCTGCTTTCATGGCCTTGTAAATCCTTTTCTGATCCGTTACGGGAATTTGTGATGGACTGATCTTTGTTTTTGCATTGCCTATTGCATATAGCTTTTTGATGTCTACAGAGGGGAGGACGAAGAAATTAATTAATAATTCATTCATAAACTTTCAAACCCTTTCCTTTTTTTTCCCTTTTTCTCCTTTTCCTTCTTTTCGCTGGGATGGTTTGCGGTTTCCGATGCAATCATTCCTTTTTGATTCGTGGAGACCTTTATCCTCTCTCTTTCTTTCCGATTGATGGTGATGTGACTAATGTGGTGAATGTTGATGGGTGGGAATCCCAGGTTTCTACATAACCATGATCCCAGGCCGTTTTCGGTAGTGTCAACTTTTCGTTATAACTTTCCATAATGAAATTTCGAACCATGCAATAGCGTGTAGTTTCGATTCATCAAACTGGGGAGGGAATCAAAATATATTCGCCGTAGACAAATATTTTTCCGAAACCTACAACGGCAATCTTAAGATAGGACGACGGATCCCAGTATAGGCGAGATAGCGTGACGTATAATAGTTGACTTCGTTGTCGTGGCTGTCCCGCTGTGCCACCACGCAGCATGTGTTTTTTTGTGTTACTTCCCTCTTTCGAAGTTTATAACTTTTTTTAAATTTTTTTTATTCATGATCAATCGGTGTAACGAAAACCGGGTCGGGTTTGTTTCCGTGGGTGCTTCCGATTTTCGAAAGGAAAAAAAAGTATACGAACTAACTATGCATGTGACGGAATTTGGACTGTAGTGGATGCCTACGATGTATCGACTGTATATACATGATCATGATCAAGGGAATCCTTGCTCCAATTATTGCCAGGGGTTTTTTTTTTCACAGGCTTTCGGTACGATAACTGTTCCGAGTCAATGAGTTTGTAAACCAATTATAATGTACCTAGTGAATGCATGTAAATACGTAAAAATTTGGTCTTGATTAATTAATTACTTATATATATAAGGTTTTAGCAGCGCAGGACTCTTAATTGTCAGTTGCGATGCAGTGGTACTTTATTCATGAGTGTAAACATGTACTCAGATCGTTGGGTTGGACACGCACTAAATAACATACTTATAACCCGGTTTTTCGCAACCAAGTAAGGATTGAGAAGAATATGCCCAAACTGTTGGGAATTTTGGGGTCGATAGGTCGTTATATTTATCCCCGTTATGTAAATATACACTAGGTCACAATGCTCCAAATCTCCGAGCGTGCTTTCTGTCTGGTAGTTCACCGTTAGAAGAGGCCATCCGATATTTCAATATTTCTTACGGGTTGAATTGCAAAGAAAGAATTTAACTAAGTAGGCATGCTTGCATCTTGATCTGACAGGCAGGTCTAGCTATGATGAACCACCCCCCCCCCCCCCCCCCCCCCAAGGCGGGTTTGTCTCGCCACGGGTAAGCTATAATAGGGGCCTTGGCTGGAACATCTCATCCCTTGATGAGATCGATCCTAATCCTTTGAAGGTCGACTCCTGAAAGGATCTTTGATTCAGGATTGCATCGAGGGGTTCGAGGAATCTAGTTTTTGGAGCCATGTACAGTATTATAGCGACTTGTTAAGGCTACTGTTGGATTTTGTGTGTTGCTGTACCGCAAAGCAGTAAAAACGTCACCGATGGAAGTAACCGAGCTGTACCATAGGCCGGGATTAACCACCCTGCCCGCAGTCTATCTTGACGACGCCGTGCGCAACCGTCACAGCAAATCATTCCCTTTCTCTCCACTGTTTTGAGACCAAGTATTCTTTCACATGAAGGTATGTAAGTATGTCTGGCCGATATGCAGCTAAGTTCTGTGAAGTTACGTGTAGACTAATTTAGTACATGCATGTCGACATATATGTCCGGCTGGTTGAATGTTATAGGTACTTGGGATTTGTATATGGTACCTTCAGCGATATTCCTACCATGCTTGCCTTAAGTAAGTATACTATGTATGCAGGAAGAAACCGTTTGATACCTCAATCAACATTATCCCGTTTAGGTTTACCCTGCTTTCCTTCCGCATGCAATCGACACAGTTATTGCCAGACTTGTTGGAGGGTCTGCTTTGCCGTCTGTCTACGGGATAAGACTAGCTGTTTTCTCAGACAGAAAGCTTGAGTTCCCATACATATCATGTACCGCTTTCACGTTCTCTCTTTTTTTCTTCTTTTCTTTTTCTACCCCGCCATTTCAGTTGCATTGGCAAGAGGGTGTAGTGTGTTTTAAGGTTATCATTTCGTACTCTCTTTTTCCTTTCTCGGTTTATCGAAGACGAGTCGTGGCTTGAATGATAAGAAGGACATTTCCCAAAGATAGGGCCCAAATTTGTCTCTTTTTTCTTCTTTCCTTTCTTTCCTTCTTCTTCCTATCCCCTATCCCTTGGAAGAGAGTCTCGATTCCTCCTTTGGCTCTTTACTCTTGTTCCGCAGGTTTGGCCTTTTTTTCCTTGTTGAATTGACGGCTACCGGTGATAGTTGACGAACTGGTTGGTGGGCGGTTTTGTCATACACTGCACACCGCCGCCGCCGCCCGTCTTTCAGGCGAGCTTTATCGGTGATCGAGAGTTAACATCATAGCAGAGCAATCGATTGAATCGTCCGATTGCCTGTGATATTCTATCTCTTGCTTTCAGACAAGTGTCTTTTCTTTTTTGATTGTTAGGATATTTCCCTTTACCTCCTATATATACTGCACACACGCACCCTTTTTGCCTCCTAGGTTTTTCTTCAAAGGCACTTTTTTTTCTTTGGAAGAGGTCTCCAAGCTTTGATGGTCTGGTGGCATCTCTGCCTTTTAGAGTCCACCCGTCTCTATGGATAATTGCGACAAAGGCTGAACGAGGTTTTCAAAATTCGCAAGAGTAAGGTACTAGTATCTTTCCTTGTCTCTTTTGAACCTCCTAGAGCCTTTTCGCTTGGTCTCGTTGGAACCATCGTTCGTATTGTTTTTTTTCTTTCGAATTTCCCACAGCCGCCCGTATAATTCACTACCTGTTTGCGATCGCAACTGTTATCAACCGATAAACCAAGACGACGGAGAATTGAATCTAACCACGCGAACTTCGCTTTTATTATTTCTTGATACTTCAATTGGCCTTTTGACAAGAGGGAAAACAAAAAAGAAGAAGAGTCTTAGTATTCGATTAAAAAATATTCTTTTAATTTTCATTCCTCTTTTCATCTTTTATTTCGTAAAAATCTCGTGGTTCCGTCGTTGTTATGTGTGAGTCTGTGGAAAGTAGCAGCCAGGGCGGGGCTGCGGTTGCTGCTTCGGCTGGGGCAGATGCCCATTTCAACACGCCGCTGTCCTTGATTGGGGACCCGTTCGCAAACCACGGTCCAACCCAATTCCAACTCGTACCTGTACCAGCCATGGCTCGGAGGGAGAGCCTCAGACAGGAAGACATCACCCCTTCCTCTCCCTTCATCAAGCGATATCGTACTGAAATTGCTGCTTCGACATCATCGGTATTTTCGACGTTGAGTTCGTGTAAGTTATCTCATATCCCTCCGTTTCTCCGTTGTTGCGGATGGCTATTTCGGGACGTATCCGATATGAGGTCAAAAAAAAAGGGAAAGAAAAAAAAACTTCGTGATCCGATTCCCTTATTATGTTGCAAGGCTAACAGGTTCTTTTCCCTCTCTATTTTTATGGACTGGATAGTTCCATTGGATTCCGTTAAAACTCGTATGCAAACGTAGGTTTGATATTTGTTAATGCCGGTGCTACCATTGGCCCGATACTAACCGTCGACGGTGTCCTGGGTCTATTTTACAGATACAAATTCGATTCATTTTGGGATTGCGTGGTTCAAACTCACAGAAGCGAAGGTATAAGGGGCTTCTGGAGAGGTATGTTTTCATGATCACCTTTCGATCTTAATTTGCTACTATCGATACCATTGTCTATGATGTTGAAGCTTTTTCTTTCCTTTTTTTTTTTTCTTCCCCTACGATAATTTTTTTTTGGAAGAATACCACGTTGATGTCATGTGTTTGTTAATTGGTTTATAGGAAGCTTGGCACCACTTGCGTCTATATCGCTGGTGAGGACAATATCGTTTTCAGTTTACACATCGTCGCTGGGATTTTACAAACGTGGGATTCGGAAAGTTGTTGGAGAAGATGCTGCGAGGTATCAACCTGGGACCTTTCCACACCCATCAAATTTAGCCCAGTACTTTTTGAGCGGTGGGACGGCTGGGGCGGTCGTCAGTGTTATTGCTTGTGAGTATACATCTATTTGTTTAGATATTGGCTCTAAATGCCCATATATGCTTGGATCCGTGTACTAAATTTGCCTCTTGTTTATAGGCCCGTTTGAGTTTACGAAACTCAGCTCGCAGATTGAATTTCTGGTGAAGCAGAGCAAAACACCAGAAGGAAAACAAAAGAATGATTTTGGGAGGGCGTATAATAAGATGAAAGGTGCTGGTACACTGGAGTCTGCAAAACGGATTATGGAGGCTCGTGGGTTGAGGGGGCTGTATTCGGGATTTCACTTGCATCTTAGTATGCAGTTCCTATATTCCGTGGGTTAAGATTTATATTAATGTTGGGCGGTATTATAGCTCGAGATATTTTGGGTACTGGGTTGTACTTCACGGTATGGTTGTCGTTGCCATCGATGGGCCTTTGCGTGGTTACTAATTGTACATGGGTTTAGATGTACGAGACTTTCAAACGAACGTTTTCGTCGAATGAAGGCACTAGTCACCTCGCTATTGCTGCCTCGGGAGGTCTTTGTGGACTGCTATCATGGGCAATAGTATTTCTCTCCAGTCTGCCTTTGAGAGCTTAATGGGGTGTGCTAACGTCTAGGATTTCTTAGATATACCCAATTGATAGCTGGAAATCGATCTATCAGCGCAAGTATGTTGTTTCCTATGGTACAGAGGAGTATGCATAGAGTCCTGTCGTGCTGACTATATTTGTTTCTTAGGGTTCTTTCAACTCCAGCAGGGGAACCTCTTACCTCATTGAAGTATCCACTTTTCCATAGACGCATGTACCGAGGGCTAAGCGTATCAATGGCACGATCGTGCTTACTGAACGCAATTTTCTTTACGTCGTATGAGAAGATTGTTCGCATGATTGATAGTAGTGTAGACTAGTTTGATGGTTCACTACTACTTTTATCTTTGATTTGGTCTGGACAAGCCAAACGCAGTTCTTTTTTTTTCTCTTTCTTTCTTTTTATCATGAACTTCATTCATATTTATTACACAAAGAATGATGACTAAATAGGTAGGTATGATGGAATCGTTCTCTTATTTTATGTACGTCTACACTGGCGTTGGCGGTCTAGCATATGAAATTGTTGTATTTCTTCGATTATTATGGGCAGTAGGCTAGTATTACAGGGATATTGAAACGCTAGACACGAAAGGAAAAAGTAGCAATTGTATGCATGCGATCTGAGGTACGGGTATCGAGGAAGGGAGATAAAAGAAGAATGATACTCTTAAACGAACAAAGGGGGAAAGCTTCTCGCAACGCCACAAACGGATGCCTTATGTCGTATGTTCGGGATGGGCAAAATAAACTGATGTTGCTAAGCGGCTAATAGTTGTTGTTTGCGTTCTCTTGCTTTGGTTTTCGCCTTCAATTCTTTTTCTTCTTCGGTTGGTTCTACCAGCGAAGATACCGGCTCGCTATTTGGAGCGTTTGGCATGGCTGGGACTCCTTCTGGGGGTAATCCTTGCTGTACCCTCTGTTCTGCTTTGGCCTCGCGAAGCATTAACTCGAATTCCTCGTCTACGGCGTCTTGATCTTCGTTACTCATATTCCGTGTGATGATTTCGTCAAGCTGCTTCTGGTAGGCTATTGCGTCTTCGGTGTCACCCATGATTTTCTCGGCCTTTTCTAGCGACATTTCCTTTTCGATTTGCTTGAGGACTGTGTTTCCTTGTTGAAGGCCGTAAAGGACATCCTTTTGGATAAGAGCGAATTCGACGTTCGATGTCTTCAGTTGACGAAGGAATAATATGTTAGTTTCCAGCACTTTGAGTAGTATCATAACGGAGCCCCGCCCTAGCGAGGAAAGGGATTTGTTCATACCAACTGCTCCAATGCTTCTAGTTGTTTATCCGTCTTGCTCAACAATTGTTCCTGGAACTTTCTCTTCCGTAGGGCTAGTAGGGCTTTATCCTTTTGGTCGTTTCGGAGACACTCCCGAGCAATCTCATGTTCTCGATCGAGGACGACTTGGATGCGTTTCTTGTAGGCTTTTAGTTTATCGCGTTGGACTTTCATGTCTAGGATGGCGCTATGGGTGTCAGATGGACTAATTAATTTTTCTTACTTTATTTTATTTCATCTCTCTCTCTCACAATCTCTACCATTTCTCCTCCTTTTTTGATACTGAAGGGTGGGGAGGTGACGTATGAGAGGAATTCAAGGGGAGTGTTCAGCTTACCGGTCCTGCGCCGTCACTCTGTTGGAGCTACTAGATTGCCCCATGGCTAGTAGATGGCAGACAGTGGTATATCAGTGGATATCTCTAAAATCAAACTCTATAGCGATATGGAGGGTATATGGATATTGTCCTGCGATGATGTATGGGACGATATATGGTCGGGGGTTGTATAGAGTGTGTGTGATGGATGACGTTGGAGGCTAGTCGCAGTGCAGTAGTTACGGTTCTGGGTGCAGATGTGCACTGGATGAGGGAAGCTGAAGGTCACACGCAGCCAAGCCGCGGTGTGGGTCTTCCCGTTTTGGTTTGAGCCAGTACATCGCATGGGTCCTGTGAAAACATGCGACCTGATTTTTTTGAAACTCGACTAAAAAAACCGAAAAAAACACACATAGCTACCGGACCAGAAAGAGTTATCATTGCAATATCCACGACATCCTTCTAAACCACAATCAATCTCACGGGATCTCGTGGTTCTGGACAAAATGTCGTCTCGTCCTTCACGTCATCACACTTCCCACGGTGGCGGATCCGTTACGAAACAATTAGACCGTAAAGTCGAAAATCTTGTCCGAGACTATTATTCCAAACTCTCGTCGAATAGTAGCAATAATCCGAAACCGATACCGAATACGAATGAGGCAATCGATTATGTTCAGGCTCACGATATGGGGCTTAAGCGGTTAAAAAGGAATCAGATCGAGAAATCGGTGACTAAGGCGATGGAGTTGATTACTATTGAAGTTGGAGGCACTGCTGGCGAGAATGAAGGCGCTGAAGAATTTGATAGCGATTTTGAAGCTTTTAATGAAGCGGTTGATAAGGTATAATCTTTCCCATTTCTGGGAGTCATTGTTTGTCTGAGAGGTTCTTTACTGGGTGAATACTAATGGGAGAATCATAGGATAATAACTCTGCAAACAAGAGGGTTGTCGAGATGTGGTCAAAGAATCAAGCTTCTAGTCGGAATACCCCGGCTCCAGAAGCTCAAAGTCAGCCTGTAGACGGAGATGCATCCCAACAATTGTCGAAAGACGCACAAACTCCTGCCCGTCGAAAACGCGAACGAAGTAGCCGGACGGAACCACCTGTCAAGAAACAGAAGATAGACCGCGCACCCCCAACCGGCGTATCACTAAAAGACATCGGTGGAATTGAACATATTCTCAATGATATCCACGATTTGATCGACATGCCCTTAAACTGTGCTACTTGTTACGATCATTTGGGGATCCAAATACCGCGGGGGATACTTCTTCACGGACCACCCGGGTGTGGGAAAACTATGCTTGCGAATGCGATTGCAGCTCACCATGGTGTTCCGTTTATACCTATTTCTGCGCCTTCGATTGTTAGTGGGATGTCCGGGGAATCGGAGAAGAAGCTGAGGGAGATCTTTGAGGAAGCTGTGAAGCTCGCGCCGTCTATTATTTTCATAGATGAGATTGATGCGGTTATGCCCAAGAGGGATAGTGCGCAGAGGGAGATGGAGAAGAGGATTGTGGCGCAGATGTTGACTTGTATGGATGGTAAGTGGGGATATGGGGCTACAAATACTTTAAGAAATCAGGAGGGCTCTTGTGCTGATTGGGGTATGATCGGATAGATTTATCTTTGAGTAAAACTGGCGGGAATCCTGTTTTTGTTATTGGAGCGACGAATCGGCCTGATAGTCTTGATCCTGCATTAAGGAGAGCGGGCAGGTTTGACCGGGAGATTTGCTTGGGGGTTCCGGATGAAGTTGGCAGAGAGAAGTATGTGCCAATTAAAATTGGAACTATGGAATAGCCACAGCTAATGACTTTTAATTCTAGAATTCTACGGGTACTCTCAGAGAAGCTCAAGCTTTCCGGCGACTTTGATTTCAAGAAGCTAGCCAAGTTAACGCCAGGATTCGTCGGAGCGGACTTGAGTTCGTTGATAACGGCTGCTGGTACATTTGCTATCAAACGCATCTACGATGACTTAAAAGTGAGGCATCAAATCGGGACCGCAGAGCAGGATGAGGGAGTCTCAATTCTAAATGGAGCTATGGAAATTGATGGAGGCCCGGGTTTGGCGAACGGGAAGCCTAACCCCATCCTGGAAGATGCTCCAAACCCATTTCCACCACTGTCGCCAGAAGAGCTGGAGAGACTTTCAATCACGATCGACGATTTCCTTACAGCTCTCCCGAAGGTCCAGCCATCTTCGAAACGTGAAGGGTTCGCAACTGTTCCTGATGTTACATGGCAACAGATCGGTGCTTTGGAAGCCATTAGAAAGCAAATGCAGCTCGCAATTGTAAAACCCATCGCGCACCCCGAGATATTTGAGGCTGTTGGAATAACATCGCCTGCTGGGGTTTTGCTCTATGGTCCTCCCGGGTGTGGTAAAACATTGCTCGCGAAGGCGGTTGCCAATGAAAGTAATGCCAACTTTATCAGTGTTAAAGGACCCGAGTTGTTAAATAAGGTAATCTTACGGTTGGGTTTTAAATTGGTGGTTGGGGTCTTTGCTAATCATTGGATGTCGTTGGATAGTGGGTTGGAGAGTCTGAGAGGGCTGTTAGGCAAGTTTTCATGCGCGCAAGGGCTTCGCAGCCATGTGTTATTTTCTTCGACGAATTGGATGCTCTAGCGGGGAAGAGAGAGGATGCAACAGTAGGTCCCAATGCATTCTAATGACAAATCTAATGATCGGCTGTTAGGCTAACATTTACGATAGACAGAAGCAACGTCACGAGTCGTCAACACACTACTTACGGAGCTAGACGGCTTGAGCGATCGTAAAGGTGTATATGTTATAGCGGCGACCAACAGGCCAGACATGATCGACCCAGCGATGCTGAGACCTGGGCGTTTAGATAAGGCGCTTTTTGTGGCGCTGCCTACAGCCGAAGAGAGACTTGATATTATGAAAAAGCTGACAATGAAAATGCCTCTTCATGAATCAATTGATCTATGGAAAATTGCCGACGACAGCCGTTGTCGAAATTTTAGGTGAGTTAAAAGGTTCCCCCACTTGAAAAAAAAATATTTGCGCGCGGGTGTTCTCAGATATTAAACTTTTTGATTTAGCGGAGCCGATTTGTCATCGCTGGTTCGCGAGGCCGCAAACTCTGCTGTCGAAGCCTTCTTCCCCGAAACAGCTGCCGAACCGCAACGGATACCAAGTGGGCCGATCACGGTGTGTCCCGACAATTTTGAAAAGGCATTTGGGATGGTGCGCCCAAGTGTCTCCGAGGCTGAGCGGATCCGATATATGCAGATTAACAAGAAACTCTTGGGATACTAGAACAATTGTAAGCAGAAAACAACTGCAAGAAAATTTCTTATTTTTTGTGTGAAATTTTACCTAAAACATTCAAGTAAAGCGGCGACGAGCAAATACGGAAAGAAGACACAAGAAAGAAAAAGAAAGAAAAAGAATCAATTCCCAGACGGGAATCAAAATCCCACACCTTCCAAGAATGCACAAGCATGGTGTTCTATCGAATCGGAAAGACTATGGTCGCGCGATTTTGCGAAGAAATTTGCTTCCACACTGAGCTCGCTAGCTCTGTAAGCTTTGCTTGACAGAGAGCTAGTCGATTACCTTGCCAGACAGCTGCGCTGGCACCTCATAATCGATCGATCTGAACAGGCAGCTTCGAAAGCTCCAATGAGAAACAATGCCATCTTCCCGCCGACGCAGAACTCTTGGCTAGGCTGACCGGGGTTGGTAGAGGCGTCCGCACAGTTTTTCCCAACAGCCTTGTCCCGAGCCTTTGCCATGCCGCCTCCTGTTGCATTTTGCATTTTGGTACCTGACGTTAAGCCTGATCAGGTTAAAACGGCTGCAAGGTTCTGAAAAACCCGCACACATATATTAGCACCCACACATGTGAAGCTGGAATCCAACGCCCCTGGCAGCGAAGTACACGTATGAAGGCGACCTTGCGCGATCCAGCCAAGATCCTAGCGAAAAACATTTTTCCTTGCGTCGAAGGACCTTACATTGTCCACAGCTAGCCTTGTCTTGTCTTTGATGGGAAAACCAACCTGCTCCGTCGCCCAATGGGGGGTTGCATTGATCCGAGCTGGTTTCTGGTACGAGATCTCGGGTTTCGCATGAAAAGGTCCAGCCCAGGAGGCACAGGTGGAAAGGATGCTATAAGAACCGGCATCTGCCTCCAATACCCCTCCTTGCGATTCCTCTTTTGCGATACAATCTTTCCGATCTAGCTTAAGCTTGAAGTTCGAAACACTCATTTTCGCCTTGGTGGAACCATTCAACCGTCTACAATAATTGCAAACGAAAACAAGGACTGGCATCCTTCCCCACTAGTTACACTGAACCTTCACACCATATATCCGTTTACGTAAAAAAGTCAGCGCAACTCGCACTTCCCTAGATATCTATCTATCTACCTACCTACCCATCTCTTTCATCTCTTTATTATCATTCCCTCCTTTCAAAACAAAAACATATTTTTTTGTTGTTTTCAAACAAAAAGAAATCTGTCAAGATGCAGTTTGGACACAAGACATTGTTGGCCTTGGTGGCTATTATTGAGCTTGCTTCAGCTAGCGCCGCTGTCGACATGTTACAAAAGCGGGACGCTGTTGTATATGTTCAACAAGAGATCCTAGAAATTGTTGCATTTACTTCAACTGTTTGGGTGGCGCCTCCTCCTCCTCCCAGCGAGACTCCAACTCCAGAGCCGGAGCCTGTGGTCGAGCCTACACCTACCCCAGAGCCCGTCGTCGAGTCTACCCCCACCCCAGAACCTATCATTGCTGCCGACCCAACAGTGGTTCCCGTACCTGTTGTCGTCCCACCAGAGCCATCTCCAACCCCAAGCCCCGAACCTGTTGTTGAAGAGCCCCCAAGCAGTGGTGGCGGCAGCGGTTCATACTCTGGCAAGGCCACCTTCTATGATGCTGTAAGTGTACAAATATATCTGTTCAAAGTATTATCATATGTCCATGTACTAATTCGGTAAAACAGGGTCTTGGAAGTTGCGGAGAAACCCACTCCAACAGTGATTTTATTTGTGCATTGTCTAAGGCTACTATGGCCTTGACCGGCGGCCCAAATCCTAACCTTAATCCCATGTGCGGAACCAAGATTCGTGTCATGAGTCCCTCCAACCCCACTGGCGTCATCGTCACTATCGTCGATACCTGCCCTGGATGCGTAAGTTTGCCTTTTTGCTTTTAAATTACACATACAATCATACTCCTGGGATGAGACTAATATATACTATCACAGGCTGGTGCATACGATCTCGATCTTACCCCTGCTGTTTTCGATCAGCTCGGTGACCAACTTGACGGTGTCATTTCAATCACCTGGGATTACGTCTAAATGAACCTTCATGACTCTATGTTTCTAGGAGCTAGTGTTATCTCCTTTTAATGATGAAGTTTTGCTTTCCAATTCAGCATCCTTCTGACGGATTGATTCCGGACCCACCGGCGTGCTTGCATAGCCGGATGCCTTTCTGTTGTATATATTCACCCTTTTCTCTTGCCTTCCGTTCCTCTCTTTGATATTTTTTGATGTTTTTTTTATGATACCACGGATGTTTTATGGATTTGGGGGCCTTATGATGGAAAAAAAAAAAAAAGGGACCACAGAGATAGACAAAAGCTAGATTTCAAGATTATCTGGCAATAGTCTTATTAAATTAAATCAAAAAACGCTTGATGCGGCATCAGTATCTTCTTCCTTGCCTTCTTCTTCTTCTCGATAAGCCCTCATTAAAAATTAAATCTATTCGAAACCCAAGTGTTGTAGACCTGGATTCTGATGAGATACTATAGACATGTGACATCGGGATAGATATACGCATTCCGTACTGAAGGGGAAATTTGCTCCCCCTCTTTCCGGCCAAAATATGTACCAGAAGGGCAGTTTATGTCATGATCGGATTCCGCCATGATAATAAAACACCTTCTATCGCAACTCGAGCTCCATAGTCTCATTCAGCATCCTAATCGTATCATCATATTCATCAAATGTTATAGCCAGTGTGTCCCAATCGGATGGTTTCATGACAGTAGTGGACCTGGGCAATCTGCTGATTTCTCGACGCCACTCGACGAAACAAAGATGCTTCACAATGGTATGCTCCATGCCCAGACGGGTAGCAGCCGTGTTTAAGAAACGGACGGTATTGTCGATACGGGTTTGCGAGAAAGTCTTTGGGAACCTTTGAGTCCGGGCGGGTGCGCCGCCGGCACTGGGCTGCAGGATGGGGGCAGTCTCGTCACTAAAGGCGTGTCGGAGCTTCGAGCGAAGGCCATAGCGAGCCGGGGAGGAGTATTGAACTGCACGCAGGCCTGCCCGGAGAAGATTGCGGTAGGCGTGGATGACGGCCTGGCGCGAGGGCGGCGAGAGAGGAGCGATCATTGGGCCGGGCTGGGCTGAGAGGTTTCTGCTGGTCAGAAATTCTCTTCGTTTCTGCAGGCAGGATTAATATGTCTTAGTAATCTAACCAACATCGAACAATCGATATCACCAATTGCAACGTGACCGTCATCATCGCCAGCAGTCTCCGCTGCTTTTGTATACTCGAGTTACCCGAGATTATAGACCGGTTGCGTCTGAATTCGAATTCGAAAGCAATCCGCCTCGATTCGGGTGGTCCAATCATCCAGCTGGCACATCGCGCTGCCTCGGGCAAACAGCTAGTTCCAGGTCCTCTTTTCTTCCTCTGATTTGTGTCTGCTTCTTCTTCTTTTTCTACTTTCTTGCCTGCCAACTTTGCATCCAGCCATCGCCATTTTTAACATCATTCGTACCCGTCGGTCGGTCGGTTCTGATTTCTTTTCTGTGGTTTCGTTGTAATCCTTCATTGTTCTTCTAGTTCTAAATCCCATCCTTTAATCCTTTAAAGGTATGTCGTATGGATGCCGGGTATACGGTGCTGCCGTGCCGTGTGGTTCTGCTGGAGTTTGCACACCGTTGAAGCTAACAAGGACGCAGGTACCCAGCAGCGAAGCTTGAAGCACCAGGGTATCCTCAGAACCCACAGCACAGCATTAGGAACATAGTCGTGTATCGCTTCAAAGAAATAAATCAAGCTACCAGCTACCGAAAGGCGGCGACGGGAAAGCCCCTTTCCACGGCCGACCTAAGATCTCTTCCTCCCTTTCATCCCATCCGTTTAATTACTTTCCTAGACATCGAACCAGAAATCCAGGCGCGGCGTGCTTTGGAGCCGCCCCCTTCGGCTTCATGAGTGGGATCGAAGTCCTCACCAACTTCTTCGAGAACATCCGTCCGAGGTACTCCTGGTCTTCTTCCGAAACAGCCGCTAGTAATTCACATGCCCTTTCTACACCATCTTCGCCGTCTCGTGCTTCGGCTTTAAACGATGAGATCCACTCCGATGCGACGTTGGCATCTCCTCCTACATCTCCCTTGCATGGATTAGAGGCGTCCGAGTATGATTGTGGTGTCTACACGGATGCTGAAGATGAGGATGATGATAGTGAGAGTGAAGCCGGTAATGTGACTTCGCGAGCTAGTAATAGTGTCATCGGGGACGCGGTTATCGCTGCTTCTGCTGCTTCTGCTGTCGCGTTGGAGACCCCTGACGCGACAGTTAGGCTCGCAAGTCCTCCTATCGTGCCACCATCCGAGTCTCCCTCGAGTGTCAGTGTATCAGAAGAAACACTAGTCACAGAGCAGGCTGGTTCTTCTACAGTAGAAATTGTTCCGACTGCTGAAACTAGGACGTCCTCAGATGATACCCCGATTGCTGTCAGTCTCGCAATTCCAGAGGATGACGGCCATAGCGTTCTTCGAGAAAAGCTCTTGGAGATCCAAAGGTCTGGTCTGACGGAACGGGAACGGGCTCAAAGGATGCATCTGCTCATGACGGAAGGTTATCTCAGGCGGACAGGCCAACGGGCATCAGTCTCACCGGCAGGCTCTCGACCTCGTAGCATGGTAGAAGGAGATCCTTTCAGCATCGCAGAGGAAGACATGGAACCCTCGTATGCTAATGAAGACGAAGGTATCTTTGGATGTGCTCATTATCGCAGGAATGTCAAGTTACAATGCTCGACTTGTGATAAGTGGTATCCGTGCCGCTTTTGCCACGACGATAAAGAGGAGCATGCTCTAATACGAAAGGATACGAAGAATATGCTGTGTATGCCCTGTGGAACTGCGCAACCTGCTGCGCAAACTTGCCGGCAGTGTTCACGGTATGCCGCTTCATACTATTGCGACAAGGTAATAATACAACTGGAACCTTGAACTTCTTAATTCCCTGGCTGACCCTCCGAAACAGTGTAAACTCTGGGATGATGATCCAACTCGAACTATATATCATTGTAACGATTGTGGCATTTGTCGGATCGGCAGAGGGTTAGGGAAGGACTTTTTCCATTGCAAAGTACACATCATCGTCGAAATTCTCTATATACCAGTAATCTAACTTTCTCAAATATATATTTAGAAATGCGGGGTCTGCATGTCTATTGAGCTGGAGGGACAACATCGCTGCATTGAACGAAGTACTGACTGCGACTGTCCCATATGTGGTGAATATTTATTCACATCTGTAAATACCGTCGTCTTCATGGTAGGTCGATTCCTTTCTCTCGGTCCAAATATTTCACCATAATCTAACCGATGTTTGTAGACCTGCGGCCATTCCATTCATCTCGACTGTTACAATGAGCATATGAAAAGCTCGTATAGATGTCCGACATGTGCAAAGAGTGTTTTCAACATGGAAAGTCGATTCCGGTATTTAGACTACGAAATACAGCGCCAACCTCTTCCAGACCCTTACAGATTCTGGCATTGTCATATTATCTGCAACGACTGTTCGGCTAAAAGTGATGTGGCATTCCACTTTCTCGGGCTGAAGTGCGATACTTGCAAGAGCTACAATACCTGCGAGGTCAAATTGATACGTCCTGAAGATGACCCCAACAATACCTCGCCAAGTTCAGTATTGTCACGGAATCTTCTCCCACCGCCCCACCTCATGCCTAACCCTGAAACCGCAGGAACTATTGTTCCCGGAGAGGATGTTGTTGCGGACTTGGCTTCTGTTTTGAGGGAGATAGAAGGGCATGATGTTCGATCCGGGCCTTTGGCTATCAATGGCGTTGATTCAAGCGATGAATCCGACTGCTCCTGTGCGGATGGAGAAGGCGGGTACGATACCGATAGCCTTGACAGTGGTGAAGAATATGACGGAGGCGACGATGACGATGGAGATGAAGGATCACTCGATGGCGACGATGACGGAGATGACGACGAAGATGAAGAACCGGCCTACGACGGACCAGCTCCTGTTGAAATAGTACATTTACCAGGCCATCCTTAACGTTCCGCCTTCATCGCTTTTTACCGCCCTGCCGAGCAGGCCACGAGGGCCCCTGATGATTTTTACGACTTCATTCGCTGGTTTACATCCTTTTATTGTTGACTACTCTCCCCTTTCTTCCATTTCCTTCTCTCTCACTCTCTCTCTCTCTCTGCACAATTAATCGCTAGCATTGCTTGCGCGGGTGGATTTTGATTACTTCCTGTTTTCTTGTTTGGTATTCCGGAGGAGTAGTTCTGATATCCTTTTTTATTTTTTCCATTCGTTCATTGGCAGTTATCTGGGGGGTCGGTTTATACATGAATACAAAAGAAAAAGGGACTAGGTCAAAGGATTGAGCAAAACTTGCAACATAGTCATATGCATACTACGAGTGCTTCTTCTATTCTTCGGCGGCGTTTCCTTTCTTTTCTTTTTAAGAGTCTGGCATACTTTCTAGCGATTCGTGAATGGGTTTTCTTTACAAATTTTAAATTTAACAAAAACGAAAATGGGGATGGGAAGGAAAAGGGGAACTAATTGAATGGTCATCTCACACTATCATGGCGTTTTCGTTCTGTTGTAGTAGTTAGTTACCTTGCATGTACTGGTATCAATTATAATCCGGGCCTTTCCCATTTATGAAACATCGAACGTCAGGTCCAACACAAAGTTCCAAAACGAACGACGGTACTTGGTACTTAGGTCCCGCCCATATTCCTCACCAAACCCTCGTAACATAACCGATTATAACCCGTCGCCCTCAAACCGCCACTTCCAAACTCCTCACAACCCACGGAACATGTCGCGGCCGATCCTCTCCCGCCTGGCCATGGCTGCCAATCGAGCCCAGTTCTCTCGAATATGCGGACTATCACCCCACCGAACCCCGAGTTTGATAACGCGAAGTCGAGCGCCAACGACCATTTTTCGACGGTCGTTAATTGCGGCTCCCAAGGAAGGTGGACCGCCATTACTTCAGCGGAGTGCGAATAGAGAGTTACCTGGTACCTCCAACCCCCCCTCTCTATCATTATCCTTATTCCAGAAATATCCACCCTAGTAATAATAACATTAAATAACAAAATAATAACAATATCACTAAACAATGGATTTTATAATAGACGTTACTCCAAAACGCCGGTACCTAATCCACGTCCCCATCTTCCTAATCTCCATGTACATCGCCGCAAACCTTCTTTTCAACTACCAACGCTCTTCATCATCGGTAGTATCCTCGACGTTGTACGCTTTAAGAGTCAACCCGGAGGCGAGGGAGATCTTGGGTGATGAGATCTCCTTCAAAGCGAAGACTATCCCTTGGATTCATGGTACTATGGATCAATTACACGGCAAGATTGATATTTCTTATAAAGTTAAGGGTAGTAAAGGGGAAGGAACGGTCCATTTTTTTAGTTTGAGAGAGGGCGGCAGGGCGGGGAAGGTAAATATATATCTTTTTTTTATCATTATTATTCTTCTGCTTATTCCTTTCTTGTTATTCCTTTCTATTACCATTTTACCTATATATGATAATATATCGTCGAGAAAGTTGATACTAACGGCATCTGTATCGTACAATTAGTTCAAAACAAAAAAATGGGCATTGGAACTTCCGGATGGTGGAGTGTTGAACCTGCTGGTCGATGATAATGTTTTGGAGGATGAACCGTAGGAATATGGCGAGAGAGGAAAAGAAATAAATAAACCATACCCTGAGGTAGATTTATACCACCAACGAGAAATTCAGATATATCGTTTGAATGGTTGAGATATATCATCGTTTTCCATCTCCGCTAAATATCGAGATGAGGTTCCGATGATCTTTTGTACATATATACTCCCAAAAACCAAAGCATGAGCCTAGTACATAAAAACGTTGAATGTATACGTATAGGTATGTATACATATATGCCCCGATAGAGCCAAACGGAGGACTTTACCTGGTGCATCGTTATAGACATACTATATATATTCCCACCCCCTAAAACTCTTTCCTCTTCTTTCAAAAAAGAGTTAAGCAGGGTTGAGAATCTTTGTCGCTTGTTTTCCTTTTGTCCCCCACCATTCACCCAATTCTTGAATAAAGAGGCGCACCTTTTTATACTATGCACATATATGACCCTTTTTAGATCATGTGATTCATCATCATCGGACGAGATAAGAAAGGGGAAGGGGAAATGGGTAAGGGGGAAAGTCATAAAAACACTATCATCTAGTCTATCATACGGTGTTTTCGCATTATGCCAATTCCTGTGCTCAAAAAGAAAAAAGTAAAAATGCCAACCAAAGGAAATCCAGCGGAGATAAAAAGAAAACGTACTAATAACATCATTTTTAAACAAAGGGCCTGCACAATGAACTAATCCTCCGGGAAAAAGAAAGAAAGAAAGAATTGAGGAACGTTGGGGATCACATATCAATTGTTTCATTAAACCTCAGTATCCCTTCTCTTATGAAAACGCCATCAACCAAATTTGTAAGGGCTGCGGGGTGAACCGAAGCGTTACCAATAACCTGAGATATCAAGACCAACCCTTCAGCTTTAACGCTGTGCGTTAGAGCCAGAACCATTTCCTACCAAGAAAAAGTTAGCTGTTATGGAGTCCGGTCATTTATGATATATCCGGGATAATTTGACTTACCAATAGCCTCGCAGAGCATATTAACCCCATAAGATTATTGTTTTTTGCCAAACGCACGGCCTCTTTTGTCGACATTGGGGAAACGCTTCTGTACTTGACGAGTTCTGGATCGGAAGGTGAATAATTGGCGGAAGCGAGATCAATTTCGCTGAGGCCGTTGCAGAAGAATACAGGATCTAGATTGTTTCTCATCAGCATTATTGTCACTACAGCCGAAGGGATAATGTAATATGGCATACAGTTTGGCTGCTTCCAGTTCAAGGCTGTGCAGACACTGGCTTCAAAAGCGGAAAACATGATGGACCTGGCAGCCTCCGATGCATTATCCCTAACCTCCCTAGCATGGTGGAAAACTGTGTTAAGTATCGCGTCCACGTATCTGTTTGGATCCGAAACAGCCGAGAGATTTTTTTCCTTGATCTCGATCTCGTTCGGATATAAAACGTGAAGGTTTAAGTTGATATCGATTGGCAGCAGTGATAGAGCCTCCCCTAGGGACAAAAACGAGCCCTGTAACTTTTGGTAGAGGTCTTCGAACGAAGCGAAGGCAAGGATACTCTCCTTGATACTCTCCTCAGACTGTCGGTTGATATTGGACCCAATAATTTTGAATTGCTCGAAGCTAAGGGAACAGATCGGAACGGAGATACCAGCGTACTGAACTGTCCATGTGGGAAATAGCACAGGAACTTCGTCTCTAGTGACTTGGACGAACAGTCGGACATAGTCTCCGGAGAGGGAAGACCCGGTAATTAACGGTCGTGAATCAAACTGACTTGTAGCCTTCCAGTATGGTGCAAAATGGGCAATCTCTAGAGGGGTGCCTCCGAACGGTTTGATAATTTGGAAGTCAAAAGAAAGCTGACCAATAACTCGGGATCTAGAGTCATGAAGCGGTAGGACGCAATGACCGCTACTATTTGCATTGTTAAAGATCTGGGACAGAGCAACGGTCCTGGCGATCATCTTGGTGCCAAAAGTGGGGAAGATATCAAAATCGATAGCGAAGGCCTCGAGCGAATCGATCTGGAATGATACAACCTTCGCATCGTCTGCAAGCGGTAAGAGCATGTTTTTCGAGATGACATCGGAAGATTTTGAGGATACTGTCAACCGCGAAGCAGGGTACTTTCCTTGTTGGTAGAAAAATATAGCATCCGAATTCTTTTCCGCAAATGTAAGCTGAACGAAGGTCTTCTTATCCAAGAAATTGTGCCCATATCTTCGAAGTGGAAGTATCGGAGGCGGCAAAGCGAGGTCAGGGATGCCATCTGCATCTAGTATCATATGCGCACTCGACTGCGTCGATGCAGGCGAGGGTCTGATAAGTGGTGGTTCTATTGGGTCCACACCGAGGATCCCCCCTGCATCGAATAGGATCTTCATACACTCTAGGTGCCCTTCCCATGCAGAGTAGTACAAAGCCGAGAGGTTTTTCTCGTCTAAAAGGTCAAGGCGTGCTCCCGCATTCAGAAGAATCCTGAGGTTTTCTGTATTTCCTTCGCTTGCGGCATGGACCATCGGCGTCCATCCGTTCAACTTATCGAACTCGTTAAGATTAGCACCGAAGGACTGGAGTGTTACCAATAAAGAAGAGGCATTCCTTCGTCTGGCGACATGATGCTGTGGGTAAAGACCCTCAGCATCGGGGAGTATTTGAGCACTGTTCCTCAGCAAGGCTTCTGCGATTTCGACTAAACCGTGTTGGCAAGCCAAGTTCAACGGTATATAATCTCTTTCACTTGCCGGGTTAATCCGCGCCTTGTGTTTAATCAACACCTCAATACTCGATAGCTGATGATGATGAAGAGCATGAATCAGGGGGGTGAAGTTATCTAGATCCATGCTATCTAGTGTCTTGGGGTTAGCCGTCAGTAGGGCTTCGAGAATATCAACGTGGCCGTGCATCGCTGCATAATGCAAGGGTAGTCTCCCGTAAGCATCAGATTGCCCAACATCCACGCCAGCGGTGAGGAGAACCCTAGTGATTGATAGTTTTCCGGCATTCGCCGCTTCGTGAAGGGCATTTCTCTCATTGATCTCATCCTTCGCCTTGAGATTGACGCAATTAGATACCAATAGAGCCTCTAGACACTCCTTAGATGCCTCCCCAATACTAGACAAGAATACGCGTGTTAATGTTTCCCTCCCTGTCGGCGTGGATTCTACGGCCTTGATGGTTTCAGAGAGCAGTGAGGCGTTTCCAGAGGAGATTGCCCGCGATAACTCTGCTTGCGCATCAGTGTATGCTGTTTCCACGTCGCTATTCCCGCCCGAGTAAGCGTCTCTGTTAAACGTAATGCTCTCGCCTTCTGCCCAAGCTTCAAGCTCCAACAAGCCTGTTGTCGCCCTATCGGATAATTCGCTTATAACATCTCGGTTGAAACAGGGTTGTACTTCGACAGCTCTTGAAAGGTAGAGCTCCTTGGTTCGTGACTATATCGATAATATAAGCTCTAAACGATCGGCCAGATAAATAAAAATGAGCCTACCTTGGAGGATTTATCCCACTGTAATCATCAAAAACCCCTTAGGATCAATGTCCATTTTCTTCTCGAGTGGAATGCAAACAAGTTGTGGAATACCTTCTTTAATATTTTCGAGAAGCCTGTTGCATTTAACTCCACGAATTGCTACAAACAACACAAATTGTTGTTAGCATTGTCATCATGAAAGGAACAGCACAAGCTTTTAGGCTACACCCGGAAATAGTTGAAAGGAGCAGGGTCATAGTACCTGCAACTTATTCAAGTCGACCCCAAATTGGTGGAATCCTTCTTGTAGAGTCACTAACATTGTCGAACTTTTCGCAGCCGCATCTGTTCTCGATTGAATTGCATCTTTCTTCTCGATCAACGTCCGGAGTCGCACCGTTAACTAAAATAACTTGAGCATTAAAATCCTGGCTGATTTGTCATGTATATAATTGCAACCCAGATATTTTCGACTTTACCTCGTCTTGTTTCTGAAGGTAGAATGCATTGACTTTCTCGATCTCACGGTCCTGAGAACTATCGTTAACTCTAGCTCCGGTTCAGAGTACAAATTATAGCGCAGCGGCTGACGAGGTCTTACAAGTCGAAAGAAAAAGGTGGTTTTATTCGCGTGGAGCGCAGCTTGGGGGTCGTTGAGGATCTCGCCTTCCGGTGTTCGAATTGGCAAGCTGGTCCCTGAACGGATGCTTCTCGAGCTGGAGGCTAGCTGTTTGATCAACTGTGAAGGTAAACGGGGAAAACGTCAGCACTCCGTTGGAATAAGGGTAAAATTTGCGTAAAGAGACCGCTCGAAGCTGTAAGGCAATCGCAAAAAAGCAGTCTTGCTGGGTACGGATTGTCGATTGTTGGATTACAACCTTTTTCAGGCCTTTATAATTAACGAAGCTTGCCGCATACTCGGGTATGTCTAGCTGTCGCTTTTGGAGATGCTTGCCGAACTTCCTAAATACCCAAAGATCCAAAAGGATACTAATCAGTCTGACACGTTCTGAGAGCTTCTGCATCGACGCAGCAACACATTTTACGGGAGGAATGAAGAGCGGAAGGGTTGGGAGGCTCCTGAAAGTGATATCGATGATACCCCATCAATGCTATAGAACGTGAACAAGGGAATGTTCTGATGGAACCCTTGGCTCTAGTGAATGTAGGCCGTTTGAAATAGCTTTTGACGGGTGAAACATCCCGGCCAGTGGTTGATGGGAGGTGAAGAGGTCGGTATCCTACATTTTGGCAAAAGATGGTTAAAGAAAATTAGAGGCGAGAAGGGAAGGTGTGTCTGTGTGTGGTGCCGGGACTTTGGTGAGTGTGTGCGGGCCTTTCGCGAATGAGGGATCCAATGATGGAAAGCGACAGCGGGGACACTGATATATCCTTTTTTTGTTTGTATGTTCGGTGCGGGTTGAACGTCAAGAAATCCGATTGAGCCCCATGTGTGACATAGCAAAAGATGATTCGAGGAATGTTGATCAAGGCGCTCTTTGCAGTTGATTTAGGAAACGAGAGTATGTATGCACTGATCAGTCGGCCTTGGTCTATTTAGAAAAGAGAGAGTTGCGATTGGAGAGAGGGGCTTTTCAAAATTCACAAAGGTATTAGGATGATAAAGTGGAAGTGGGAGGTGGGCTGTACTCGAAGGTGCTTATTGGACGACGTCTCAGACTTGAAAGAAAAGAACAACAGGGAAAATATGTAATGGTTAACAAGGTCTGTGGCGACTGTACCCAAATGGGCTCCTGGCTGTTTGGAGCTTTTGAAACTTCTCGGTTGGCCAAGGGCAGAGGCTTTCCGAACTGTGTCAGGGTTGACTGACTGGTGAATGAGGGGCTGATATTTGGCACCAGAGAGTGGGTCACCTGCAGCTCTTGATGCTGGGATCCTCCTGCAGGATTAGAACAACCGTTCGGGACCTAGTTTCCACGCCTGCCGCAAAAAAACTCAGAAGCGTTCTGCATTTACAGCGTGGGACGGTCAGCATGGGAAATGCGGCAGATGAGGACGAGAGGTTGCATATTAAATGACGATAAACGAATCACAGCGGTGTGGTTTAAACGCGATATGCCAGGCCCCCGTACTTACCTGGATATGATATTGAGAGGCCGGGGATGCCCAGAATGGGTAGCAATATGCTGAAGAATGGTGTGCCGGCGAAGATTGGGGTGGAGGGTGCAGGCTCGAGAATGGAAATAGGCTGCAGGTGGGCAACCTCAGATGCAAGATCGATGATCTGGGATCTGGCGGGGGGCGGCGGCCGGGCTCGTATTCGGGGCTTCTTTGTCCTCGGACACAAGCGCGCGTAGAATATGCAGTCCCTTTGGAGCAAGAGGACCCGGAAGAGGAGGCAGGATCAAATTCGAAAGGAAAATGGACCGAGCGGAGCTGGTGTCTTTTTCTTTCTTCTTCTTCTTCTTCTTCTTTCTTTCTTTCAATGTGGATTTGGGAATCGAGGGTCCTCGAGAGATGTATATAGACACAGGCGAACCGGATAGGACGATGCAACAGCAACAGAGAGAGAGCCGGTAGAACCTGCTTGAAGCAGACAGAAGAGTAAGTAAGTAAGTAATCCAACCAGCTAGTAGATAAGTAACCACTTGGAGTATATATACTGTCTTCCTACCTGGTGGAAAGAGAGGGAGCGATCGAAACGCCGGAGCGGAGAAGGGAGCCGAGAGGGGCAGCAGCACCGGGACAATGTCGACAGCTGTCGCCCACAGGTTAACGGTTGGGATATTAAACGACGAGTCGACCCGCGCACGTATATGTATCGCTTAGATCAGGTCAACTTTTAACCCGGATACCAGAGTTCTGGGATATCCTGGTAGTCTGTATGTGATTCCTAAAATCAAATCGAAGGTTGTTCTTGATTGTCCGAAATAACTCGATCAATTTAGTTCAATTCACTTCAGTTCAACTAATCCCAGGTAATTCGATTCTGAAGTAGACAAGGTAGAATCGAAGTAACAATATAATCAAAAAAAAAAAATCAAAAAAAAATCAAAAAAATGCAATTGCTGGCTAGCTCAGGCCAGAAAAGAATTCAATCGGTCCTTCTTCCTTACATGATTCGGGTTGTATAGGGCCCTTCCAGCTGTTGACCACCCCCGGGGAGCCGGAGATCAATTAATTGCAGGCACTTGGTTTGATTTCGTATGCACGTAAACTTATATCAAAGAATAGGAAGGAGAAGCGCAGCCCGATGGAGCCCTCTCAACTGCCGGCGATGTTGTTGCGTTTTGAGGTTGGACCCAGTCAAAAACTTGGCGTGGAGCACTCCAATCAGGCCGCCTCGTCCGAAAACGTGCCCTCCAGGGCTGCCGCTCTACACTTTGCGCTAGACTCTGTCCGTCCTAGTGTGCTTGGGGGGAGACCAGTGATACCAAGCTATCACGGATGTACGAATAGAACCCCCAGGGCACTGGAAGCTTGTCCCGCATCAATCTGGAGCGGCCTTCTCCGCGGTGCGGTACGGTGCATGTGTTACTTTCGCATTTTGGATCGCATTTACTTACGTACTTCTTATATATATACATACTTAGTACATACTTATATATATATGGTCTAACGGGAATGGGTCAAGGTATCGGCACATTATAAGTAGTTACATGCAGACACTAGTTAGAAGAAAGTTGGTGAGTTTGTGGAAAGTCTCGAGGTATAGCCGGAAAGTAAAAACGCAGGTGACCATTGCATGAGCAAGGCCATCCACGAATAATACATTAGAGGTTCAATTGACGGTTAAGTAAATAACTGAGTACTTAAGTAGGTAAGTAAGTGGTCGTAGCACAGGAACGAAACAGAAAAAGAAAAAGAAAGAGAGAACGAAAAGAAAAAAAAGTCGGTAACAGCATCGGATATAAAACGACCAAAAACGACAATGATGCCAATGACGTCCCACATAATTCCTCCCAATATACCCGGGGAAAATAACAAACAAAAATAAAAATAAAGATAATGGTAAAAAAAAAAAAAAAAGAGGGGTTTAATATGGACAGATGAATCAGCTATGCAAAAGACGAGAAGTCCTATATTTTATAAGCATGGGACCAAAGGTGAAGAGAAGATGAAGAAAAACTCCGTAACAAAGGGAAACGAAACTGAACCTGACCAAAGAGGTTCGCCAATCCCAGATTATGCTATGAATGATTAGACGTGGGAGGTAACGCAATTAGAACAACATTAACGTATGCGTGTCATGCCATTGAGCAATACCTCGAAGAAAAGAAATTCCTGCCCTAGCTCGGTTCATATGTGCGTGGTATCGGCCGATGGACGAAAAGCACCAAATGGAGAAGAGGAAGAAAAGAGAAGAAGAAAGAAAAGGAATAAGGAATAAGGAATAAGGAAAAAGAAAAGGAAAAGGTAAAGGAAAAGAAAAAACAAAAAGAAAAAGAAAGGAACTCATTTTCAAGCAAACAGCACAACTAGTGTTTTAAAAGTTCTGTGCAATTCCGCTGGTCCCTTGACGTGGCATCTGGGCATAATGTGTATCAGGGGGGTTTTCAATCCTGGTATTCCTCCGAGCCCCAACTTGTTGGATCATAGGTGGCTGATGGTACCCCTGCTCAGGCGCGTGTTCATGGTAATCGTAATCCCCAGCATATGGGTTTGCTACGTCGTTATAGTAGTCATTCCCATCCGACACATATGTGTTCCTATGACCATTGTTTCCGGGAACATCGTGTGCACCGCTGTCTTCAGATTGGCGAGTGGCATTGGTGTAACGAGAGGAAGCAACGGAGTCACCTCGATGAAGACCGTCGTCCAATTCACTCGGCCCAGTAGTGGCTGGTGCCCCAATGGTACTTGAATCGGCAGTGCTAGGTCGGTTTGTCGGGCTGGAAAGAAGTGGGGAATGGGAATGGCGATCGCGGTTCTTCGCTTCGTCTTCCAGGTGAGCAGCGCCAAGAACTGCGGCCCCCGTTACTCCTGCAGCGACAGGAATCGCACCAGCTGCTGCCGGTGGTGAGCCATAGAGCTCTGGTTGTTGCGGGGCTGCATATTGTTGCCCACCATTGGTAGGTGCACCGGAATAATTTGCATTTCCATATCCTCCAGCTCCAGCCGTGTTTGATGTTGTAGCGGTTGCTGACAATGGAGCAGATGCTTTACGGCCCCCTGCGGTGTTTCCCCATCCACGGTAACCGGCCTCCATCTCGGCCATGTCGCCTTCATGACTCGCTCCACCAGCAGCGGCCAATGCTGAGGGCCCTGGGCCTGATGTGTCATTGTTAGGATTATAGCCATACTCCTCAACCTCCTTTCTACGCTCTTCCGCGTTATCCTTGCGTTTCTTATGCCTTCTCCAGATGAAAAGCGCAACAAAGGCGAAAAGAATCACACCAAAGATCGGGATTATGATCGCAATAGCGATCTTCGCCGGCTGGCTAAGGCCGCCTCCGCCGGTAGAAGGGATCGCGGTCGCAGAGATCGTAGAAGAAGTTGAAGAAGATATTTGAGTCGAGCTGCTTGGGGGGCTGGTGGTTGACCTGTCCGTATTAACCGATGTTGTGGTGATTGTGATGGTTGTGTCGGCCGAGGTTGACGGTGTGACAGTGATAACCGTGACCCCAGGTGTTGATGTAGACTCCTGTTCGGTTGTGGACGTCTCTTCCTCGGTAGTTGGTGTAGGTTCCGGTCCCGATTCTGTTGTAGACGAAGGCTCCTCCGTTGTTGATGTGGGTTCCTCTGTTGTCGATGTGGATTCCGGTACTGGATCCGAAGTGGGTGTGGTTTCGACGGGAGTACTAGTTGGGGGTTCGGATGTGGGTTCCGGTGTGGGAGTGGTGGTTTCCTCTTCTGAAGTTGTAGTGGTTCCTTCCGGTGGAGGAGTTGAAGTCTCGGTGAGTTCGGTTGTGCTAGAAACGGTTTCCCCTGGTAATGTCGGATCCGCTGTAGGAACCGATGATGAAGCTATAGGACCATAATGAAAAAGAGAATAAAGGGTTAGTCTGCCGTCGCTCTACGATTAAAGTTGTTGAGGCGCCAAAAGTTGAAGGTTCAGAGAAGAGGGAAAGGGGGTTTTTTGAATTTGTTCGTATTACCTGTATCGGACATTTTTTTGAACTATTACGCCTTAAAGACGTTATATTAAGGATTTAGATATAGAATTTGTATTTAACGGTTGCAATCCGAGCGGTTCCGAGAGTGCTTTGACGGATTTGCGAGTATTTATTTAAATTCGGGCTGAATGTTGTATGTGTGCGTGTGTGCGTGCGAGTTGTGGTGAGAGGAAGGAGAGAGAATTGAATCAACAACAACTGAATGTGTCGATTCGAAGAAATAGGCAGGTAAGTACTTCGGTAAGTAGGTAAGTAAGTAGGTTCCTCTTAATTAATTAATGATTTTGACGAAAGAACCGGTGAAGACAAATGCAACTGATTGAACGGAATACAATTGATGGTGAGAGGGTAGGAAAAGGGGCGAAGAGATGTCGAGGTGAGAAGACTTGCGATCAGTCAAATATGTAGAAGAGCAAATTGGAGCTGCAGTCGGATCAAAACAGAACAGCGCATCAGCAGTAACAGCAGCAGCCGTAAAGTAGCAGCGGCAGCGTGCACAGCCTTATACTAAACGGTCGCAGCGGTTGAGAAAAACGCGAATTTTGACGGAAGTTGGGTGTGTCCGAGTTTGGTTTGGCTGTGAGTTAGATTAAATTACTACAGAACAAAACAGAACAGAACGGCCCACAACCTAAGACCTGGTATGTATGGAAGAGGGAATTTGAAGGCTCAAGATTAAGCAGAGGGAAGGAAGGGAGGGGGGGAAGAAAAAAGGGAAGGAGGTTTTCTTTAGGATCTCCGTGAGAGGAAGATTTTGAAGACAATGTGGGTGGATGATGGGAGATGGGAGATGGGAGATGGTGAGATGAATGATGAATGATGAATGATGATTGAATGGTCACAGCGTACGGGTGGGATAAAAAAATGGTAAATGCTACATCAAAACATCCCTGTCAAACTACTCCTACTGAGAATCAGAAATAGAACATCCAAGCAAGCCAATTTTAATTATCAACCACGAGCCGCCCTCGCTCGCCATCCTGGAGGTAAGTACTGGAATACAAGCATTGTATGCTAGTTAAGTCCTCGAGTCAGTAAGTAAGTGCGAAGTAAGGGTATCGGACATCATTGCATCGTACCTGCAGCATTGGCCTCCACTTCCCTCTTTCGATATTCTCCTTCCCAACGAACTCCATCTTCGGAATTCTTGGCTCCGTCAACAATATTAAATATATAAAAATCTTCCGTTTCCCAGGTATACCAGTATTGTATTGGCGCAAATTCCCATATCCATAGTATAATTAAGTAAGTACCTAATACTACTACTAGTATGCATATATACAACATTTCATTAATTCGTAACAAACCCGTCTCACAGTACTACTAATTCCCCCCCCCCCCCCCCCTCGCATTCTACACCATATATCTTAGGTCTCTGCTGACGATTATACGATTTGACGGACGGGTAAGTGTATTGTGCTATGCTTTTTTTAAATATAGGTAAGTACTTAAGTAGTTAATTGTTCTATGTAATATACACGATGGCCACGGATCCTCCCCCCTTCCCCATACTGCATTGCATTTTTTTGGTGGTAGACAAGGGAATCAAAAACAATCGATGTAATTCCATTCATCCGTGGCTTGGAATGATCTCGATCTTTCCCCGTCCATGGCAATATGGAATATGTTAGCAATCCCTCCATCAAGACCATATTATTTATTTTATTATGGCCCTTTGGGTTGGTGGTTGTTAAAGAAACGACAACAGTTGTATAACAGTCAACAGGAGGAAAGGAAATGAAAGGAGAAAGAAAAAGGGAAGAAAAGCGAAAAAGTAAAGGGGAAGGGCCTTTGAGAAGAAAATAATTCTAAAGTGTCCTTAACGAGAGACAGAAGAAATGAAATTACGAGACCTCGAAAATCGATCGTGCCAGCTGATTCGGATTGTGCCGCGAGGGTTCAGAAACAGTCCACAAAACAATTCGCAAGTGATATGTATGCCTTAATATACTCCTTCAGATACGCCAAGATTCCAGCAGAGACGATACGTGCGCATGAGCGAGAGCGAAGGGGTGGGGCTTTCTAGAGGAACAAGAAAATATAAATAAAATAAAAAAGAGAGCATATATGTCAAGAAAATTTAGCAAAAAAACAGGCAGCCCCGAAAGAAGAAAAGAAAAGAAAAGAGGAAGAAAAAGCAGAAGCGTGGCATCGTTATTGAAATGTCAAGCTATTCTAAAGGTTACGCATGTCCCAAGATGGTTTTAAGCTGTTCGTCATGTTCTCAGTCGTTGGTACAACGTCCTGTGGGAGACGGCTGACACGATACGCTCCCGTTCTGCTATGATGTGCAGCGGACAATCCTGTGCGATTGCTTCGGATGCTACCAGTGTCGCTAAAGTTATCACCACCCTCATTCTTGAACTTTCGCGGGGGTGCAAAGTCGAGCCCCGTAAATGCTCCGGATTTGCGCAATTGATGACTGAAGAGGCTGTTAGTTAGGTGACCGTTTTTTTTTTGAGCAGAAATAAAAATGAAATGAAATAACTTACGGGGTAGGCAAAACGCTCAATTCATCGAAGGCGGATGCAAGAGGAGTGTGGGCCCTGATACCAGGCGAATAGGGTTTCACACCTCCCTTACCGCTACCGACTTCAGATTCGGTTCCATTTCTGAATTCCTTTGAGCGAGGAGCAGGGGCGAATGCAATTGGAGAGGCAAATGCGTCATCTCTCAGAAGATGCGGTGTTGGGAGAATTAACAAAGGTTCTTCGGGAAGGGCGTTTTTACGGAGACTCGAAGGGGCGCGGATACCACGCGAGGGCGGTCCGTTATAACGATTACTTTGCGAGGAGTACGACCTTGGTGGCGGTGGACCTCGGTTGCTTGCGGATGACCCTGGACGTGGGCCCGGCCCCTGTTGGAAACGAGGTGGTGCACGTGGTGGAGGTGTCATCGCTCTTCGAGTGGGTGGTTCTGCGAATGGTCGCTGGGGATTGGCATATGTATCATCATAATACTGGTCTTCGTACCCGCCAGCATTGTTGTTGCTGTTGTTGTTGTCCTGGTAGTAATCCCCGTATTCCTGGTTGTATCCGTTCGAATAGTCTTGTTCATAATACCCTTGGTTGTAATCGGTGCTTCGTTCGACTGGGTGGTTGTTGTAACCATCCCCATTGTTAATATGAGTGGGCAATGGTGGGACTGGTTCCTGGGCCTGAGCGTAGTAATCAAGACCACCTGGATTTCCGTCATCGAAATATTCTTTGTAAAACGAACGAATGCGCATGGCACGCTCCTCCGCATCTTCACCTGATTCGGCCGCAGGTGGCAATGGCCGAAATCCGTAGGATAGTCTGCGGGGCTCAAGCCTGTTACCATAGTTGACTTCAAGGCCACCCATCGTGCTCATACGGGCTTGTGGGGGTGCCTGTGCCTGTTGGGGTTCCGGCTCAACCACTTGAGGAAGCGATGCATCTTTATCAGTTTCAGTTCCAAAATTTAATCCTTCGAAAGGAGTCGACGCCTTTTCGTCAAGTTTCAACTGTGGTGGTTTTTGTGTAACGGACTGTGCTTGTAACTCCTGTGCAGCTGGTTGGGTGGACAACTCTGCGGCTTTCTCCGATGGCTTCGAACTGTCTAGCTCGCTAGGGGTGTCAAAGTCAAGATGTGGAAGAAGATGCATGTGGCTTCTTCGCAAATCACCGCCATCTTTGTCGATATAAGAATCTCGTCCCTCAGTTTCCGAAGGGAACAGACCTGGGCCGCGGGAAGTCTGGTTGCTGTGGCTGCGGGAGGCATCGAAAGCTTGTTCAGGTACCTGCAGCTCTGGGACTGCCTTTTGGTTCGAGGGAAGAGAAGCGCCCCTCGCAGGAGGGGGCGCGGAGGTAGCCATTTTGCTGGAGTGTCCGAGAAGATCTGCTGTAAGACTTTCTGTGCTATCTTCATGTTGTCGAATAGAAGCCGTATACAAAGAAGAGTCACGGTTGTTACGTTGTCCAGCGAGCGATGGTGCATTGGAACCGTTTCCATATGGAAGCCGATTCATAGAGTTCGAGGGCTTGTATTTATCGTCGTCAACAACATAGATTTTGGACATCGAATGAAGACTCTCGCGGGAGCCTTGCAGTTCCGGTGGCAGTAAATAAGGAGCAGCGACGTCCATGTCTAGCGACAATTGATTCTTATGCCGTCCTGAAGGGTTACCAGCGCCCCCAAGCCCTCTGCTTTTCTTCCCTCCAGTAGAAGGGTATTCCATGCCAAAGTCCATACTCTTAGTCTTGTCCATCCTGTCCTCGGCCTTGAGTTTGCGCAAATGCCGTTGATGCAATACGATCAAGATAACCAAAGCACCAACTACTGGAATACTGCACCCCAAATGAATTTTTTTGAATGGTTAGTTTACAGTGGGGTTGATTATATTTTCGGGGGGGGGGGATTCTAGAAATGTTAACTTACGCTATACCCAAGACAATTGGCAATGTCATGGTGGAGTTGGTGATAGGTTTCTCGCAACGTGGAGAGGTGTCATCGGGGGCACAGCTGCTGCTTTCTGTTGGAGTAGCCCGTGGGAGGATGAAATCACGAGCCTCCAGGGTCTGTGTCGAGCGCTGCTCATAAGTATTGGGGATCGCAGCAACAGGCTGGCGCTGGGGCGCCCGCCTGTTTGGGTGCTGGTGGTGATGCCTCATTTGGAATTACCACAAATTCGTTTGAAGGTCGAGGAGTTTGCGAATAGGATGTATTTCGGAGTTATTCGAGTAGGGTTTAATGTTGTCCAGGTCTTATATTTCCTTTCCTGGAATTCTTTCTTGCTTTCTTTGGGCTTTCTTTCTTTCTTGCGATATCTACGTCCAGAGGCGAGACGAGGCTAGAGACAAAAAAGGGTCGGATGAGGAAATCGTTGAATAATATCGTTAAAATGGTAGGCGTGTTTTCAAATGAGCGAATGTAGTTGGAAATACACAAAATGCAGTCGCACACAATGCAGCGGCGATACCAAGCGATGAAGACGAAAGAATGAGTGACGAGAACGAAAGAATATCAAGAAATCAATAACGAAAGGGAGGGTGGTTCTTTTTGTCTCTGTGCCTGCGTCTCTTTTCGGTTGGTTCAGCGTGACATGTTTGATTGAAATTGAAGAGAGAGGAAAGGTGAGAGAAGCAAAGAAAAGCAAAGAAAAGCAAAGAAAAACGAAAAGGAAGGGAAGGAAAAAAGAAGGGGAAGGGGGGCTTCGTCGGGGGGCTTGTGTGCATGCGTAACAGAAAGAAAAATTCAGAAGAGCCGTTCCCTCACGATGGGATGGTGCAGCAGCACAGCATCGGTCAGAAGCAAGCCAACGCCTGAAAAGGTGGAAAAGGGGTCGTTCTGAGGGCCAATAATAGGGCGTGGATGCGAGACATCCCGGCCAGGTTCCTTGCATCCTTCTGTTGGAGGCTAGCCTCTGGGCCCAAACTCAATGGCTCCGTCCAATTTCGTTTCGCGAATGCTGCAGGGCAGGCAGCATGGTGTCTGGGTATGACATGAAGTCCTGCAGTGCAGACGCCTGTCATGTCACCATCTGCATCTATGTTTAAGGGACTTACCGAGTTATGTGGTGCGTATGCGAGGTTCAATCCAGATACTGTTGACTTTTGACTTTTGACAGCGACATAAGTGCGTATAGGCACGGGGGATTCTTAGTCAAGCTAAGTAAGTAGGTAGTCGTAAGTGACATGCCCTATGTACGGGGTGAAGCTAGTACCTACGTTAGCCTGCTAACTTAGACCTTGGAAAGCTTGTTAACTAAGTATTTGGGTAAGTATTTAGATAAGTACCTAGGTAATATATGTACACCAGCACTTACTTAGTTAAAGAGTTACTTGATGTGTGTGTAGATGTAGTGTTTAAGATAGACGAGACAAGTTGGGTTGGTTGATTGGTTGGTGATGGTTGATGGGTTGATTGATTTGATTGATTGATTGGTTGATTGGTTGTTGTGATAGGTGTCGAGTTGGAACCGGGTTTGGACCGGGGGAGAAATTTGCATTTTAATTGCCTGCAAAAAAAGGGATGAAGATGGAATTTGAAGGGATTCCCCACGTACGTACTCACGTATGTATGTACTTATGTAAGTACTAAGAAGTAAGTACTTAGGTATGTAAGTAGGCACCTCTTACATACTTTATATAATTAATTTGGACCAGGGTTAACTTACTCAGTATAAGTTATGCAATCTCGGTGAAAACGGATATGTTTACAGTGCCAATATACTTATACAATAAGCACACAAGGTATGGAAGCAAATTCGGGATAATATTGCATACTCTTCAAGTGAGAACTTAATTATAGGTTGCACGGTAAGTTACTGCTATGTAAGTACAGTAGATACAATGCAGTGCAGCACATTGATATGGGATGCTATATTATGTCTGTATGATCATATGAGTGTGAGTGTGAGTGTGAGGGTAAGTGTGAGTGTGAGTGGGAGTGGGAGTGGGAGTGGGAGGGGGAGAGAGAGCCATGTATACTATACCTATTAATTACTTAAGTAGGTACTTCTTATATACTACCTGTAGTATTCATCTCCTAGATCTAGAGTGTATCTGGGAGTGTCATGGACATACTTAAGCACTTCTTACTTTAAGTAAGTTAAGTAGAAGATGCTAGACTGGGGCGGTGAGAGGCTGGATGAGTATACACACGCACGCACATACTTTTCGACTTTCGATCAAATACATCTACATCTATAGTCCCATACTTCGTATTTTTTTATCTTTCTTCTTCTTCTTCTTCTTCTTCTTCTTCTTCTTCTTCTTCTTCGATTCCTTCGATCGACCTGTATAAGATAAGTACTTAAGTAAGTAAGTACCTAAGTAAGTATTTATAATAAGTTCCATCTTAGGTACCATCTTAGGTAGCTGGGTATCTGCTTCCTTACCTAAGAGTACCTAGATAAGCACTCGTATTTGCTTAGATACCAAGTACCTACCTACCTAGGTACTTACCTACTACCTATTACTTCCATGGATATAGCATGGAATTTTCCCTCATTGTGGGACTTTGGGGTAATCACCATGGCAAGCTCGGTTGTTATCCATCGAGTACCTATCTCAAGTGCTTTGTAGGTAGGTCCACCGAGGTACTTACTAAGTAAGTAGGTAAGAAGTTAGTACCTAAGTACTGGTAGTCATGGGAGGGATTGAGGGAGTCGAGCTGAGCTACAACTGAGCTTATCTCTCATGTAACTACCTAAGTGCTACCTATTACTTGGTATATAGGATACTTACTCAAATACCTAGGTAACATATAACATATATAATTTAATTTTGTTTTTGAAGGTATCCTAGACTACTCAGCACCGACTTACCTAAAGCAAGCTAAGTGCAAGTGCACAGTGATCAAATCTCAACATCAACATCATATCAACGCGTTTGTTTGTTCTCCTCCTCAAGTCAAGAATTACCCCGCTACCAACACCGCACACTCACTGGCACTCAAACTCTCACACACAGAAAACACACGAAAACCCTCCACCTCAGAACGTTGATAGCCAGCAAACCCAGCCAACCACCGATACCCCCAAAAATCTTGCAAATCCATCCTTACACTTGCTTGCATCCCGTGGTTTCCCCAAGCTCATCAACTCTTCATCTTCATCTCCATCTCAATCTCCATCTCCATCATCGTCTTGTTCTTGTTCTTCTTGTTCTTCCTCTCCTCGCCTTTCTAATAATTATCCATCCAGCTACTTCTGTTTCTCCCTCTCGTAATCACCTTCACCCTCATCCTCATCCTCATCCTCATCACCCATCGCAGCTTGCTTACCCCTCCTCCTCTTTGACTTCTTCTCGCCTTCGTCACCAAGACGTTCTTCCGGCCTCAAAATACCATTTAATATCTGCTCAACATAAACCCATGGCTTCAATCGAGGAGCTGGACACTCAAGTCCGCGGTTTCTACGAAGGCCGGGGTGCTACTGTAATTCCCCTCCCTAATCTACACTTAGGCCATATCCACCATTGATATGTATTTCCTTTCTTTCTTTCCCTCTTACTGACCGTTATGTTCGGCGAACACAGCGCGATGCAGCCCAGCGATATATGAACCAGGTATGCCCCATTTCTCTGAATCCTTCCTCGTTCATTTACTGACCGGCAATCTGCTTTAGTTTCGGGAGAATCCTGACTCGTGGTCAATGGTAGACAAAATCCTAGAGTCGTCCTCGTACCCCCAAACGAAATGTAAGTGCTCTGTATACTACTGCTACCACGATATATCAACCTTACACATGTTATATCACTACAGATCTCGGCCTCCAAGTTTTGGACAATGTCATCCAGACCAGGTGGAAGATCCTGCCAAAGGATCAATGTCAAGGTTGTTTTGAACCCACAAGCTCTCCACCCCCCTCTAGAATATAAGCACTTACTTGTTCGTCCTTTCAGGTATCCGAAATTTCGTCGTCAATTTCATCATCCAGAGTTCATCGTCGGAAGATTTATTAAAGCAAAACAAAACCCTTATCAACAAACTAAATTTGGTCCTCGTCAACATCCTCAAGCAAGAATGGCCACATAATTGGCCCTCATTCATCCCGGAAATCGTGCAGTCCTGCCGAACTAACCTCTCCATCTGCGAAAACAACATGGCCATCTTACGTTTGCTTTCTGAAGAAGTTTTCGACTATTCGGCGGAGCAAATGACTCAGGCGAAAACAAAAAATCTCAAATCGACGATGTGTAACGAGTTCTCCGCCATCTTCACGCTATGCCAGGAAGTTCTCGCTGGTGCTACTTCCGAGACTCTACTTCTTGCGACTCTAGAAACCTTGCTCAAGTTTCTCAATTGGATTCCGCTTGGCTATATTTTCGAAACTCCCATTATCGAAACATTAAGAACACGCTTTCTTCCAATTCCCGTTTTTCGAAACGTCACTCTAAAGTGTCTCACGGAGATTGGTGGTTTACAAATCAGTGGTCAGATCCATTATGAAGAAAAACTCGTCACTATGTTTACCAATGTCATGACTACAATTGCCGAAATTATTCCAATCACCACGGATCTACGATCGATATATCCAACTAGCCCTCCGCGAGACCAGGAATTCATCCAGAACCTTGCGATCTTCCTGTGCAATTTCTTCACTCCTCATGTTAAAGTATGCACTCGTTCCTTTTGTCTACCCAACCATCAGATGAATGAAGTGCTAACAAGTACCTCGACTAGTTAATCGAAAACCTCCCCAATAAAGAGTATTTGGTCCACTCCCACCTTTACCTCATCCGCATCAGCCAAATCAATGACCGCGAAATCTTCAAAATTTGTCTGGAGTACTGGACCAAGTTGGTTGCAGAGCTATATGAAGAAATGCAGCAGCTTCCAATGTCGGATCTCAATCCTCTTCTAAGTGGCGGCGCCCCTCCACCAAATCTACTCAACAGCTATCCGTTACGAAAACACATGTATACTGAGGTTCTATCGAACCTAAGACTCGTCATGATCGAAGGAATGGTCCGACCGGAAGAAGTATTAAACCCCCCTCATCGAATATATCGCCAAAGCATTATGGCCCTCACTAACGATAAATAAAGGTTCTTATCGTCGAAAATGACGAAGGTGAAATCGTACGCGAGTTCGTCAAAGAAGGCGACACTATCCAACTCTATAAAACGACTCGCGAATGTTTGGTTTATCTCACGCATTTAGATGTTGTGGATACTGAAACCATAATGTCCGAAAAACTGGCAAGACAGGTCGATGGTAGCGAGTGGTCTTGGGCTAACTGCAATACGCTTTGCTGGGCTATCGGTTCAATATCTGGCGCAATGAATGAGGAAACGGAAAAGAGGTTCTTGGTTACCGTCATCAAGGACCTCCTCGGTCTGACTGAAATGAAACGTGGCAAGGACAACAAAGCCGTTGTAGCCTCTAACATTATGTACATTGTCGGACAGTACCCTAGGTTCCTCAAAGCCCATTGGAAATTCCTGAAAACCGTGGTCAACAAACTTTTCGAGTTCATGCATGAGACACACGAAGGTAAGATATCAACAACAACATCACGGAAACCAGTTGAAAGGCCGTTTTGTTAATGGTGCTACGCAATATAGGTGTGCAAGACATGGCCTGCGACACCTTCATAAAGATCGCCAACAAGTGTAAGAGACACTTTGTGGCTCTACAACCAGGAGAAACAGAGCCGTTCATTGAAGAAATCGTTCGTAATATGTCCCGTATCACAAATGACCTCGGTCCTCAACAGGTTCACACATTCTATGAGGCTTGCGGGTACATGATCAGTGCGCAGGGTCAAAGTCACGCCCAAGAGCGCCTTCTTCAGGAGCTTATGGCATTTCCTAACGCAGCTGTAAGTATTTGAACCTCGATTGGATCTTTCTATACTGTACTAACTGCCATTAGTGGGACCAAATAATTGCACAAGCAAATATCAATCCCTCCATCCTTGAGGATCAAAGTACAGTCAAGGTCATCGGAAATGTTATGAAGACGAATGTTTCCGCTTGTAGCTCAATCGGCCCCTACTTTTACCCACAGCTTGGGCGAATATACATGGACATGCTGTCAATGTATAGGGCTGTCAGCGGGATGATCTCTACCGCTGTGGCTCAAGAAGGTGCTCTTAGTCCTCTCGATCTCCAACGCTATCAAACCCGCTAATACTCCAAATCCACAGGTCCGATCGCAACAAAAACCCCACGAGTCCGTGGGTTAAGAACTGTCAAGAAGGAAATCCTCAAACTTATTGATATTTATGTCCAAAAAGCGGACGACTTGAATGCGGTCAATGACGATATCGTACCACCCTTATTAGACGCTATCCTTGGTGACTATGCTGGGAGCGTTCCAGATGCCCGAGACCCGGAGGTCTTGAATGTCATCTCTACAATAATTTCGAAGTTGCGGGTTAGTTATCTAAATTCGCTTCAGTCATCATTCTTTGATCAAACCTAACGCTACAATAGACCAAGATGGAGGATAAGGTTCCTTCGATTATGGGGAACGTTTTCGAGTGCACTCTCGAAATGATCAACAAAGACTTTTCAGAGTACCCAGAGCACCGTGTGGAATTCTTCAAGCTGCTTAGGGCAATCAACTTGAACTGTTTTGCTGGTATGAATGAACTTATCGCGTCTTCATCAGAAATCCTAGCATGCTAACTTGTCGACCTTTTTTCTCCCTTTCGTTCCTTTTAGCCCTTCTCAAACTCGATACTCGTCAATTCAAGTACATCATTGACGCTTGTCTCTGGGCTGCCAAACATGACAATAGAGAAGTCGAGGCTGCCGGCCTGAACATGTGCATCGAGTTGGTCAACAATGTGAACGAAACCGATGCTGCGACCGCTACCGCTTTCTTCCAGCAGTTTTTTATCCCAATTCTCCAGGATATCTTCTTCGTGCTTACTGACACTGACCACAAGGCTGGTAGGTTTCCACGAGAACAGCTACTCCCATACGTTTCCTAGTCCAGATACTAATACTTCAAATTTAGGATTCAAGCTCCAAACCACCCTACTCGCCCGCATGTTCTCGATCGCGCAATCAGACAAGATCCAAGCCCCATTGTATACAGACGGCCAAGCACCCGCCGGAACCTCCAACCCAGAATTCCTTAGCCAATTCGTTAGCAATCTTCTCCTTAATGCATTCAACCACCTGAAGCCGTAAGCATGAACCCTACTATGCTCTGTTGCTTTCATTATCTAACACATCCATATGTAGTCTTCAAATCGAAACTTTTGTCAAAGGTCTCTTCAATTATACGGGCGACTTGACCAAATTCAAGAACAATGTCCGCGATTTCTTGATTCAACTTAAAGAATTTGCAGGTGACAATGCAGAACTTTATCTCGAGGACCGCGAGAATGAAGCTGAGGAAGCGCGCAGAGCTGAAAGAGAGAAATATTCGAAGGTCGGGGGTCTTCTCCGCCCGAGCGAGCTCGACGATAATGACGATATGTGACTTTTTGGTGAGGAAGGTGAGATGCGTGGACCTTTACCGTATGGAAAACAAACAGATATAGATTACAAAGCTGGAGAACAAAATCAAGACTGGGCTGATGGATGGTGGTGGCTTTGAGGTAGCATTCGATGAGCGCATGCTGACTTGGGAATCGAGCAGCTAGACTTATCGACAAAATTGCTGGCGCTCAGGTTCCACCTTTTTTTTTGTCTTTTATCATTTATCATTTTCGTTTCCCTCATTTCGCAAACCCTTGGATGCACAATAGACTTGAGCTGAAAAAGATCAAATGAATAACATTGTTGTTTTGTGCGAACTGATTTTCTTCTTCCATTTTTCTGTACCGTTACAACAGCGTAGATATCTAGTCGGGCACGTCCCTTCCGGGAAAGGGCAACGAATTCCTCCCGCAGATTGGCTTTTGGACCATCGCCCAGGAGGAGCATTGGTGTTCACTCATAGATTAGTAATTGGAGGATTTTGAATGACAACCGCTTGAATTGAATATATAATCTGTTCCTTGTACACAAATTAATGTAGAATACCGTAGGTTTCAGCTTGTCGCGCAGACTGCTATGCCCCTTTGTATTTGTACTTGAGCTTCTCCAACTCTCCTAGGTTCACACTAGCCATTGCCTTCCTTCCAACCGCGGTCGCAATCCAGACGAAAAGCGGCAGATATAAGAGGTAATCATGATCCCAATGCCGATTTGTAAAGTAAGCACCAATGGTGATGATGGCAATGAGAATGGGATTAAGTATTGGAACCCAGGTCTCCAATGGCGAAAGGAGCTCCTTAGCTTCCGAGCCGACTGGAATGCGGACGGTAAAGCCGGTCATTGCCAGCGATGAGACTGCAAGGACATCAACCCCTGATCCATTACCAAACCATATTCGAATAGCAATGAGGGAGGCGGTGAGGCCGCAGAGGCATGTAAATACGAGCTATGGTGGAGAAAAATTAGCAACGTATCAATGCGGCATTCAAACAAATATCTTAGACAGCGTTGCGAGGGTTTCTAACAATAAAGAATGCGTTTTCTCGATCATTTGCTTTTTTGAGTTCTTCGATCAATGCCTCCTGTTCTTGAATCCCGGGTTCGTTAGCGAGGGAGTTGGGACCAGTATTGCTATTTGCATTGTATTGGATGCATTCGAGGATCCCGTACTATCTCACCTTGCTCATCCAGAGGAATAATATTATCATCATCGACCTCATCATCACTCGCCGACGCGGTGAACGGCCTTCGAAGCCTGCTAGTCATTTTACTGTCGGTGCAAAATGGTTGGTTTGGTGATCTGAGATGTAGTCAATAAATACCTAAGTAGGTACTGCAGCTTGAAAGGTTGAGTGGTTCTGTAGGTTCTGGAGTTGGCTTTGTTGGAGAATTTAAGCTAAACACCAAACCATGACGACGACCTCCCACACGTATACACGACCACTACCCGCCATGGTCATGCATCAAACCCTGCCGCTCGCCATAGAATCTAACGAACCAAGTTTGATTGAGCTTTACTGAATCGGAGCGCACTCCAATAATGCATGGCGACCATGTCTACCATAGATTATGGCACTTTAGGTCATGTTGAGTATCAGGCTCAAAAGGGCGAATGGAGTTTCGTGAGACGATCAAAATCTCGTAAGTTGGACGTGAAAACGAATCCGATTGGGAAATGCATGAATCATCGTCGACGTTAGTACTAACAAGTATCTCGTGAGAAGCTCGAGGAATAACTGCCCTAGGGAGCCCTGCCTTATTGGTTCCGCCTTCGGTCGACGGTAGTGCTCCCAGCGTCGCGAAGGGAGGGCGCCAAAAGCTTGCGCTGCAATTTGTAGGAGCTAAATAACCGTTTCCCCATATCGGTGCCTTCTAGTGATTAATAGAAAACTTTATCGGTGGCTATAGACTGGGTCACATACCGAGTTTGTCCCTGCGGTCAACCAGATCGTAGATATGTATGAGGAATCAAGGGATGTGCTGCATCTATCCCAATGGGCTGTGTCGAAAACAAGCCCGCTTGTGGTGATTGCGTCCTCCACGGAGGCACAGCCTTTGGTAGGGAGTAGCCATACCTCTCGTAGAGTTTTGGTCTATGCAGCCGGTATTTCCGGAAATAAGATAGGTACAAGCCTTCGAATCATCGGCCTTTTACAGAAGGATAGTGTTTACTGAATTTTATATGTAGGGGTTGCAATCGTTCAACAGCAAAGGTTTGCGAAAGACGATCTTCTTATACGACGGCCATCTATAAAACCCCAGCTTGAAACCGTTTTTGAGTGCGATGGCCCCATCGAACAAATACAACCTGTATACGAAGTGGAAACTAGGAAAACAAAACGTAGGTCTCTTCATCTATCTACTCTAGCTCAAGACTTTAGAAGTAACCCTAGGATTCAACTAGCTTATGTTGTAATCCGTACCCAAAAGTCGATCTATATTGTCCAGATAACAAGCGAATCCGCATCGAGAGTTGGGCTTCCTCTTTTTGGTGCTGTTTGCTTAGGGACAATTGAAGCCGGAACTGTTGGGTGTAGTGATTTCCTTCATATCGCTGTCAACCCATGGAAAGGCGAGGAGATTGCTTTCGTCGACGTTGGCGGGAAATGGAACGTTTGGGATTTCTCATTGAGGAAGACACAAAAAACTAGATATGCCCCGACTACTCCAAAACTTATCGCATCAGGGGAATTATACGAGCCAAACCAAATCACATTGGCATGGGCAAATATCACATGGGGCTCCGTTGAAGCAGAATTGTTGGTCGCTACTCGAAAGGAACTCTTCAAGATAGACACCACGGTACGAATGACATTTCATGAAAGGCGGAACGTTATCTAAAATTCAAATAGACAGGATTGATTACAGACGTCTTTCAAAACGTTGTCAGGGGATTGTCTACTGAAGTAGAGATAATATCCGTCGTACGACCACAAATAAAGCCTGGCAGTCTCCTAATCTTGACGAATTATACACTACAAATCCTCGAGTTGGCCGCAGAAATCAAGCCAATTTTGAGCTGGAAGCACTGCAGGCATCCACAAGACCGTTCCCTTTCTTGTTCGGCATGGAATGTTGATGATAGTAAGATACTGTATCAAAAATGCCATGTGCTAGCGGTACCTTAACTGACTGCTGGCTCTATATAGCTGAATGCGTTTTCATATATTCGCGATACAACCCAAATATCAGTGTTATCTGGGGCCTGAACAGTAGAGAACCGTTGGATTTTTCGTTCCTGGCCGCAAAATGGTCTGACTGCCCAATTCTAGGACTGATAGTTTTAGAAGGGTCCACAGAAGAAAATACAAAAGGTGAAACAAATAGGCGGTCAGATATATTCACCGTGACAACTATTGGTTCGAACCGTGATGTTTGGAGGCAAGACTATACACTAAATTCGAATATCGATGCTAGGATATTTCATAATAACCGCAGAGGAAATTACTTGGCCTTGAGTAATCAGATCATCGATTCAAGTGATGAGAGTGATGGTCAAGGCCGGCAGCGGGGTAGCAGAGATGAAAGTGCGGATTTAGGATCAACCTTTGAGAGGTTGTCGCTAGGTACATCTAGGCGCTGTCGAGAAGTCTCTAACGTTTCTATTATCAATCTCGGGAATGTTTATGAGCTAGCTTTCGATGACGAGCGGCCCATATACAAAACCGGGGCGCAGGAAGATGGGCGAGTTTTTTTGCAAGAATACTTGAATATTTTGCGATTACATTTGAATACTGACAACGATGATGAAGCAGACACCATCAACCCTAGTTTATTGAGCTTGTAAGAGTTACTCCTTTCGGTGATTGTGTCCCAAATTTACTAATTCATACTTAGCTTACATCTGAAAAAAAAAATGGAGGGGCTGTTCGATGATCTGAGTATGCTTTCCATAGGGGTAGATGGTTTGGTGCATACTGGCAGCACTTCGACTAGTATCCTTAATCTAGGATATACTCGGAATTTCAATGAAATCTTTTGCATTCTCAGAGATTTATTTGAAGAAAGTGACAGCCAAGGGGATTTGGATAGAGCTTTATCCCCAGAAGCGCTTTATGACTCGCTGAGCAGAGTATGGCTTGAAGCCCTCCCGGTCGACGCGCCGCCTAGACTAAGGTTGAGGAGAGAGCGGCTTGCAAGAATGATAGCCATCGACATTAGCCTTTCCTCTCTTGGTGCTTACCCCCGGCTAGTAGCCTCGGAACGGTCGAGAGAGCCAGCATTTCCCGGCGGGGGAGTACAACCTAGTTCGCAGTCTGTCGGTACTTTGCAATCGTCTTCTTCGTATCTGACTGATGAAGATGACAATATCATGGAAACTGGCAGGGTTTCGGGGCCGAACAGTAGAGGTTCTTCTCGAAGCGGAATATCGAGTTCGCAACCCCGCATGTTTCTCGAAAACTTTACGCCAGTGGTCCACATCCCTGTTATAGGTGGAGATATAGACGGTCTTCTTACCGACTGGGACGTAGGCCAATCGCCGGAAAACTATCAGTGGCGCCCAGTACTCGAGATTCAGCAGCAAATTGTCGCGGATTTCCGAAATTCCGAATCCAGATCGCGGTCCAGGTCCCGCAAGGGCTCAAGGCGCCGGGATCAGAGCGCATCGTCTACCGCAAAAAATGGTTACATGCATGGAATCCGGGGCGGGGAAGATTTTCCGATGACACAACCTGCCGCTCGGACTGAAACAGCAACGTTGATACCGATATCGTCATCTCAAACCACTTCGGCCCAGAGGCCTCCGGCTTCTCAGGTCCACAGGGGGAAGTATGGGGATTCAAGAAAGACTAAGAAACGAAGAACTGAAGGGTTTTGATCTGGCCTAGAATTGATATCGCAAACCATCTTGATACACTTACTACCCTAGAGTGCCATATAGCATTTAAGTTGAAGATATTGGATTCCCCCCTATGCGAGAATGCTGCAAGACTAGCTAGAATTGTCCCAGAACACCAAAGACGCCCCGTAAATGCAAAATAACACGAGATACTTCTGTAGAACAAAGCTAAAACACTTAATCTTCATCATCATCGTTATCATCCTCTTCCTGGAGCCTTTCACTCTCTTTTCTAAGTTCTTTTATGACGGCCTAACGAAGTATCGTCCTTGTTAGATACCAACTTTTTCGTTCATTGGAAAGAGACGGAAGGAGGTAGAAAATACCGCTAATGCTTCTGGGTTAACACCATTTTCAATAAGACTAACGCAAAGAGAAAGCGTGGTTCGATCAAGTTTTGTATTCTAATGCATGATCCGAAAGATATATATGAGAGAAGAACGAATTCGATGCACTCGGGCGCAGGCCTACCAGTAATGTTGAGATTTCATGAAGAATATCGATGACTTGGCGAGCAGCGGAATTGCCTCCGCCTCCTGCAGCAGGGGTACCTCGGCTGGACATTTTTGTAATAGGTCTTTGAATTCTTGAAGCTCGATGAATTGGAGTTTTGGTGGTCAATTATCAATCTTGTTGGGTTTTGGGGAAAGTGTCGTTGTCGTGGTGGTGTTTTGTTGTTGTGGGCGCGTTAAACCCTTAACCCGTCCGTATCTTCACCTCCTCCACGACCTCTGACTAAGACCACTTCCCTGAACTTCACGACTTCATACATTCCCGACACACAACATCCCATAGCCGTATCATTTAATCACGCCTGCTGCATCGGCAATAAGGCATATTGAATCTCTGGAATCATGCAAGGGCATTCTTAGCAAGGACAATCCATTCGCACAACATCCTTAGATCGAAGCCTTCTCCACGAGACTCCCTCGAGACCTAGGCCCCGCTTCCGAATTGGCGCAGGTCTTGCTTCTTCTACCGTACCACCGACTTTGCTATCTGGAAACGCTGCTAGTGGTTTGCTGCAAACGCCTCCTGGCCAATCCTTTGCTCCAACCACCAACGTTCCTCGGACGGAGCCTCCACCAAGGAGGATGGGCTCCCAAATCTTAAAAACCAAAGCGTCTAGCGCCCTGACAAAACCTTTACCTCCAAACTATCATGCCCTCGTTACTCCGGTTCTCCACCGAAGATTTGTACGTGCGTCATGGACCACAGTAACGATCGCCTACGTTGCCAATATATTGATGGAGAATGTCTCTGGATGTTAGTTCCAACTTCGCCTACTTCGAAATAAAAAATCGTTACTAACTTGTCTACAGGGCCATGGTCTGCTTTCCCGCTTGGTCGTGCCGGAATCAACGCCCTAGTCCTTTTTTTCTTCCTAATGCCGGTACTCGTTTTGCGAATCGCGCAACTTGCTAGTATGTTGAACTCTTAGGATGTCAGTATTGTCAGCCACTAATATGGATGCTATTTCTAGCTACATCGAACAAAAGTCTCTCTGATGTACATTGTCTTATACGCTCAATTTCCGATCGAAGGCTCCTGAGGTGCATTCTCTACTATACCCTTTCCGCTTGGTTGATTATCCAATTTTACCTCTGGAATACGCTGCCAGGCTCAGATCTCGGAATCATGACAGAGTCAATGTATGTTCTGGGTTATCATATGTCATGAAGTTTAGACGATTGGAACACTAACTTCTGCGTTTAGCTACCACGGTCATTGGGAACTGAATGAGCGCTCCCTCTATCTTGGATTCTACGCCATTCCTCTGGGAGTTATTCAAGGCCTCATCCATGTCTGGATTGATAGGGATTTTTTGAAACTGCACGATGGAGAAGTACGTACATCGATATCTCGCTTGGGTAGCCTATGAATTCGCTAACGCAAACTATAGAAATCCTTTACGCAAGCATTCCTCGAATCTACCGTCAAGTCAATCCAACGAATTGGCACCACAATAATTGTGTCTGTTATCTCGGGGCCACTGAGTTATTGGATATTCCGGCCAATTGTTTACCGCGTTGGCCGTTTAGTTGTGGGGTCATTTACTAGGTAAGATATCACCATCTTCGCTTTTTGGGCCTAAAACTGATGACTTGAACTTGCATCATACAGAATCGAGCCCGAAGAAGTATCACAACCGATGTCGGACAAGATCGATTTGTTCTTTCGGAGTATCTGGCTCACCGTTCTCATTGTCGTTGCCTGGGAATCGACGAATCTTTCCTTTGCTGTCGAATTCGGGAAAGGTCCGATCAAGGATGGAAAAACCATTAGTGAAATATCGCCCGATCCAAATGGTTCTTTGATTCTGGGCTTGAAACTTAAAAAAAAACCCCTCTCTCGCCGCCTAGCTTTCAAGGAGCTATCCTACATCGCCAATGAGATGCCCTCACGCCGTGAAACCATATTTAAAGAACTCACAAAACCCGTCTATACACTGAACCAGATCATCACTGAATGCCGAGAAGCCATCGCACCGATCGTCACGAACTTAACACCCCCGCCCGATGCCCCCACAAATGCCGCTGATCAAAAGAGCGTTTCACCGGTCAAAGAGATCAAGGGATTTTCACCTCAGAAGCCAATTGAAGAGAATATAATGCGTACCCCGGCGAAACAAAGCGCTTTCGAACAATGGCAGGCTACACCGAGCAATATGCCAAAGTCGCCGATCAGCCTAGATGTTCTCAAAGCCCAACTCGTCAAGAAAGAAGTCGTCGAAACTAAGTTCTACGAATTTCTGAACCCTATATTCCATAGCCGATACGGGGACGCTCTTCGGTTGACGATTCAGCGAAAGACTACAAGTCTGCTCCCGGACGCAAGCGCTCAGGTTGATGCGGTCAATGCGCTCGTTGGGTTTGCCCTAGCTTCGTTGAAAGAGGACACATACGGGACTGTTCAGAAGGAGCTTGTGTGCATCCTTGAAGACTTTACCAAGATTTCTGCCGTCTTAGAAAAATACATGGCAGAGCCTCCTGTACACTGGACGGACATCCACGCAAAAGAGGCTTTATCCAAAAACAGTGCAACGGAGAAAAATGATCTTTATCCTGAGGCTGTTGCGCTATCTTCTGCTGTTAACGATGGGCTACAGAAAATCGGTGATGCATTCGAGAAATACTTCAATAATCTCGGGCTGTCTGTTGATGCCAGGCGGAAGATTAGGCTTGTTCGTGAAGCCGCGAAGAAAAAAGCTATTGCCCCTGCAGCTACCCCTGCCCTAGCCCCCGCCTAATCTACGAAGGGCTCCATTCATGAGAATGATAGTGTGGCCGTGTACGATACATATTTTCTTATAGCTTGGTCTTCTTCGTTCGCTTTTGCGCGTGTGCATATATCAGGCGTTATGAGGCGAATATTTTGTAATTTAGAGCCTTTCAATGCAAATGCGCGTATACGTTATAATTTCATGATGTCGTCTCGGATCGATGCGGAGTATCAAGTAATTTAGTGGAAATTTCGGAATTATACATATATATATACAAGCGGTCAATACCAGTCTTTTAGAGCCAACTATTGAGCCATCTCTGCGCCCTCATCCAGGTACCCTCCACCGTCAACTTAGGCCGAACATCCAGGTAGAAGCTGGGTATTTCGGGTCGGTTAGGGTCCCTCTTGCCGCTATAAAAGTCGATAATATATTCGACATTGGTCCCACACCTATCTATCACCCAGTCATGTCTATCGAATGGGGCTTGGTAGCCGAGAAGAACCAAAATGCGGGCCTTCGGGGAGAGTTTTGAAGCATCTCCGGAGAATGACAGCAGTCTCGGGCCGCCGCATCTACTTCGATTGAAAATTAATTAGCCAACCTAAACTACCAAAAAAGCGATTATATCAGGTAGACGAACTTTTCGCTGCCTTTGCCCCTTTCCCAGTCTCTTATCTCCGCCCACGCTCTCTCGTTCACAGCATTATGTATAGGAACAACCATACGCATATCCTCTGCCTTGGGATCCCAGTCCTTCCGTTTCATTGCATCAAAGAACATCTTTTCTGACGGGTATATCCAGTTTCCTACGGAGGGAGATACGGAAGAAGCAGCATGGGAGTTTGGGGATTCGGCATTCCCGTTGGATATGGTGACTCTGGGGATCGAGGATACCTCTCGGGCCTTGCTGAGGTTATCGGTAGCTGCCGGCGGCTGGGTCGAGGTCTGGTTTCCATCTTGTTGCGGCTTTTGTTGTTTTAGCCAGGCAGCTCGGGTGGAGTGGTCGACGGGGCAACCTGCAGCGGCAGAAGAGTCCAGCTGTCCCTGCGCAGCGGCCTGGTGGGTTTTGTCATCTGGAGCCATGGGGATCCCGCTGCGACCGCTACTCCATTGCTAGGACGGTGCCTGTGATGGTGATGGTGATGGTGATGGTGATGGTGATGGTGATGGTGATGGTGATGGTGATGGGATATGGAGATATTATTTGCACGACGCATTACAAATGCAAAGGTTTAATTCGGCTGTTGCCGCACTAGTGGGGACTGGCCGCTGGCCCCGGTCACCGACGGCCGACGTCCCGGGTAAGCTTGGCCAGGAACTGTTTGTGCGCCCTGACAACCTCAACAAACTCGGCCGCGGTGTCCAGTCTGTTGCCTGATATAAAGCTAGCAGCTAACCAACTTCACTTACAAAACTCCTATTTACCTATTACTTGCTTAATTGGGCACCTTGGTACCTATTCACTTACCTATAAATTCAACCGCTGGCTCGAGATAGCATCACCATGGCAAACCCATCCATCTACCATGCGACGGCCACGGCTCCGGTCAACATTGCCGTCATCAAATACTGGGGTAAAGCTTCCACCAAGCTAAACACACCCACCAACTCCTCACTGTCCGTCACCCTCTCCCAAGACGACCTACGGACAATCACAACTGCATCCTGCTCCGCGTCATTCGAGTCCGATGCTCTGTGGCTCAACGGCACCCCTCACGATGTCAGCAATGCAAGATCACAGGCTTGCTTTGCTGAATTGCGAGCTCTACGAAAAGCAAAGGAAGACAAGGACTCGTCTCTGCCCCCACTTTCCACCTACAAGCTCCATTTGATCTCGGAAAACAATTTCCCTACCGCTGCTGGACTTGCTAGCTCTGCTGCCGGCTTCGCAGCCTTTGTTAGGGCAATTGCAGACCTCTACGAGCTGGACGAATCTCCGACAGAATTGTCACGAATCGCAAGACAGGGCTCCGGGTCTGCTTGTCGGTCACTATTTGGTGGTTATGTTGCTTGGGAGAAGGGAGACCGTGAAGATGGGCAAGATTCGCTCGCGGTCCAGATAGAGTCAGAGTCCCACTGGCCCACAATGCGAGCGGCAATTCTCGTTATCTCGGATGCTAAGAAGGGAGTCTCGTCGACTTCAGGGATGCAAGCAACTGTTGCGACATCCACCCTATTCCCAAACCGCGCCAATTTCGTCGTCCCCGCGAGGATGGAGGCCATGAAGAAGGCTATCGTGGAAAAGGACTTTGAAACCTTCGCAGAACTCACAATGGCGGACTCTAATTCCTTCCACGCAGTATGCTTGGATACCATCCCTCCTATCTTCTACATGAATGATACCTCAAGAGCTGCAGTCCGTGTCGTCGAGGAGATCAACAGATCTGCTGGCAAGAAGGTTGCTGCGTATACCTTCGACGCCGGTCCGAATGCTGTCATTTACTACGACGAGGCTAACCAAGACCTAGTGCTTGGAACTTTGAAGAAGGCTACGTCGAATGTTACTGGTTGGTCGGATAAGTACACTCACATCAATGCGGCGGTGCCGGAAGGGTTCAATGAAGCATTCTTGGAACCCTTAGCTGGAGGCGTCTCGCGAGTTATCCTGACAGGTGTGGGATCTGGGCCGTTGAAAGTACCAAAGGAGAAGGCTCTTATTGATGAACAAGGAAATCCAAGGTCTGCAACATAATCATGTGGTTGATATTTTTACGACTTGTATGAGCAATGGGGGCCTCAAATGCCTAATGGATATCCTATTGGAATATGATCCCAAATTATACCTGTTTTTACGATGTATGAGTCTCTAGATTTTCATATAATACATACAAGTTCAAACATAGCTCCTGCTTAGGGTTTTGCTATAATACAAGTGCCTAAAGATTCTCGCAATTTTGGATACCTCCTCTAATTTGAATCACTCTCAACTCCTTTCCTGGCATTTTCCTCCTCCAGCTTCTTAGTCAATCTCGCAATTTCTTCGTCAATCAAAGCAATCTCTGCATCAACCATCAATTGTTTGCCCCTCATTTTGGAAACGTACTCCTCGCTGCTTAGTTTCCGGACCGGGCTATTCTCAGAATTTAAAATCCTGGAAAGTATTCCTTCTCTCGGCGGCGCTTCAGATGACCATTCTTTGCTACCACCTAACTTATCTTGCTTTGCAGAGGCTTCGATAGCATTTAGAACGACCTGGCCTCCAACACCAGCTATTCCAAAAGTAATGAAGCCCGGGATCAGGTTTCTCCGCCCACCTTTTTATAATAGTTTAAGTATTATATTAAACCGATTAGAGAAAGTGCTTTTCGTATTTGGGGCTTGGGGTTTTGGTTTTACCTATGACTGCGCCCCAAGTTGCCCCGATGACGGCGGCAGATGCACCGCTTAATATAATTCTTTCGCGGGGAGGGATGCCACAATCTTGTGGATATTTAAATACTCTCTTAGAGAATATATCTCTTGTAACTATTGATTAAGGAGATAAGGGTCAGCATGCGATTCAAACTTCGTGACGAATGTTTTATGGGAACAGGTGTAGTACTATAAAAACCCGTTCCTAGAATGAAGCAGTTCAATGTAGTTCCGACGATATATAGACGACTGCGGGGATTGTTTCTTAGAGTAGCAACGAGGGCACTTATCAACCCTCCGCATGTAGCTATTTGAGAAAATGCCGGTCGATAATGTCAATCACCTATATACCCATCCGCTATTTTGTTCAAAGCCTTTGGTTGGCAGGAGGATATATATCTACCAGTTGCGAAACCAACATAAAGGCCTTTAACCAAGGCCCCCGGTCCCCTTTGCACGGCTTTCCCTTCTCCGGGGGTCGAGTAGTTGATGTTATCAACCATGATTCTATAGCTTTCAATTTTTAAAGCATTAAGTTTTGTTGTATTTTAGTATAATCATTCGAAAGTTTTTCGTTGTTCTGCATTTACTTGCCTAGGCTACATGCTACACACACACATATATATATTTAAATTCTGCGTTTGATTAATTGAATTGAAACAGATATCCTTTAAATTCTCTGTAGCATATATACATCTATACGGATTTTGGGGCCATAGTGTTATAATATAGACAGTCCTTGGAACGGCTTGATGGTTGAAAAGTCCGGAGGCTTGATCATTTTCGTTTCCGCTCCGTCTTCCAACTCTTCCTCATTTGGTGGCGCAATATTAGTCAGCATCGCTGGAGCGCTATCAAACACATCCTTTCGTGCGATTTCAAGCGCTGCAAGGACGCTTTGCATTCCAACTTGTATCGACTCTGCTCTTTCTCTCATACCCCGCCTCATCAAACCCTCCATGATTCGGTGGCTCTCTTCTTGCGTTTCATTCACCCTAGATATCAGCCTTCCAATCGAGTTGACCAGATACTCTTCTTCGTAAACAGATCCCTTTTTACCCCTCGCCTTTTTGCGTTCCTCCCTCCTCCTGTTCTTAGATGTTTTCCGGGTCGCATTAGTCGCTATACTACCTGGAGTCTTATCAGTATATCTAGTAAATGTTGAGCCAGCTGCAGTCAAAAGATCTGTCCCCGCCACGGATACGTTGTCCGGAGCGTCGGTTTCGCCAGAGGCACCGTAAAAAGCGACAGGGTCATTCTCCTTCTTTTCGCGCAGGACTTTGATACGGGATGTTTGCGACTTGATTTGTGCTATGAAGTCTGCGATAAGCTCCGATGTAGTGTTGAATGCTTCGATGAGGCCCGGGTCCACCACTTCTTCTAATAGATCGAAGGATTGTTTCAAGGCTATTACACGCATTGCATCTTGAAAAAAGGAACCCCTGCAGTAACATGAAACTGCTTCACGAACGTCATTACGATAGTCAAGGAATAGCGTAGCTGCATTCTTGAAATCTCTACCCTCGGTAAGGGCGTCAGCTAAAATTCCACTGAGCTCAGTAATCTCTTCATTGGAGAGTGGTATCCTGCTAGCAGCATATAATGCTTCCTGCCATAGGCCGCACTTCTGGTAAGCATCCAGTGCTCTTTCCCAACAATTGAGGTACTCAAACGAGATACCGGCCTCCTTGTAACTGGAGCTTGTCATCAGGTACTCCGCATGTGACTTGACAATGATTCTCCTTTTTTCATCATCATATTTTACGAGGTTCGTGACATGTCGGTATAATTCGTGCTTCACGGTGTATTCCAAAAGCTCAACAAATCCTAGGTCTCCCATCTCATGAAGTGAATTTGCTGCCTTCTTATGTCGGCCCAGGAAATCATCAATGAAGAACTTTTGGCGTAAGGATTCCATATCTCGGATCGATTGAAGAAACGGGAGATATTCCCTCGGGTCCTAGGCAAAAGGGAGTATGCTGTTAGATTCCCAACATTTTGCTAAATTAGGGATATACTATCCAACAATACCTTCTGGGATTGCTGTGCGATCAGCAGCGCGAGCTCTAGGTCGTATATCCCTAAAGAATGATCGTATAACAGGTTCACATCCGCAAGGAAGCAGATGTGTTCTATAGCTAGATCGGCGTCATCAGATTCATTTTTTTTCATTTCACTGATCATTGAAAGTCCACTATCAAGGTCAGCTGGTCTCTTGCTCACATAGCAAGTCACCAGGTTTTGAATGCTTGGGGATTTCCTGCGCTGGATTCCTTCCAACATCGCATCGCATATTTTGTTGACTTTTTCAGGGATTTCCGCTGGTGGATGGGGCTTCTCCCCCTTGGTTGGGTCGTATATTCTCCAATCATACATAGACTTAGATACGTCATCATCCCTAATTTCTCGCGGTGTTAGGGTCTTAGTTCAAAATTAGGGGATTGACTTATTTTTCTCAATGATACGTACCGAAGTTGTGACAAAAAAAGATCGATATATTGAACACTGTCGACTTGATCGAGGAAAAGATCTATTGAACCCATGAACTGCTCCGCATTGTGGTCATGAAGTAGGTTAAAGTCCACACGGTGCGTTCTGCAATATGAAAACGCGGCCTTGTAGTCTTTGGAATCTATGCATTCTCGGATTCCCGCTAGAACAAGAGCCCGGGGATAGATGGTCTCCAAATTTCCGCGTGGCATCTGCAAAACGACAGCAAATGTCGATGGTACAACAGTGACCAATTTTCCTCCTCGCTCAATAGCTCGACACAGTTCATTACCAGCCGCATCATCCGGTGGAATTTGGAAATCTCCTTAATTGTTAGCCACAGTCTTTACATCTGCTTCGCGGGGAAGTGGGGGTTCTTACCATCTGTATTATCTCTTAAAGAAATAAATTTCAGAAAATTTTGTATCGTGGTAATGATAAGATGTTGATTTGTGAGGACAAAAGAAGTGCAACCGTTCAGCAGTGGCTTCCCGTTGCAGAAAAGACGCCCACTAGGACCTAGGGCGAATATTTTCCGCTGTCCCTTTATTGTTACTACTTGCCATATTTCCCCTCAAAGTAATGATACCAATCTTACCTTTTGCTCAGCTACATCATATCGGTCATAAATTAGGCATGCTTGTGGGTGATTCTGCCGGTCGCGGGAGACGAGTGCCTCGTCAAAGACAACCACTTCTCCGGATACACTTTCACAGAGGAGGCTTGAGCCATCGCTCGATAGTGTAATGCTTGAGACCCCGTCTACAAGCTGGCTATCTTCGATTTCCCCGAATTTACCCCAAAAGCCCTCCGTTTTTTGGTATATCTCGATCGCACCTGTGCCCCGAAGCAAAGCAATTTTTTCTAGCCCAAAAAAACATATTTGACGATAATTTAAATGAGCCTCGAGCTTAATGGCGAACTTTTGGACTTGGGTTAGTGCCTTTCTTTTTAGGTGCGGGACGTCCCAGTTTATTATATCAACTCCTCCCGCCGTAAGAGCCGCTAAAATATCGCCGGCTGGCGATACTGCGACATCGATAACATTACTATCAAGCGTAATTTCGCAAAGAGACATCGGAGGGGGCATATTAGCGTATCGAAATGGCGTTAACTTCAGGTTGCCTGTGGGTACGGAGGTTAAGATTAACATTACATCAAAGAAGGGGGGGGTTTTATAGCTTACTCCCATCGATTACCGCCACAATACCGAGATCAAAAGGCGGAGAGGTTGCACCGCGATGGATGAACCAAGTAAAATCCAGTTCGGTTATTACTCCTATATCCCGCAACATATTATTAAATATTGGACCATGTGAGATACCTTAACCATCAGGTGGGCCTACCGAATGTGGCTATGCTCAGCTGAAGTGTCCTCTCCGGATGCCATTTGACCCGTGGCGGTGGAGAATCTAATGACGGCCCCGGAAAAGACTTGCAGAATATTTCGCTTTTTAAATACCAGTGATAATTCATTGTCGTCCATAGCTGCACCCGATCCTCCAAGCATACTGCAAGAACGGTTGAATCCATATTCCACTCAAGGTCGTATATGGCGGCGGGCTGGGAGCCTGTTCTAGGCACCCGAACCGGAAATTCTCCATGCCTAAGGCCGTTTCTCTCAAAGAAAATCACTTCGAGATCGGATCCGGTGCGTTTTACGGAAGCGATGATGTTTCCAGATGGTCGCCAGCTTAAAGCGCCTTCCATTCCATCAACCGGTTCACTGACACCATCAAGCTCGCCGCTTCGACTGAAGATTCTTATGATCCTTCGTTTTCCGTCCTGGACCGTTGAGAGCGCGACATATTGGCCATCCCCTCGCCAGCTTAGCTTGGTGTCTTTGGTATCTGCGGAACTGAGTAAACCTTCATCAACTCTCTCCGGCATGGTTGGATCCTTCAGTGCTGCAGCCCTTTTGCCTTTGAATTGGGTTTCTTTTTTGCCCCAGCCAACGTTGACATGCTTCGATAATTTGAGGTCTTCTTCGGTGAGGCTAAAATTAGCCAGAGGCTCAAAGCGCCTAGTCATGAGAACAAAAGTTCGAGCCTCTGTCGCGATGGCAAGGAGGCTCTCATCTGGGGACCAAGAAGCTGCAGTTATTCCTTCCTCAACTGAGCCGACAATTTCAACTTTGCTTTGGCCATCGTGGGGTTCTTCCCAGATGACGATGACATCGCCACCTTTAAGGACGAGGCATATCGACAAGTCATCTGCAAAATAGTGTAAATCTAAAATCTTGTCCTCTTCCAAACCATTTTTTGGACACGGCCCATGGTAATCCCAGGATGCTATATTTGTCACCAATCCACCCTAGTTTCGCAAGTGTTAACCAATACATATAGGACGAGACTAATCTAGATTGAATTTCGATATCTTTTTGCTAAAACTGGGGAACATGGTGCTTACGGTAATGCGATTGATTTCAATGATGGGAAAGTCCAGTGACGGACCGAACGCACAGATAATCGAATTCGAAGAAACATCCCACTCAGTCGCCGCGAGAGGTAGATCTGGAACTACGGTCGAGCTGACCTGGTGAGTTTCCCTGCGTGTGGAAAGTAGATTACGCATGTTGATTTTGTTTGGAGTACAGAAATATATCTGGTAGACAATGAGGGATGGGATCCGAAAGTTAAGATTCTAGATCAACTGACCGATGGCAGTGCAGTTATCAGGGCCATGAATCATTTCCTAAATTTAGCATTTCGATAGATCTGTGTGAGGTTGTTGCAACTGGAAAGTTCTTCCTCCAACACATTTTTTATGTATGCGGGGAGTTCATCGATGGCCGCAGGTTACCTCGAGCCCGCGCTAGTTAGCGCAACCGCCATGGGCCAGCAGGTACCAGAATAACAAAATACCTATCGGGTGGTTTGGATTGGAATTGCGAGGGATTTGGTGTGGGCCAATTGTAACCGACGTAGCTAGTAGACTAACGGTTGTGATATTAATTGCATGTAAGTACCATTGAAGAACGGTTGAAAATTGAAAACGACCTACCAGCGCGTAGCTTACTTACACTCGGGAACTTCCTAAGTGTATTTTACTTTGTGACCTTTCGAATAGCATGTAGAACCTCAGATTATCTAGATTTAGCTCTAGATCTGGACCCAAAGAGTATTCAGATACACACGCCGGGTGCATGTTTTCAGGAACGCTTAGTTTGTACACTTAGATATCCTGGCCAAAGCCAGATCATATCTGTAATTTATATATAACTTTAGTATGTACTTAAATTGAACAACAAGGAAGAAACCAAGGCAATCCCCATTTCATATTCACAGGCTACATCTTCTTTGACACTTCGGAGGCTTCGGAGAATGGATGAATTCCCTCCCTAATATAAACAAGCTACAAGAAAGACTTCTTCTTCGTTTGCCAGACAGCAATTCCGAAGGGTAGTGCAAACCCAACGGCTACAAGACAACCTCGGGGTCAGCACCATTGGTTTGAATGAGATGGTGAATTATGAGTCAACGTACCGCAGAAAGTGACGAATTTGATGCCGAAGAACTTATTAAGAGGGTCGAATGGGAGATTGCTCCTGGGACCACTGGGATAGTGGTATGGGGAGGACATCCTCGGGGCCGAAGTGGAAAAGTTCTGGCGGGTAACGGTGCGTAAACCGGCGACGCGGGAAGCAATTTGAGGCCGCATTGTATCCTATTCAATTATATAATCTAGGTTAGCTAGATAGTTTTTCATCGTCCGAAGTGAAGTAAAATCAGCGAAGTTGGGTGGAGTGAAGTGCAGGTTAGTATGGATCGGGAGATTCGAAGATTGCTTCGGAAGAGGAACAAGATACATACGGATTTGCGATTTTGACTGTAATTCAAAGATGTTAGCGATGCCTGAACTCTCGACGACTCGGCTCCAGCTGGTTGTATCCTTACGAGTGTATGTTTGTCTGTTTTCAATTCGGGAATGCGGAAGAAAAGGATGGGTGTTTTGTTGGAGGGATGTTTGAATCTTTACATCACACCACCAACCGTTCGTTAGCCGATACCTGCAGCCAAACGCCAAGACATCGAACCCAGAAATTTAATTCTTGAATTTCCTGCCGCGGTCAACAACCAACTTCACTTCAGCTTCCACCTTTTACCATCGCAAACTTTGAATCCGCCGGTTTGGAATAGCAACCATCGCGACTTAGCAGACAGGATGTTTGGGGACGACGAACTTTTCGATGTTTTCGATAAACCTGCAGATGGCAGCTCGAAGCCAGCGTCTGAGAAAGGCCCTGGAAAAGAAAGGCGGAAACGGAATGCCACAAATGCCGACACGACTGACCCAAAAGGCGGAAATAGTGTCGCTACTTCCAATCACATGGACATCGATGGGAACGGGATAACGAGCCCACAGAATCTTGATGCCGCCGGCGACCTTGGAGAACTACCAGATCAGCCCGCACAGAAGAAACAACGCCGCGAATCCATACCTGACCCTGTAATAACCGATTCTTTCGAAACTGAACAGCAAAGAGAAGTCGCAGCATCAGCTGGTCTAACATCTCAATCCGTCGAAGGTGCTGCCGTTGTTCTGTCACATCAAGTGCGCCATCAAGTCGCACTGCCGCCCGATTACCCTTATGTCCCTATATCGGAACACAAATCACCAGAGAACCCTGCGCGGAAGTACTCCTTCAAACTCGACCCTTTCCAGGCTGTTTCAATAGCATCAATTGAACGAGGGGAGAGTGTTTTGGTCAGTGCTCATACTAGTGCTGGAAAGACCGTCGTCGCCGAATACGCCATCGCTCAGAGTCTTAAAAACAACCAGAGGGTCATTTACACAAGTCCGATAAAAGCCCTGAGCAACCAAAAATACAGGGAATTTAGCCAGGAGTTTGGCGATGTCGGCCTCATGACAGGCGATGTCACAATCAACCCGTCCGCGACATGTCTCGTCATGACAACAGAAATTCTCAGGTCGATGCTGTACCGTGGATCCGAAATCATGAGAGAAGTTGCTTGGGTGGTCTTTGACGAGATTCATTACATGAGAGACAAGGTCAGAGGCGTGGTCTGGGAAGAAACGATCATTCTGCTTCCAGACAAGGTCCGCTACGTTTTTTTATCTGCTACCATACCCAATGCCATGCAATTCGCAGAGTGGATATGCAAAACCCATGTACAACCATGCCACGTTGTGTATACAGACTTTCGGCCAACACCACTTCAACACTACCTTTTCCCAGCCGGGGCTGACGGAATCCACCTAGTAGTGGACGAGAAGGGCGTCTTCCGAGAAGATAACTTCCAAAAAGCTATGACTTCCTTGTTGGACAAGATGGGCGATGACCCTGCAAACCCAAACGGACGACGCGGAGGCCCAGGGAAAAAGAAGTGGCAGACCAACAAAGGTGGAAACAAGGGGCCTAATGATATCTATAAAATCGTGAAGATGATTATGATCAAAAATTACAATCCGGTCATCGTCTTCAGCTTCAGTAAAAGGGAATGTGAGAACCACGCTCTCCAGATGAGTAAGCTCGCATTCAACGATGAGGACGAGAAAGAACTGGTAGGCCGCGTTTTTGAAAATGCCATCAGCTCGCTTTCAGACGAGGATAAAGAATTGTCACAGATTCAACATATTTTACCTCTTCTCCGCCGAGGCATCGGAATCCATCATTCGGGATTGCTGCCGATTTTGAAAGAAGTCATAGAAATCCTTTTTCAGGAAGGCCTGATAAAAGTCTTGTTTGCGACAGAAACATTCTCAATTGGGTTGAACATGCCGGCTAAAACTGTTGTGTTTACTTCTCTCAGAAAATTCGATGGTATTGCGCAGAGATGGGTATCTCCTTCAGAGTTCATACAAATGTCTGGCCGAGCTGGGCGTCGCGGCTTGGATGACCGCGGTATCGTCATCTGTATGATCGACGAGAAAATTGAACCTAATACCGCGAGAGATATCGTCAAGGGAGAACAGGACAAACTCAACTCAGCCTTTTATCTGGGGTATAACATGATTCTTAACCTCATGAGGGTTGAGGGTATTTCGCCAGAGTACATGTTGGAACGCTGTTTCTTCCAATTCCAAAACACGGCTAATGCATCTGGGCTAGAAAAAGGTAGTGTTTTCAATTAACCACCGTTTGAACGGTTTGCTGACAATTGGTATATAGAACTCCAAGAAATCGATGCTGAAAGGCATGCGATCCAGATTGAGGACGAAGGAACCATACGAGAATATTTCGACCTACGCCAGCAACTAGACACGTATGGGCAGCAAATGCGAGATGTCGTCAACCATCCCAACTATTGCCTACAATTTATGCAACCGGGGCGCCTAGTTCGTGTAAAACATAAGGGTGTGGACTTCGGGTGGGGCGCAGTGGTCAATTATTCTAAAAGAATAAAGGGAAAGGTCAGTAGTTGTATCCACTGATTTACCGCGAGAAAATACGTCCACAGACTAACTCGACTATGTTTTAGAATGCCACCGAGGATTTCTCGGCCCAGGAATCTTACATTGTGGATGTTCTCCTAAACATTGCAGAAGGCCGAACTACAAACTTCTCGAATTCTGCTGGACTGCCCGATGGTGTCTATCCACCCGGAGAAGACGAACGAGGAGTAATGGAAGTTGTTCCGGTTGTCCTGTCCTGTCTGGACGGGATCGGCCACATTCGAATTTTCCTCCCCAAAGATCTCAAAGCAGCAGAACAGAGGACCAGCGTGCAAAAGTCAATCGAAGAGGTGAAAAGAAGATTCCCGGATGGAATTGCTCTCCTCGACCCCATTGAGAATATGCAAATCACAGAAGAGTCTTTTAAGAAGCTTATGAGGGTATGCAGTCCCAGTTGTGTGCTCCTGGATGTCACTAATACCGTTGTGCCTAGAAAATCGAAGTTTTAGAGTCGAAGCTTCTCTCAAACCCGTTGCATAGTTCCCCAAGACTAAAGGAGCTTTACACTAAATATTCTCATAAGGTCGAGCTCACAACCAAGATAAAAACGCTCCGAAAAACCATCCAATCTGCACATTCAGTGATGCAGCTAGATGAATTGAAATATAGGAAACGGGTCCTACGACGCCTAGGCTTTATCTCAGAGAACGACATCATTCAATTGAAAGCGAGGTACTACTTCCAAAGGACGAGGCCCATATCCAGCGAGGCTAATTTATCTTTAAAGGGTTGCATGTGAAATTAGCAGTGCCGACGAACTGCTTCTCAGCGAGCTTATGTTCAATCGGATGTTCAACGAGCTGACGCCGGAACAATGCGCAGCAGTTCTAAGCTGCGTCGTATTTGATGAAAAGTCTAATAACAAGGATGCAAATAATAAACCAGCGATGAAGGATCAGCTGGCAAAGCCTTACCGTGCTCTAATAGAACAAGCCCGCATAATAGCCAAGATTGCAATTGAGAGCAAACTTCAGGTTAACGAAGAGGAGTATATTAAGGCGATCACTTCTGACCTCATGGAAGTCGTATTTGCATGGACACAAGGGGCTTCGTTTGCAACAATTTGGTGAGTAAACTGCATACTCTTGTTTCTTGTATTGAAAAGAGATAACTAACTATAACAAAGTAAAATGACGGATGTGTATGAAGGTAGCTTAATACGCATGTTCCGAAGATTGGAAGAGTTACTGCTGCAAATGGTAGCCGCTGCTAAAGTGATGGGCAGCGAAGAGCTCGAAAAAAAATTCGAAGCGGCATTAGCTCTAATTAAAAGAGGTTCGTTTTTCGATCATCCCGAAACAACAGATTAAAAACTAACTTGGTGGGGCTCTTTACAGATATTGTTGCGGCTCAGTCCCTTTACCTTTGATTTGGCACGACCCAGGATTAACTTGTGTTCTATCAGCATAGCTTTATACCTATCTTTTGCATAAAACTGTATTTCCAATCAATGCCCCATTTAAACTTGTATATTAATTCAAAGGACAAGGCAGTACTCGATAATCAATGTGTGAAGGTGACTAATCAATATGCATAAATAAGTACGTCTCCCTTACTGACTAAGCACTTTTAGGTATTAGGTAGAGAGTAGTCGGTAGAGAGTAAAAAGGTATATACTCGATGCATTGGCGTTGTGTAGTTAACTGTGACGGGGATTGGTCGACGTTCCCAGTAAGACCAGCTTGGCGACGGACCCCTGCCTTTGTAATTACACGTCGATGAGCAACAACAACGCGTCTTCCCATAGCCCGCCACTCAGGCTCATTTGCCTTGCTCTTCACCAGGACCCTTTAACATCTAGAATCTACAACATAGACAAACGAAAATCCAACTTAGAGACTTTATGTCAGATCGAAAACAGAATACCAATCCAGAGAACAATATGCAAATCGCATATTGCTCTGACGAAGCAGGCTCCTTGCAGGAGAAGCTAAATCAAAAACTTGGCCCCGAGTTTATCTCACACCGAGCTGGACCTGGAGGGCGCAAGGTCGCATACATTTCCGGGGACAAATCCATAAATCTTGCCAACCATGTTTTCGGATTCAACGGGTGGTCCTCACAAATCCAAGAGGTGGTCGTGGACTTTGTATGTGAACCCTTTGCTCGGGAAATACAAGCCCAAATATTAATATTCCATAGGTCGATGAGTCTGCCGGTCGAGTAAGCATTGGCATATCGGTCACGATGAGGTTGACATTGCGAGATGGAATGTATCGAGAGGTACGGAATATAGAAGGACATATTACATTAAGTCGCCTCGTTTCTAACACCCTCCCTCAGGATATTGGCTACGGCGAGGCGGAAAACATGAAGGGCAAGGCTGCCGCATTCTCAAAAGCAAAGAAATCTGCCACGACGGATGCTCTCAAGCGAACTCTACGCCAATTCGGGGAAATATTCAGTTGCATCTCAGATGCCGATTTTCTCAAAAAGGTCCTGAAAATCAAGGTGCCATCGGTATGACTATCCGTTTAGCACACACCCGCGCAACAGATATTCTCAGCTAATGTGTAGCAAATAGACCGACCTTGATGAATCAGTACTGTATAGACATCCTGATGTTTCGAAGCGAATAAAAACAAGAACGGCAGCACCAGTTCAAAAGGCTGAGCCTGAACCACCCACAATCGACTTTAGTAATGTCGTCGCAGAGAATGATGAGGATGGAGATTTTGAAGAGTATGGAATGGCCGAAGATGACATGGAAGGCTTGATTGATGACGAAGCTCTGATAGTTGCACCATCGTAAGTATCTCCTGAGCACTATATCCATTATTTCTGGCTTGCTGAATAGACGAACACAAGCAGTGCTCCTTTGAACAGAGCACCAAACCCACCTCCCGCTCAAAATATCTTGCAACAGCAAAGAGGGCCTATGTATCCTATGCCACCCCCGATCTCCCGATTCAACCAGGCGGGCAACAGTAATAATCAAGAAGCAACTCGACAGCCACCCCCAATAGCGCCGTTATCGCACACACACTCGGGAAACTCAGGTCTGGTCCATCGTCCGCTCGCGGCTGGGCCAAGCGTAGGAGTGGCTGGTCAGGACCAACGAAGCAATATCACAATGTCACTCTCAGGCCCTGGAAGACAGGAAACACCCGCACCGCAAATCCCACCCGGCGCTTTCTTTAGCGCTCGTGCTACTCTTGACAGCGGTGCAGCCAAAGAGGTTTTCAACCCTCAGCTACAAAGCCCATCCATCAAGAAGACAGCTGGGATAGACCATTCCAAGTCAACACCTATCTCAAGAGCCAAGTTTGGACTTCCTGATTTGCCATCTGGTTCCCCAACTATATCAAAACCCAATTTCCAGCCTCCAGGAGCGAACGGATTCAGACCTATCGGTATTTCAGCAGCGCAAGCTCCAGGTAACCGAGGATTTAGGGCACCGACATTAACAAATCCAAATAATGCCGGCCAAAAAATGTATCCCCCTCTGAACGCGCCAAAGCGAAATTCGGATGGCCTACCGGTCAAGTAAGCCACCGCACTCCACGACGGAATCTGTTGAGTTAATACTAACCTGACCTCGTTTGTAGTGACATGATGAACCGACCAATACTTGCAGAAGCATCGAACAAAGCTTTAAATGTGCAATTTCAATCAGGGAACCAAGTAAAGAAAGAAACGGAGGGACCTGCGCATGAAGACAATATTAACAAACGATTGCGAACTTAGTGGTGGGTCTGAGTTACTAGCGGACTATAACTATCTATCACCATGCATTAGCGACGGAGTTTCTGGTCCAGGCGTTCTCTTACTTCGATTTACCGTACCCTCACCGGTTAAGTTGGGTGCTCTGCGCTCTGTACTATGCTTAACTATTTACAGGAGAGATACAAAGTCAACAACCAGGCGTGGGAAAGGGAGTGCTACAGAAATGGGTTGTTTCCATATGACATATTTGGGCTTCAGAAATTAATTGACTCGCCTGGAACATATAAAGGCATTCAGGTTTAAGTGCTGGGCGCATGTGCAGCACTCCAGTATATCATGTCTCTATGTCCCATGTCCCTATATATCAAGGTGTTATTTTTAAATCTGTGGGTTATTTTTTGTGTTGGCGCCAGCGAAGAATCGCATTGTCCTAAACCGCTGCTCGTCTCTTTATAGCGTTGATCGTAGGCATTTGTATCGGTAGTTGTAACCACCTACCTACTTACTTACCTACCTGCCTAAGTACTTACATATATGCACGTTCTGCGGGTGATCCAACGCTCGCAAATTCTCAGACGCCAGCTACACGCAATGTCCTCAAGTAAGAAATTCGCAAACTTTCGAAAGATACTCCTAGTACCCTTTTTTATGCTCTCCTAGGTCCTAACAAGTGTGTTTTATACTATTAGCCAAACTGCCCATCGTTGTCCTCAGTGGGCCATCTGGTGCAGGAAAATCCACCCTCCTTAAGAAGCTATTTGCTAACCACCCTGATACCTTCGGATTCTCCGTATCACGTACGTTCCCTTGTTGGAGTGTTTATATGTTTTTTGATATTGTCATCATGGCCACCACCTAGTAACTTAACCAATACAGACACTAGCAGAAACCCAAGGGACGGTGAAGAGCATGGAAAGGCATACTGGTTCACTAATGAGGATGAGTTCCGTAAGTTGATTGGGGAGGGGAAATTCATCGAAACCGCTACGTTTTCTGGAAATCTTTACGGCACATCTATCCAGGCCGTGAAAGATGTCCAGGATCAAGGTAGAGTTTGTATCTTGGATATTGAGATGGAGGTAACTTGCCCCCTTCTAACATTCCCGCATACCCAAATTACTAATGTCTACGAAAATAGGGTGTAAAACAAGTCAAGAGAACAGACCTGAATGAAACTTGCACCTTTATATTCGTGCGCCCACCATCAGTGGAGGAACTCAGAAAGCGACTTGAAGGAAGGAACACAGAGACCCCGGAGAGTCTTGCAAAAAGGCTAGCACAAGCGGAGAAGGAACTCGAGTTTGCTAACACTCCTGGAGTTCATGATAAAATCATCGTCAATGATGATTTAGCGAAGGCTTATGGTGAACTCGAGGGACACATTCTCACCAAAATTCGTGGGGACAGTTGAAAAATCTCGCACCAACGCATCGACCAGCGTTTTGACAGCATAACGTCGCGAATTCCCTGTATTACAAACCTTCCGATCTAAAAGATATCCAAGGTCCTATATACAATACCTTTTGAATTATTGAAATTTTAGAAGTAGTACCTCTCTGTCTATAAGCCCGGTTAGAGCATTTCCATGGATAGGGTATCAGTAGTCTCGTATTGCAGACGCGGTCCACACTTTGGGTATATACTTCGTAGCCAGCTCAATTATTGAAGATAAAAATTAAAAAATTTTACACACAACCAGTTAATTTCCCTCTCCCCGACATAAGGGGAAAAAAAAAAAAAAGGATAAAGAAAGGCCGGAAGTAGGGGCCGAAGATCAATATTAAGAAACATGCAGGCAGGTATCGTCCTGTTGAAAAAGGGAAAGGGAAACAACATGGAAATGGGTGCAACAAAGGATCGAGCGCTATTCTATGTCAACCCAATGTGTGCATGAAGGCTACCAGAGAAGAAAAATAAGAAAGGGCTAGACGCTCGGAACATAGGCTGGGTAATCCTAATATCCGCCACCGTTCATAGTCATCCTTTGAGAGTTGCGACTGGCACCTAATTCTCGGTCAGCGGAAGGTGAGATTGGCCTACTTCCAGTGGTGACACCCGCAGCACTGCTTTCCTTCAAAGCAAGGAGTTGCTTGGCGCGGAAGGTCTCGTAGTGTATCTGAGAGGTTGTTTCGATGAGATCTTGCAGATGAGTTCTGGTCAAGAAATTTCGGAGATAAACGAACTCGCAGTGATTTTCATCCTCAACTATCCGAGTATTAGTATTATAAAGCAAGCTATTGTGCCCGGGTCAAATTACCATTGATTACACCCCATCTGTTTTGGCGGCCACGGACCTGCTTTCCATCGACAATAATGGACTTCTCTGAACCAACGACGGCGAATGGAATAATGTCCTAAACTTTATTTAGTATCTTCGGACTGCCAGTTTTTGATACAATTTCTTACTTTAATCTGGGCATTTAGTGCACGTTCTTCATCATCCAATTCGTCGTTGTCGTATGGGTACATTTTCAGATTGTGGAAGGTAAATTCTTCCTTGATCTGTGGTTTCGGTTAACATAGATCAGAAGATGTAGGGTTATCGTTGAAACCTGCACATACCCTCTCCTTGAAAGCGGCACGCTCTTCCAGCGTCAGGGAATCAGATTTGGCGATAACAGGAACGACATTGACAACATCAGAAAGCTTCTTGAGGACAACGATGTCGATAGGTTTCAAACTAACATAAGATATCTCATTAGTACAAGTCCCTCCCGATTCTAGCTATATGAATAAGCTCCAACATACGCATGTCCAGATGGCTGAATGAAGAAGAGGCAACAATGGATCCTGGTGTCTTGGATATATCGCTCTCTTTGGGCTGTGAGCTCCTTCCTCAGGTAAGCCGAATGCTGATCTTTAATATATTTGACGATGGGGTCCCAGCTATGAAATTACATAGGTGTCAGTACCAACTCATGATTTATTAATATAAAACACAACGTGTTTACCATCTATCATTATTGACTTGGTCTCCGTATCCTGGAGTGTCAACGATATTCAGCCTAAGACGAACACCGTTTTCCTCGATGACTATATATCGTGTTTGTAGTTAGCGCATATAATCCCACCCAAACTGTTTGTTTTTTTTCATAGCTAGACACTATAGCGATCCCAGGGTAGTAAATATAATACGCACTATGTGAAACCGTCTGGATCTCAGTGGTAGATCGAACCGGCTCATCTGGGGCAAGACGGCCTTTACTGTCGATGAGGTGGGACGCGAAAATAGTATTGATGAGTGTGGATTTTCCAAGACCAGTCTGACCTATATTCGAGAAGGAAGTTTAGCTTAAGGGCACATTTTGAGGTAGTATGAGCGCGCTGGGGGTTTACCAACCAACACAGATGACATTGAACTGGAAGCCGCGCTTCAAGAGCTTTCGCTCTATCTGCTGGGTGATGCTATCGAAACCGACGTGGCTTCTAGGGTGGACAGTTGCAACAGATGCAGACATTGTGAGTGAGGAGGAGGAGGATCTTAAGGCGCGGGCTGGATCCGGTCTAACGAGTATACTTCAAATTGTACGCGAATCGGCCAATGGGTCGAAGGACGATCAATTAACCAGATATGGCTGTAAATTCGAGTCCGTGTGGTACTATTGATGAAACCCTCGACGTGTTCGGGACTGTGGAGATACAGATGATGCTAATCGGGATGGTGATGGAAGGAGGAAGGAATGGGAAGGAGGTGGGAAAGAGGGAGGGAAGGGAGAAATCAGGGGAACCTAAGAACCTCAGGAGAGCTTGTCGCTCGCTTGTCGCTCTCGCTTGTTGCACCAGAAAAAGCATTGAATCACGCTCAGAAGAAAATACAACCACCAACACTGCACAAACATCAATCAGGTCGGACCGGTATGCTGCACCACCATCCCCACTTACTATCGTCTAATCGCTAGCAGTCTAGCTGACATCGTCGAATTTAGATGGCGTCGATACTTCTCCGCCGTGGCGCCTTCGCCGCTGCCCCTGCGGCTACATCAGTTCTCTGGAGGACCACGGCTTCCTCCTCAATATTTTCCTTCCTAGTTCCCACCCTTGCTGTTGGCCTGAGAATAAACATCCCACCGATTATATCAGAAATCTGGGAGTCCATCCTCAAGGCCGTCCCGAAAAAGAAACAGAGCCATTCTCGAAAACGTATGCGACAATTGGCAGGAAAGGCTCTGCAGGATATCAAAGCTCTGAACGAATGCCCAGGATGCGGATCTCTCAAACGGTCCCACCACCTTTGCCCGACATGTGTGAATGAGATCAAGCAAATGTGGAAGGATGGGGTGGGAATGGGCAGTTCCGGCACACCCACACCATCGGGGCCTTCTGTCGGCGATACCAAAAGTTCAAATTAGCTGCCGGGCTCCTCGTCATTCCTAAAATCTATCATACTCACGGTCACTATCTTCATTATCCATTAAGTGAAATATTTACCGGAATAAATGTCAGCGATATCCCGCCTTCCAAAGCCTGCGGACATTCGTCCAGACCCCGGTTTGGAGGCTTTGGTGGCCCCCATACCGTTGCACAAGTACCTTTATACGGCAAGGTTGACGGAATGCACTTTGTATATACTGGATATTCGGACCTAGCACATTAGCTAGATACTGTACTATATTACAATTAGAGAAAAAAAAAACCATTGTGGCTTTCCTTCCTTCCTTCCTTCCTTCCTTCTTTCTTTCTTTCTTTCTATCTATCCCGATAGCCTACAATCGAGTATTTGTGTAATAGGCACTAGACGTCGACAGCGGTTGAAACACTGCCATATATTATAAACCAGGCTAAATAGATATATGGAGGCCTCCGCCCTGCTTAGCAAATAAAATAAAATCAATGGTCTATTACAGAAATAGGTGCCCACCTGTTCTCAGGGCTAATGAATTCATGAAACAAATCTCAGCTTTGCTTTAATCCACGCTGGTTCTGGTGTAAACTTGGTTGAATCGCTTTTAAACTTCAAAACCTGTCGTCTATTACCTCGCCTCTAATCAAAATCCAATCCCAGTCCTTAACCGAATGTAAGTTTCCTAAAAAAAAAATTAAAACCCCAACCATAGGTCAGTGCATGCCCAAGCTGAGTCCACACACGGTGCAACACTGCCCTGGTAGTCTGTTAACAAGTACTTACTTACTTAGTAGGTAAGTAGTTAAGTACCGCTTTATAGCATTAACAACGACACGACACACCACGGCCAAGCCTAGCTAAACACCATGGTAAGATCCAGATTATCAGCATTTAAATTTTAGCATCTGAATCGCTTGCTTATTCCCTGGCGACCCTGAACATCAGTCCAAGCAATACCTCACGGCCCATACAATTGATAATGGTATAACAAGCTCGGCCTCGCTCGTAGCCGGTATCCCCTGCTAACATTATCACCCCAAACCCACAGCCCACGAATCATCAATTTATGCACTAGGTATAACCGTAGATTATACCTTAACAGGATCTGGTTCCTCTGCGATTAAACTTCACAGCACGAAAGATGCTGCGCATCCCTTAGTGCACACTTTCATCGACGCTCATAAACTCGGCTGCCATCACATCGCTACTAGTAAGACGGGAAAGCGTGCCGTATCAGCCGGTTTTGAGGGCTCTCTCAAAATATGGGATCTTGAGAATCTTGAGGCCAATGGGGAAATTTCTGGTTCGTACCCAAATTGGTTCGCTCATATAACGTCTGGAAGTCCGCGAACTAAGATTTGAGATATGACCAAAAGATGCAAACAAAGGCGGCCAAGTGTGGGCGATTGCGCTATCTGCAGACGGAAGTCGCTGCTTGACTGGTTCTCACAATGGACGAGTCAGAATTTGGGATTTGGATAAAGAACCTTTCATACAACTAAGGGACTATGAAACGAAAAACATATTCACATTGTGTGTCGATCTTGTAAGGCTCGACATTCCTTGGATTGAGGAAACTCCGGGAATATCGGATCTAACAGGAACCATCCCGGCAGAGTGCAGATGGGAAACTCGCCGCTTCAGGTCATGAGAATGGTGGTGTCTACATCTTCAACAATGAGACCGGAAGAATGCTACACTCATTGACTGGTAAGGCTCTTAAGGGAAATCGTAGTATCTCACCCCATCAAAAGGCCGACAACTAAAATTAGTCTCCTCCTAGGGCTCATGAAACCCGTGAGAAGCATTTCTTTCTCGCCCAGCAGCAAACTATTAGCAGTCTGTGGCGATTTTCAAGTAATTGCAGTATACGACGTTCACTCCGGCGAGCAGGTTTTTAATTTCACTGGGCACACCAGTTGGGTATTCTCAATTGGGTGGAGCGAGACCGGACAGTTTCTTGTTACTAGGTTCGCCCGAATTATTTAACTGATATATTGCATTGTCCTTTCATATAGCTAACGATTCTGGTAGTTCGTTCGACGGAAAGACGAAGATTTGGTCGATGGACACGCGAACGTGTGTTACCACCCTTGGAGAATCTAACCAACCTATCTTCTGCGCTTCATTCTTGCCCAAGATTGGTTCCGGCGAGAATTTGGTAACAATTGGGACTGCAATTACGTACTATCGAGAAGCGTCAGGCGCAGGAACTGGCTAATCCGCGACCCTTCGCCGTACAATGCCATTTTGAACCCGAGCCTTCTTTCACTGCTATGTGTAGTCAGAACAAGGTCGTTGTTAAATAGGCTGTAATCCTTCAAAATAAAATGCCGCCGAACGCTACTAGCTAATTAGGCGGTGTTCAAGCCGGAGAGACGAGGGCCCCAGAGCTGGCATCACCGGTCGTGGTTGTAGGGCTGGTATTCTGACCTAGACTGCTGCCCTTCTCGTTCCCATAATTTTTCTCGAACCTAGCCACGAAATACTTCACCACTCGCTGGAACTCCTCCTTCCCGTTCATCCGAAACCGGGTGACCTTCTCAATATTCGTTTTCGTTATGGGATGAACTGGTGTGCCTTCGTATGTGTTCCTAGCCACAGCCTTAGCTGTCATAGCAAATCTCATATCTTTAGGACCGTCGACCAGTTCGAGAATGGCCGAAGGCGCAGCATCACCATTATATGGTTCAATGTGGAGCACTCTGGTATAACCGCCATCTCGATTGGCATATCTTTCTCGGATCTGCCCGAACAGCTTGCTATTCAGTTCGTGAGTCTACTCCAAACCGAAGGCCGACCAGGTTATTAGATTTTGTGATTCTCTGCGGCTTGTGGGATTGGTATTCGGGCATACGTAGAGATATTTCTTGGCCTCATTCTTCGATGCGTCCGTGTTTTTTCTCGCCAACGTAATCAAGTTTTCTGCTACTTTCTGGGCTTCTTTCGCACGCGGATAAGTGGTCCGTATCGACTCGTGCTCAATCAAGGATTGAACTAAGTTTCGCAGCATCGCGACTCTGTGTGACGACTTTCGTCCGAGCATGCTGTATTACATTAGATTTAATCAACCGTGAGAAACATGCCCTGGGAAATTTTTTCAAGCTTACCGATGGTGTATGTGCGACATCTTGAGCACTGGTTGAGCCTAAACCAAGGTTCGTATATCTGCGAGGAGCCGGAGAAGTTTTCTTCGTTGTTGAGACTTTTTGGGCCATCGGAGCATCCCCAGTCGCTGTCGGCCGAGTCGTGCCGGGATAAATGAAACTTAACTTCACAGGCTTGAACCAAATATAAAGTACTAAGACTCTCATACAAACAATCACACCCCGACGTCTGTCAATCTTTCGAACTACGAAAGGCCTACAGCCCGCTTTCTCCAAATGGGACGCCTCAATGGCTTAGTATGCCCACGCGAGTCAGTTCCCACAGTAAAATCTATTACATCTGGCTAACTGCGAACCACAGGTAGGAGGATTTGTCCTCACCACCTCGGTGATGTATTTGACTATCCGCCAGCACCAGGAACAGACAAAACTATCCTCGCAGTTACTACGAGACTCCAACGGGATACTCAATGCAATACTAGAGCCTCCACCGCCGCCTAAACCTCGGACTACATACGTTGAAACGAGGTCCAATATCCTAGAAACTATGAAGGACAACTGGAATTCAGAGATCGAAGGAGTGGTTAGGTGGGTGCAAAACGCCAACCCGACTAGTATCTTCAATAGCATTGAGGATATGGCTAGAAGCACCTTCTCTGAGCTAAAGCAGCTTGGCGGGGGCTCAGAGGGCCCTGGGAAATGAGAGTAAATGTCGTATTTTTGGTTGCGTCTTCATGGAGGAAATAACTAGAATGTGTCAATCGCGCGTTCTAGGGCCCTATCCCGAGCAGAGCACATAATATCTGGCTAGAATGCTACTACTCCAAGGTGTCTCCTAGGCGATTTATTTCTTTTGTAAATACATATCTCTCAATGCTTGGATTATTGTCTCATTTGGAACTATCGGCTAATAGGAATCTTTAACGTTGGTACCCAAAAACAAAAGTGTCAAGACTGAAAGGGGGAGGGGATAAAGGGGGAACGGATTGAATGATTAGATGAAAATGCCTCGAATCGAAGATGCTTTTCAATTTTATACAATGCGTGGTATATCGTATTCAACTACACGGACAACCACCTCGCCGCGCAGTGGCATTTTGATGATGATGGGATAACCGATCACAAGGGGAAATACTAATTTCAAGGGCTTTCCTGGAAAATAAAAATAAAATTGTCGTTTTGATGGTTTATACCAGTATGTTACCCTCATCAACAACGAATGCTTCAAGGGCAGCTTCAATATAAGATTATTATTAGCTCCGTACCCTCGCCTGGATTTTGGGAATAACACCTTACCTATGGCAGCATATAACCTGTTCTCTGCTTCATTAAACACAAGGGACCTCGGACTATAAAAGACTTCGTCGCTGACCTCTTCTGGCTTTCGAGGTAAACAATGCATAAATTTCCAGTCCGGTTTTGCCCCACCCCTAGAGGCCAATTCGTTGGTGATCTGGAACCCTGCAAAGTCCTTTAATCTTTTGAGCTTTTCTTCTTCCTGGCCCATAGAAACCCATGTATCCGTGACAATGAAGTCGGCGTTCTTGACGGCCAATTCAGGTTCATGAACAGTCTCAATCGAAGCGCCAGTTTCACGACAAGAATCTTTGACCAGTTTCCAGACACTTGGGTCAACATCATAGCCGGCAGGGGTTGCAGCGCTGACATTGATACCAAATTTCGAGCATGCTAAAGCCAAGTCGTAGAGAACATTGTTCGCATCTCCGACCCAAGCAACCTTCAAGCCAGCGAGATTCTGAGAATCCCGGGCTTCGGCAATTGTAAGCATGTCTGCAATTGCCTGCATAGGATGGAATGCATCGGATAAAGCATTGATCACTGGAACGGAGGACGACTTCGCCAACTCAGTAATATCTTTGTGCTGTCCTACACGAGCGACAATGCACGAAGTCATCGAAGATATAACTTTAGAAGTGTCGTATAGAGACTCATTGACTCCTAGTTGTATGTCCTCCTTCCCTAAGAACATTGGATGACCGCCCATGTAAACTACAGCACCCTCTGTTGATATCCTCGTCCGAGTACTTCGTTTTGAAAACATTATAGCGACGGTCTTGCCAGAAAGAGAGTCGAGGAGGTTCGATGGTACCGAATTTCCACCTTTGATAGCATGTTTAGCCCGTTGTGCAGCTGTGACTAAAGCGACAAGCTCGCCTGGCGAAACGTCCGCGATGGAAAGAAAATGACGGGGCGACGCCGGAGCTGCTGCAGTCACGGCTGCGCTTGTATGCAGGGACCTCCCACAGGCTAAGCGGGCATATTGAAATGCGGGTGCTCGGATTCGAGGGGCTCGAAGGGCCTGCGCAAGACTGCGGCCCAGACCAGACATCATCTTTGCCATTGGTGAATTTAATTGAATGCTGTTTGTGAGTATGTTTGATTACCTAAGAAATGGACGAAAGCTGGTTTCGTTCATGGCCGCTTGACAAACAAACAACCATACCTATTAGCATCATCTGTTTACCTCACACACCGTCATCCTTCTTCCAACTAAGGCCCTCGATCTGTACAAACCTCTCAAACCCCTCTACTGCTCTTCTTCGAGATCCCGAGATCCCGCAGGCTACAGAGGTAGTTATTGTAGTGTTTTTCGACTAGAACTGGGATTTGCTTGTGCCACCTCTAGAGAGGACGTGCGGGTAATCGAAGTGGTCTCCCAACGATCCCAACCTACTTAGATGCACGGTTTCTCACCACTAGATGACAGACTCGTCTCTACCGTTTCCTTCGTATGGCGCTACAGCGCCAGTGCCCCCCACACCATGTCATGACGATAGCGATCAGACCCTCGCGAATACTCCGTTACTACAAACATCTGATGTATCTGTCCAGGGCGATGACGACCGCTGTGGGATTAGCTCCCAGCCCACCGAGCGAACTCCCCTGATACTTCCAGTAGTAAATCACCCCGGTAGCGATGGTAGCCTGACGTCTTCCGCTCGTTCCGATCATGACAGGATAAAGCAAGCAACTAAAAGCCCTCGTATCCTTATTATAACACTCATTTCATTATGCTTCGCCACCCTTTCGATCTTATTCATTGGGTTTATGCTTCCCGAAGCCGTACAAGAATATGCAAAAAAGGCTGCCGACGTCAAAATCGATAGTCTATCAGTCGATTCGTTCACTGAAGGTGGGATCCGGGTCCGAGTTCAGGGTCAAGTGGCCCTAGATGCTGAACGGGTGGGGAGTGTTCTACTCAAGAACTTGGGCATTTTGGTTGGATCTATGGCCAGAAAAGTAAAAATCGGTTCCTCCAAAGCAGTTTTGTACCTACCAGACTACCCGGAGGGTGTGTTAGGTATTGTTTCGTATCCCGAACTTGTAGTCAACTTACGGGATGGACAGGCTACGCATGTAGACATTATCTGCGACGTTGAGCCGGCTTCGCTCGAAGGAATAAAACCTGCGATCGATGATTATCTCTTAGGAAAAATCCATTTCTTGCGGGTCCAGGTGGAATCGGACATGCCACTCACATCTGGTATGTTTCCGTTGGGCACCCATAAAGTTATTCAAGAAGTTGTTCTCAAAGGTAATCAGCCTCCCCCAAACGTGTTCATCAAGAATTTGTAGATCTAATAGGCAACTTTACCCACCAGACATCCCATCCCTTCCTGCGCTGGCGCTTTCTCGCTTAAATCTCGCTGAAGTGCATTTGCCCAACCAAGTGGCTTTGGGAGCTAATGTCACCGTTGAAGTTGAGAATAAATATCCAATCAACTTCAGTGTACCCCCTCTTGGGTTCTCGGTGCTACTTCGTTCTTGCGAGCAAGATTTTATCGAGGTAGCAATAGCAAAAACTTCAACTGTGAACATACAGCCCCTCAAACCACTGGTGATCGATGTCACTGGGATTATCAGGTCGATTCCTTTCGCTTTGATAGAGGTTTGCCCTGGAACTGGGACGTCGCCTCTTGATGATCTTCTGGAACGATATGTACACGGACTGGCTGCAACGGCTTACATCAGAGGCTTACCTTCAGATAAGCAGGAACCGGGCCTTCCTGCCTGGCTTGAGGAACTTTTGGGCTCAGTTACGCTCCCAGTCCCTGTGCCGGCCGGGGACGCCCTCAAAGACATCCTTAAATCATTTTCTCTCAACGACGTCAAATTTCAGCTACCAGATCCAGATGCTGATCCCGATAGCCCAGAAGCATCACCTCGGCTTTCAGCAACAGTTCAGGCCATCATCGCGTTACCGCAGGAGATGAATGCACCTCTCGATGTATCGAAGGTTATTGCGAATGTTGATGTCTTCTACCAAGGCCGCAAACTCGGCGAGTTCCATGTTCCTGATTGGGCACCCGCTACTACGATTCAGCGGGAAGAAACCCATGACCTTGAAGTCAATGCTAGAGTCGAAGATGTTCCATTAAAAATAACAGATACAGACGTATTCTCTGAAGTTGTACAGAAGATTATCTTTGGAGGCGGTAGTGGAGCTAAGTTACAAGCCGATGGGACGGCGGACGTTAAAGTTGGAATTGCTAGCTTAGGAGCATTTGTTATACGGGGCATACCCGCAAAAGGCGACATTGTGATCAAAGGAGGTATGTAAGGACTTCCATAAAACCAGATCCTCGTTAGCAACGTATATCCAAAACCCTGGAAATACTTTGGAGCCCTTTGATTTCGCCCGAGGCCCTCGAGAAGGAAGTGGCATTTGATTGCTTGTATCGGCATTGGTTTGGGGAGATTACCATGATTGCTTCAAACTCCATTTTTAAGAAGGCTAGGAGACTTACCCAGGGATCCAAGTTGGAGCTAGTGAGGGGCCGAATTATTGAAACCAGGAAATCCTCGTACATCGTACGGAATTGCTCTAACCGTAACCCCTATAATTGCAGAAAAGCACACTCTTCATGATATAAACCCGAAACCAAGAGATATTAGTATTATATCTTCAACCAAAACCTCAGTTAGGATGAGCGCCAAAGTCACATTCACCAATCCAACAAATTATACCGCCAATATTCCCTATCTCAACATCCTGTTTACTAAAAACGGAACTATCTTGGGTAATGGGACACTTGTAAATGCTATTGTAGGGCTAGGCGAAAACGAACTCGCTGTTGAAGCATTTTGGGCTCCCGCTGATGGTGGAGAAGACGCACGTGCGCTCGGAATGGCTCTGCTGGGTGAATATGTCTCTGGTTTGTAGCTTACCTCTCCCTTTTGCCCTCGCGCCAGTTGATAGACTGGTGGAAACGCTAACATTTGTCGCCAAAGGTGAAAATTCCACGATCACTGTTAGAACCCATGAACGGTCTATACCATCTCTTCCAGATCTCTCAAAGGCATTGGAGTTCTTAGAATTTACGCTTCCACTCCCGCCCCCCCCTCTTGGTAGCTTGCCGAAGCCACCAGATGCCGACCCTCCGCGGTTTGTTCAATCCGCCACACTGCACGTTCTCGGTTCAACTGGCTCCTTCGAGCTCAGGAATCCGTTCCAAAGTGATACGATATATATTTCAAATATAGTCGGGATTGCGACCCATAACGGTACGACTCTGGGTATGTTGGATTATGAATATCAGATCGCCATCCCCGCTGGTCTCTGGGAGACCCCTAAGCTTCCAGTTCAATGGACTTTGAAAGGGGTGGGATATGATATTCTTATGAAAGCTGCTGGCGGAGTCCTAAAGATTGATGCAAAAGCAGAATGCAACGTCAGAATAGGTCGTTGGGAGGCAAGGTTGAAATTCCATGGGAGCGGAATTGGTGCTCACGTTCATTTACGTTAAACCAAGGGTTTTCTTTTTTTTACAGGGCTTGGATTTTGTCTACTCTGGAAAGAGCTGGCCTCTATAATAGCGACTCAACAGCCAATTAATTGTGCATTGGATGGTTTCTAGCATGCTATGGTGGTGTATTCTGCTCTTTTTTTTCACATTTGGTCTTTGTTTTTCAATACCCGGATCATTGCGACTTCGCCAAGTAGCACTCATAATATTCGCATTCCATACTTTACTGTACATGTATCGTGTTATATACAGAAGATACAAATTATATGAATTAGGCTACGTAACATCGTAATCGTGCTGTAAACCTTTGAGTTTGGGGTTTGGTTAACCAGGAGGAAGGGAGCTGACGTCGACAACATCAGCAGCATCCTTCGGTGCCTCTGAATCCTTTTCGTGGCCCTCAAGAGGAGAACGAGGTAATGCCATTAAGCCAGTGCGGGCCGATTCAAGAATTCCGAATGGTGCAATTAGTTTCATGAATGCATCGATTCTGGCGGGTTTGGCAGATCTGTATGCAATGTGAGCGCATGCTTCTTTTGTTATAGGAAGGGGCATTCTTACACTTCCACTATGACATTGCTGGTACTAATATCTAGAACTTTGCCGCCAAATTGATGTGTGAGGTGAGTGACAGCGTCCAGATGCTCCATCTTATGTCTCAATGCCTGCGATGCTGGGAGTTTTGCTGGATGGAAATCACTTGCTTCGTCTTGCCGGACGCTACCAGCCGGCTGTTCAGATGTCATTTCTCGATGATGAGCACGAAGTTCTTCGACGTATTCGGGCCCGAGAATCGACACTTTGGCAAGAAGAAGCTCTCTTTGGACTGAAGCAAACTTATGAGCATGGCGAATCCAATAAGAACCGCAGTGGAACTGGGAAATTTTACAGACCTAAGGGTGAGGTTGTGTAATCTAGGACAGCCCAAACGGGGACTAGGTCTTCGAGCTGCCTTCTTGCCTGCTCAACAACTCCATCCTGACCACCTAGCACAATTGTCATTCGAGACAGGTCTTCAACTTCAGTATTGCAGACAACCAACGAGTCAATGTTGAAGCCGCGAGCAGCGAGAATTCCCGACACTCGTGATAGAACCCCGGGTTCGTTCTGGACCAAGCAATTGAGAATGTGGCGTTTGGGAGGTGCCACACTAGGAAGTGGTGTTTCGTAAAGAATAGACGAAACAGCGGTGGAAGCATCCCACGGTGCTGTTTCCGTGGTTGGCAATGGTGCTACCCTTCGGTGTAGGGCCTTATATGCAAGCGCTGAGGTTGACGATGATGAGCTGGAATAGCGTGTAGTTCCGAGGCGGCGGGGGATCGCAAGGAGAGAACCTCTCCGCAATGCTGATGTTCGTAACGCTATCGGAAGCATCTTCAGTTCTTTTTTGGTGTGTATATGTGCTTATGGGTGATAGGTTCGGATTCCTCTGCAATAAATGACTTAAGAGTCCATTTAAGTACTGAAGTGCTTGTGTGACTAATTATTCAAGTGCTAAATTATAAAGTGTTATCCGTTGATTTACGCATCGACAACTGTTTACGGTTTAGTTTAGATGCTTGCGCGCGGCGCTCAGCAGTGCTGAGGACCAGACGGCCCTCGACTAGGAACAGGCAATTTTTATCCTTTTGCGTTATCCGAACATCGGCCCTGCACACCAACAAGGTTTGGGTCCCATAACAAAACACGACGGTGACATATAGGTGATAACGAAGGCGGGCACCCTTGTTTTTCGGTGCCAAATTCGAGAAATAGTTTCTTTTACTTCTCATCACATAAATCACATACCCTTAAACCTTGGGTAATATATACTAGTATGGTATCTTCGGTGTATAAATTCGGCAAGGAAATTCCAGAAACAAGGTTGCTGTTCGTGCATTAAATAAGTACTTAGGTATGAACGTCATCGAACCCATATAGCGGAATAAAAATCCATACTGGTTACAGGCACAGGGTATTATTACAATCCAGGGGGTGGTTTAACCGCATTATAGTTCGAGCCCGGTGGTGGTGGTGGTAGGTTTGATTGGGTCCCCGGAGCGCCGGCGGAACCAGGCGCCTGGACAAGACCTTGCTGCTGCTGCTGCTGCTGCTGCGCGGCAGCGTAATATTGTGCATCTACAAAATATAAGCCGAAATTAGAAATTGAGTTTCCTGAAACCATTACTAGAATATAGGGAAAGACACTTACAATAGGCAGCATACGCTTGGTAGCCACCGTAAGCAGCATATGGGTCTGCTTGCCCATAAGCGGCGTACGGATTATATTGCTGCGCTTGTGCACTGTAGTCTGTTGTTGAAGGAGCGGTTACCGGGGTTGCGGCTGCAACTTGTGGAGAAGATGGATCCCCAGGAGGCGGAGGAGGGGGGGGTGGTGTGTCGCTGCTTGGGCCAGGCGGGGGCGGAGGCGGGGGCGACTATATAGGTTAGCTATAATACCTACAAGTTTGAAAGTAAACCACGCACCTGTTGCATATGGGATCCGTAGTTATGATGTTGTCCATAATGGTGTTGCTGGCCTTGGTGGTTATGATGATTGTGATGACCACCACCACCACCTCCGTGACCAGTCCCATAATTACCGTACCTAGGTGGGGTTGGATTTGCTTTATATTGTTCATATTGATCGGTGACACTTTTAACCAGATCCTCGCAAAGCTCTTTAGCATGCTGCACTTCTTTTGGATCAGGACCGCTGTGGGGTGTATAAAAGTATTAGTCATCCAGTCATCTATTACGGAGAACTTGGACCCATATCTTTTCCAGACTTACGTAACATGGAGATACATGGCCTCGTCGCTTTCTCGATTAGTTCCGTTTTCCATAAACCCTGAGCCACGGCCTTTGATCTGAACCCGGCAACGGGTTTCCTGTTGAATATGCTTTACATATGCGCCTTGATGGCCTACAACTGAGGCGCGAAGGTTAAAGCCGGGGATTGGTTCGAGATTTATCGGGACACGTTCTTCTGGCCATTTTCTCTGGTGGTTTGTTCAGCAAGTGTTTCCATAATCAAAGGATATGGCGCTGTAGAAAAACCTACTCGACCAAACTCGTCTCGTTCGACTTGCTCGACGGGTTCCCTTCTCCTGAACCTACGCTCGTCAACTAATGATCCGAGTTCTTGTTTCATAAGTTCCTCGATCTTGGCGACGGCTTTGTCCAAGCCTTCCTTAGTAGTGCTTGTAATGTGCAAGTATAGGGGAGGGTTCTGAACCATTTGTCAGCAATGTACGAGATTTTTAAGGCTCTAAAACGTGGGAAGGCGTGGCTTACTTGCGGAGTTGCCATAGCCTTGTCAGGGTAATAGGCTCCTCTTGTCGTGACATCTTTGCATATTTGGCATATGTGAGCTATATAATCTTCCCAATACTAACAAAAGTCGAAACAGAATGAGGAGGTGAGAGTTACCCGCGCCAGTTTCTTCCTTAATCTATACAAAAACCGGTTTAGGTTGTCAGCAGCGTCAACAAAGGGTTGCGGTGGGTAGCTCGGAACTGCCATTAGATAAAGTTCAGCTACAAAGTTCCCCTCAACCGTCCAAAGGTCCAAACAAGGGGCTCGGGTGTAGCACTAAGAATGCCTAGGGATTCTGAGTTATGGAAAAGGTGTGTTACCATCTTTTGGGTCGAGCCTTTAGTTAACGTGTATCTGTTGCGTAAATCGTTTACTTCAATATCTTTGATATAATCACCATCCTGGATATGGATTTCGGTGTTCATTCCAGCCGTTGGCGTCGAGGGCTTAGGTCCAATAGGAGACTGTGCGGCAGACTATCGCGGTTGTTAGCGGCGCTGCTAATGGAAAGCCAAGTGTAACAGAGGGTTTCCGCGATTCGGTAAGTACTTGCCTTGAACGAAGATGTATCAGTAGTGATACCTCGTTTAGCTTGGAGCTGGGCATTGATTCTAGCAGCAGCGGCAGCTACGAAAGATGTGAGTACAGTTTAAAGCAAAGGTACCGACGGCACATACCTGCAGCGGCCGCAGGATCAATTGCAGCCTTTGTGGGTTCTGTCGACTGTACTTTGGGTGATAACGCTGAAGCCCGAGAGGGACTTCTACTCCGACTTGGCCGAGAGCTTGCGGAATGACGGGGAGATCGCGACCTCCGGTTGGAAGCATCCCATCTTGATCTATGATTAGATCTTTCGCTCTCACGTTCGCGATCCCGGTCGTATTCGCGGTCCCTATCGCGGTCCCTATCGCGGTCCCTATCTCTCTCCCTATGGGAGCGGTCGTGTCGGTCACCACGCTCCTTTTCATCCCATTTACTCCTCTTCCTGCGATCGTCGTCCATGTTGATTACAATTACAGGAAATACAACCGAGGTGATTGATCGATTGACCGATTGATCGTTTATGAGACCAGGTCCAGGGAATTGCTCCTATCACGTGTGAGCGGCACCGCCGTGAAATTAGAATAGGGTGTGCAGGCAGGCCACGGTGGAACGAGTATAAGTCGGCGATTCTGAGGATTTCCGGGTGTTTTTAGGATGCTCACAAGGAGGCTTCACCAGCGATGAAGTCAGAGTTGGAGGGCTTTTGTGATCGCACGGTTATAACTGTCAGGATGAAGGACTGACTGACTGACTCCAAACAGAAAATATTGGTGTTCCGCCCTCAAGATATGTGTTGCGCAAACACCAATTCCAACACCTGCAACACATACTAACGACTAACTTAGCTTCGAGGACCAACCTACGCTGTTCTACACAAGTACTTAAGTAGGAAGTAGGTGTGTACTCTGCAAGTACCCAGTACTTACTAGATATACCGGAACCCTCGAAACACTCGGCATTTTTCGGTGTATTATCCACCGGGATTGAAAGAAAATGATAAGAGCTAGATAGCTAGGCGTTTTTAAATAATTACAAGGATTTTATCTATAAACAATTCTGAACATCAAATATCGATATCTCTTATCTCCCCAGTCCGACACATCAGATCAATAATTCAAACCCTTCGGTATGGTATATATTGCATCCCTAGGCACGGTAATCTGCAAATGGGACCAACGCCCTAAAGCTGTGGCCCGGAGCCAATCCTCCAAGCCAAACCCGATGGTGAGGTTATATGGGCGGTGTCCCCATGTGGTGTACTTATCAGTACCTTAGAGTTAGGCTTTTGACCAAGGATATCAATATTGGGCTTTTGATTCCGAGAATCGGGTATATAATTAGCTAATGCAAGGGAACTAGCCGGCTGTAGGGAAAGGGTGAAATAGGAAAACCTACAATGTTCGACATGTCCTCAATAGAGGATTCTGCGATTTGGGGCATAATGAGAAGGACTGGCGCATCCGGCCGAGGTGGTGTGGTTTGGAAATTACATGTGAGTTGCATCGGTGTGAAGGTTTTCATCCTGTGAACCGGCGTTCTACCAACCGAGTTATGTATTCGTTAGCGAATGCCTAAAACTAAGTGCTAACCCGAGCCGTCGGAGCTTGACTAAATAGCCGCGTCTTTTATTTGCTCGAGTACATGTACATGTGGTTGCAGGGGGTTCTACCTTGGGTGTAGTCCTTCTGACAGGGACTGGCTCCGGGACGATGATGCTCCACCTGAAAGGATGGATGGATAACGGGAAGCATTGGATTGATGGAGCTGGCGGATCTGTGGAGCGATCGCCCTCCAGGCAGTTGAAGCCAATTTTTTCGAAGAAGATATGCTGTGGCATGGTCAGATTCGATCCAAAGCACTCCTATGTTTCTCGATATAGGCATAGATTGCAGCTCATATGCATACCTCATTTTTATTGTTTAGTTTGCTTCTTTCTTTCTTTATTTCACCCAGTCAGATGCTACTAGCTTGGCCTCTAAGCTTTCCCCGTCGGAATTAAGGTGTATTTTGGCGAGGTCTTAAATTTATCCCGAGGTAGGTATAGGAATATCTTGAACAATAGGTTTAAGTCCGATTTACATACATGAAAGGATAAGAAGCGGTGAGAGAACTTTATAGTACGAATATGCGGCCGCTGGGTCTTTTTATAGCCAAACCTTTGTCCGAGTCACGCTGCTTGGGGAGTCCAATCGAAATCCACTCTCCGAGATATGCATGCACCTCGAGAATTATTAATTAGGTTGGCAGCTACAGAACTTACTTACATGTATGTACTTACACAGTACATCATGTACCATGTCCATAGCTTAGCATAGCCGATTTCAACATCACATCAGGAACCTTCCCTCGCTTATGACTTTGGCTAACACCGTGCCGCTTTCGGGGGGCGGTTGGGCCAATCAAACACTGCAACCGGCTACACACCAATTGAGAGAGAGGCCCCTGGTTTTTGTTGAGCTGGGCTAAGTAAGTTATCTCCATTGACCCCAGACTTTCGGGCGCGGTGGCCTCCGAGCCCAGCTTTGTGCTGAAGCTACTCCGTACAATTTCAGAATTTCAGGGGCAAGTTTATCGTCCTGCATACACATATCCGTAGTCAGTTAAGCTTTCTCCACTATTTTTCAAAGTGTTGCCGGAAGGGGAATAGCACTTACCTCTTATCCATATACTACTACGTATATGCATACATGTACCGGGGTACGGGGGGGCAGAAGTACGTAGTTAGTACGCAGATACATTTCTTGGGTTTGTTTATGATGTGGGAACGAATGTGGATGGCTTCAATAACCTTGGCTTGGCAGAGTCCTCCTGTTGCCTTTTGATTTCAAGTATCTTACCTTTTAATTTTGCTTCTGACCGTTTGGGCTTCCAATTAACTACTCGTTGAAAGACATTCTCAAGTACTTCGAATTCCTTGTTTATTCTTTCAGTCGTTCTCCTTCGTCTTCTTTCTCTCCTACTCTCCCTACATCAAGTCTCCCCCATCGACGATATCTTTAAATTTTGCATAAGCATAATATTAATACCCACTTAAGTACTTGTATATACCCTTTTTGTCTTGTTTTTTTATTTTTTATTTTTACCTTTATTTTTAGGCCCCGGTTGGCTACAGTCGCATTCATCGACTACATTACCTACTTACTTACCTCCTTCCAAGCACCAAACTGCACCAGACCACCCAAAAGCCTGACCCCTGGCTTCCACCAATTTCGACCGGTTTCCCGTGGTATGCGTCTCATCGTCATAACCTACTTTGCTGTCTGCATAAATCGGATAAACGCATTTGTTCCCTGGCGACCGAATACATCGGATTTTGATCCAAGCACATTACATTCTATCGAAGCGTCCTCCCATGCCGTCCGACGCCATAAGTTGAGGATAGCCCATGCTAGTGCAAAATTCGAAAGAAGGACCGGCACTGGAGACCTTAACGCAGCTTCGTTTTCTCCTCTCACCCGAAGAGAGGATAAGACTTCAGGACCAGTCGATCTGTATTCCGATCCCAATGATATATGTCCGTTCCCCTAACCCCGCCCTCGTTATCTCTTCGCCAATGCAATGTGTATCGAATGGTTTGGTCCAACTAGGTATATGTTTTCTGACATATTGAAATCATCTAGCGTACTGGGTCAATGTTGATGTCGGTTCTTCCGGGAAATCCTTTCGTCTAGTAGTAGACACAGGATCTGTAAGCTGTAAACCCAACTTGGCAGTATTCGTGATTTTGATTTACATGTAAATCTAACTCGAATATCTAGGCCGACACATGGATCCCCTCGGCCGAATGCAAATCCAAAAGCTGTCTCGCTCACCGCACGTTCGGCCCAGATGATAGTTCCACATTGCATGTAACGAGTGACAAGACGTTCGCCATAGCGTATGCCAGCGGTAATGTCGAGGGTTACATTGCGAAGGATACTTTGAAATTTGGTTCCGTCACTATTGATAAGATGGAGTTCGGATTAGCCAAAATGGTCTCCGATGACTTTACGAACTTTCCAGTAGATGGGATTCTCGGGTTAGGTTTTCCGTCTGCATCTATCTTGAAAGTACCCACATTTATCGAGAGCTTGGTATGTTTGTGAACATGATTCAGAAAACCCTTTATTGGGTGAGTTCCTATACTTACAATCACCTTTAGATATCCCACAATGTTATCTCCAAACACATTTTCGGGGCATATCTCCACCGAACGGCAGATAATAAAAACGGAGGAACGATCACATTTGGGGGGATTGATGCCTCCAGAATAGAGGGTGGCGTCGAAGCCTTGAAATATTACGATGTCAATACAACTACTTCCCTTTGGTCCATTCGAATGTCTGATGTCGTCCTTGATGGGCAAAATGCAAATTTTCAAGAGGGCCGTAACGTCATTATTGATACAGGTACGCCGACTCCTACTATGGGGTTAAATTCCCCCGAATAGTCCAGTCCCAATTTCTAACTGAGAGTCAATCCAGGAACTGCCTTGATATTAATCCCCCCAGAAGACGCACTCAAGCTCCACCAATTCATTCCCGGGACCAAGAGTAATGGTGAAACATTCTATATTCGTATGTAAATTTCCCTCCCTAGTCTGGTAGTCAGTCCAAAACTAGACCGACGGTTTAACGTTCTGACTGTTTGATAGCATGTAATACGGATATTTCTCTCCAGTTTCAGTTTGGAAATGATGCATATCAGATTTCAGGGAAAGATTATGTTGGGGATCCGATAGACGCGCAGAAAGAGCTTTGTCTAAGTTTAATTGTTGGCAGGGTATGCACAACTGGCGCTTCCTTCAGCACAGTTCCTTTGAATAAGAGCGCGCTAACCCGAAATTTTAGAGTGTCGTTCGCGATGGTGCATGGCTTATAGGCGATGTTTTCCTGCGAAATGTGTATAGTGTCTTCGATATGGAAAATGGGAAGATCGGCTTCGGTATTCCTGTGCCTGCCGTTAGGGCATCTTCTACAAGTATGGAGGCCTTCCCCTCATCGTCATCCGATGCCGTTTCTGATACAATCAAAACGGCATTATCCCCTGTTTCCACGTTCGCTACTCATGATAGTTCTACAGTATCTTCAGCTATAATGCCCACACCCACCTCCACCTCCACCTCCACCTCGGGTCAGGTCAATTTCATCAAACCCACCGGTTCAGGATTGCCCGACCAAATAGCAAATTCAACCTCATCACCCATTCGTACTACTACCACCCCTTCCCTCGCGTCTTCGAATTATTCTAAGGGATATCGTTTTTGGGCATTATTCGCAATCTCATTGTTCACACTGCATAACATCATAGCGATTACGATCTAAGATTCTAAACACCCCTTTCCAGGTTGTATTTGTTACATAATTTGTATATAACCATTAGACCTATAGGTCCCGTAAACTTGCGCATCAACCAAGGACTATTGTGGGTATCACTCTAATCATCTCTCGGAGATCCGATCTCTTTGGATAACTGTGATATCTTTAACAAACAATTTCCCGTCATTCTCGACAACTTCTTCGAATACAATAAACTCCGGGTTGCGATTCTGGGAGCGTGAAAGTTAGTCAGATTTCAGGCCAAAACTGTAATTGCTGAACGAAGTGAGGACTTACATATAAAACTGAGCTTGGGTGTATTCTGACCTCCTAGTACTCCTCGTAGCCCAATATTAGCACATATCCTACTTTCAACGCCTAGGCGCCTTCATCGTCGGACATACATACCAGATGTCCTATCGTAGTTCTGAAAAGGCCGTTCGAAACTCGGAAAGCGGAGTTATGTTTATAAACATCCGCAATGCACTGCGTGATTGTTGTTGATGTCGCAAGTTCACTCTTGGCCGTCTTAATCCCTCTATGTTGCAGGATTCGGAGTAGCTGGTTTCTGATATCAACTGCCTTAAGCAGTCGCTGCTCGCTAAGCCCGTGCTTTTGACACCAATTCCCTCTCGCGGGCGCAGACCCAGATTTGATGAAGCCCTCGTATATATTTAACCACGTAATATCATCGCCTTCCTGGGTAACGAACAGTCGGCTTTTTTCATGGTCAAAGAACTCCCCCTTTGATAAGCGCACCGCGATCAGAGATATTATTTGGTCAAAACAGCCCCTTTCAAGTGACCTCAACAGCATAGCCCCATGAAGTAGCTTCAAAGGAAGTTGTGCCAACCGCTCTCCAAAGGGGTTTGTCAACTCTGCACTTTCATTCATAGCACCAATTGCGACGAGCCTATCCAAGGCCTCAGCTACCATCGAAGTCAAAGGGGGGGACAAGTAGTCGAAACGCAGGATATTATCGACCCCGAGAGACTTTAGTTGGAGAATCGAGCGATCCAAACAGGTTCTCTGAATCTCTGGTGTCTCTGTCTTCTGAAAGTTATCAAATTGGTCCTGGGGATATAACCTATAGCACTTTCCTGGGGTAGAAAGACCCGCAATTCGGGTTCTCTGGTTTGCAGTTTCCTGGCTGATCTGTTGAGTCCTAGCTAGGGTCGCAAGACCATAGCGACTATACCTCAGCTCCTGGAACCCAGAATCGACGACGATAGCCACCGGCATATAGCGGGCAACCAATCCCGCCCGAAGGGATGTAATAATGACATAACTTGTGCTTTCGGTACCTTTAACATCGCTCTCAAACCTTTCAAGTTCGGGTAGAGAGTTAATCAATCGCAAATTCGGGGGTCCGCTGGAGGACCACGAGGAGTCTTCAAGTCGCCTTTTTAACTCATACCCTTCTCTACTTGGCAAAAATACCACGGTATTGCCTGGATCATGAGTTGCAAAGAGACTTAAAACGGTCTCTAGTGCGGCTGTAATGTAATTGTCAGTGCTGACGGGGATACTGTGTAAGTCTACAGTGTAAGTCGAGGTATTTAGGGATAGAATTTTCGCATCTGGCAGGTATATTGACAAAGCATCGAGAGATTCCTGGGTTGCCCCAGCTATGAGGATATGAATATCATCTCTCTTTTTCAGAATTTTTTTCAATAGCCCGAGAATTAGATCCCTACCCGCAAAATTTGGAAAATTAGAATTTACCCTCGAGGTGGTCCATTTAGGGTAACTCAACGTTTCGAGGGTCCGTAAATGATACTCGGCGATGATGACGACTGAATAGCGGCTTAGGAGAGGATCTGCGAGTGCTTCCTGAATTAGAAGGCATGCACTTGTGTGTAGGATTTTGGTTTTCGGAAGTGACGAGGTTTCAAATAGGACAGAGTACGCTGCATAAAGGGTGCATTTGATCGTCAGCATCATCGAAACTAGGCCGCAAAACCATGGGTTTCTTTCTTTTGGGCAGATTCCCTACATACATGTTACTGAATCTGCGGATTGGACACTGGACTTTGTCTATACAAGTTAGCGTCTATGTAAGTAGAGACAAATAAGAATGCATTGGTAGAATATTGGATGGAATGGGGATCTAGCACCTCAGCAGCCTGTCTTGCAGCCGTGTCATTTGCCTGTTCAGAGTAAGTAGATATTAGAATTTGTCGGTGTGCCGGTATCTCGGATGTATGAGCACATGTTGTATCTATGGGATGATTCTTACATGAACAAAGCATATCAAACCCCCAGAAACTCCCCACCCAGCATTCAGTAGATAGTTGGACAGCGTTTCCGTTGACCCGTGAGTAGTGTTAACCCATATTGTCACTCTCTGGTCATCAACAGCCTTCTGTACGAGTTTGTCCATCTTCAAATTTAAAGGTACGACGTTGCCGCTTTGTTGGGAATTGTTGTTTTATGAGACAGTTGTGTGTTGGAAGGGATCTGATGGTCGTCGTGGATCAATTTTCTCACGGCGGTCTTGTAACCAATTCTCGATTGTCTAAACACGAATTGAACGAGTTTCTTAGTTGGTATTTACTATAGTTATAACGACACAAAGAATGTGATTATAAGGGGCCGCAAACACGCCCATGATCTGATATCCCCAAAGCCGATGCTGAGTTCCACCCAGTATACGTACCCACCAATGCCTATATTGCCCATTACCTAGGTACTTAAGTAGGTATTTGCTTTATATCAAATAGAAGCACGCTAGCAGAGATCATACAAATCTACAACAGCTGCGATTGGCCAGCCGGTTTAGACACTCTAGGTTCCTATTGATGGAATTTCCGGCCTAGATGATCTTACACTTTCAAGGCCATTTAGATAAAAGTTATTTACGTGAAGCTTATCGTCTTGGAGACACGACGCCAGCGGAGAACCCCATTTCACTGATGCCTGTCATCGTCCTTGAAGCAGACTGCATCGTATTGGATCTCTGGTGTTCGCCTGGGATGAACTGCACGCCAGGCGCGAGAAACGGAACAGTAGCCTGTGCTGCCGGCCCGAGCACCGCGGAGAGAGGGGTACTAGGCACTGCCGAAAACGGTGCTGGGCTAAGGGGTTGGAAGTGAACCGGGACATTGTTAGGAAACGAAGCCGGGGGTGTTGTCATCGTAGAACTTGCTGGGACAGGATGCGAAGGGTCGTTCAGGCTCCTGAAACTAGAATTATGCAAAAGAACCGTCACCTCTTTGGTTAATCTAGCAACCGGGGAAAACCCCCCCAGAGCTTGTTTCGGAAACCCGAACTCAGACGACCCTGCCTTCAATAATTCCCCAATTGACATGACCGACTGAAATTCCGGAAGGTTAACTTTCGGACCAAAACGGATTTTTTTTTTTTATGAAAAAAAAAGGGGTCGAGGGGCTTACGGTTACAAATCGTGTGATATCTTCAAAGAATCGCCTTCTCTCTACCCAATCTGCATCTCGAATCAAATCAAGGCGAGCCTTAAGGCGTTTCGCCACGTCGGAGCCATTGTTACAAATCTTGTCCAACTCGCGGAGCTTTTGCAATGTCGACTGCTGGACATTTTGCTGAGAGGCTGTTTTTTTTATGGCATCCGATAAAACAACGATAAGTTGCATTGTTGCTGCAACTGTGGTTCCGAGCCTATCAAATAGGATTTCGTCGGGATTCTCCAACGGGTTCTCAAGAACTGTTCCAGGCGTTGGGGGTAAGAAACCTGCTTCTTGTACAGTTCTCTGATTCGTTACAATATTCGATACTCCCAAGGGAGAGGGGAAGGGTAGTTTGATTCTATTGACCATAATGACGTTTCCAGAGCGAGTGTTATTTGGGGGCATGATGTACTTTCGAAGGACGGTCCAAGCCTGTTGTAACTCCACCAGAGATCCAAAAATCGCGAGAAGGATTGTGCGAGTATACCGTGATTCTATATGGTTCGCTGCGCCGTGTATTACTTGTTGTAATTGGTTGAGGACGTGTTTGAAAGAGAGAATGGTAGTGTGGGAGGTGTTCAGTAAACCATCTAGGGAAAGTTGGCCATCTCTTGCCTCGCAAAGTTCAAGTGACTGGATCAGAGAGCTAATATTGAGATTTGCAGCCGGAAGGACACGGTCGATACCTGTTGTTTGCAACCGATTGCGTTCTTTGAGGAGGCCAACATATGAATCTATTGCGGGCAGGACTTTGTATATCGAATATAAGATGCTCCTAGCCGTTTCCAGTATTGTGGAGCTGATAGCCACATCTACGCCTCCATACTGCTTTAATGTTCCTTGGATACGGCGGAAGTAGGGCCCAGCTGAACGTGTGTCATTGCGGGGTGTAGCCCCGGAGAACGAAGACGCGGCGTCCCCGTTGTTCGGGACATTGCTAGCTCTCTGGGCAGCTTCGTTCATGCTAGAATCGTAAGAGATCCCGCGAACGTGATGTTTTATAGTCCTGACTTCATCGACTGTTCCAAGTATGTTCTTTTGGCCGATGTAACCCATTCGTTTCGTTGCCCTGTTCGCAGGCCCGCTTTCGCTATTGCTCCTTGACCGTTCTGTGGCCTGCCCTGAGATAGGCAAGGCAGGTGCTGTTAAGGACCCGGAAGGTTGGGGGGCACCCCCAGCAAATTTACGCTGAAGATTTTTGAATGGTATCGCTGGCGCACTGTCCAGGTCATCGGGAGCCGACGTTTCTATTCGCAATCGAGAGGATTCTTCGGCCCATGTTGATGTAGGTTCCCTACCAACTTGTTTATTGGTCAAAGTTGCGAGTTTCCCAATGTTGGAATAATCTGTATCGTTGTCTCCATCACTGTAGTAAAATCATGAGCATGGCTGGACCAAGAAGGAGGAACAACTAGTTTGTGTAATTAAGGCTTGCCTAGAATTTGAGTCCTCGGTTTCATTTGAAGCAGATTGCCTCTCCATATTTTGCCTGAGATGAGCCTTGAGCTTCTCAAGCCAGCCTTCCTTATCTGCATACCCATCGTCCTCAAGCTCATACAATTCCTGTGGTAGATCTATAAGAGGATTGCGATCAATCCTAAGAATTTTCAATTCATTCATCTGACAAATATAGTTGGGTAGGGTGCGCAATTTATTTTTGGAGAAACACAGCACTTTAAGTCTGATCAAATGACCGAAGTCCGCTGGCAGTTCTTTAATCCTGTTCCGACTGATGTCGAGAATTTCAAGCGATGCCATTTTACAGAGCTATAGAAGTATCAGTTAGTTAGAAATTTGGCGCTTTTCTTAGCACAAATCCTAATTTAAGGGCTACTTAGGTGACTTACGATGACAGGGAAATCTCTAAAGAAATTAGACCTAACATTGAGGTATCTTAGCCGGGAGCAAAGCCCAAATTCTGGATCGAAAGATGATAATTGATTGTGGCCCAATGCTAGTCTGAAGTATCGATATGTTAGCATATCAAACAAGAAGCGCTAGAAAGATCGATAGCATTGATCTTAGGGTTTCCAACCTCTCGACATCATCCTTCACTATGGCTACAACCTCACTAGGGATGGACCCTATTTTCCGGGAGCTCAGATCCAAAGACAGCCCCGCACTACCATCCTTCCGCTCGGATGAGGCTTGCTGTAACGCAGATTCCACAAGAGCCACGCATACGCTGGTTGTAATGGGCGCGCCCAGCTTTGCCTTGCGGTTCTCCATCCCTCAAGCTGGCAGTATTGCGAGGTGACCTCAAATTCAGGGTTTTTGGGAGATTATGGTGAACAGGAACTGTAGGTTGAGGAACGGAGCAGTTAAATTTTGTGCTTGACTGGGGGTTAGTCTCGCATTGCAGACTGAGATATGGATTTGGGAATAGGTACAAGACTAAGAGAAAGAGATCAGTAAATCGATTCTAGTAGGCACGTAGGAAACCTCAAATCCGAGCTGGTTTAGGCCGGGATGTATGAACCAGAGGAAGTATCCAACCAGGCACCTACAGGACCAGGGTTGGTATTCTAATCGAGGAAAGAGCTTAAGAGTAAATCGAATCGAATCGTGACAACCGTAACCGTGCCGTTGATAACGTTATTCCGATTGATGGGATCCGGTAAGCACCTAGGGGCAGACTTAGGTAAGCTTAGGTCAGAACTTAAATATATATAATGTGAAACCAGGTACCACCGTAGGGTATAAACACGCTTCGAGGTTCAAGCATCGGTAACTGATCTCAATTATTAAGTTGGCTAATAGGTAAGTTTCAACACTCACCAAAGCACCTACGTCTCCCGCAGGACAGGTATCAATTGGGGCCGAGGCCGAGGCCTGCTGTAGCTCTGTACCCTTTTTGTCCATGCGACGTCCGGATTCAGCCCCTTTTGTCTTGGTTGGAATTTACAACAATTCGCAACACATATAATCCGACAGTACGATCAATTAAGCCACGATTGGGTCGACGATACTGCATGCAATTTTGCCGCGATGTCCCTGGGTTTGGGCAATTTGAAGAAAATACCGATATCAATCTTTCATCACCAAATCGACCTGATGAAGGTGCTATTTATCTTAGGGTATCTGTGCCTAGGATCTTGGGCGCAGGGCACTTCTTCAATTCGATCTCGCATTTCAGTTACATTGACGGCGGCCGGCGCATTGGGAACTTTCAATCCTCCTTCAGACTGTTCTAAGTTTTCGGCCTACTCGACACAAACTTTAGGTGGGAACACCGGGTCGTAGCATTCTAAGTTATTTATTTGGCATAACTCTCTTTACTAAGCCTCCAGAAATGTGTGTGTAGTCTTTGGGGACGGGAACACGCGATCCTTTACGATAACGTCATTCAGGCAGGGCTGCCAGTACGGTGGCCCCCATACGACGTGTTGCCCGCCAGACTACGAACTTGGTCAATACAATTCCCCAGGAGTGTGCCCCGGTGGGTACACTACGCTCGGGGATATAGAATTTGTTGCCGTGAGGAGAAGCACTGAAGGCTTTTGGATAACGTACCCAGCAATTGGAACCACAACAGGGAAATTATGCTGCCCGAGGTCAGTCAGAGCAGCTTTGCGATCCTCCTAACTGAAATTGGCCGAGTCCCTGTTTTAATCGGCGGATAGTGCTGCCAGTTCTATAAAGTATAAGGCCGATGGCCCCGTCCCACTCTGTCTAGCGACTTCGAAAGGCCCTACAATAACCGAGGAAAAGAGTGTCATAAACCATGAGTCGGTGTATTTCGGCAGCGCCGTTATTGTGATACCCCCAGGCGCAACAGACCCACCGCTTTCTACAATAGGAGGAGGGGAAGGCACAGAAAGCCCAACCCCTCGCCAAGCATCACCACCAACAATAGAACATAGCTCTTTTGAACCACCCAGCCAATCGGGCACTATGGCGGCCCCGAGCACGAGCTCTGGCCTGCAACCCCAGGAACAAGGTTCACAGGAAAGTCAGCCCTCCGGTCTATCTGGGGGTGCTATTGCTGGGATCGCTGTTGGAGTATCTGTGCCACTTATTCTTGTCGGACTATACCTTGCGTACCGTTTTGGGAGGCGAATGAACCGGCCACCAAAACAGCATAAAGGCCAAGGGGTTGAAGTTACCGCGCAAGAATACTCTGATAACGGTAGGGAAGGAGGTGTCCTTTTTTCACCTGAAATAGGCGGGATTCGGTCTAATGGCGAATAATTGGTATTCGAAAGCTGCTATTTGTCAAGGGAATTATCTCTCGTATGCACAGTAGTGTTTGGCAAGTAGATCAAACTCTTCAATCAAACTAAATAAATAATAAGTAAATAAATAAAATAAAAATAAAATAGTAATGATGATAGATAATAATGTATAATAGTAATAATAATAATACGGAAACAGGTGCGTCTACACAGTATATATGTAGCCAGCCCATCGGTCTCAAATGTCTAGGGTAGGGCTTTTGTGTAACGATTCGAGGTTTAACGCAACGACAGCTTTTTTGTTTTCGTTTCCCAGCCTGGCCCGCCGCAGCTACATCTTATTAATCATAGAAACATACGCCATATCATCCGAGTCCAGGTATCACTGACGTCATACTACACACAAAAGCCATACGACTGCCGGTCGCTCTGTGAGGAATCGGATGGAGATATTTTGACGCGAAGGTTCATCTGGGAAATCCAGGTGGGACATCTGATCTTTAGTGAAGATTTTCGGAAATGCCGATTGGAAACCGTACAGCGGAACCTATATTACCCCATCGATATTTCTTCAGGTTGGTTGACGACCAGGGCGTTACATTCGCCTAGCCATCCTTCGGCTATTGGCGAGATAGTAGAATCCAAGTGTAAATGGTCGTGGGTGATTTAAATCCCGGGCCGAGCTTCCATCCGTCATACTAAGGTTCCTCGTCATCCGTAACATCTACGTCCTCTAACTCACTTCCGAGTTCCTCCTCAGCAAGGTTTCGAGAAGAAGTCCGTTGGCTTATATTCAACCCAGCATCGGAGTCATCTGAATCGGATTCACTAGTGACATCGCTCCCGTCGCTATGCTGTTCGTAGTCGTCATCCTCTTCGTCGTCGCTGTCGTTTTGATCAATCCCTGCAATTTCATTCTCGGCGGCTTGGAGCTCGCTTTTCGCGCCCGTGTTTTCTTTTATTAATGAAGATGGTATCTTCGCGCGCTTTGTTTCTGCCATACTGGCGTCCTTGAGCTGATTCCTCCGAAGGAAATCGTCGATAGCAGGATGTTCCACTTGATCAATCATAGAGAACTCTATCTCCTTACTGCTAAATTCGGCAGTTGTTTTGATTGTAAGACTAAAAGTACGCTGGGTTATACTTGAATAACTGCTTGACTCAATTGAATCGAAAGCGAAACAAAATAGTGGCTTTTTGAACCCCCATATAATTGCGTCCTCCAAAAAGAAGAGAAAGCCTTAGCAATGTTAGTGGGGGAGGATGACATTCGCTCGAAAGGGGTTTGTACCTTCTTTGGTTCCGAGGTGAGATTTAACATGGTATGAATTTTCATTCTTGCGATATGAGTTCACCGTAAGGGATCGGAAGACTTCCGGAGAGGGCTGCATGACATTCATGGGAAGGATGCGGTTTAAGTTGTCTATTATAGTCTGTTTTATGCCAGTACTTTCACCTGATGTTTCGCCCTTCGGTGGGGTATCGGTTACTGTGAAGAGTAACGGGTCCGTGGCAGTATCGGTTATTCCATGGCTGTTCTTCGCGAACACGGCGAAGTTCCATTGTCTAAGAAAGGAACGACATTAACTAAATCAGAATCATTCTACTGGGTTTAGAAGGCGACAAAACGGGGCAAACTTACCTCGCGGCTTTTTCTGGAACGGGGACACACGCAACGTAATCTACAACAAAAATCAGTCGTTGGAGGTTGAATTGAGATGTAGTCACATTAAGACTACTTACCAATTTCGTTTAGATGTACACCGAACTCAACAGATTCATTTGGACCGAAAGCTCCAAGAGCAGTGGCAGTTAACACCAATGCGAATTTCTTTCGTTGCGGAATTGAGAAGGATATGTCCGGTATGCGGAGCAAAGCTGGCTGGGAGCCCAATTCGGCAAGCAAGGTCGATTTGCTAAAGACCTCAATCTGTGAACCGGTGTTGTTTTCAAGCTTCCGACGTTTGATAGATGGGCCATCTCTGTCTTCGATGCTAGCTTGCTGGATTTTGATGATATAACGGGATATCTGGTGGAACAAATCAAGATATTGGGGATTCTTGGCTACAATTGTCATGTTAGCACCCCGGTTACATTGGGTATAAGGGATGTTTTATAAGAATTGGTATCTTGGTCATGGGCGTGCTTATGGGGGTATATGGAGTCTACGTACAAACGTGTTCCAGTATCTCCTGGCGTAGTAGAGGGGCATCGGAGAACGCCTCTTCGAGGGCGGATGTGGGTACCGACATTATGTAAAGTATAAGTCCAAGCCGGTGATATAGTTATGGAGATTGGGACTGGAATCGATTATAGGAAAGTGCCCAAGTGTAGTAAGTAAGTGAGTATCTCCTAGGTACTTAGTATGTCGGTACCTAACTATTACTTAAGTCAGCAAGTAAAACTTTTGAGTAAATAAGCTCGAGGGCTGCTGTACTTGAAAGATAAGTACTCGGTATTTATCTAGTGCTAGGTACCTACCTCTTACTTGATGACTTGGGAAGTATGTATGAGGTAAAGAATAAGTGGGTACCAACCTAGGTAATATGCGTGTGCGTGTGCGTGTGCGTGGCTGAGAAGAGAAGAGTGAATAGGTGAATGGTGAATGAGTGAAAGAGAGTGTTGTTGTTTCTTCACGCCCAACCAAGCCAGCCACTTCCCTTACATAAGTAAGTACCTAGGTAAGTAAGTAAGTACCTTCCCAGCCGCATCAGTTCCAGCTCCAGCTACAGTTCCAGTTCCAGTTCCAGTTCCAGTTCCAGTTCCAGTTCCAGTTCCAGTTCCAGTTCCAGTTCCAGTTCCAGTTCCAGTTCCATCCTACTCCCGCTCCTGCTCCTGCTCCTACTCCTACTCCTGCTCCTACTCCTACTCCTGCTCCTACCGCCATCACCACCACCACCACCACCACCACCACCACCACCACCACCATCATCATCATCATCATCACCATCACCATCATCATCACCATCATCACCACCACTACCACCACCACCACTACCACAATCACAATAAAATCACAACCACCACCGCATCACCACAATCATCATCAATCAATCTACAGGAATCATCCCAACGAGACGATAAGCAAGCTTCAGGTTCATAATATAAAATCTCAACCTCGCACGCATTAACGCTCATACACTCATCCATCTTTATTTACTTACTTACCTTACTTCCTTCCCTACTTTCTTACTAACCACCACTTCACTCTTATTACTACCCCAAAAACAAACAAAAAAACGTCAAGGTTAGTTTACATATAGGTGTATTAGCAATATACCACCATATCGTTTGGCCATACGTTCCCATCAAATACCGCCTTGTCTTGCCTTGCCTTGCCTTAACTTCGTGTGTTTCCTCATATCTCTCTGTCTCTACCTGTGTCTCCAGTCCCGGTCTCTCCTTGTGCCTTATCTGCCTATTTATTTGGGTAAGTGAGTGATTGTTCTGGTCGAGAAGTCAGTAAGTAGCACTTTGCGCATGCTGCCTCTCCCGTTGCCAACATCGTCGTCATCGCCTCTAAGCGTGCTTTCCCATACAAACTGGCAGGAACAAAAAAAAAAAGAAAGAAAGAAAGAAAGAAACTGGAAAGGACAGGGCAGAAAGGCTTCTTATTTGCCTCTTTCATTCATCAATTACTTCATGGAACTTTAGCCCTTCTCATTCTCGCTCCTTTCACGCGCTGCTATCCGTCATTATCATTTTGGCCCGGGATTTCGTTTTCATTTTCATTTTCACACGCCTCAGCATCTGCCTTTTTCTGCCTTAGCTGAACTGAACCCCCTAGCTTTCTTCTCCCTCTTCTTCTTCTCCCTCTTCTCCCTCTTCCCTCCACTCTCTTCCCCTCCCCCTTCCCCTTCCCTCTTCAACTTCACTTCTTACCTGTCTTGCCTTGCCATACTTCCTCATCGTCTGCCTTCTCGCTGGTTATTCCAAAAAAAAACTCGCCTTAGCAAACGCCTACGACCTTTCCGCTCGAACCCCTTACAAACAAACCATCACCATCGGCATCACTATTGTTGTGGTTTCATATCCTCCCAAAACGTAGTCACATTTCCCCAATCATCCTCCCGACCCTGCTTCGTTTCATTCCCTCTTTCTATCCTCTAGCCTACTCTTTTCAACAGAGGACTGGAAAGCAGCCCGGGAACAAAAATAATAATAATAATAATAAATAAACTAAAAAAAGGGAGAAAAAAAAAAGACAGAAAGATAAAAGTGTTCCAGGGCTCCGTTCACATTCCCTAAACAATTCTATATATTCTCTTGCCATATTCCTCTCCCTCCTATACCCTAGTCCCTACAAACCGTCTACCTACATCCGATACTGCACTGTCCTCTTTTGACCATTTCCTCCACTCCCACTTTTCCCTACAACCCCCGACCCAAATAACTGACACACGCGACTAACCCATTCAAATTTGAACCTATCTTTCTAGATGGCTGATATTCGACGAAAGCTTGTTATTGTCGGCGACGGCGCGTGTGGCAAAACATGTCTTTTGATGTGAGCACCCGATCCTTCCGAATACTTCTCCCTCCCCTAACGTGTCGGGCCTGTTGACTGACTCGGTCGTTTTCCGTAGCGTCTTTTCTAAGGGAACCTTCCCCGAGGTATGAGAGTGAACCCAATGCGATAAACTAGCCTTAGTCTGACAACATCACAGGTCTACGTTCCTACGGTATTCGAAAACTACGTTGCCGATGTTGAAGTTGACGGAAAACATGTTGAACTCGCTCTTTGGGATACAGCTGGGCAGGAAGATTATGATAGACTTCGACCACTCTCCTATCCAGATTCACACGTGATCTTGATTTGCTTCGCTATCGACTCACCTGACTCTCTTGACAATGTTCAAGAAAAGGTTAGCTATTGCGGCATCGCTAAATTGAATAATATATTGCTAACACCTTTTAGTGGATCTCTGAAGTACTGCACTTCTGCCAAGGCCTCCCGATCATTTTGGTTGGATGCAAAAAAGATCTAAGGTTCGATTCTAAGACCCTTGAAGAACTTCGAAAGACATCGCAGAAACCGGTCACCCCAGAAGAGGTAAGAATAAGATGCATTCTATATTTAAGATGTACCGCTAATTAAATGGTGGTTGTGACAGGGGGATGACGTCCGTAAGAAGATCGGGGCTTTCAAGTACTTGGAATGTTCTGCCAAGACAAACGAAGGTGTCCGTGAAGTCTTCGAGCACGCTACCCGCGCTGCCCTCCTCACTTCGAGGAAAAAGAAGGGCAAGACCTGCAGCATCTTGTAAACAACCAAACCAAGGGCACATAGACATCGTTGTTGCAGACAAGCGATTGAACCAAGGATAGGAATGTGAACTTTCTCCTTCCATCTCAAGACAACAAGTTTGCGCCTTGAGCGTCAAATCTATCATGTCGCTTACGATGAACCTAGCACGTGGGGCTTTTGGGGCCTTTTTTTTTTTTTAAACCTCTTCTTCTGGGGCGACTGTAATACTACTGTTGTGCACCACCATCTAGTCACTAGGGGCGAACCACCTGTACTTTGGAAATACCGGATAGCTTCTTTGACGCTGAACACTCCCTTTTTGGGCCTGTACTTTAGAATCCCCTCCTGTCTCAGGCCGCCCCGCAATTTCCGTTCGGCTTAATCACTGTCATAGATTGTAATGTTCTTTTTTCTGAAGATTCCTAATTGCTTTGCTTTTACCGTAGTTTTCCTTTTTCTTTCGTTCTCCAGTTTCTTCGCTCTCGATTCAGCCTTTTAGTCGCTAGCATGTCAGTTATCCAGTTCTAGCGCAATTGCCTGTCATATCCTTCCCGAGTACAATCAAATGAAAACACCGCCCTACACTCCCTTTTTTTTCTTTCGAAAGTCCAAGGGCTAGCGTTTAGACTGGGACTTGCTCTTCCCTTATAAGAAAAATCGTGCTGTAGGCTATCCCAAGTGATGGACCTGTTTCCGGGCCACCCACATCATCCTAAATTGGGCCAATATATTTGTATCACTGTATATATTTCCAACTTGAGTACAAAAAAATCATCCTGCCAGCAGCTTGAAGGCGGGCATATCGTTTACGTTATCTCAATGAATTATTTGCTAAGCAGGCCAGGCTCCTATAATCAAGCCCCCTTATTATCCCCGCCTCTCTGCCTTGAAAGCTTCTATTCTATTCCTCAACTCAACATCTTAAAACAGAATTAGCTTAACACGATGAGACATCGCTATGCTAAGAACAACTTACTAGGTATTACTTGATCGAGCGTAAGAGGCGAGCGGTTGAAAGGATCGGTAGGGTCACTGAGAAGATGTGCCTTGATAGTTGAAAGGTCGATGCTAGTTTTCGAGGTGGGGAGTATGACAGGATTCTCCATAAGTGTAAATAATAAAGGATCTAGAGGTTGTATTAGTGATGCTCCAGCTAAGGACTACTACGGCGGCATACCTAAAAATTCATCGGGTACTTCTCCTAATTCTTCTTCTCCTTTCTCATCAGCTCTTTTGGCTTCTTGGACCGCTTCTGCCATCTTCTTAAGCACCAAAAGCTCTTCAGGGGACTTTAATCCATATCTAGCAAGAATGCCGTAAGCTCTTGAGAATAAATCTGAGCTATACGAACGTCCGTCCATCGCAATTGCCCTCACAAATTCAGAACGGGTCCCTAGGTTTAAATATACATCGATCACCTCAGAGAGGAGAGCTCTAGGGTCGAATCTATATTTTTTGGGGTCTTTGACGCGCAAGTTGGAGCATTTCGGCCCAACCAACGCCACAAGATTATAATCCAGCATTCCAGCTAGACGATGTACTAACTCGGCTGATACAAAGGCATCGGGAATAGCGGCAGTGAACCTTTTGACCATTAGTACCGTCTCATTAGCAAGGCTCACATACGTAGTGGCATGGTGCTCATTCGAGGATAGTAGCCTCTCTTGTTCCGCCCTAGCCCTGGCGTCGCTAGAATCCTTTTCAAGTTCGTCTTGTAAACGGTGGATCTCTGTGAGTTTAGAAAGAGATTCATCTAAGAGAAACGTAACATCATTCAAAAGGAGTGCAACAAATCTGACGAAAAAATCAGGGTTGATGCTGAGGTTTTATTAGATTATATTCTGCAACCGAAGTTTTCAAAGTCAAGAGCAAAACGTACCGACTTTCTTGTCCGAGTTTCTCCCGATAGGTCGGATTTCGCCAAATTGATTTGACGACCTGAGAGATATTGTAACGAATATTAAACTTGTCATAAAACTGGGTATGCGCTCCAGTTTGTTCAACCTCTAGGTTAATGTTAGCTGATGGGAAATCGATAGTCGAGCCGAAGGATCTTACCGATGTAAAAGGACATCAAAGAGTGCATGAGGTTATCTAGCGCAAATTCATGACCGTTCAAAAGATCACCCAGAACCCCTCGATCGCCACTACCAGGGCGAATGGGGAGAATACCGAGATACAGGGATTCGACCAACTTGGCCTTCAAGTATGGGTTTTTAACATAACTTGACATCCGAAGCAGAGTAATAGCCAAAACCATTACACCATCGCTTTGTTGTGTAGTAACCCTCGATGGATACGATCTAAATATCATAATTACTATAACGAACCAAAACCGACTCCTGGATATGCAAAGCACTTACCGCACAACGTGACAAAACACCGCGGCAATATCGTCAATCATATACTCTGGCAAGTTCGAGAACTCGGGGATAGCACTTGCAGGAAGCGGAAGTTTAAATCCTTTTTGGGGGTACCCCATTTCCGGTGAAATAAGTCGAAGGAGCCACACCGTTAGATAATTCATAAAAGATAAGGCTTGGAGCTGTGAGCTTTCGTCAGCCAGGAGCCCCTCGAGGGCAGCTTGGTATGAATAGCCTTTTTGGAGCCTTTCTTTGAGCAGCTTTAGGCTAGCATCAAGTTGCGCAAGTTGAGGCGACTAAGAGTACAGTGAGTAACTATCATACCACACTATCCGGCCAAGAAAGACAGAAAAAAGAGGAAGAAGAGATAAATATTCCTTACGTTAAGAAAACGTTCCCGCTCTTGTTCGAGCCTCTCAAGATTCTTCTCCATATCTGATAAATGATGTGACAAGTTGACAGCGTTGTTGATGCAAGCAATATATCCCACGTGATGCGCGGCCACATTTAAGAAAAAAACCTCCGAGTTAAAATTCGGTTTCCCTTCAATTGTGCTTTCGTAAAATGTATCGGAGGTAGCCTGATCGGCATATATCTTTGTCTCATGCTTGATATCAACCCTGGGGTATTGTCTAAAGTATCGCGCGTCGATTTTGTCGACCTTGGAATAAGTAGCATCCATAAACGGATCACACAGCTTGTTTAGAACCGCAGTGACATTGAGTAAGAACCCATCTGATGAAACTGTGTTTTCTTGAACTTGGAGGGCTCGTCTTTTCGAGTTCGAGTTGACCACAGTGGCAAAAAAATCCAATACCCTGCCTCGCGCTGTTGGGGACGCCCTGACAAGGTAATTGATGATAACTAACAGTTGGTCCTGGTAAGTTTTGATAGATATCCGGAGAGAACTACTAGCTAGATTTAGTGCAGCGGGAGCTTGTGTTTTAGGGCTAGGATAGTACGTCTCGACAACGCGTCCTTGAAGGGGCGAGATTCTAAAGTAGGGTCCGAGGAGCGTCTCAACTTCCAAATCAGGTGGGCGTAGGCTAGAAGGTAAGAAGCTAGGGCTAGTTGCGAAAAGGATAGCCATAGACTTAATTGTGACGAGGCGATAAAGCGCATTCGTATATATTTGATAGTCGTCTACTAGTTCCAGGTGTTTCAATCCAGAGCTCATATCATTAAAGGCTTTAAGAAATACTCCTTCGAGGTTGGGGTTTCCAGCGAAGGTTTCGGCCAAATCATTAATTAGTTCGGATGGGATGGCAGGTTCCCCGTCGGAAACTTTTAGCAGTCCCTCCGCGAGATTGAAGGGACGAGAGGATGTGCTTGAAACAAGGGTAGGATAGTAAGTTAGTCTATTCCAATTTCTGCAGAGGATCTCGGGGGGGGGGATGAAATCGCAAGCACTTACTCGAAAATATCCGGTTCGACAAGAGCATGGCCACAGAAATCGACACAGATTCTTCGGAGTTCGGCGACAAATTTTGTTTGATAAGCTACATCCAATCGGGGATTCGGTGGTCTTTGTGCTATCGATATAATCCGTCTATAGGAGTCTCGAAGAAACACAAAAGGCTGTACAGCTATAGAAGCTGCTGATATGATTATCTGGTCGAGATCCTGAAGTCCCAACCTGAGCTCTAAAGAAATGTAGTTGTTAATATTCATAGTAAGCAGGCATTGAGCAGTCTAGATTGTACCTCTCCCTTGAGCCTTGATTTCATCGGATAAATCGCTAAGATAGATACATTCTTCAGTAAAGAGTCGTTCCTAGGTAGATGACATGATGTCAGTTGGACAGCAAACACTGTTGGGGAAAAGCACAAGAACTCGAACAAACTTGAACTGTAACACGAAAGGTTTGAGCAATTATGTCGTTCTCCCACTGCTCTAGGGATATAGTAGAAGATGCTTTCGAATTGCTGTCTCGCTGGGAAGGATTTTCACGTGCATGATCGATGGGGTGTCCTGAGGAGGGCGAGACGGGGCGTTTTAAGGAAGGTAACGGCTGTGCTATCAAGCTATGGGTTGTTGGGCCTGCAGACGGTGTTTGGGATTGTTGACGTGAGCTGCTGGGGGTGGCCGAACTCAAGGGAGACGCAGAACTTTCGGAAGCGCTTTTTAACGAGGCTCCAAGCCGGGCTAATCTTTTTAAGCGGATCTTCAGGGACAAGATTAGCAAATTGTACGAAGGCCTTTAGATCGATAAAAGCGCTTACAGTCTCCGCATCAGGAGGGTTATCCATCCCAAGTGAGTCTGGAAATTGAGGAGGGGTGTCACGGTCTGGGTTCGAGTACGGTGGGGTTGAAGGCGACTTGGACGAAGGAATAGGAAGGGCAGCCGAAAACTTTCGTCTCGACTTACTGTCGATAGGAGTTCTATAATTCTCTAGGAGAGTTACTTCTAGGTATCTACCTAGGTACTTACGTATGTAAGGGCGGGCTTGGAAGCAGTCAAACCAGAGGCGTTATTTGGCAGTAAATGCTTCAAGTACCCAAGTGGTGAACAGGATCTCGTTGGTGAGAGCAATCCAGCAACAGTTCCCTAAGCTTAACTACTTAAGTAGATTGACAGGGAGCAGGCTCATATAATTAGCGAGCCTCCGTTTGCTTGAGCCGCTAAGCGTCTGTTTACATAAGCAGTAGTGTGGCTAATGCTCTGTTTCCTTCTCTCTTTTTTTTTACAAAAAAAAAAAAAACTAAGCAACAACATACAACTAGTCCGTATCATACTGATATCTTGAAACTCAGTCGATATGACATTCTCTGCGCTTCTCGACTCGTTTGTTGGCGCTCGAAGGAAGGAACTGCCGAAATCATCATCATCATCATCACATCCAGAGGAGCCATTACAGAAGCGTCGAAAATTACATTCTCCTGCTCCCGAGATACCGATTGAGACGACTGGCAATAACTGTCCCGACGACTGTATATCTCTTGGCGAAGAAAACAAGAATCTTACATCATACAAAGCACATTTTGATATACAGGAAGCACCTCGACCCTCTGTTATTCTCTCGACAGTTGTTCATCCAGTATTAGGTAGAGTCACAGTATCGAATACTCAACTGCTCTCGGAATGTGCTGCCGACAATTCAGAACCATTTCAGGTACGCAGAATCAAACCCCATATTCGTGAGACTATCCTAATCATGCTCGCTACTCTACAGTCAGGTGAAATATCTCCATACCGATCCCAGCTATCCCGATATATACGTAATTATGCGGATGTCGCCCTTGCAAGTGCTTCAGGGACAGATCGGGGGACCTTTCGTCGGCTTGTTTGTTCACACAGCCTGGCCCACGTTCTAACGTACGATAACTGCAATACACCAAGATACATCATTTCGGAGACAGTCTAACATAGCATAACACACAGGACTCGCCAAATAGTGCTTAAGAACAGCGCCAGGCTTGCAAAACAAATTAACAGCGGTGGAGACGAAACTGACGGCAGAAGAGATCAAGGGTTCACAAGGCCAAAAATCCTCTTCGTTCTTCCGACAAGAAACTCATGCTATGAAGTTGTCAACCATATAATCAGTTTTGCGCAAGGACATGGCTGCGAAAATAGGCAACGTTTTAACGAGGAGTACGGTCCCGGTACTGAGAGGCAGTTCTCCAACACTAAACCCGATGACTTCAAGGATTTCTTCCATGGCAACAGCGATGATATGTTTAGGATTGGGGTCAAGCTAACCCGGAAAACCGTTAAACTATTCTCAAAATTCTACCACTCGGATATTATCCTAGCAAGCCCTCTCGGACTCAAGTCGGTGATTTCATCAGCAGCAAAAGGTGGCAGCGATACGGATTTCCTCAGCTCGATAGAAATTCTGTACTTGGATAGTGCAGATGCCCTCCAAATGCAAAATTGGGACCACGTAGAGTCAATATTGGCTAGTATGAACCAAATGCCCAAAAATGCACATGATTGTGATTTCTCCCGTGTGCGGAACTGGTATCTAGGCGGAAATGCCGCTTCATTTCGACAAACCATCATATCAACCGCCTTTTTATTCCCAGAAACCAACTCTCTTCTTTCCAGATACAGCAAAAACTACAGGGGATTAATTAAGTTTCATAACTTATACACTGGAGAACTTAGCCCATACATACCCCAGGTTTTCACGAAAATACAGTCCACAAATCCCGCGCTTGACCCCGACATCCGATTCGAATACTTCACAAAAACAATTATGCCATCCTGGAAGAATGGCGGGATAATAGATAAAGGGGGGCTGCTTGTTTTTCTATCATCGTATCTAGATGCCATCCGTCTCCGAAACTATTTCAACAAGACCGGTCATAGTTTTGGCGACATCAACGAGTATACATCGGCATCGGATATAGCGCGTTCTCGTGCACATTTTTCGTCGGGGAGGTACAAGATCCTCATTTATACGGAGAGAGCGCATTATTTCAGAAGGTATGACTTGAAGGGTGTGCATAACATATTCTTGTATAGCATGCCCGGGAATGCGATGTTCTACCAGGAGCTTGTCGGGTTCCTGCGGGGGAGTATATCAGATGGTAAATCCCAGCTGGAGGAGTCCAAGGTTCGAGCGCTTTTCACGACGTGGGATGCCTTGAAGGTGGAGAGGATTGTAGGCAGCGCAGCATATGACGAGATCAAGAGGAACGATGTTGATAGTGTAGATTTTGAGTTCCCATAACTTAGTGGCTTCAAAAATGGTTGATGTTCAATTCATTTATGGTTGGCGCGTTTCGACACGCGTTGCATCTCCAGTTATTTATCCAATGAGACGAGAAATCTGTACATTGATAGTTAGGAAAAATGTTTATCCATCGAAAGTCCTGGTGGAAGATGGGGAACTTACCGCCATAACGATACAGCAAATACTAACATAGGGGGATAACCGTTCGCCGATCCGTGCCGCTTTCCAGAACCTTAGCAGAATATATCAACTTAGACAAGCTCGAAGGGTGGAAATGAAAAATTGGGAACAGTTCCCGAGACGCACACTCCCCGGAAGCCATGTTTATGCCTGTCGACAATAGTAGGGAATACGCTCCGAGTATATGCACACGTGCAAATGAAGAGGAGAATCACCAAAAGGAGAGACTGGAAGTTGAAAAGTGCAGACTGATAGATTGTAGTAAATAATGTTAGCCCGTACCCTAGAATTTCGCTTGACAAAACTTAGCTACCATTTTGCTCTTCGTTGTCCTACTGTCAGGGAGAAATATATGGTGGAGGTTGAATGCAGTTGGAGGGTTTTGGGAACTATAACGCTGCGTCTGCTGACTTTATATTTGGCATATGTTCGTTCTGATATTGGTGTTGTCGGTGTTGTCGGAGGTGAGTTTTGGCAACAGCGCAACTTCGTTCACGTGACTTATCGGGGGTGACCTCATCGCCGCCAACTGTACACACATACGCATACATAGTACACGGTAACCATTTCAACCACCAAATTCAACCTTCCTTTCCCTATTTTTGCACCATGGAACCAAGAAATGAAGGCACTCGAAGAGGCCCGCGGCCTCAAAGACGCCAGCCTTTCTTCTCTAAGGACTGTATGTTGCAAATGCCCTACTCGATTGAGATTCTGGTATTGATGATCTACTTGATGCGCATGCTCTAGTGAAAGTTATCATGTACGCGTTTGGAGATGATTTCCAACCTTTCACAGAAAGTGTCAATACCCTCGATGAAATCGTTACGGAGTAAGTTTGTCAAGTAGACATATCCTTCAGGACTTAAATTCTCAGTAACCCAACCTTCACTCCCCCTTAGATACATCATTGAAATGGTGGGTGGTTGATTCTAATTTAATCTCCGAAAAATCAAATATCCCACTGACTTGCTCAATAGTGCCATGAAGCTGCAAAATCTGCGTCGCACGCCCGACGGAACAAGATCAAAGTAGATGACTTCAAGTTCGCGCTTCGCCGGGATCCAAGAAAACTTGGGAGAGTTGAGGAATTGCTTGCGATGACCAAAGTAATCCAGGATGCACGCAAGCAATTTGACGAAACTGGCACTACCATCAATCCTAGATAGAACAGTGGGTTGAATCCTTCGTTAAGATGGTCAAGTTTAGTTCGCCTTTAAATTAAACAAGTACAGGTTTAAGTTCCTCGTATCAGCTAGTAACGACACAAGAGCCCCCTTCTTTTCAAAGATCTTTTTTCATCCTAGGAAGCCGGTGTTCTACCTCGGATATCTCAGATTCATTCCCTCCTTGTTCTATCCATTTCATTTTTAATATCTCCCAGACCTCCCTTCCCCTTTTCTTTCCAGCAAGTATGACATGCGCTCGAAGACACCACAGCGTTGCATCCTGATTAATGCAATAGCCCCGGTTCATGAAAGCATCAAAGACTGCATTTAGTCTCTGCAAGGTCCACGGGGTATATCTGACGCTCCCATGTAAAGCGAATCCTTTGAATAGAGACTGGAGAATAGAGGCCTCAGGGTTGATCCCACACTCTGAAAGATCGTTTAAGAGAGATAAAATTTTTCCAAAGTCAGCTGTTTCTCTAGCATGGTAATCTATGAATATTGCGAAAGATACCAAGTCCGGAGCTAGAGGCGCCAGGCGCAAATCCATCCTTGGGTCAAATCCCTGTTGGGCCAAGATCCATCTTAGGTTCCGGATATCCTTGTGAAGTTTCCGCGCACTTTGGTCTTCCGATGATGGTTCTGACTTCAATTTGGTAGGCAATTGTATAAGGTGCATTAAAACATCCTCGGCGGCTTGTGGCTCTCCTGCGTCAATCAACGCTGTCATCACAGCGTTGAGGACAACGATATCCACGACCTCTCCCGTTCGAATGAACTCCCGGTAAGCATGTCGTATGCCTCGGCCATCCCCCTGCTTCCCATAGTATATTATAAGATTGACATAGCTGAATCTGTCCATTGGTATGTTTCGCCTTTTCATCTCTTTTAAAATCATCAGAGGGAGATGCGCCATGTTAGAATTTGTTGCAAGGTGGAAAAGTATGTTAAACGTGGTAGCATCAGCTAATACCCCAGCCGACCTTTCCATCTCTTTCCAGAGAAATAGACCTGATTGAAGATCATGGTCTGTCAGGTGACGATAGCACTTCGCAACAAAGCTAATCGCGGTGTTCCAGTGATACCTCGGAATTGGAACTCTCCCTGTTTTCATATCATCGATGATTGTAAGATACTGGAGCATGGTGTTCTCATCGCCTTTTTTGATGATAGAAATTCTAGAAAGCAGTCCATAAACTTGTTCTTGTGACAGGTACTGAAGTCGCGGAACGGGAAGTTGAAGATAGGATTTAAATAGTTGGTTTGGTTTTGTGGACTTGCAATTGAAGCTTCCCCAAAACGTAACGAGCCGGCTATCGTTCTGAAGACCCGTCAGGCTTTCCTCATTTGTCCGCTTCAAGTCCTTCGCCGATTTGTGTTCGAGAGCAGGTGGAACCACAGATGCGGCTTTGCTGATGGCCTGTCCTTCCCTACCCCCATATTTACCGTCACCGTTTTGAACACTTGTAAATCTTCGGCATAGGATATCATCCAGCACTCTCAAGTTTGTAAGTCGAGGGCATGGTGCTGAGAGAACCCGGGTCCAGACGGGAGACGCCCTAGGACGGCTATAGATCTTCCATAAGGAAGAAGTCTGACGGCCTATCACTTCGGTTCGAGATAGTATGTGGGGACGCATACATCTTCCGTTTGGTTCGGTTGACTACCACAACCAGAAAGCAGTTCGCGGGAGCGTGGACAGTAGGGCGATTTCGGTCGCTGTTGTTTTAGACTGTTGTTGCTTTGATTCCGTAGGTTATGGATGGTGGCCTAATGTGAAGGCATATCAGAAGTTTTCTAGGTATTTAAGGCTCAAATTCAGGGCTAAGGGTTTCAATCTGGTGTTGAAAAAAATATTCAACTGAGTGTTGCCGAGTTTGAATTATCTCATCCTTTAAATTTCGAAACCCTGCGTTGCACCGCGGCTTGTCATAATGCATAACCGTGATGACGGACCATCAGATCTTGATCCTGGATGTGAACTCGACGTTATAAACCGCACACATCAAGACAGGACCTTTAGGGATTTTGTTTAGATCCTCCATTCACAGGAAGATAACACCACCTTGTTTCCTCTCAAGCGACAAGTAAGTCAGGACATACTCTACTCCTAGCTAAGGAGTTTTCAACAACAAAACTGAAAGATTCTTCTTTGAAAAATTTAGGAATACCATACTAGGTACTTAGCTTAGGTGCTTAACTAGCCTCACAGCTTGAGGGAAGATACCCTAAAAACATAGGCCTAGCACGCCCGGCTTGTCGCCCAGATCAAAATGATCTTTTCTCAAGGCGTGAAGCCACTCCGAGTCTATAAGGAAACAGCCCAACTGCTCCGGCTAGGCATCCTAGGAAAAGAACCTCCTTGGTATCAAGTCGTTGCATCGGTTCCGCCCTCAACCATTTTAATCAGAACAACCCCAGTTGAGTTCGACAAGCCCCCGCAAGATAACTCTAAAGCCGTAGGCAAGAATGTGAAGAAGAAGAGCAAGAGGTTCTTCCGACCACGAAATATTCAATACCCGGAAGACGATCTCCGCAAAAAATTCTTCGCAGACCACCCTTGGGAATTGGCTCGCCCGAGAATATTGGTCGAGGATAGTGGAAATGATAGCTTGAGTTACGACTGGAGCAAGTTACAACAACCTGGAAGGGCTGTCGACGGTGAGAGGTACGTTGGTTAAAATGGAAAGCCTGCATTGCATTATAATCCAGGATAAGCTAACATGATAACTATGGTTAACTCCAGTGTTGTACAAAGGCAAATGTGGCTGATGGAGGAGGGGAACGGAAATCTATCAAAATCTGCCGCATATGATGTGGCAAGAAAGGAGTTTTATAGACTTAGAATGCGATCAGATATCGAACGAAGGATCGCTGCAGAGGAGGCGAGGTCTGTTGGCGCATTCTTTGGTAAAACACACCTGCAGATAGGGCTCGAACTCGAAGAAAAATCATTGTTAGCTTGGAAGATCAAGGCGCAAGAAGCAGTTGCAAAGAGACAGCAAAGGATCGAGGCTATGGCGAACCCAGGGAGCATCGACGCGGACGTTGGGGACGAAGACGGGGCTACTGATCCACCTGGATTAGCTAGCACCCCCGAAGCACGTACAAGCCCGGTAGAGCCATCGAACCCACAAGGGCCCTAGGTAAATGCTGGTCTTCGAACTGGAGCTTTGTAATGTATATAGGGGATTTTTTGTAGGCTTAAGTTCGTGTGCGGCTATAACTCTCATGATCTGAACGGCGCCCTGGGACCAAGGCTAGGTATTGTATATTATATCGTAAGAATTATAGCCATAGGTTCACACATCGATTTTCACTGTGAATAACCCGAAGGTCAACTTTGCCGTTGGCTAACCTCAAACAGACGCCTAAGTAGGTAGGTACTGACCTTAGGGGTATGTGAGATACTTACTGATAGACTTACTTATATACTTGCTATGTATTTATAAGAAACAACTTGTAGTTTAGTTCTGCTAGGCCCTTGGGTTGATACCTATATTATAGCAAGTAAATACCGAATACTTAGACGCTTGGGAATGCAAACACAGCTTCTTCCATAGTCGACATGGTCGTGTAGGGATCAGATGCAGGCCTAGCCATGGGCCTAATAATCGACGTGCAGCCAACTCAAGAAAATTTCGAAAATCAAGGCTATATGTAAATGGATACGCCCTCGATACGAGACTAGAAGGTATGCCCATGACCTGATCAGGTAAGCCAACACCTACCAAATTTAAACAACACCTGATAGTTTGTAAACCATCACCATCACCATCCCACGGCGTAGCTATCGTTCAACATGGAAGGCTCAAGTACGGCAATACGAGATCAAACATCATCAGCGACTGTAACTACGGAACAGGCACCTATAGAGCCTGTTGTTTTGGCAGGTTCGCCGAATGGGGTTCTACGCTTACGTGGTGCCCACGCGGGACGACGGCGAGTGACCTGGACAGAGGAAGTTGTTGACAACGAAGGGTTGGGTCGCAAAAAGACTAAAAGTAGGTAGTCTGAAATATCTTAAACAGGATCTAGTGATCACCAGCTAATATTGTTATTCTACAGTATGTTGCATCTACAACAAACCACGGGAATTCGGAGAATCATCCAGCGAAGAATCAGACTCATCAAGTTCATCCGAAGAAGATGACAACCACCAACCAGCAATTGGGAGCAACTCATCAGGAAGCGGCCACCCCTCAACAGAACGGCCCAAAGGCCATTCATGTCAAAATCATAAAAGCAGGGGGCAGCGGCGGAAGAATGCCTACGAAAAGGATCCGAATCGACAGAAGCCGAGCTCTTGAAAGGCCTAGAAAAATCCCTGCGACAGTATTAAATCTACAATCGTTTCTAGTTTTGGTCAACAGTAATAGGAAGGACTGTGGATGGAATGCCATCAAATTATCACCAGAAACGGAACATAACTATCTTGAGGGCATTAGGCGTACCAAATGTACAATCTTCTCAGCCAAACTGCCCGAGCACTACCTGCCACTATCATGTCATGTTGATTGTTGTCGCTTCCGCCTCTCTATTTTCAGACAGGTTTTGTTTGCCTTCAGACCTATTTCCTTGCTTCCCTCAATATCGTGGGAGATAGGCGAGTAGTCTGCATGTTTTCTTGGCCGGCTCAAATGCGATGACGCACGAAATATACCCATTGATCTTGGAGTAGCCGGGGTGGAGGAGGCATGGTACTTGTGATTTCTGCCGGATTGCAATTGGTTCTTGCGTGTTTTGACGAATTCACTAGCAATATTGCGCACTAAAATTGCCCCATCATTTTCTGCGAGCCAGAGGATCATCGGAAACAGCCCACTCCGGGCCAACAAGTCTTCCTGGTCTCCATTCGCATCACAAATACTACGAACAATTCTGAGTAAACTCAACCTCACTACAGCCTTCGGGTGAGTGAGCTTCTGCAAAACACGCTCGAAAAAGTCCGGGTGCCCCATTGCGCGAGCGATGGGCCCACTTAATCGACATAGCTTCTGGAATGGTTCCAAGATGTTTTCAAATGTGTTCGTCTTAGATCCGGTGAAACAACTAATGAGAGCACGGGTCGCATTGGATTGTAGGAGTCTCTCTTCTATCTGTGCTGGCTCCTCGTGTAACCTATTTACGGGGGGTGTTTAGTGATAGTATTTTTTGGTTATCGGGATAATATCGATGACTACTTTGATCAGTAGAAGCCAATAACTTACCACACAAGAATCGCTTCTAGCGAGGCAACCTGCCAATAAGGCTCAGAAAGCAATGATACAAAGAATTCTAAGCCATTATTCTGCCAAAGGTATTTTCGGCCCAGTCTGCCTGAGTGTGCCATGTCACAAAGAATTGGGAGAGCAAATTCCTTCAATGGCCGGTCGGTTCGCACAATCTTCTGCAAGACAGGAATGATTCCATTGATAGCAGCTTCCTCTTGTCTTGACTTGCTGTGTCTGCACAAATTAAACATAATACTGAGTATTTGATTGGATAGTTCCTGTGTGTGTATGACAAAATTAGCTTGTTATCGCGACAGAAACACCAACTGGGGAAGCTACTGACTTTAAATTGTGGTTTGTGCGTATTTTCTGAGAGCATCTCTATTAAAACCTCGATTGCATTCGCATTCTGCAATATATCAAGGGTTGTTGACAACATCGATAGGTTTTTCACGAACTTGAGGAAGGCAATCTGACAGGTAAGCGGAAGGTCGGGGAGATCCTTCATTATCCCTATGATAATATGAGATGACGTCTTCTAACTTATCCAAAGGGTAGTGACAACAACTCACTCTTTAGTGTCACCCTATCCGCAATGACTTCCTTGACTTGGTTCTCGGCTTGTGAGAAAAGGTAAAAGAGGTTGACTATTTTTTCACAATAAACTTCGTACCGGTCCTCCTTTTCCTTGCATATTTGGGAGAGAACTAGAGACAATGGGCGCAAAACCATATGCCGAGAGAGGATTCGACAAAAATCGTTCTTTGGGGTCGAACCCTGTAGCTTGAAAACGTCGACCACGCCCTCGATGCCGGTGAGAACAAGCTCTTTGTGAGTGGAATAATCGTCCTCGATTAGTTCCACAAGCACATTCAACCCTCCACAGCTTACAAACATCTGGAGCGTCAGCCGTGACATATGGCAAATTTGACGGATAAAAATCGCGGCCTCCAATCGAATTTCTTTATGGTGATGTTTCGTTGCGAATTTGGTAATCGTAGGTATACCCCCTACGAAGCAAAGATTTTCGAGTAATTCAATATCGTTGAAAGTGAGCTAACCAAACACGATTAACATCAATATGCACTACGGGAGAATAAATACATGTTCGCTTACCGCATTGATGACTCGCAGAAGTGTAATGTTAACTTCTCGATTCCGGCCGGACTCCAGTACTTCAAGTATGGGAAGAAGCCCGTGAGAAGCAATAACTGCTGTTTTCGTTTCCGGAGAGTCCAAGAGGATTCCTAGGAGCTTAGCTGTCGTATCTTCTAGAAAAATTCCTGTGTGTTGGGATTTTAGGGATTCGATGTAACTAGAAACCTCGGTGCATAGACGGGCATGTTGATCTCTAGCGATGTTGGCGTCGAGATCTAGCTCTGTGAGGCCTTCTTCGAGTTCGGAAAAGGGGTCATCTTCTTCATACTCATCAGATAGGCCGATCTTTGGATCGGTGCCCTTAGGTGCCAACACTAGGTTGTTCTTTCGCGAAGCTCCGTCGTGCTTTGGACCGAGTGAGTCTGGTACCCAAAATATATCTGAGAAATCGTCTTCTTCTTCCGCCTCCGTATACTTGTTGATTTTTGCCGCTACTTTTAACTCATCGAGCGAGGAGTCGTCTCTTGACCCCAACTTCAACAATCGAGTATCCCCTGAAATGCGAGAATGTTCAACCTCGTTAGAGTGACTTCGCCGAAACCTGTCTGTCGGTTTTCTCGAGACTATACTCGACAGGCCCTGCTCTTGTTCCCGTCCAAATGGACTTTCTAAATCATTCATATCGAAGTCTTCTACATCTTCAATACTTTCGCTAGCCAGGTGGTCCGCAAATAATGACGGAAATAGCGATTTCCCCCCTGGGGGGTACGATTCTGACAAAGTCGCTGATGCCGACGTACTTGGGCGGGACTTTTGCTTGCCCTGTTCAATATGCAGAGCTTTCAAGAGGCTTGTTTTCTTAGGTTTGATTGTATCCATGTTGTCATCTTCTTGGGCAAAGTATCCAGGGTATGTTGCTAGAGATTCTGCTCAGTAACCCGGTAGGATGCATCATTATAAGGTAAATCGCCTACCTTGTTCGCTGCTCGCCTGGTTCCGACGAATAGACTGGCCACCAGTTGCATCGTGTGATTTCAAATGCGTCAGATCAAAGCTACTAGAATTTATAGAAGGGGTAAAATCATCATCCCAGTTATCATCAAAGGCTATAATAACTGTGTAAGTAACCTTGTCTGTATATCAAAGTAACGCTAACGAGAATTGGCTCATACATGATTCTTGTAGGGCAGCAAATCCATCCTTATTAGTTGGGTCTACTTTAGATTGGGGTACTAAAAAATGTGTGTTAGTCCTACACCTCGTCAACATGTTACAATAGGCAGCTTTGTCGCGAATTACCCTGATGAGAAGGTACTGGCTTGCTGCGCACACCATGTACATCAAGAGGCATCTTCAAGGCTTCATTCCACTGCTGGACACTTCTAACATCGTCCACGTATTTGGGATTTGGCTCCTTTGATACCGGTCTCGTCTTCACAATCCAGGGATGTCTCAGAAGTTTCCTTGCAGAAACCCTTAGATTAGGATCTTTTTGAAAGCATTGCATCAAGAAATCGCGAACAGCCTAATATTCCAAGTTTCATCAAAATTATTATCGAAATTGGGGAATAGTGAAGGACGGGGCTTTGCTTACTGGGGAAGCACCTTCAGGCAAACTTGGGTGGTCATCGCTCACGATGCGGAAAAGGGCTTGCATGGGGCTTAGGTCGTAGTACGGAGGGTCGCCAGTGAGAAGCTCGATGACCGTGCAACCTACACTCCTAATATAGAGTATTAAAAAAGCCCTGCTAAACATGAGTGGTATTCGGTTACCAGATATCAGAGGCTGTTGTTGCACCAACGAGCTCTATAACCTCCGGTGCCATCCAATAAGGTGTCCCAACGACTGTAGCATCATTTGCTCGGGTAGCGACACCGAAATCGGCCAGTTTGATGTGACCTTCTTTGGTGGTCAATATATTGGCTCCTTTAATGTCTCTGTGAATGACCCCCTGTTCGTGAAGATAAAAAAGACCATCGAGGACCTGTCCAGTGTACCTCCCAACGAGATGCTCGGGGAACTTTCCAAAGTTTTTGCAAATGCTATGGAGAGATCCGTTCTCACAGAACCTAAAGGTATATTAGTTTCAACACTAGGGCGAGGCTTGTTTTCGGGGGGTATTGTATACTCTAAGATAATATAAAGGGAGTCAACTGACTTGACAAACCCGTGGTATTGAACGATGTGAGGATGCTAGACCCAGAAGATTCAGCGCTGAAGTCTTTGTGGGAATGGATGTTCAAGGTTGGGCAAAAGGCTCGTACGTTTAGGTTTTTGAGAAGATCGATTTCCCGCTAGGTTTTATGGAACCACATTAGCAACTTTGGCTGGCTTCCAACGATGGTGGCTACATACCATAATAGCCCCAAGTTCGCTGTGTGGTAGGTCTGAAAGCCGAATTTGCTTGATGGCAACAGTTTCCCCGGTAGTATAGTTTATAGCTCTATAGACCGACCCCGATGCACCACGCCCAAGGCAATCCCCAAGCGTATAGTCTGAGAGGGAAGAACTGCCCCGTCGCCTCTTACCTTCGTTCAAGGCGGCTTGGGATTTTGACGACCTAGACTCTGCCATATCTACCGCGTCGACCATGTCGGAAGATTAAACAAAACTGAATAGGCTCTTTAGGAGGTGCGGTTTTACGATTGGTGGGTGAGTGGGGCGGCCTAGGTGGAGAGTCGAAGCTGACGACTGATCTGGCACCGAGAGTACGATGTGTGCATGGCGCGTGAAAACGAAGCCAGGAATAGTAGATCGAAATTGATTTGCGGAAACTTAGTTCGTAGATTTCTCTTTATATTAGCATAGTCCTTCAACATCTGTTAGAAGTCCACGATGTATGTTCAGCTCTGCGATAAGCATCGGTGCGGCGGATTGTGGTGTTACTAAGTTAGTGAAGAAAACTGCAAAGAATATTGAGGGGTTACGGAGGGCTGCAGAATACAGGTATTTAAGTACTCGGGCGGGTAATTTAACTGAGTACTTATCTACCTAGGTAAGCAGGATACTCACGCAGAAAGTACTCTCCACTTACTCACGCCCGTCTGGGATGGAAGCAGGGAGAGGCTCAGATATCAATTAAGAGGTACGTATCTAATGGGGTTGACCCCGCAGTACAGTATGCCATACTGGGATTCAATATCGAGTGCTTACTTCACTTGATACTCCCTGCTTAATACTAGGAAGTACCTAAGTACCTAGGTACCTACCCACTTACCTACTTACTTACAACGAGACCGGGGTACTTACCGAGGTATATACACATAGGTCACAACCTCACATCAATTCGAATTGTCCCTCACACGATCAACATTTTAGATTCTTTATGATTTTAGGCTTAGATATATTTATTTAAGTACTTAAGTACCTACATATGTACTTTAAGTATGTATCAGTACGCAACGGTTGACGGACTAAAAAAAAGCGCCTGGATTCGAATGTACCATTAGGTATTAACTTAAGTAGTAGGTATTCCCATTGATCTAAGGCAAGCTGGGTGTCCCTGGGTAGTCTGATGACCGCTCCAAAGTATTCACAACGCAGGAACGTAGGCAAGCAAGCAAGTAAGTCCTTACTTAAGCGCTTACTTAAGCAAGGATAAACGACCTACATGCTCCAACGCACACGGCCCCCGGACTTCGGAGGGTCGCTCTGAAATAAACCCTTTGATGCGGAACCCCGGTACTCGGAAATCCAACAAAAACAAACAAGAAAAAAAATTTTTTTTCTGATCTTCCTACAGGAGGTAGGTTACCGATTCTCAGCATTCCGAGTTTAACATAACCTTAACACTTACTTCCTTAGATGTACAAGATTTAACATAAATCCTTATACCATCTTCTGGGAAATTTGGTGGTCTGAGAGGGCTTTGTTTTTTGTTTTTTTTTAAAAAAAAAACAATAATAATATAATAAAAAAATAATAATAACAATAATAAAATATCTATAAAGGAGTAAGTACCTCCGACCTATCTCATAGGTATACTAAGGTTATCAGGTACTTAAAAATTGCACCTAATGGTACGTGCGTAGGACAAACTTAATTAGACCTGTTCTGTTTTATATAGTACCTCTTGGTAAGTATATACGATTCAACTAAAACAATAAAACAATAATAATTAGATAATTAATAATAATATATTGGGCTTAGGTACTATTTTAGTAAAATACCAGTCTAATCAACCAAGTCGGTAGAGTTATCAGCCCAATCAATGCGTTCTATTTCGTTTATAGATTATCAACATTCTTACTGATATTACTAGCCTTTTAGCCTATCTAGACCTTTTGCTAAAGATACTACCATCGCCCATATAATCGTCGAATGGATGTCGTCAGTCGGAGTCCCATTCGCCATCCGCGCTTTGCTGAGGCCTCGCCTCTCTACCCACTATTTCCCAACCAATACGGCCTTTCCTAATATCTCACACCATGGCCGTGTCGCCATTTCTGGAAACGCCCGTAATTCCTCCTCCATTACAAAGGTCTTCTATAAGATAATTCCGAGATCGAATGCCCAAGCTATCAGACCCAAGTGGCTATTTGCTGGTGCCTCCCTTGCTGCCGCTGTAATCGGTTTCTATGTGTCAGAAAGTCCATACCACGCTGTAATGGCCCTTGAAAGAACTATGCGTGTTGCATCCGCAACTGCTAGGTGCATTCAAGAGTCAGTACGCCGGGAAAAAAAAACAGTCCTACGTCATATCAGAGCGGCTGACGCCTCTCATATCGCAGCTATCGGTATACACTAGCTTTAGATAATGCCTCGTTTGATTACGCATCCTCACTAAGTGCATGCCACAAGAGATGCTCCCAACGTGCGCTTAATGTGTAAGCCGATCCCTAGAAACGAGAAGAACGCTCAAAATATTATCACAGTATATTAAACACCTCGCCGAACTAGTATGGAGAAGAATGGTTCTATATTTATCAAATTAGGCCAGCATCTCTCAAGTATGACATATCTATTGGTGAGATCCCCTGGGTTGGGCTACACGACCGGCATATGCTAAGGCGTATGCGTTTAGCCTATCGAGTGGACGGTATGTGGACTTCTCATGCGTAGCCTACCCAATTCAAACTTCAATCGCTAATAATACAAGTCTACTTTCATCCCGCTGCAAGACAAATGTCCAAGGTCATCGGTTGAGGACATAGACCGAATGATCCAAAAAGACACAGGATGTACCATATCGGAACTTTTCAGCGAATTCGACGAGGAGCCAATAGGTACCGGTAAGCCCTATTCACGTCATACTGCCCAAGTATCTATCCTATCTAGTAGAGCTGATTTCTCGCCCTCGAAAAAGCATCCTTGGCTCAGGTTCACAGGGCTCGGCTCCGAGAGAGTGGTCAAGAGCAAGTTACTCTGTTTTGTCCGTCCCCCGGAAGTATAGTTAGTTAATAGTAGGTTTAGAGTCGCTGTCAAGCTGCAACATCCCTCTCTCGCCGAGTGGGTACCTCTTGACCTCGCATTAACGCGGTTCGCTTTAACAAACATCAAATTCTTTTTCCCGGAATACCCAATGGATTGGCTTAGTGAAGAAATGGAGTTGTCGTAAGCTTCCCATAAACCATGAACACAGTAATAAGGTGCTAAATGTGGTTTCAAAGTCTACCCGTGGAGCTTGATTTCGAAGAAGAAGCGAAAAACATATATCGGGTCACGGAACATTTCAAACATGTTCCTAATACAGCTCTCGTGGTCCCTAGAGGTAAGATCAAGCTACACCCTCAACTGCCCGAGAATTTTAGATTAACTTTCAATCTTAACAACCTAGTTGTTTGGGCAAAAAAGCGAATATTGGTTTTAGAGTACCTACGTGGTCATCGTGTTGATGACCTGTCGTCTCTTGATAGAGCCGGGATATCAAGGGATGAGGTTTCCGCATCACTCGCGCATATATTCAACGAGATGATTTTCGGAAACAATGCACCGTAAGCACCCCGATTCCCGACGGTCTCGTGAAATGTGTTTCCTAACATTCAATAGTTTGCATTGTGATCCGCACCATGGTAATTTAGCGATTCGGCCCAATCAAAACCGAAAAGGTCACAATTTCGACATTATACTTTACGATCACGGCCTTTACCGGGAAATACCGCTGAGTACACGTCGAAGTTACGCTAAACTATGGTTAGCTGTCTTAGATGGAGACGAAGACAAAATGCGCATTTACGCATCTGAAGTCGCTGGCATCACGGCTGAACAGTTCCCGCTGTTTGCGAGTGCGATTACCGGGAGAGATTTTGTCACTGTGAAAGCTTCTGTGTCAACCGCCCGTTCCGAAACCGAAAAAGAGCATATCGCAGCTGCAATGGCGGATGGAATGTTATCTCAGCTCGTACAGCTACTTGCAAATGTACCCCGTATCATTTTACTAATTCTCAAAACAAACGACCTCAGTATGAAACATCCTCAAGTTCAGAAGCGAAAAATCGGACAAGTGCTAACATATAATTTTTTAAGCCCGGAGTCTAGATGAGAGTTTGCAGAGTAGTATTGGACCCGAACGAACTTTCCTGATCATGGCGGACTATTGCTCTCGTGCAGTCTTTGATGAAGAGAAGGAGATGATCGCCCACAATGGTGGGCTCTCGAAGCCCGGTAATATTGCGCGAATGATTAGTGCGCTATTCTTTCTGTGCAAAATTAAACTCAAGCTTGTTGTGTATGAACTATACATATATTGCTCGAAATATTCTGGTTGGGCCTCCCGGGGGGGGAGGAAATTAGAATAATGGAAAGGCTGCCATAATAGTCGCTAGCAATTAAAAATTGGTGGTGGAAAAAATTAGAGAAAGTGGCAGAACTTCGTGGTGGCTGGTAATAATAGTTGGGCTTCGTTTAAATGTAGTCACAAAGCCAGACTTGCCGGTTTAAATAGATAATTCCAGCCTGAGATGCTCATGACTACAGGCGTGTATATCTCGTAAGCTAAATGCCAACGTTCAGGCGGTATATTGGTGGGGTTGCCATGTCCGGCCTCAAGGCTGTTAGTGACCCTTCCCAGTAGGCTTCTGGTAGCTCCAATGCCAGCAATAATTACGAAAACACAAAATAAGTCAATACGAGACCAATGTAGGATCGAGGGAGATAAACAAAGGAGGATTTTGATGTATGGAGCTATAAAGCACTAAGGGTATTTATCCCAATGTAAACCTGTGTACGATTACATAAGGCTATGCTTTGGCATCTGAAACATTCATTCCCTAAGATTCAAGCGAATGCTTAATCTCGCTCTTTCTGCTGCCGTTTATGATCCGTCTTTGGTGGCGTTGCGATAGTTCCTACTGTGCTGGCAAGTTTGTTGGAAAGGTCAATTTGGGTTCGGATTGTATTTGCGAGGTAAGATACAAGTAAGACATCTTGTAAGTGAGTGTTGAAAAGTTTTTCGAGCTCCGACGCATCAACTTTTGGGGCTAAGTTGAGGGTGTTTAACAGCGCCTGTCCGATAGCAACCGAGGGAAGGGTTTCGCCAGCCTACAATGGACGGGTTAGAGTCTATTTTCATGATAATGATTTGCACAAGGGTAACTTACGAGTATTTGAGATACATAGTTGCTCACCCGACTGACCATTTCCAAGAGTTCAATGATGCCAGCTTCTAAGCTATGTATATCAACAATATTACTGACTTGTCGGTCCGAGGAAGCCTTGCCTAGTGACAATGATTCCACTGCGTGTGGTGACAACTTGTGAGCAATCAGGGAAGTTGTTAATTGTTGGGAGAGAAACTTACATGCATTACGCTCAGTCTCAGCATATTTAATTTCATACGGGACCGGGACAAAGAGACAACTATCTGCTGCTCTGTCGGCCGTAGTGCCAACAGAAGAAGATATATATGTCCGGCAGGTTATATCTTTTCCGGGGTTTGAAGAAACCGTAAGGTGTACAGCAGGGTAAGGGTGGGTACCATCACCATTTGAGGCATAGAAATTCTGGATAAGAGCGCTGAATGTATTTAGCTCTGGCGAAGTTGCATACCTATCACAAATAATGGACAAGTACATGATAGCACTATTAGCCAGAGAGGAATTCTGATGGAAATGGAAGGTACAGCATACCACCCAACAAGAACCTCTTTGGGATTGGCTTTTAGATGTAGGTTGTACATCTGCTTGTGGTAATCCATATCGACCTCGACCTATACAATACAAAGATTGGTCCTCGAGTTTAGTAGCCACGGAAGATCGGGTTTTTGTTTGAGAAACCAACCTGCTCCTGGCTCTCATTGTGACCAACGGCAAAACAGTTCCGTATCTCGATTTCGGAACCATCCTCAGACCTCACTCCTAGTAACGTTCCAATCACTCTTTCTTGATCGGGGCTTCGCCGTAAAGAGTGGTCTAGAATTGCAAACAATGCCTAAGTGATGATATTTTAGAGTCGACGATCCACGAAACACGAAACGGGTATTAGAATTGGGCTCTCGGGGTACTTGTGCATAAATGACCACTTGAAGTGGGCTTGCCGTGGTGGAGCCGGCCGCTACAGGCTTTGTTAGATGTATGAATGATTCTCGATCCATGGTTGAAGAGGTTTCTGTGGGTTGCTTCGAAGGCAGGTGTGATCTGGAGGTATGGGAGCAATAGTTAAGGTGGGAAAATGTTTAAAACCTTTTTTGGAACCCAACATCCAGTATTCTTTGTGTTGTGTGCCAAGACGTGATGTTGAATGGCATAGCTGCCTTTTGACGTATTAGCAACAACACACGAGATTACTTAAGCCTAAGGTAAAGATTTCTGACTTAAGCCCTTCTCATCTGCTCTTAATCTTATGAGTAAAGATACTATCTATTTCCAAGACAATAAAAGAAGTCAAAGCCCATACTCTATTGATAGAGCAGTAATAACTTCTTATTGACTTCAGTACGCAACTAAGGACCCAGTATCAATCCTATCTTACAAGTTCGAATATTCCGTTTGACAGTCTCCGAGCACCCTTCACGCAAGATCACTCCCAGCAAGACCAGCTTCCTCATTTTCCCTTTGCTTTACAAGTTCAGCCAGGTTCTCATTATTGTGGGCAGCTGCAGTTTTCGCCTGCAAGATGCTAGAGTGAAGAATTCTAGCTATCGCATTGTTCGTCATCAGATCCAATCGCGAGAGTTTCTGATCAACATCACGCTTTAAGTCCCAATTGGGTTTCTTTGGCTGCAGGGAGAGGAGGTCGATTGACAGGCTCGTCTCTTCTTCGCCTTTAATTGTAATCCTAGCTTCAGCAGCTATGCTCTCCGCTTGGGACTCTAGAGTTACTTGGTTATCCGAAGGTGCAGTATCGAAGCCGAACCTAGGGGCTTTAGTCTGGACGTCGTAGTTTCTGCCAGAAAGAACGACCGTCGATGCTTCACTAGCCTCGGTGTCCCTTGCAGTTTCGGAACTAACATCATGTTCCTGCTTTCGCTTGAGGCTGCGAAGCTTTGCTAGTCGATCTTTTCGTGCGAGAGATTGTGTTTCTAGAGCCGTATCCATGTTGAGGCTTGTAGTCTCAAAATTGCTGAGTGAATCGGTTCACGTTTTCGGTTTTGGGTGCGATGTGTCGAAAAGGAGTTTGGGTTTTCTTGTTTCGACCTCTGCCTTTTCTTCTCCCCTCAAATAAGTAAGTATATACCCACGTGATTATATTTTCGCTTCACACAAGAAAGAAAATTGCTTCGCCATAACGAATATATTACATCCCAAAATCGACCACAGCCATCCCATCAAACTCAGATGATGATCCTCTTCGGACCGCCGTAGTGTCCGGAATAACTAGCACCATTCGCACTTATATGTATGCCAAGGTAGTCAGAGTGCATCTACACCCACCCACTTATTTTAAGCCCCCCCAAACTCGGAATCTTCATTCCCACCCAGGTAATCACCATCTCTCCTGAAATATTCACAAGCCAATCTAATTTCATGCATGTTAAGGACTATTTCTAAACCTAACTTGGGTTCCTCGGGCGGCGGACTGTACGCATTTCCATATCAACGAGGACAATAATGGAAACCACCGTGCAGCTCCGTTTCATCCCCTCCGATACACACCTGTTTCAAGGACCAGAATCAAGGGACTTAAACTGGAACAGTTCCCCCCAAATGGGCACCAGAAACAGGGAAAAATTCGATTCCTTGAGCTTTGGAAGGCTTGTCAAAGAACACCAATAGAACATCTCGTAGCCAGGCATAGGAGACGGCTGTGTAGTCAATTATTGTCAGGAGGGCATGGTTCCAAGGCAATCGCAGCTCAATGGTGTGAAAGCTTAGATACGACCCGATTATCCGCAGTAGGTGCGTACCTTGCCTCCACGAGCAGAGATCGTATTCTACTCCGTGTACTTGAGGGGTACTTGTCTGCTGTTAGCTCTCAGAAACGGTATTTGGACATAAATGCCAGCTCAAAGGTCTTGATCTGGTGCATCGAGGATATTTTCAAACGTTACCGTTCCAAGTCCATTCCATTTGGAACTTCGAGATCACGAGCCGAACGCATCTTGGACATCCTCATAGGCATGACTCAACACCGATCCGGGCATGGGTTCGATTCTATCAAAATTGGCACCTCTAGGGCTAAGTTTCTTATTCACCTATTGTCTCCGGTATCTATTTTCCGTCTATATAATGTTTTGCTACTTAGCAAATCAGAGGTTCCAGATAGGATACTTCTCAGCATCCTACACGCACTTTCAGAAGCTGGAATGTTCGTTCAAGCTTTGCAAGTATTCCAGAAGCTTGCACTTTCCCCTTCGAGGAATGACAAATCTTTGAGTCTCCGGAAATGGCAGTTTCGACGACTGTTTCTTAAATTATACAGAGCCGGCATTCCGATTCACGAGTCAGATGTTATCAGTTTCTTCTCTTCATTTGGAAATATGGATCCCCTTATATACAAGCTCTTGATATATGCAGCAGCTGGCGTAAATGACGCCAATAGCGTGCATAAGCTCACAAAAGACCATGAAAATCAAACCGGAGCTGCGCTGCCATTGGATGTAGTTTCCGCGGTATTTCTGATGCATCACCGGCTTGGAGACAGTAGTAGGCTCGAAATTACCTACAATGATGCTCAAAGACAGGGTTTACAACCTCTGTCGAACAGCTTCTTCGTTACCGCTGTCATGTTGGTGGAAACTCATAAAGAAAACGCTAGCTATTGGGGTCTTTGCAAACTTTATAGGCGTTTCTTTAAACCACTTGCATTAAACCTCTTGGAGCTACCTCTTCCCCGCCAGCGGAATACTCCGGGCCCTCAGAATGCGCTCCTTGAACCGACAATCGGGACGCTAACGATCATGCTGAATTCTTATCTCAGGACGGTTGCCGGGAATTTAGAGGGCTCGAGGTATGCATTGACCATTTATTGGAGATATATAAGTCTCATTAGGAACAACAGCCACATACCACAGTTTCAGACGGCAAGCGAACACTTTGTTGCCTGCATTGTGTCGGCAGTTGCCAGATACAAGCCGAACCTAGGACTAGCTCTCGGGATCGTACAAGATATGATCGACTTTAGCGACCTGCCCCACCCAACCAGTTTGACGTGGGACTCGTTACTTCAGGCATCAACTCTACACAGGGATCCGGATACATCTGAAAAAATATGGGAGGCAATGTTAGAACACGGGATCCCTCCAACAACTCATACATACAGTGCGATGATCATGTTGTATGCTACCGTGGGTGATCGGGAGAAGTCGGACATTATACGCTACCGCATAACACAGGAAGGATGGGCTTTAACCCCACATCTCCGGAATGCTTTAGAAGTTGCTGAGAGAAAACTAACATACCGAATAGTAAGGAGGGTAGAAGGTACTGAAAACTAAACAAAATCACAGAAGAGCTATGATATAGTACTAGGGACCCTTCGATCATCAATCTATGTCAGGTAGCGTTGAAATATGTTACAGTGTCTAGTTTAGTTTATACACAGCGTCTCCAAAAAATGAAACTGGACCCGCGCCTAATTGCAGAAGGGGTATTTGACTACGATTCCGGTACATTAGGATTATACTATCTGCACTCTTGGTATCATTATAAACCATCTGGCCTAGTTTCTGTTTGTTGTTGTAGGAATGATGCCCATAGTTCCGCTAGATTCTATTACAGAATTTTCATAGTTAGCACACTGCCACTGCGTTATATTGGATATCATCATAAAGCCGCTAACCTCCCCACTATTGTTCCCATCCCTGGAATCGCTCAAGTGCGTAAGCGTCAAAGGCGACTGAATATTCCGTGGCGGAATCGGTCCCGGATAGCCAGACCCTCCCGGGCGAGAGAGTCCCGCCGTCTCACGATCTTCATCGGTCCACTTCAAGTAGTTTGCAATGAGTTGCAAAACTTCAAATCGTTTCTGGTCACCTCTCGGAAGCCCGAGAAACGAAATAAACAAATTCGTGACGAGCTGGCTAAGAAGGTATTAACGATAGGCAAAAAAAGCTAAGTTTAAAGTACATACCGGTCAACGTTGTCTTGTGGGTCACCACGTTTGATCATTCGTAACGCTTTGGTTAGGTGCTCATTAAGGATTACACCTGGATGTTACTAGCCGTTAGATCTAGCATATTTTGCATTTCAAAATAGTATTAACCTTGGTGTCTTAGCTTTCCTATCAAAAGCGTTTTTTCTTTGACATCACTCTCCAAGTGGGACATTCGCTGGATCTCCTCTGATAGATGATTTGACCGGGCCTATAATGTGGTTAGATCGTAATATACTATACCTGTATGAATTAGTAACATACCTCTGCAGCAGATAAGTCCTCTCGTAGTAAAGTTTTCTCAGAAACGAGTGCTTCAATTTGAGACTGTGTGCTTTCTACTATTTCCCGGAGTTCTTCCTTGCGGGCTATTCATGCAATTTGTGAGGAGATGGGCCATCGACATATAGAATTGATACGTACTTTTTTGGATGTCATTAAGGGCCATTTGGAGATCTGAAAGCTTGGCGGCCTGTTGGGCTTTTATTGAGATCTCTTTCTCGAGCAGGGCCTTCTGGGATATATATTGGTCTTCGATATCACTAGCCCGTTCCTCAAGCGCTCTCCGAACCGAACTTTCCTCCATAGCTAGGACCTCCCAGTCCTGTCCTGCCTTCCTAGTAGTCTCCAGTTCCTCTTTTAGCCGCTGTTGTACAATATCTGCTTCTTCACGCTCTTTAGACCAGTTTTGCTGAGATACAGAGAACCGTTGACGAAGGTCCTGTACTTCTTGAGATAGTATCTTCCTTTCAGCGATCGTTTGCTTCAAAACGGCCTCCACGGCTTCTTTCTCGCGAAGTATCACCCTATTTTGCTCCTCTAGTGTTTCAACCATGCCCTTCGTCTGCTGCAACTCTTCCTAGCCAAAATTGACAGGTAAGTACTACGAACGAAGCTTGATGAGACTATAAACTTACTGCATCTTTATTGAGTCTGTCTGTCAAAGTTGTTCGTATGGATGCTACTCTGCCTAGGAGGCCTTTGTATTTGTCGTCAAGCTGGGCATTTTCTGCCAGTGCCTGAGCAAGCTGGGCTTCCAGCTGGAAAACTCGATCCTTTTCAGCATTTTTATCAAAGCCGGTTTCCGATCCCGAGCGTAGTGTCGGGGTGGCTATGTCCTTCGAGTAGATAACAGTAATGCTCTGCTCCGTGCCTAGATGCAAAATAGGATCGAACATCAGATTTTATATCTAAGATGACAATAATATTATGGAAGACAAACCTTCTTCGAGGGATTTCGGCGGCGTGCTTGGACTGCCTTCCGGCTCTTCAACTCCCTGGGCCTATCCACGAATTAGTCAGTTGCTGAGTGTTTAACGCATTGTGCCACATTCCCAATGGAATTTGAATGCCGTGAAATGAGCTCAACCTCGTTTTGTGATTCCAATTGCGATTTGGAGATTTCTTCAGCTAGTTTTCTGACTGCGCCCTTTCGTGCCTTCTTTCCCTTTTTTCTACCAATAGTACCTATGTTCTATCTCGTCAGCAACCCGATCATCTTAGGACAAGAGGCAGTCTAGTACCTCCAGATTCCGAGTCATCCATGTCGATATACTACCGGTCCATTAATTTCCAGAAATATTGTGTTTAAAAAAGCAGGGTCGTAATAAAAGAAAGCGTGGGTATGTAATTAAAGGAACGACCAGCGTCACAGCATGGATTGATGGAGTGCGGAATGAATATTGGCCGGAAGTTCGAAGCGAAACTGCGACAGAAGCTGCAATTGTACGAACGCAACCCAACCCACGACCCTTATATCTAAAACGTTATGAACACGCGATTAAGCGCTTACCCAACTGAGAACTTCCGAAGTGCAGGGTGTGTCGTTCAAAGACTAATGATATAACGAAGGTATCAACAGTTTCCAATTATATTTTAGTTAACAAGTGTGTAATTCTTGAGTATTGTCTCATCTCCAGACTCCTCAGCTATATTTTCGAGGACCTAGTTGGTAATAAAGTCAATGGGCAGCTACTTAAGCAAGCACTTAGGGGCTTATCAGTACCCTCAACAATCAACTCGTTGATACAACAAGGCGTCGAAAGCCAAATAATATACGACAAAAGTAAACTAAATTTAATATACACTGGGTTTATACCTTTTGGTAGCACAATAGTGCCAATTTTGCGAAACATGGTCAGACCGGGCACGGGGCAGGTGAAAGGTTAGAACGGATTTCCATACATTGTTTGTGAGTTCAACAATAGACAGACACAGAACAAGGAGTACGAGGCTAAATCATTGCTCTGGACTAGTGAGAGCTAGGCATACGAAAGGATATCAGAAGATCCTTGGTTTTTGTGCGAAGGTATAATTCGTCCTATCTAAATATAAACGGGATCCCGGATTACTGAACTGGGCAGTTTTCAATATCAGGCGGTAGACCGTCCCCTTGGCCCATGTCTCCAAGTAGCTCGGCAGGAGGCGAGCCGACGGCTTGCATCTACGTCCAATAGGTTAGAAAATAATGTGCAAATTTTTGTATGGGGGCGGTGGGGCTTAACCTTTTGCATTCTCTCTACAATGTACTCCCGGTCTATTTCGCTGGAATCAGAAAAGGAAGGCTGCTCAAACTTCATAACAATCTCCCGCACAAGTCTTGCCTGTTCTCTGAAGTTGTCCATCTCCTCTGCTGAATGTTTACCTTCGTTTTCCACAAGCCAGTTCGGGAACTTCTCATCGAGCTCCTTCATTGGCTCGTAGAGTATCTCCTTGTTCGTAAGTTGCTCCATCATTCCCATTAACATTTTTGAAAAGTCTTCATCGGAGCCTCCCCGCCCCGTCGTCGTTTGCATTTGTCGCAGCATCTCTGCAAGAAAATCATCTGACTGCGAATCTGCCATTTCAGTATCTATTTCTGCCCCAGACTCCTTCATCCTTTCCATAGTCTTGGCAATAGTATCATGGAACGATGAGGCCCCCTGCGCCACTTCATCATCGATCTGCGGTTGCCTTTCCGATGTTCCGGGGGTAGACATGGCCCCTTTCCCATTGCCGGGTGGATTTGGAGCTGAGCCAGCCGATTTATCTAGTTCTTGGACCAGAGAGTCGAACTGAGCTTGGAATTCCGGCTGTAAAATATTACTGCAATTAATTTAGATACTAGGTTTTTGGTAGTCGACCAGAGTATTGAATAAGTGACAAACGGAGGTCAGTGCCTTACAGATTCCTCCATCTCCTTTAAAAGATCTGCCATTCCCTGTTGCAGCTGTTTTGCAAAGTCGTCGTCTAGGCTATCAAGTGAGGGTTGGTTCATGGAGGAGCCCTGAGCGGACGTCTCTCCGTGCACATTATTTGCCGGTTTAGACGAAGATCCGGCATTAAACTCGTCAAGGAGATCTAGTTTATGAAATGTAGTTAGCATGCGGTGTTTGGTGCAAATCCAGGTGAACAGCTCTACCAACCGTCGAGCTCATCGAGACCGTCTTCGTCGTCTTCGTCTTCGTCGTCTTCGTCGTCTTCGTCGTCTTCGTCGCCGTCGCCATAGCTGACTGGGTCACCGGGTTTCCGCGACTGATCAGAAGCGCCATTATTATCTGCGGGGCGTTCTATAGACAGCACCGTTGGTAGGGCACTTTGCGCGGCGTTGGGGTTTGAGCTTGTTGCTAGCTCCGCTGGAAACTCTGGTTTCGATCCACTTGAAGAAGCATGAACATCTGATGCGGGGCTTCTTCGAATCGTCCTCTTCAAGACCATTTTTTGATTTTTTTGATTTTTTTTTTTTGATTTTTTGCGAAGTGTGTTAAAAGGTGGTAGACCAGAATCAAAAAAATTCAATAGTTTCCGCTCCTAATATTGTTCTCTCAAATGACGCTGAGTGTGGAGTTTGCCTGACAAAGAAGAAGAGCGTAGCAAGAATGTTTCGCTGATACCTCGGCCCTCCTAGCGGTCTTGGCCGGAGCAATTCGCTACCAAGCCTAAGCTAAGTTCGAAGCAGGATCTGACTTGCTCCCTCGCGCTGAGCTGCAATCGAATAGCACCATCTCTCCCAGCAGCCACGACTCCTAAATCGCCATCCCCACCAGTTCAATATCTAGATACCGTATCTACCCCCCTTGAGTACTTACTCGCATCAATCTGCAACCAACCGAAAATTTTTAAGCATATAAGAGGTCAGCTGGCATTGGGGTTCGACGAGAATAATACCATAGTTACTATGTCGTCGCTTTGCCTTAATCGGCTACAGGAAGAGAGGTGAGTCCAAGGCCTTACCACCGCCGGCATGCCTAGATCTCGCACCCCTTCAGAGATTGCTGAAACGTAACATAGAAGACAGTGGCGCAAAAATCACCCATTCGGATTCTACGCGAGACCTCAACGCGGTTCCGATGGAATAGATCTCCGACAATGGAGCTGTGGTATCCCTGGTAAGGAGAAGACTCTGTGGGAAGGAGGACTATTCAAGCTTGAGATGGTATTTCCCGAGGGTATAGATTATACAACCCCCGATCTTCATGCATAACGGCTTCGAGGCTTACATTTCGCTCTTTTACTGTCGGTCAGAATACCCTACGAAGCCGCCAAAGTGTAAGTCAAATGTCACTTGCTTTCCATCATCGATAACCGACACTGACGTTATTTTAGGTAAATTTGTTCCACCACTTTTTCATCCCAACGTTTATCCTTCTGGCACAGTCTGTCTATCAATTCTCAATGAGGATGAAGGGTGGAAACCTGCCATCACAATCAAACAGATACTTCTCGGTATCCAGGATCTCCTAGATGACCCAAATCCAGAATCTCCAGCGCAAGCCGAAGCCTATAACCTATTCAAAAAAGATCGTACAGCCTATGACAAACGTATTCGGGCTCTCGTCAAGGAAAACCAAGCAACATAGCCACTAAGTTTGCGACCATGTGGTTTAGATTGATGAGACACTAAGCTGTATTTTCGATAAGTGCGAACATTCGAGGGTAGCGTTGGTAGCGTTAGTACTCGTTTGGTTTTCAATTCCTATCCGATCCGCCACACACTACCCTTGGCTTCCCCTTCCTTAGCAAGCTCTTTTACTTACCACTATTCTTATTCTTATTCTTATTCTTATTCTTCTTTTTCGTCGTCTTCCTATCATTACTATTACTATTACTATTACTATTATTATTATTATGATTATTGACATTGTCATTGTCATTGTCATTGTCATTGTTATTGTTGTCGTCGCTACTGTACTGGAGTTATTGTTGCGCGGATACCCTCGGAATAAGCATCCATCTTGAAATAAATTAACGGAAGTTGTGTTTGATTATCTCGTTATTTACTAGCCTTAATATGCCTAGTAAGCTGTGAATTCAAAGGATAGGAAGACGTTCGGTTATCGAAAGGGCTACTGTCGAATGCCAGGGAGGATCCTGCCGGTCCACCAATCATGGGATCACAGGTATCAGTTTCGTATTAGGTTGCAGGCTCCTTGCTGCCATCTCAAAGCCTGTCGTTCTAGAATGTTCGTCCTTTTCATAATACATACACAACAGAAACGCCATAGATGAATAGGAAACAAGGATTAAAGCAGCGGATTGAAAATTGGAAGTAGAAGCTTCAACTTCTTGGCTTCTCTTTCTTTTCTTTCCACAATGCAGCTAAGGATCAAATTAGTATGATGGTGGCTAAATATGAGATAATTCAAGGGTTTGGCTTACAAAGACCGACTCCAGAGACCTTCACGACCTTGAACCGAACACCGGGAATATCACCCTTAGCTTTACCTTTCCTACCAAACCCCGCCAAAAGAACCTCGTCATTCTCATCTACGAAGTTCAAGCAACCGTCATTGGGAACTAGATTGTTGTCAGCCTTAGTGCTGTCCCGTCCCGGGAGTTCTGGAAATAAGAACGAACCAAATGCTGTGACTTTCTTGCCGTTTTTGATAAGTTGGACCCTGACACATTTACGGATGGCAGAATTTGGTTGCTTGGCCTCAACACCAACTTTTTCGAGGACGATTCCCTTAGCATGCGACGAGCCACCAAAGGGCGACGATTTGAAGGCAGTTCCTAGAAGGCGCTTTTTAAATCCCAAATCCGCCCATCGGCTATTAATTAAGCATTAGTTTCCCAGATGTTGACCAGACCAAGCTTCGAGGTGTGTAGAAATCGTACTTGTCTCGACGGTGGTTTCGTAGCTTGCGAGCAGAATTTAGACCTCTTGGCTTGCCCCTGTGATTCGAAGATCGATTAGTTCCGAGATAATGGATACGGTGTCTATCGGAGTAACCATGAAGCTGCTTACTTTCCCATTTTGAAGATGTTGGCAGTGGATGCTTTGATAGAGTGAAGTTTGGTGAATAAAGCTTTGTGGTTGTCGCTTCGGGTTTTCAGGATGTGTAGTGGGATTAGTTTTTGTCGCTCGCCCAAGCCAAGAGCCGCAAGATAGGATCTTAGCTCTAGACCTAATTAGAAAACGCAGTCACAGGCGAGCTTGTAAATCAACAACAACACAATAACCACCAACTCTGAAGTGCTTATGTAATATTAGAGCCCCAGACAAGGTTCTAGGTACTGAAGCTATTGGTTTTAGAAGTCTGTAGACGGCCTAATTAGAAGGTATCTTGGGATATCACAAGGTTGATATAATTATAAATACAAAAAGAAAGCCATTGCAAAAATCTAAAGCTTAATCCGCGACACAGACGACGAAGCCCTCCCAGGTTGAGAGCTTCCCAAAGATGTCTGCTTACCCTCTCGATCTATGATAGCAACATCTGCTTTTCGGAGTGTTTTCAAAAGCCCCGCGTTTTCATCAATGCGGCTTCGACCTCTTGATGAATTAGACAATTCTCGGTTCCTCCTACTCTTGACTTTTGTTCTCCGACTTCTATCCACCTCGGAGAGAGACATAGGGATACCAGAAACTTTGATCACGCTGTCGGTCTGGCTCTCCTTAGATGAGGGGTTGTAAATCTCTTGCGGCGCCAACGCTGTCGATGTGGGTTCGGAGATATAGTTTGCATTCACCTGCATTTCTTCCATATTAAGCGTTCGAACGTCTTGGACAACTGAAAGCGTTGATTGTGGTGCTTTCGGCGTGAAATGCCAGGAACTCAACAGATCCAACTGGTTGCTCACCGTGGAGAAAAGGCTATCTATTTCGGATCTGAGGGCATTTGATTTCACGTCCACGCTTTTCGATCGGGCCGGCGTCATGGTTTCGAGGTGTTCCTGCTCGTATACTTCCGCCAACCCGACTTTCGATTTTGAGTCTTCGAGTTCCACGATAGAGCGGCGAGATTTCTCGTGGTGCTCTAGATTCCTACGTATTATTTCATCGAAACGCTCTGTGATGATTCTTCCTTTGATCAACTCCTCCAGTGTCATCGTCGATTCCTGCGTGACAACAGGAACTGGCTTTCCAATCCTTTCAAAATCCAAATCTTCCTGCAAGAGAGAGTTAAAGGGCCTCTGTTTTGAATTCGTTTCGCCAGATAACATCCATTCCCGTCGGTTGATGTTTTGCTTCTCCAATTGTCGTATACTATCGCTAAGTCGAGCTTGTGCGCTCCTGTGTGAAGAAGAATCCATAATTTCAGAGTCCCCAGGCACTTGTATTTGTTGATCGGGTGATATGTCGTCAAATAGATCTCGTTCGATTTCGTTCATCAAGCCGCCAATAGCTTCGAGAGAAATAGCTTCTTCGCTGACCGATCGTTTTGCACTCGTATTCCTACTATTCAGCCCAACACGACTCCCGGGATGTCCCGGGGGAAGAAAAAAATCGGTATACATGAGGGTGTGGTCTGTATCCTCCGGGGAATCAGAGCCCAGATCACCATCGTCCGGGTCTATACTCCAATCAATCGTCGTATCGAGTCCACCGAATGATCTTCCGAGCTCATCTGCTTGCTCAAATCTTTCTGTTTCGAGATTAAAAGCATCAATCGAGAAAAATCCGTCGTCGAGTTCGTTTCCTTCCTGGCGCGACCGGGTTTCGTTATATGTAGGTACATGGTCATTTTTTAGTTGTCCGTAGTCCACCCTAGTCTCAGCGGTATCAGAATCGGAAGAGGAGCCCTCGCTCTCAAGGGGGTCCTGATCAATAACTTCATGATGAGTTGAGCTCGGAGACTCTTCTGTCTGAATTGCTGTACCACGTCTCATGCGCTTGTTTCGTAGTTTGCGTTTGGTACCAGCTCGGAGGATATGAGGTGAATAAGTAGAATCCCGTATTTTCCCCAAAAGAACTTGGCTTTGCATCCATATTTGGTCGACGTCGAAGCCTGTAGCGTAAATGTTATGGTTGACACATTCAGCCTCTGCAAGAGCGTTGAGATACAATTGGGTGCAGGCAATTGACCCATTGTACGCATCGCAGTTCGAACTAAGATTGTTGGGCACTTGGTAAAGGAGCGAAGTAAGGAGTTGGTCTGCCATTTTGATTAGATCAGAAATGTGGTGATGATTTTTTGAGGTGTTTGAGGGCCTAGGTTTACGAAAGGAATAAATTTAAGATTAGGCGGCTACATCGGGTCCCTACCCCAAAAATCACAACAACAAAAATAGATCAAAGAAATTTGAATATTTGGCAAACTGGCTTCGAGGCGAAGCAAAGGCGTAAGGCATATATACCATATCCTACAGATAGCTTCTACTCCCTTATATTCCATCAGCACCCTGAAGGCCTCTAAGAAGGCATTCTATAAGTACCGGGACAGTAGCAGGAGTCTGGAAAGTAAGAATCTTTCGAAAACAGCGAAGTGACGTACCCAATCAACGGGCCATTCTGCCAGCGTTTGTTTTTGTGCAGCCAAGAATTCGTGACAAAATCGCACGGGAACCACAATAGAACACTTAAAACGTTTTCAAATAATTTAAAATTAATTAAATGATTGTTAGCAACTATATCAGGGAAAAAAACATAATTTTATCATAATCTGTTATTATTCTTATCAGGAGAAATAGATATATGTAGGTTTTGTGGTGTGTGTAATCACTATGTATGAAGACACGTCTTAGAGATAGTGTAAGAAATCGTATACGGACTAATCATGATATCAAAATAATACACAAATGTCACAAGACAAAAATAATATACTAATATAAATATAAATTAATACTTAAATTATTACTTAATTTCTAAATACATAACAACAAACATAACAGTTTAAATAAACAATTAACAAAAAAAATAACAAAATAAACTAAACAAAAGTTAAATTTAAACTAAATATTCAAATATATAGAATATTAAACTAAACAAAAGTTAAAATTATATAATTTATTAAACTAAATAAAAGTTAAATTTAAACTAAACATTCAAATATATAGAATATTAAACTAAACAAAAGTTATTTTTATATAAGCCAAAAAATCTATATAAAATAAAAACCTAAATAGACTTTATACTATATTTATTAATATAATAATTATAATCTTATACTATAAATTTTAAAATTTAGATTTAGATACTTTCTTATTCTAAATTTACAATTTATATTATGTTATATAATTTTTCTTCTAATTACAATATCACTTAAATATTTTCTATAGTTATTTTAAAAATTTTTTCAATTATTTAAATTTTTATTTAAAATTCATCATATTAAAATTATTTTGTTACAAAATTTTCTTTTTTAATATTAATATTTTATTAATACTCCATTCGAAGATTTAATATTATAATAAATTCTTTATTATATCAATATTTTTTATTAATTTTAAATAATATAAATCCTTTATAACTATTTTTACACTTAATTTTTAAAAATTCTAATTTCTCAAAAATTTTTAAAGGTTTTTTAAAAAATTCTTTTTAATTTTTCTCTAATATCTTTAATATTTTTAATTCTAAAATTTCTAATAATTTTAAATATAGATTTTTTAATTAAATTTCTTTTTCTAAATTAAAGATTTAATTATTAATTACCTACTCCAATAAATTTTCGATAATTAAACTAAAATTTTTTATAGCTTTTTAAACTTAAACTAATTTAATTTGCAGTTTTTAGATTTTATTATATAAGTTAATATAAATAAATTTTAGTATCTAAATATTAAAAAAATCTAATACTAAAAATAAATTTTAAATAATATCTAAATATTAAAAAATTTTAATTAATTTACTTATTTTTTTTAAATTATACTAAAATAATAAAATAAAATTAAGTATGTTAGATAGAGGAATTGAATTAATCAAGATTAAAAATTGTTAAGTAATTCCTAAGTATAAGTAATATTGGATATTGGTTACTAGATAAGTTTATTTTAACTTTTTTATTAAAAAAAGTATTAAAGTTTTTAGTAATATATTTATAAATTTAGGATTTTTTTGATTTCGTATTTTTTTTTATTGTTAATAATAAT